AAAGGCGCTACCAATTTACCCGTAACCGACGGCTATACATAGGAAAATCTATTGATCCTGGTGACGAGCGACTGGATCACCAGCTCCCAGCAGTATAGGGGTTTTCCGGAATAGACGTTGATCGGCGGTGATGGCATGGTATGTCAAGACCTTCTGTGGTATATAGCCTATTATTTTGCTATCGGCTGTTGCTGAGCCGTCGGTGCGGAGATTGTGAAATCACAAATCACTTAGCCAAATCGAATTGTTTTTGCGCACGGATGGAAAGCTTCTAGATCGTTTGGTATGACATGGGCGAAAGTTGATAGGTATGTACATCATTAGGAAATGGAACCTCTGTGCGCACGCATTGATGGGTATCAGAGTGGACTGTGAATGATGGCCGAAATCTCTTAAGATCTACCATCTCGTTACCATGAGCTATCTGGGCATGCAGAAAGAGCCATGAACTATTCCACTTGACAAGTCGTGCAAGAATAGGCGGGTCTCTCGCATGTTCAAGGAGGGCTCAGCCTGTTGCCAACTCTACGTACACTAACCCAAGAATTATAATTCTGGTAGCTCTCATCGCGTGCGCTGCTCGTACTGACGTTGAACCACTCCCAGTGTTGGAGTAAAAGTCCCAAGTAGCCACAATCTCGCAACAATTATTAGACTGCATATAGATGGACCGTAAGAACATGCTTGATTTGTATATAGTGAGCGGTACAATATTCCATTATTATTTGCTGGTACTTTTTTTTCTTTTTTTTCCGAATGGCAAATAACGTTGGCACTGTGTCGCTGCCAACCTTTAAGGAATGAAGATGTATTGATTCGTAGTGGCAACTTCGCCTTCCACCTCTTGAAGTGACCACGATGGTCACAGATTCACTACGTAGCCTTTCGAGTCGGACTAGATGTATCTCAGGCGCCGGAACGAACGTAACATCAGATAAACACCTTCGAGTGTGGCAGCCATCCCGCCCCCTGCAATAACCCAGGCAGGACCCTGTCTGCGCAGCATAGACGGGTTTATTTGCGTTCGGTTAGAGGAGTTATCGTTCTGTGAAGGCTAGCGTATCAGTAAGAGGGCCGTGAAGAAAGAATGAAGCGTGCCATACTGTCCCGACTCTCTTGGCTACAGTGCTGATCTGTCGCCCGGAACGACCAATGATTTGCTGGTACATGTTGAGAAGTAGTAGAGTAATGGATCAATGTATCTTTAACTGCATTCACTGTACTCTGTAAGCAGCTGCATCTGGGGCAGGCGCCGTTTATAAGAGAGTTTCAAACCCCGAGCCACTGACATCATCTCTTGGGTCAGAGCTTGAGCAGCTGTCATGTCACCCAAAGTTGCCCATGAATGGATAGCACAGTACCATGGTTTTCAGAGCTTTCGTCCAGTGTCTCTGAGCTCGAGGTTGACCTTGTACTTCTTGGGGGGTAGAGTCCATGGTTACTTTTAGTGGCAAATGTCAGTCCACGGCATTTGATAAGAGCATGCATACTAACTTTTCGATATACCCCACTACCTCGGTATAGCCCGCTAGATTTAAGGAGGTATATAGAGGTTGCGGTCAATATCTTGTTTTGAGCCTGGACATATTAGCAGCAGTGCAGTCTGATAGGACACACAAACGCACATTTATCTCAACGTAGCATTTATAACATCATCAAGAACAATTGCATGAACTCTAACTATCCGACAGTACTCCCTTCTCTGAACCCAAACCAATGCATAGCCGAGGTGATGAGGAAAGCATCTTGAGATTGATGCTTCAAGCTCGGTTAGTATTACGGGCCTACTGTGCTGGGATTACGTGCGCCTGGAATCCTATCGGCACATCTTCTCCGGTAGCCAACCACCAAGGTCAAGTTCGACCTACAGCTGAGAGGCACAATAAGATCCTTACGCGTGCTCGTACAACGGCAGCTTTATGAGTCTAAAGCCTGATTCTATTCTGTGATGGCACTGCATGCGAGTCTCCCTGTTTGCTTCGCCTTGGCGAACCATGCATGGAAATACAAATACATAGATATCAAGTATACTGGTAGTCAAAACACTAATACTTAATCTCCTTCCTTACCTAGGCCATCAAGTTTACTCGCCTCCCAATGATACTGAGCAGGCACCCAATCCCTAAAGATCGCATCACTAGCATATCGTTAAGCGCGACCGCAAAAACTCCGTTTTCATATTAAACTCTCAGCGTCACTTCCCTGTCAGCGACCAAATGCTCTCAGGTAAGGCACTGAGTAGTACCAGTCTTCCAGCTTTAGTTTGCGTACTCCTAGGGATTCTATATTAGACAAATTATTTAGTGTGTCTAGTTGTCCCTAATCTAGATTCACTTCTAGTACAGCCTGGTCGTTGAATAGCCATAATTTCACCTAAACCATATATCCACAGCCATTCACGCATCATCTTCCTAAGTTCCCGTATTCCCAAGTCTTGTTACAATAGTGTATCGGGGATTTTCAGCGCCTCATATATTCGTATCATCCGAATCTTCAATCCCCCCAAACCTCTTCCGTTTTCGTACATATAAAGCATGGAAACCCACTGTGGGACCAAAGCTCAGAGCATAGTCAGAGAGGGGCGATGTGTGAACCGGTCGTGTGTCTATCTACGAAGTAACGTCTGCACTGTGTATGGGCCTGCACCCCAGTAAAGTATGCCTGGCTAGATTTCAATTAGCATTTATGGGCTTTTGGATTCATTAGTATGGAATGACCTGAATAAACGATCGTCTTATGGCTACCTGAAGTCCGAGACTCTCTAATAGGTGTATCATGCCAGCCCCTTTTCGGTGTACCAATTTCTATTTCAAATCTTTTCCCAACCTTTCGGATCCTGTTGCTTTCCTGTACGATATGCCGATGCAGGATAAGTGCCTTGGCCCATCGATGGCCCTCTGAAATCGGGTAAGGAGAACGACCAAAACGATCTCCGATTACTTGACTCAGGTTATGTTGCTAGCAACATTTTAAGCTACGACATGAGTAATCTGAGTGAAATTACAGAAGCTTCGGGCGTCAATTCCCTTCACTCAGAAAAGCCTGTAAGTGCTGTTGTCTTCCTGCTAGACCGGGTGATTGTCTATCAGTGTGCCATCGTTGACTTAGAACGCCGACATGACACAGTTTGATTTGCCCACAGATGGACCATCATCCAGTAGAGTCAGGACCGGGTAAAACTGCTTCTAGAACTGGCTCATGACACCCCTGGGAATGTTAACCACAATGTATGGACTCAACGTGATTGCTCGGGGTGGCATGCTTTTCCTCCTCATCTGCACCGCTGCACCTGCTATGTGCCACCCGACCTGTGATGACATCCATTCTGCTCGAAAGAAGTGGATTGAAATAGCTTCACAAATCCTCAATGCCCTTTTCTGTATCCCTGGTTTTGGCTTGACACCACCGCGTATCCGCGATCTCTATGTCTGGCTCGAATGGAGAGTAGGGGGCCAACAGGTTGCTCTCGCCCGCTTGTGCGATATCCATCACTCATGGCTCTACTGTAAACCGAAAGATATCGATGTGGAAGAGGTATCTACTCCGACTGAAGGTGTTCCAGCGAGTCCACCATGGAAGCTGGATTTGGTGATATGGTGTAACGGTTGGAATACGATTTTTCAGGCATGCTTGGCAGGATGTATGTCGGGGATGGACAGATTCAATCGTCCCAGTTGGACAACAGGTTTACTTGTGGCCTTTACTTGTGGCCTTAACTTGTGGCGTTGCCGGCTTTGAGGGTATCAGTCTCCTGTTGAATTGCCTTGGAGAAGCGCTCTCACCACATTCTGTTTGAACTTTTACTGATCAGCCCTTGCATCCAAGAATTGGTTGGGTTCAGCGTGACATATTTGAGCTGAAGTTGTAACAGGATGGCTGAATTTTGGGGTTTACGGCAAAAAGTCACACTCGTACTCATGCATTACTTATTAACACGCTAGCTTCATAAAACGATCTGTTCTCGATCTTAGCGTCCTTACCTACCCATTTAACAGGTAGGTGGCATATACGAAGAGAAGATCTTTGGGTATATCATGACAAAGTCTGTGAAACTTGCGGCCGAGATAAAACCTGAAGACAGCCCTTGGTCGAACTATACTTTGGCAGTTGTACTTAGTTACCCTGGGATATATTATGTAAACAATGGACTGTCCCTCCAACAGGAAGGGTCCTGACGTGTTATTACTGTCACACTTCAGTCAGCTCTGCCATCCAAGCTATGGAAAGAATGCACGTGCATATTCAACAATTAGCGGGGACAAATGGCAGGTCGAGGATGGTGTCGTACAGTTCAGCAACTGTTCCCACAAATGATACAACAGGCGCACCATAAACAAACAGGATGGTGACACATTTTGCCTAAATAGTACGTTGTACTCCGTGGCAGAGCGCCTTGCGTATAGCAGAAACTTATTTGTCGGGGAAGGACTCTAATGTTAGTAGATTCCACATGTAGGTAAGGGATGAGCATCAATTGAGGTTAATCTGCTCTATAAACTTCCAACGAGGGTTTATTCCCTCATTATAGCCCCAGTCAAAATGTCTGTACGACAAAGTCCATACCTAGGTAAGGCTTATGGCATTCTGGAGAAGCGAGTATACAACAACCAAATAACCAAGTTTAACATATACATTATGCAGAACCGTTATACATGTTTCGTGGGCTATAAATGCAGGCACGGTGTTTTTGTTTCACAGCGGTACTTTCTCTGCAAATTACAACACTAAATTGCGGACTCTTTCCCCTCTCGCATGTTGTGTTGTATGGGTCTATTCGCATTCTAACCGTCATCTCATATCCATCCCATACATAGGGGAGTCGACAGAAAGCCCCCAAATACAAGTGTACATATCGATTCAGGTGATCGCCTTGCTGCCCTTGAAACAGATGACACCGTAGCATACTAGCATTGTCACTTCGCCGCTGGATTGTTGCGTCTTTTGAGATGCCGACATCTGTGGCTCTTCGCCATCGACCTCAGCCAGCATCGGAATACAATTCAATATCTTCGGGCTCTCTTTAGCGGCAGAGGACGATCATGGTCAGCACGTCGTGCAGCCCGTTTCTGCTTCTGCAAATGTCCTAGCCCCGTCGGCTCTTCCAATCGTGATGGAACTCTGACGGCCGTTTCATGAACGCTATCGCGCATCTGAGACAAGAAAAATTTGGCGTAAGCAGCCGCCGTGGCAGCAGCATATTCCTGCCACTGTTTGTTCTTATGCGAATCGGCATAATCGCAAATGCCCCGAATGACAAGGCAGTCGGTGGTTCTCATGACTCCTGCCCCCTCCATCTCAACACAGATTACGTTTTCCCGGGCCAGGCGGTCTCGGTGTCTTGCATCTCGAACAACTTGGTTGCCGGATGCGATGAGGCCGTAGAAAGCTTTTGGGCCGTCATGCTGTCGAGATCTCGGCCGTCGACTACCGATGCAGTCGTCACAAGTCGATTTGCCCTTGACATGAATGTAATCGGGGTCGAATAGCGTGTCTCTATCTGCGCCTGGATATTGATATTCCAGTTTCTTCGAGGCGATTACATTGAGATCGTCAAGAAGCGGGTTCAGAGCGGAGTCAAAGGAGACCAAGCCATTAGACCGTATTTTCGTAATGACTGCTCGTAGAAAAGGTGGTGGTCGCTGTTTCTCCGCCGTTATCCTAAACTCAGAGTCCTGTATCCATTTCCCAACATCGACTTGGATCACACTGGTGCCAACAACGATATCACCAAGGCGTATATTCTGGGCTACTGAAGGGACTCCCCCTCCGATTCCAACGACCAGACAAAATTTGAGCCGTCGGAATGTTCGAATTAGATGGGAAGCGACGTTCGTGGCGGAATTCATACCATAATCATCATCTGGAAGCCCGGCAGCAACCACGTTAAATCCTTTCATCCGGCCAAGACAATAGGAGTTAGGATCATTCTCGTCCTTTTCTTCAAGATCAGGATGCGGTAAATCAAACAACGCACGGACAGCAAGAAGCTCTTTCCACAGTGCACACACAATCCCTACCTCGTAATCCTCATGAGTGATGCTTGGCGACAGTGATCTCGACAACGGCAATTTTCTACGACCCTCGACAGTGGCAGATGGAGCCAAGCTTGTTCCAAGCCCTGAATCATGGGAATCATCATCTGAATCGGACTCCGAATGATTCGGAGATGACAGAACGTCTTGTTCTGGATAGCCGGTGTCGTTCCATGACCACCGGAAGTCTCTATTATAGCCGAATACTACCGCGCCATGGCCCCACTCCCTTGATCGAACGGTATTGTGCTTCGGTATCCTCCTTCTGAAGTCTGAAGGTAAGATGACTTGCGCCAGTTCGGAATGTTCTGTCTGTTCCGGGCAACCGATGCATTTGCAAGTTCGAAGAACCTTATCTCGGGAATTGCACCAAATCAGTTGGCTGGTCAGTCGGACCGGGCTGCTATGTGGATGTCCAAACCGATCAATGATGTTGGCAAGATCATAACCGCTGACTGCAAGGTAGGATTTTCCTTCTGGCAATCTGCTCCAATAAGGGCATGGTTGGCTGGTATTAACTGGGCGAAGGATCTCGCCAAATCCCGTCCCGAATAGCGTTGCTGCGTGAATATCTCTGGTAAAGTCAACCCAACTTTTCCCTCTGGTCCCTAGTTTACAAAACCGAGGATGTAGCGGGTCTTCCTGGGTCGCCACGTCCTTGAAATCCCATCCTTCCAGGTTGCTCCGAGCCATATCGCGCGATGCTCCCTTGTCTTTGCCCATGATCTCTGCTTGATGGTCCATGATCCTCTCGAGCACGTTATACAGACGATCGACTCTATCTCGAATTCGCGCGGGAGGCAACGTTGTCTCGTCTGGCTCGCCCTGTTTCGCATGATACAATTGCAGAGATAGATTATCAGGGTTCAACAGAACCTCCATCGCAGAGCTAGGAGTGAACATCTTCTCTGGGCCTTTGACGTCGGTAGGACGTAACCGGAATGCAAAGCTAAGTGGATCGTTTCTGTTGAAATGGAGCGAAGCAAGAAGGAGGTGCAATAGAGCGCAGGCTCCATTCACCAGCCACCCTCGTTTTTCTCCCGCATCCCACATTACCACGTACTGTCTGGCAATCCATAAGAGCTTTTCAATATACTCGTCCCGAATCATTCGATACGGTCGGTCTTTGCTGCCGTAGGTAGCTGGATCGCCGCCTGTAATCAACTTGCCAGCCACGATAACTGTGTTGCTTAAGCCGCAGCGAGAGGACGGCGGTCGCAGCCAGGACCGATCGATCGAATAACTGGCATCTGCTGCTCCTAGTGGCCAGTTAGATTGCCAGGCCTTTTTGTCACTTCCAAAAATCATGCGATGACCTACCGGCATAGCATCTCGCGTCTGAACACCAGCCAAGGATATGGCGGCTCGACTCCAAATCGGCAAGTGTGATATGTCCTGCATGAGGCGCAATACCATTTAGATACGAGATGCGACCTCCACGCATGTTATAACACAGGTGCCACAATATCTCACTCTGGTCTCTGATGTGCTCTGTGGGAATCAATAAGCTAGAAAACCCTTTAATAAATAGCTTGCCACGAAAGACATCCACCCGGTTTGCGTGGACTAAACCCGCCAAAATATTGAGAGGAACTTCCAGGCCGGTGCCCTGTCCGGAACGGTACGGTATAGGAAAGCCCGTCACCACGATTGGATTTCGAAACAAGTCGTGCCAGCACTGTCCAACGGATGATGGAGGGCTTGCTTGCTCCTGGGTGTTAAGCTTGAAATCAATGCCACATGATATCCGTGTGATAGATGATGCTTGCGAAGTTGGACTTGAAGTATCTTCAACGCTGGCGCTGCTGATGAGTGGTGTGCAGTACGATATCCTGGAGTCGTAGGGAGAGGAACGGAGAGCAGAGCCTAGCCACGCAAATTGCTCACCAATCTCTGCAATTGACTCCCCTATACCAGTAACTTCAACGAGGAGGTCTTTTTCATTTACCCATGCCGCAAGTTGTGTATTGTCTGGAAGGGTACCTAGACACAATGATTAGCGTGCAAGGTGCAGACTGGGGAAAAGCGTACATCTATGTTTATAGCCGGGCCCATCGAGAAGCGTAGCTTCGACTAGCTGAAGGATACTGGCTCCAAATGATTGCCATGTTTGATGAAGATATTGCAAGCAGGTCAATGCTTGAGCATTTTTCCTGGTTCCTGTGATTGTGATTATTCTGCCAAGGAAGCCTTCTTTACTTATATCATATTCTTGCTCTTTCACGAAAGCCATAAGATCCCAGTTGAGAGTGAATTTTACCTGATAGATCGTTGGCTGGTCATAACGACTGACTATACGAGACGACGGCAAGGAATACAGAATTCGCTTGCGAATAGCTTCCCGAGCATTCGGCTCTGCAGGGTGCAAGTCAAGTTCCCTCCGAAGGCTTGCAAGTAGCCATTTGTACACTGGGCTGTCAATGATCAACTTCCTATAGGTTTCGAGTCCAGGGAGGTCTTTGTCATCATCTTCCATTGGTATATCATCTTCGACGGCTGGGCTCTCTGCCTCAGTGTCGATATGTGGCATATCGCAATCATCATCCAGATTCTGGTGCCAGAGATCCATGAGATCGCCTAGGTCCATTTTAGTGTCATCATTTGCTGTAACTTTGGAGTTGGTAAGTTCGTCAACCTTGTATTTCTTTTTCAGACCGCTTGCAATCTCACTATGGATCAATTTTATCAGCTCTCGCATAGGGATGACACGAAAGTCTGGAGAAGGACACACCCCCTGTATCGATGGATAAACACCATGATATCCCGGTGTACTTGAGTTGGGTCAGATTGACCAAACCTGATCGCAAACGCTTTCAAGAGCCGGAGAAGAATACCGTTGATTCTCTCTGGGAAACGCTGAGCGGCTTGATTGCACCGGACTTTGCTGAATAAATCATCCACCAATTCGGAGATATAGATCTGGTGATGGGAAGGGAAAATGCCAGGCCCGACTGTGTAGATAGATTCATTGTCGTCGCCGTGGTCCCCTTCTGAATTTCTCCGGCTAGCTGCCGTCGACGGTAACGATAATCCTTCCTCACCAGGGACTATCCTTTCAACATCGTGGACATATTCTGGGTATCCTTCTGGGCGCGAAACTTTCTTGTGGGTAGTAGATGCGTATCCAGAACCTGTTGGCGGTGCAATGGAAGTACGCTCCCTCTGTTGACTCAATTCAGGGATTGAGTCACTGCCTCCACTGTTTTCCATGTTTTGTGGCTGGGGTAACGGGGATAGCACAGAAACAGGGCCTGATGCTACATGTAGGATACTGCTTAGCAATAGGTCCTAAACAAGAGGTATGTCATGTCTGGAGGTCTCACCAGAATCTGGTATCGTTGCTTGAGCTCTTGGGATGCCGTCATTTTGAGCGGCTGGAATCACCAACAGAAGCTCCTTAGCATAGGCTGATGCCGCGGCCGCTGCATATCCTTGCCATGCCCTGTTTCTGTGTGAGTCGGCATAGTCAGAGATGCCCCGGATGACCAGACTTGGCAAGGTGTCCATGAGTCCCGCGGCTTCCATTTCCAAGCAAAATACCCCTAGCTCCTGGCCCATTCGATCCCGGAATATGCCATCTCTCACCACTTGATTACCGGATGCAATGAGTCCATAGTGGACGACGGGCTCCGCATGCTCTCGTTCTGGTCGTAACATCAGCTGGGATGGATCGCAATCCGCACACGATTCTAGTCCGACATGAATATATTCGGGTTTGAATAGACAATCCTCTACTGGTCGCGAAAAGCGTTCACCTAAGTCAGGCGGAAGTTCTGCTTGTATATGGGAAACATATCTTCCCACTCTGTCAAGACCCACAGCACGAGCTGTACAATGGGCGGCAAGGGCAGATGATAGAAACGCAGGGGGTTGATTCAGCCTACTGATCTGCTCGAATCGGCCATTCAGTGCTTTACCATAATCGAACTGAATCACTCCCCCAGCTGCGTCCGTCGGCTGGCTCACTACAACATCGCCCAGTCGAATATCTGCGTTGCTGCTTGGGACCCCGCCGCCAATACCGACTGAAAGTATAAAGCGGACGGCAAGAAAAGTAGACAACATCGGCATTACCACAGCCGCAGTTGACTTCAAACCATATTCACCAATCGGTAAGCTAGCAATGACGATGTTGTGATATCCAATACGTCCAAGAACATATACATTGCCATCGCCCGGTAGTTGAGGTAACGGTGGATGTACTTCATCTAGCATCAGCCGGGCAGCTGCCATCTCCGGAGCTACGGCACAAATCCATCCGACCGTGTAATCGTCGTGTCGTCGAGATGTGCTGGACTCCTCCTGGTGGAGAGCACGAACGGCGCTTTTGGATAGTCTCGAGGACGTCATCTCTAACGCGGGTCACTGTCAGACCGCAATGTATGAAGAACAAGAGAGGATGCCAATATCCAGGAGCGTAGGTTGTTAGAATGACCGTCAGTTTGGGCAGGAGTGGGCGGGGCTGAGAACGAGGCTGAGCTTTAGGCTGATCGACCTTGCTGACTTTTTCCGAGGCACATCGATACAATACATAGACGATCCATTAATCCTCATCGGATGGTCCTCACCGGGCTTTCCTAGTCCCAGACTTCCCCTCGTATCGTCTCGAAGACCTGCTGCGACACTACTGCGGCTTCACCTCGCTGTCCGCCCAGCTCCCGGTAAGGACTAGAGCAATGACGACCAGGCAGTTTCACATCCACGACATCCTCAAATCCTTTCACAAGGTCACTATGAAACAATTCAATAACAATGTCGTTGTTCAAGTAGTTGAGCGCTGTATTCTTGGCGATGAGGGTTCTTTCGAAGCACTGACCCCCCGGAACTGATTAGTGACAGAATGGACCGAGCTTTAGAGGATATCGCGGGTAAGAACAAAGTTCTTTTAAGTGTTGCCCGGGAGCTTTACGTACCTTCGGGAGCTCTTGTCTTCTCTAACAAGAGTGTCGAAAGTGGTTGGGCGCAGAAGATAAGCCTTATGCGTCCGGATATCAATTGAAAGCTGCTTTCCGTGCCAATGACAGTGCCACTGCCAAGTATCTTCTTCATAGTGTATGGGGCCCGATGAGCAATCCATCACATACCAATTATACTGGCTGCATGTGGGAAGTCCTGACGGCCGATGGTGCTCCTGGACTTGGTTCTGGTACATCCTTATGTCATGCTTGGAGCTCAGGCCCTACCGCTGATATGAGCCGCTATGTTCTTGGAGTCCAACCTGTGATTCCGGGCTTCAAGGAGTGGAAGGTTGCTCCCCAATCATTAGACCTCGACTGGACCAAGGGGGCCTACCCAGTTCCAGGAGGCAGATCAATGTGGACTGGTCGTTTGACAGCAATGACTTTCTACACATGATTGTTACTAGCCCTAATGGTACCAAAGGCACAGTCTATCTCCCTACCCCTCTGAAGAAGACTTTGCAGAGATACAATGCGACGGGTTTTCTTTCGGATGAGAAGGGTTGCTTTAATGTCCAAGGTGGTGAGACGTTTTCAATCCATCAAATGAACTAGGCTGCATTGTTAGAGCATCTATGCTCTGGCATCTCTGCTATGGGAATATCTGAATGGAATGCTAAGGGGTTACTTTTGAAAGAATCTTCTATGTCTTTCAGTAGATATTTTCATTTTCTGTTTCTCTATCGTATTGCAGTAGTCTTATACTCTTTGATCTTGTTAGAGCTTACTTTTGCTCTCTTTGGAAATTAATAATCTTGCCAGTATCCCCACTATGAGCATGAATGACACTTCTGCGTATGTATACCCCCTCTGGACGAACTAAGTTGCAAAGTACAACTATCATCTAGCCCCCTCCAGAATGCATGGAAAGGCTATCATGAATATATCTAACAAGATACACTTAGGACAGCGGCGAGCAACGCGGTACCGCCACCGTACGTATACACATTTTTTCCACATAGGCTTCGACTTTGAAGATAAGATCGGAGCCAGAATATTGAGCTATGTAAGAATTATGGTGGAACCATTACCCAACAAATCTTGATCTGTCAGGACAATAATTGCCTTTCAATTTCTACTTTCTTGGTCCAGTCGCCCTCTTAAGTGTCTGGCAATGGGCCTTTTACAACTCATTCACTACGGACTCGTTGCGAACGACACCTCGGTGTGTTGAAGAGTCCGACACCCAGTTATATCACGGACGGGGGTGGCTGGGAATTAACACCCATTATAAAGAATCTTCAAGAGCGAACACATGAATAGAGTGTCCTCTCTATTCTCCTATCTACTGTCTCGTTGGACGCATTAGACCAGTACAACCTCCACTTCCCGGACAAACGCCAGAGAAAGTATGAAACAGGCAAGCAGTTCCAGTAGAGCGCTATAGCATATGAGGAAAGACTCTCCTATTGGCGTCTCTCGCCGATCTTGACTCTTCCATCCCGAATACAGCCCCGAATGACTCTGTGGGGGTGTAAATACAATCCCTCGTGGTTTTACAAATGCCACTCGGCTTCCGGCCCACCCTGTCTGACGTACTAGCAGATTACATGGAGTTCCCGCCGTTGCCCGATTATATCTTACTGGTGGATGTGTGCTATCTTTCACCGCTGGCTCTCGGTGAAGTCGTTAGGATCACTGTCGGGCCGATCGCTTCGACGTATCGAGCCTGCTAGTGTCAGATAGCCAACGTAGCAGCAATGGCGGCATTGACCACGGTTTAAATGGTATATAAATTGAGCTACAAGTACCAAAGCATGGTCGATTTCACCATCTGGGAGGTCTAAATAATAATATATCTTCGTTGCATATGTCTACTTACACCTGACGCCCATTGCTGTGAAAGAACCGGTACACACATAGTCGTAAATATCATAAAGTTCGGACGCTGATGTTCCAAAAAGATCCATGTGGCACATATAATTACCACACATACTGGTACAGAAAGGAGACAAATCACTAGGCAGTGTTCGCACATGAAAAGCTTTGGCTACTGGGGTCGTCATGGATAGCCTTGCCAGAGCTGTACAGACCAAGTCCGCACTAGATATTGTTAATACGAGGGATACTACGCGATATTCGGGATTCATAGACTGCACTTACCATGACAATTCCGAGACAAATACATAATGTATTGAATAGCGTCAAGAGGGTTTTTTTCGGTGACGAAAACCAGAGGTCCTTGTTCATATACAACCAGAAGGCACCCGGTAGTCCAAAGCTGAACCAGCTAGCGAATAATGCAGTCTAGAGCTCTGTTGTCAGTATGACAGCGTCTATCCTTTAGATCTCGTGAAAACACACCATTAAGCTCAGTAGATTACTAAACACGGGAATAGCAGAAGCAATAACCCAAGCAACAACCCACAGTGCTACAGCGATCCCAATCCAGGAACCTACAGCAACGAAATCACGCTTATGCATGCGATCGGTGCCGGCGAACACACGCGTATATATCGATTTGCAGGCGATATGGCCGTTAATGACGCCGGCAATGAGGATCTGCGACTGTTAGCCGGCAAGGTCCACATGAAATCGAGTTCAACCATTAGTGAATGCATTCTTACCGTAGGCAAGGCAATGCCATAAGCAATTTTCCCAACCAGTGGCCCAGCAGAGCCAAGTGCTGGAGATTCAACCCCCTCACCAGCATATCGGTAAATGACAACCCCGCAAACGAGATACAGAGATATGTCGATGCATTGTAGGAGTGACAGCGCCTTTGGAAAGTCTTTGGGGTCTTTCAATTCCGCAATGATGTTGAAGAAAGCGTTATGGCTAGCTGTGTTTGGTCAGCTTTGACTTCCTCTAGGGCCCAACGGCCAGTGTTTGTCCATTGTATTCCTTGTTTGGCTTCACTCACCATAGGAGAGGGCTATATTCAAGGCCGAAGTCACGCCGGTTACCAGGCTTGGGTGGTTAATAGCCGTAGTAACAGCCTCCGGTCTCTGAATACCAATTGCAATCATGGCAATCATAACCGCGCTGAAGATACTAATAAACGCTGTTATGCGGTTAGTTGGTGCTATAGTGCGTGTGGGGGATGCAACTCACAAGCCAAGGAGAGCCAGGACATCTTTGCCAACGTCCGCGGCAATGACATCAAGAGCGAAATGACAAGGCCGACGATACCAAAGACAATGGAGCAGGTGCCGTGATTGGTAAGGGTATTCATGGCGACCGTAAAAGTCAATATATGACTTGCCATGAGGAACACAAGAAACAGCATCTGTCCGACGAACAGCAGCTCCCGCCCGAATGGACCCATCAACATCTCGCCAGCATCGGCCATGCTCGAGATATGAGGGTATCTCCATTTAAACTGTCCAATTACATAGCCTGTATATGATGCTATGAGACCTAGTGAGATCAGGATAATGATTGCGGGGACGAAGCCAAGATTTGCGATGGCTGCTGGTAATGACAGGATGCCCAAGGATATAGTCTCAGCGACCATGAGTAGTCCACATTGCCTAAAAGTCATCATGTCCATTAGAACGCTGGTCTGTGTTAGGAAGTCTAGTATGATCCTCTTACCACCATTTCAAGACCTTGTACTTCACCTCCGCATTTGACTCGTCTCCAAAGACATCCTGGCGAGCCGGCGTGGGCTCTATCTTTTTCTCATCGATGTTCATTGCATCTGGCATTTCATTCCGTTGCTCTTCCAGACCTGACACAATACTACCCGAGGGGGAAACATCGACGATCTGGGAACTTGACGTTACTCGAGGCATGTGTTCAGATGGTGGTTCTCTCTGGGGCTTGTTTCACAGGATTCAGTCAGAGACGCAAAGGTGCAAGCTGTAGGGGCCGAGATAATGTGAATTCGAACGGAGTGGAAGGAGTGAAAAGCTCGGAGGAAGAGTAAGAGGCCGTATAAGCGCGTTGGGGACGGATCTTACATATACGATGGGGCAGCAGAATGGGAGGAAGACGACGGCTCGGGGCCACAGAAGTGTTTGCGGGGAACATGGCATGTGTACTCCAATCAACAGCACAACAAGGAATGGTCAGGTATACAAACCAGATTGGAGCAAAGTGGAGATGAATGGGGATCCGGGGGTAATGTGGACTATGATAGGAGCCCATGATGGATACCGTTGATACGAGATAGAGATTGCTGATATTTACCGCACACCCTTACCCAACTAGAATTAAGGCTTTGGCTAAGATAGTCATTTCGTTTCAGCTTGCTAGTATTCCATACTCCTTCTGCAGCAGGATCTTCCTTCCACGATCCATGTCGGTAGAGTGGGATGACAGTACCCCGGGTTTTGTATAGACCCCGAAGTTATCATTAATCTGGGGAATAACGACAACTGATCACATTACTGAGGGGCTCCAAACATTCCAGCGTTTACCCCTGATGGTGTAGGCGGTGCTGCATCCATCTGTTATTATCCCCAGCCGTGCATAGGGCTCCATCGTAGATACTCTCTTCAGGATGTCTTTCCCGGAGTCACTTTCCTATTACGGCTGGTAAGGGATCTAGAATTGAGGTCTTTTTCATGGTGCAGACAAGTAGCCATTGTATGGCCCACTCTCTCTGGGATTAACCGTGGTGCAGGAACTTTGGTCCAAACCTGTACTTTGCATGCCAGTACTGTACATCAGAGAAATTGACATCTTTCGTTAACATCCTTCATTCAGTAACTCCCCGTTCTATCGGATAGGCTACAGTGGTATAGAAGCTCCAGAGATAAGATTTCCAGCTCGCTCTTCTGCAGACCCGCTCTATGGTAGATCCATCCTGACCTCTTAGACCCTCGGCTTCGGAAAGCCCTTCCCAATGAGGGAGGATCTGATCTTCCTCGGAAAAAGGAACAACACTGGAGACTCACCCAACACTTGGACCTTGCGCTCACGGCCTCAATGCTCCTTATCTTTGTCTATCATGCTCCCAGGGCCATATGGTAAAAGTAGCCCCATGACCCTGTCTCTGTCCTATCTGTTTCGTGCCCGGCCATGCTAGCGCCGAGGAAGAATCTTGCCACTTCCCCGGGACCTTCTCGCCATGTGCACTGCACAACCAACGGCGGGCGCGTATGGCATAACTTCGAACACTATTTTCCATATACTGCAGTAAGCGGTAGATAAAAACTGTGCTTCGTTACGCCGGATGGTGCCGATCCAATGCTGGATAAAAATAATCCCAGCAGGTCGGGTACGCCCCAGAATTCAACGCCATCGTGCCAGTATCTTAACAGCTTAAATTTCGATACTCTTGTTGGATTTGCTGAGGGCCATTGCGGATTGATGGCACGATGAATATGCTGTCTTGGACGCAGTGCCACAGCATCATATTCCTTCCTCTAGGGGGACTTTTAACACCACTATCAGACATGCCTACACTCATTCGTCACACTGCTCAACGTACCTCAATCGTACTATTTCTCCACGAAGGAGCACTAGCTCCGAAATCTCGTTGATCGTGATGCCGTAAAATCCTGGTTGGTTGACAACATCTGCAAGAAAGTCATGAATCTACTCCGGTCAGTCACATAACAAGTCTTTCCCCATATATAGGGTCTACCTGGTTCAGTGTGTATGTATAAGCAATGCGGAGGCCGAGTTGCCCGTTGAAGGCCATCAGAATATTCTCCGTCATTATGCGAATGCCACGTGCAATAACGTTATAGGGAACCGGACGCTTACTGCGTTACATATGGCTCCAAGGGAACTCAGGACGAGAAGGCCTCAAAACAAGCTCGCATTGTTTCCTATAATTAAGACTAGCATCTAGAGCTCAATGGCAGGAACGACCGTTTACTCGGTATACTTCGAGTCCTCATCCTCCCAAACTTCAACCGTCGCAAGTTCCTTCGCTTTCAAAGCTTTCTGTCCCTTTGTAACCATTGTGTGGAGAACGGACATCAATCCTACTGGCTTCGTGATTTGCCAGACTGTGTCATCCATTTGGTCCCAAATGAAACATCGATTGTCTGATTCGAACATAGCCTCGGGGACGCCAGTTTCACGCCTGGAGGTCATGACAACCTGGGGGCTTGATAAGCCGAACCTCCTCGCCATCTTCTGGCCTTCACTTTCGGGGCCTTTCCAGATCAGTTCGAATTGAATTTCAGCTGGATCAGTGGTCCAGCCGTCCGGGATGCTCTCGAGCTGACGCTATCACGTTAGAAAACCTTGTTTTCTTTTTTTTTCTTTTTTTTTTCCACCTGTAGGCTTTAAACCGTTGACTTACAGGGAGGTCCATGATGCTGTGATATCAGGCTGGAGTGGTGTGGAAGAGATTGCCTTGGAGATAATACTGAAAGGTATTTGAATGTCAGATGTAAGGATGATGTCGCGAGCGGAGGTTCACGTGGCTTCGACCAAGGGGGTCCATTTATTGCTATATAGTTTACAACCCGTAGTCTATCACTGTAGTTTCTAAGCACGGCAGTACAGTTGTATCTGGTGGACATAGGATCATGCCCTGATCGACTTGTCTTGGTTTGACTGATGACGAATGGATTTACATCATTCTACCAAGGGTTTGCTAGTGAATCATAAGCAGTATCATACAAAACTGTTTGTAGAATTACCATAATCATAATAATAGATTCCCAGGTAATACCGGGCATGTCAAGGTAATAGATGCTAGTTACATTGTACGTCAGTGTATCCTTCACTAATTCCCAGTTTCACGTGTTATCTAGTGTTTATCAAAAAATGGGTGGCAAAGACTAACTATACAGTATGATATCTTCTTAGTGAAGTGCAAAGCATAATGGGGCTAGGCGCTCCTGCCTAGTCCAACTCATCCCCCTCAGATTTCCTGTGACTTGTCTGGAGATAATATGAATTGCATCAATGAGGATCAATCCACATGCTAGCACATTTCCTGTTCTTTATGTGAGGCTGAGGGAACCCAGAGACGTGATGATGGTAGTGTTGCAATTAGTTTGTGTGTGCTTCTGGGACACATGGCGACTGATACTCAATCTGAGTTCTTCGTCCTGGGTCACATAGAGCTGGATCACCACTATGATAATTGGGCCTCATACCGGCTATATATATACATAGCGAGAATTAGAGATATCTCAGAGGAATATACGACCTAACACCATGATGGCCACTTGGGGTATGTTTAGGGACTATGCAAATTGAATGATTTAGAATAGAACCATGAAGAACCCAACATGATTTCGCATCGGCAAACCAGTTGAGGGCTATCGACTACTACTATCCAGTGCTGTGAACATGGTCGAGGTGGCAGGCGCGGGGTCACGAGATTTGAGACCGAGCTAAACCACGAGCGTCACCAGCGATATTCATCCGGCCAATCACCATGCTCCCGTCCCTCAATGTCGGTCACGTTTTCTGGCTCCACTTTTTGCAACGGGCCCACGTGATAGCCGCAAGCGTAAATATAGCAACATTTCAATCAACTTGTCAGGAACCCCTCCTACTTGTCATCCCCAGGATAATAGTCATAGCTCTTCAGTGAAACAGGAAGAAAGTAAACAGGAATCAGAGAAGAACCGAAGAGAATGGCTTCTACTTCCGCCTCCGACGCTCTTCGCGGCCACCTCGCCTATGAGCCGGTGCCCCTGAAATTCGGTACCAGCGGCCGCCGTGGCAAAGTGGTCGATTTGACGCAGCTGGAAATTTATACTAACGTACTGGCGGAGATTCGCTACCTCAAGTCTCTCGACCAACAGGATGGTGGTATTAAGCCCGGTGATGACTTCTATTTTGCATATGACCTTCGGCCCAGCTCCACAAGCTATGTGGAGGAGAGCCGCGGAGGACTCTCTCAAGCGGTAGAGCAGGCATTGAAGGATGAAGGCATGCATCCCATCAACCTAGGCGCCATCCCCACGCCGGCTCTGACCTACTATGCCCTGAAACATGGCAAGGGCAGTATTATGGTTACCGGAAGCCACATCCCGTTCGACCGCAACGGGTACAAACTCAACACTTCGAAAGGGGAGCTCCTGAAGAAGGATGAACAACCCATCAACAACAATGTTCAAGTCACTCGCGAGGAGCTACTCTCACAGCCATACACTGAGTCCCTTTTCAACGAGCAGGGTATGCTTCGCAGCGCCCCGTCCAACCTCCCACCCGTTGCGGCTGAAGGGAGAGCTGCATATATTCAGCGCTACACAGACTTCTTCCGAGGAGAAACCCTTCACGGAAAAAAGCTTCTCGTCTACCAGCACTCTGCCGTTGGTCGTGACGTCCTAGTAGAGATCCTCGAAAAGCTTGGGGCTGAGGTTGTCACTGCTGGCCGAAGTGACACATTCGTACCCATTGATACCGAAGCCATCGATCAAGTCCAGCTGGATACTGTCCAGAATCTTTACGACAGCACCGGACAGCAATTCGATGCAGTAGTTTCTACTGATGGCGACAGCGATCGCCCTCTTATCCTGGCCCCTGAAGGAGGAAAGCTCCGCTTCTTCGGTGGTGATCTGTTGGGTATGGTTGTCGCTGAATTCCTGGGTGCCGACTCCGTCGTGGTGCCTATCAGCACTAACGATGCCATGGACCGTGGCTCACTTGCTAGTGTCACTGAACCTAAGACGAAGATTGGTAGCCCTTACGTGATTGCTGGTATGCAGCACTCTCTCTCCAAGGGACGTCGTCGCGTCTGTGGATGGGAAGCCAACGGTGGCTTCCTCACTGGCTCTGATATCGAGCGCAACAACAATATCCTCACCGCGCTTCCTACCCGTGATGCTGTGTTACCTCTGCTCTGCGCTTTGTTTGCGGCGGGCAATCGCGGAATCACTCTACCCGAACTGTTCGCCACGCTGCCCAAGCGTTCCAGCCGTGCCGCTTTGATTCGGAACTTCCCCCGTGCAACGAGCTTGAAAATTATCGACCGTTTCTCCCCACCAGTCTCCGAGATGCAGGAGGTATCCTACCAGCCAGATCACGTTGTCGCTTACGACGGCAGCCGTGCTCAGCTTCAGGTTACGGAGTCTCATGCCACCAAACTCGAGCAGATCCGCCAAGAGCTTGAGACCGTGTTCTCCCCGGAATATGGGTTCTCTTCCATTGCCCGCCTGAACTACACGGACGGAGTTAGAATCATCTTCGCTAGCGGCGATGTTGCTCACTTCCGCCCCTCGGGCAACGCGGATGAACTTCGTATCTACGCCGTTGCTGACACACAGGAGCGTGCCGATGCAATTGCCTCTCAGGGTGTCGCTGAACCCAATGGCCTTCTCAGGAGCTTGGAGCGCACAGTTTAAGTGGCAGGCAGCGGATCATGGTCGGCACGTCTGTTTCTTTCGTCCGCTCTCGATGGTCAGTGTGATGGATCTTTGACGCGAAAAAGCTGAACATGTAACGCGGCCAATTTTTAAATAGAGAATCTTTCCAATCTACGCTTCTTGAGCAAAATGTTACATAGTATCCTATTTTAATCTTAACGGCTCCTTCCCGGCCAATGTTGTGGCAGAAGAATCAAAGTTTTGTCAACAGGCAACCCTTCCCAGAGAACACTCTCCCTCTCTCCACTGCACTTCAGCTTGACAATAAAGGACATTTGATAATCTAATAACCTTCAGAAGGTATGTAGTCGGTCTGAATAGCGAGGACATCAGGGTATCGATGTCATCTCTTGTGACACGCTTCGAACACCACATACCGTATCGGAATGATGGGCAGTGTACTCACCGCGTGGCCATAATACAAGAGAGTCAGACAACATACCGAGGCTAAAACTATCAAGAATCCAACATCGTATTCCCCAAAGCTTGAGCTTTACCCTTACCACTCCATTACCCAACCTTCGTTGAAGTGCTGCGAATCGTTCCTCTGACGACGTCAGGCTCCAGCAACCATTAAAAGCCTTTCGAAGGCATTATACTATCTAAGGCAATGTATGCGCCCGGCATACCATGACCTAGAGCAAGGCCTCTGTGCTGGTAAGCTTCTATGGACTACTGAGAGAAGAGATATCATGACTGTGAGAGATCGGGAGTGGTGAAGCCCCGTATTTCTGGGCCACGGTGACCGCTAAGGACATCAAAAACAAAGGTCATAGGGTCCTGGATCCCGTCCTGTCACTTCCCAAAATAGTGTCGTATACTATTGCTTTGCAGAGAGATCGGTCGCAGTGGACTGTAGCAAAGCCTCCCTTTGGACGGACAAATTGGCTTAAACTCTACGTTCATATCAAGCGGCACTAGAAGGAATTAAGAGAATTATGGAGTCGTACCACAATCTAAAATTCTCAAAGAAGATACTAACAGAGCTAAAGAAGCATATCAGGGCTGTGGCCATCTGATACACGTCAGCCTCGGATGTCGCATAGGCTCTATTGCTTGTACTGCTGTGCAGGTCAGGTTCCACTCGAATATGAACTTCATAACGTTACTTCATTATGCACATATCTATCTCAAATGCTACTTTCACATGCTATAGGTACAAGGGTTATGCATTGGTACAAACGTATCACCCAGAGGTCGTTTGGTTAGTAGTCTGGATGAGCACCCGACGGTAAGTTGTCAATGGATGAACGCCGTTATCCTTGACCTCCAAAACCAAATGCAGCAGCCAACAGCCAGAGGGGTTATCTCCCTTTCCATTGCAGCTGTCCTCGGCAACGGGGATCACGACCTGTGCCTGCTGGCCATTGTTCGCGGTAGTCAAGTTCAGGGCAGGGACCTGTCCTGCTACGTTCCAATCATCGGAGCCCGGCTCTTGGTACTGGAACCAGTTGTACGACAGCCGATCGCCATCGGGATCATAAGTGCCAGCGGTATCGAGGTTAATCGTTGATCCTGTCCCAGCCGTCACCTTGAGCGGAGCCAATTCCTTGCTTCCGTTAACCGAGACAACGGGGTGATGGTTCGCCTGGCTAACGTTCGCCGGGAGGGTCCACTGCATGCGGGCGGCAAAATCGTTCTGGTAAGCGTCACGCCATCTCCAAATAGTAGCATAGTTGGAGCTGAAGGTCTTGTTGTTGAGGCCCACCACGCGATCCGCGGCGTCGCTGTAGTGGTTGTAGTTGACGGCCGTTGAGGGGTCCACCTTGGTATATCTTCCACCCCATGATCCATAGCCGGGGTTCTCAGAGTCGCCCAGACCGTTCTGGATCAGGTACAGGAAAGTAGGGGTATCACCTTCCATGATGAACTTGAAATCGGGGTACGCCACACTACCATAGGGTCCGATCTGGATGTTGTCGCGCAGCCACTCATGAGTCACGGTGGAACTGTCAGGACCACCCTCATCCTTTCCGTAGTACGTCTCGCCCGAAATGGCGATCCAGGTCGCCAGGCCGTATTGGTTCCATCCGTGCGTGGATGAAATGTAGAAGATATCTGGGTAGTTCCGACGGATCCAGGCACCCGTGTCGTCTTGGTCGGAAATGGCATACACGCGCAGCTTGGATCGCATAGCAGCCGCCTCTTCGGATGAGGTGTTCTGGTGGATTTTAAACAACACCTGCGCTAGAACGTTCGTACCACCCCAAGCGAGGACCCACAGGGGCTTCTCGGATGGAGACAGAAGACGTTCGAGAAGCAGCTTTCCGCCGTCGCTGAGGGTGACGTTGCTTCCCACGGCTTTCATGCCATAGGTCTATTGCGAGTTAGTGGTTGTGTGATCGTCGGTTGCGAAAAACGGTTGACTTACTGCGGGGCCACTGCGCAGGATACTGCGGAAGTAATCTCCGGAGGCATACTGGGCATTGGGAGGAGCATGCTTGTTGAGGTTATCGGTGACATTGCCATAAGCGTTGATCACCTGCAGCATATCCTCTGGGTGCACTGCATCTCTGAGCCAAGTAGATGTCGATGCGACGAGACCCTCGGTTTTGAATTGGTTAGAGTAGAGGAGGTACCGTGTCAAGGACTCTTGGTCGTCTGGCTCATTCGAGATATCCGATAGGATAAACACCCGCGGTTTGTCCTGGTAGGTCAAGAGGGACGATGTGTTGACAGTCTTGCAGACGGCCTGTACTGCCAGAGTCCCTAGGACCGTAAGTCTCAGTAAGGACGCCACCATTTTGTTTATAGGTAGAATGGGCGACAAGTAAAATATGAGAAAAACGCGCCTGGGGGTGAAGGGTCATGCGGTAAATCCTCGTTTTATATCTCCCGTCCAGCATCCGACTTTGGATCCGAGATGACCCCGGGATCGAAGGTGCATTTCCTAACCGACCGATCGCGGCATGCCTGAACACTTCTCGGTTCCCTGCCGTCATACTCCATCCCCTCCATGTTCGCCAGCAATACCGAGAATTCCGGGTGAACAACCCCCACATTCCTCACGACCCATGTGGGATAGGGTGGAGAAAATACTCCACGGGGAACGGCGGGCTCGGACCTGACTGGTCCATTGCTTGGGAAAGATTGGGACGAGACCTCATGTATCCCGTTTATATGGCCAGAATAGGAAATCCTAACCACAGTTTAGCAAATTCTGCACTGTTTCCTGACTCTCAGCACACCGTTCAACCGTAAACTGGGTCTTGCATGATGTCAGTCAACATATTCATATCATGCCGGGAGAACGTTTATCTCGGTCATGATTCATGGCAATCCTTTAGTGTGAACAGCCACTGGTCTAACCCGGCTTGCAAAAACCCCAATCAAGTGAGAGATTTTCGCAACTTTTGCCCCCATTCTCTCGTACCCGTAAACGAACGAATTTGCCGATCCTCTACGTGCCGATTAGGTAATCATGTTCCGAGATCCAACTGTCGGCAAGCCGCAGGGTCCTTTGCCCATTCATTTGCAGACGGTAGACCATTGTAAACTCCCACATGCGGGTTCAAGATGGAAAGTAGGTTTAGCATACAACGATGGCTACTGTAAGACTAGCGATGGAAGAATTCTTTCGCCATTTCCAAGTTAAGTGATTATCGCTCTGTGTTGGAGGGTTTGTTGTTGCCGACTAAGGCTCAGACTGGGGGAATATATATCATTGTCGAATCAACTAAGGTGCGAAAACAGCGGGAAGAAGGATTGAATTGTTGAAATTATAGTCGAAAAAGGAATGAAACGGTGAGCTTAAATAATGTATGAGTGTTTCTGAACTTTAGTCAGGTATATGTAACTCTATATCACGACAGGGTTCATATATTGGAAGGGAAACCCTTTTGACAAACTAGAGTCGCCGGAATAGTAAACCAAGAAAATGTTTTAAGGGTTGTGTGCTGCGAGAGCATGCCACCACTATAAAGAACATAGAAGACAGGAAATAAGGCCAAACGCAATAGTAACGAAAGTCCTAGGTTATTCGCTGGCTGAACGCATCAGCATTGACCTTATGCTGAAACCACCTCCCACTTGTAATGCCGGCCACATTCTCTTTTCCACAATATACACGGAAAACTGCCTAGTGCTTGAGAGTATGAGGATTCCGTAGGCTTAGGCTACATTTTATACCCTCTATTAAGTATTGGAGTTTGCCAGGGAAATACCATTTTCAAAAATCACATACTCAATCATCCTATGAATTTCCACATTCGCACTAATTACAGAACAACCCAACAGCAAAAAGAATTGGACAAGAAGATAAAAAACCAGCCTTTTCCTCCATGACTTAATCTTGGAGATTAAGTATCAGATGTAATGCCCAGCATTCAGTTGCAGGTGCAAACTCCCTTGTCAGAGCACTGGCCACCGTTCTTTCCGATATAGTCACAGTGGGCTTCGCAGCAGAGTCCCTGAGCGGGAGGGACGAGGCTACAGCAGACGCTGCGCTGCTCGAGGGTACCCCTTGCATCGAGTTCTCCCGTAGTCTCCGTCTCAGCCGCGTCGTCAATTCCGAAGTCCTTCAGGACTTCGCGGATGGCGAGATCGCCATCGATCACCTCGTCACTGCGCTTGCTCTTCGGGTAGCAAGCGCAGATGGTATAGCCAGGGCAGCCATCGCGGGGGAGACAGCGACCACCCTTAGGGTTGCCCTGTCGCTCACAGACTTTGTTGCAACCATCGTTACCTCCCGCGAGGCAGGAGAGCGAGTTGTGGCACAAGGCCTCGGCCAAGGACGAGCAGACAATGAAGGTCGCAATAGCACCACCGAAGAACCGCATTCTGAAGGGTGTCTAAATTCCAAGATTGATTAATTCCCACTGAATGATCAAGTTTGGCTGGAATGCTTGGTCCCCTTACACTTTGGAGTTGGATGGAAAAAGGCACGTCAAGTGGATGGATGTGAGTTTCTTGATGATCAGGTAGGCAATTGACTCGTGGTTTTTGAGCTGTTGATGATTCTCAACCCAGCAGACTCCTAACCTGTATTTATATCCATCTTTCCCCAGAAGTTGTGTATCCCCGACCTCGTTGATCTCGTGTTCCTCGTGTTCAGCCTCCGAAGGGATAACCCTAAGTGTGCCTCCAGATGTGCCACCACGCCAGGGATTTCGTTGAACGGGAGAGATCTTCATGGAACACGAGACGTCTGTGTCATGAAAAAGAGTCGTTGAGACAGGCAGCAATGCCTATCCTATGCCAGTGATCCAATGTTGTTTTTCTTGGCCGATTCAATGTGTATTCCTTACGTATCTCAATGCTCGTATTCTAGGCTCGGCCGTCTCGGCACGCAGATCCACCAAAGCCACTCCCGGCCCCCCAGACGATAAGGCTGGCAAGGATCGACGCCTGGCTGAAGCTTTATTTCAAGAATAGCAACTTCGTATAATTGATGTTCTACCGTGATGCTCTCCAGCTCAAACAATAAACATGCTCATACGAGGTACACGAGCACGAACCCCGCGAACCGCAGATCACTATTCGAAACTGCCGATTTGCCATCATCAGGGAAGACTGATCCAATTAAAAAGCATTAACTTTCTTCAGCCTTCCACCGACAAGAAAGATCTGCAAGACTATTTAAGGAACAGAAGTCTCGATTTAGTACCGCCTGCCTGAGTAGGTAAGGGATAGGAGGCAATTCCCAAATACCGTCCGGCCACACAACACGAATGAGCCCTAAACAGCCTCGGGATTGCCCAAACGAGTTGCATTTTACGATTGGTCCTGATGATGAATATCTTACAGACCCACTGACCAAAGATCTCCGTCTGTTCGAGTCGTCGAGAAACACCCGTAGCTAGGACAATGTTGCACTTCCGGACAGCCCCTTGCATGCGGGCAAACACATGGTCGAGGAAGATGATACGTAAGAAAATCATACTGCAAATCGACGACAACACAGAACCGGTTGGGCAGCAGTAATTTGACTCGCTAGGAGTGACTAAACAGGCAGGTCCAGTTGGGCGGGTTCGCAAACTCATGAGTTTGCATTTCCTTCCTGTGCCTTCATCTCGTATGGACTTTTCTTCTCTGCCTCCTTTTTACCTCACAAATTGGTTAACGCCAAGTCCCCAACAGCGGCTATTAGTGCTGCTAGTGGAGCCTATCTTCCCGTATGGCCGACAAGGTAGAGTCTCAATAAGGCGTCTGAAGACTTTCACATTATTGATTCTGGTCGCAGGGTAAAGTAGATAAGGCGAGGTATGGTAAGAGTCAACCTTGTGCCTATATCGGGAAACGCTAATCACAGCATATGCAACAATTGCAATGTCTGACAGAGCATATAAACGTGATATGGAAAGGGGAGAGTGCCTAGGGCAGCGTCTGGTGCCTGACGAAGAAGCTACGTCTCATATACGAGGTCATTCATTGCTAAGGAAAACAAAAGCAGAAAGAGAACCTGGGCAAAGCAGGACATAGGAGGAAGAAAGACGGAACCAAATACAGTTTTTCTATAACCATGGGCTTATGCTACGTTTAGAGTCAATATTAGCGGAAGACCTCTTATCGAAACGAAGCGTCAGGGAAAAGAGCATGGGCAATACCAGATAAACATATCCATCAGAGGTAGCTTGAATGCGCGCAAGGAATTCCGCATTCTGTCCATTTGCTATAGTGTTCCCATTTCTATATTCACAATTATGTTGAACTAAGTGTATCCACATAGAAAGTAGAGCCCATGCCGGCGGAGAATTTGCGGAAAGTGTCCGACTCCAATTGTAAAGAAACCATCCAGACATCTAACAGATATCACTATGGAAACCTGTCTACTGCGCCTACACGCGTTCTAATTGTTGCAATCTTCAATCATGAGTCGGTTTCCTCCACAATCGAATTACTTCACGCCACCCGTTTGACTAAAGAATGGGCTTGACACATAGAAAAGGTCTTTCTGAAGAGCGGCCTTCGGGTTCGGATTCAGGAGGATCTTGGCGGGCACCAAGTAGCGATCGCATTCGATCCTGGAATATGGAATTCTGCATCAACCTTCCCACCCAGTTTCGAATCTGCCTTATCGGAGAATCGGGCGTCCGCCTCGCCCTCGAAAGTTGACTCTGGGCCTTTGATCCAGTTTCTGCCACTTGCGATGCAGCTATCTCGCATAGCGTCGGCGCTCTGATTGATCATGCCATGCCAGAATTCACCTTCACCAGGGCCCACAAACCCTGCGCGCTCGAGCATCATGAGAGCACTGGCAACCCAATCCTGACAATTCCCCACACCATACTCTGGGATGTTGGATGCGTCCTCCCCGAATTTGGAGAGGGCACGGGCCACTAGGTCCTTCTGCTGGAGTGAAAAGGTGCCAAGTTCACAAGGGCCTCACAGTACCGGATCTTCCATTGGTTGTGATCGTGGATCATAGACGAAAATCAGTATCGTTTGGGTTGCGGATGTGGTACATCTCACAAGTGGACGAACCCAGTTTATAAATGGCGATGCCCATGTGAGACGGACTGTCACCCAAGGCAGCGTCACCTCGACCGTACACATTTACGGATATCCCATAGGTAACGAGCCTCGGAGTATTCGTGTCCATATTCACAACCCTTCCCTACACTGACGGAAGAATGGGGTGACAAAAGCTTTTTTCTGTGAAGGAAACCGGAAGTTGGGTTGAAAAAAACACCGACAATAAACTGTTGCCTCGGGCAGAAACATGGGGGTAGGATCTAAACATAGAAACCAAGGTGGGTTAAGCGCCAGGGCCAAGTTACGGCGACCCTCTTTGTCCCGCCCCGCCATCGACAGGGCTGAGCGCGAACAGTATCAGCCCCTCGACCACTTCCACCTTGGTATTCAGGGTGGCAGCTTTGGTTAATGCTCTGTATTCTTGTTAAATCAATCCTGCCATGTCTATTTCGTCGGATATCCCGTTGACCAAGCAGATACAAAGTCTACAGGAAAGTGTAAAGTCACTTACCGCTGAAGCAAGGTATAGCGAGATATGGGGCACTGATCTGAATGATGGCCAACCAGGGACCGTGCAGACTATTATACGGAAGGTACACAGTAGATGACCTGCTTGTGAAGAGATCTCAAGGCTAACGCAGAAACAGTTTTTACAGCACCACTCCATCATTCCTTCATTGCAGGTTCCGAGGGCCCGCTTCTCACTCTCCAAGACCCTAGAATGGAGGCGCCGATCTAATCCACCGGCAGGAATAGAGAAGGCTAAATCAATCTTATCCGAACTAGGCCTACTCTATATTACCGAAAATCGTGGGAACTATGTTTTGTGGGCCACCATCGATGAGATGGTCTTAAAAGGATTCTCCCCGTTGCACGATGACCTCTCAACATCTGCTGGAATTAAGAATCTTGGGGTCGCCGTAATGGAACTTCTTGCCACTTTGCTGCTCTCCCAGCCTACTGTGATTGACCGGGAAACCAACCAGGCAGCAAGTTGTGTCCTTGAATTCCGGCTACAACAGAAACCGGGAGGGCGGAAAGGATACGGGTCGTTTCGAGGCAAGGTCCAGCAGGCGCTCGGCGATTTGATTGCACTGATCCACTCGCACTATCCCGGCCTTCTTGAGAAGACATACATTGTCCACCCATCACATGAATACCTCGCGAGCTTGGATGTTCCCGAATACCTCTTACGGAATACCACCCTTTTACAAAAGCCAGAGGACCTCGCCTTGTACCTGGGCCCGGATATTCCACCAAAATACGGAGGACATGGCAGATCGCTCTCCGAAGTAAACTGTATTGAGCCACTCTGCCTTGACTTCGAGGACCAGGAGAACCGGGAAAACACTCCAGAAGCCAACAGTAAAGGCGACCGCTCAACCGGAGACAACGAAACGGTGCGTGGGCAAGCTCCAAATGTTCTGGAAACCACCGACACTCAGGAGTCCCCGGCATCCCCTGAAGAACCCCAACTGCGTTTAATCTACTCGGGGGACATTGGCCCGCCGACAATTATCTTGGATCCAGAAGATCTGAAGGATGCGGAGGACCTGACACCGGGCAAGATGGGCGCTCGTCTCGTCTGGGCCGACACAGACATGCTTGTGAAGTTCGGCCACGGCGTTCGTCTAGCTGAGGCCGAGGCTCTACATTTAGTCTCTAGACGTACAACCATCGCGGTGCCCAAGCTGCTGAGTGCATATATTCTTGACGGGACTGGATACATCATCATGTCATATGAACCTGGAACGCCTTTTGACCAGTACTGGGACAATGCTTCGCAGACAGAACACCGGAGAATCCTCGCCCAACTAACGGACTATGTACAGCAAATGCGAGCGATTGAGGGCAACTTCATTGGTGGGCTGGATCGCTCAGCTTGCCGAGATGGAGTTTTCGAAGGAGCCCATGTTGACTATTCCAAGCATAGCTACGGGCCGTACGAATCAGAGCAGAGCTTCAACGAAGGCATGGTCCAAGCCTTGCGAGACCGGCTTCCAGCAGAGCTACTTAAAAGCGAAAACGACCCGGAATCCAGTTTTTGGGCTAGTGAATATATCTTGCAGCAGACGGTACGAGGGCTAAAAGGACACAAAATAGTGTTCACACATGGTGACCTTCATGAAGGTAACATGCTGGTCCGATCGGATGGTACTGTGGTGCTATTGGACTGGGGACTATCTGGGTTTTGGCCTGAATACTGGGAATTCTATCGTGCCATGTTTAACCCACCGTGGAGGACGTCCTGGGACCGTATGGTTGAAAAGTTTATCCCCCCATACTATGTCGAATATGACGTGATGAAGAAAGTTTTCGGCACTATCTGGTATTGAAGGGATTTGGTGAACGCATACCTGCTTACAACGTGTTTGAGTAAACGCATTCAAATTCATATCGTACACCACATGACATCTATGAGTTGTTATATTGTAGTGGAGTCGTGTACGACTCGTGTACAATCTGAAACTTCCTCCGGGACAGCTGTCGGAACCTGATTGTCTGGTCCTAATTTCGGTGGGATGTCTTCTATCTCCTCCTACCATCCAGTTCCCGCCGTCCGCCATCGCATATTGTACAGATCACATGAGGTGCTGCGATGTCGAGGCCAATTATCGATTTATTAAATACATCAACGCACTTATTCTGACACGTTGGCGTGGTGACCTAGCCGCCGAGCAAGCATGCGGCCTATTAGGCGCCGGACGATCGTGCTCGTTTCACTAATCAGAGCGCAATACATGTCATGCCCGTTGCAGTCCAACAAAACACCACGTCCAATAATTATAATTAAATTCTTCCGGCGACCCGGCGTTTTGTAAGGCTGTAGCCAAGGAACCGCACTACTGTTTCTTGCTACCATTCGGAGAAATTGCCCACACTTTGAGCTTAGCGCTCTATATCGACGGAGATAGTCGCGAGCTGCTTCGGAACCCCTGTGGACGAAGACGACCCCATCTTCCCAGACCTGATCAAAGCCAAAACTCGACCGTTGGTAATTATCTTGGGATGCTCGGAAGCACAGTACGGCCCAGTGACCGCGAGTTCACCGTTGGCTGGGTCTGCGCTCTTTTCAAAGAATACATTGCGGCTCTGGAGATACTGGATGAGACTTACGATGATACCACCAAGAGTTCGCTGACCAGCGATGGCCGCAGCTATTATACTCGCGGTCGCATCGGAGGACACAAAATAGTCGTTGGCTGCCTGCCAATTGGTCGGTACGGCTTAGTGTCCACATCCACAGTGGCGGAGGACATGAAGATGAGATTTCCATCGATAAATCTAGGCTTCATGGTCGGAATAGGTGGTGGTATCCCGAGCGAAAAAAACGACATCCGTCTTGGGGACGTGGTGATTGGAACGAAGGTAGTCCAATATGGACTTGGTAAGAAAACACCGAGTGGATTCCAAGTCACTGGTCACACCTTCACGCCGGCGCCGATCCTTCTCCATGCAGTAACTGGACTGAAAACACGCCTGTTCGATGGGCTGGACCTTTCAGCATCCTTAGAGCAAATGGTGACAAAGGCTCCACCGATAAAAGCCACCTTCGGACGCCCTGAATCGCATACAGATCGCTTGTACAATTCTCGATATGTGCACCTGGATAACTGTGATTGCACGAAGGACGGGGCACACGATCCACTGAGTTTAGTTCAAAGGCCATCTCGCAGCAAGAATGAAGTCAAAGTCCACGACGGGATAATCGCATCTGCCGACCAGGTCGTAAAAGATGCCACAGCCCGAGATCAGATCGGCCACGAATTGGATGCTCTTTGTTTCGAGATGGAAGCGGCTGGTCTCAGCGATAGCTTGAAGTGGATTGCGATTCGCGGAATCTGCGACTATTCTGACTCACACAAGAATGATCGATGGCATGGCTATGCGGCTGCTGCCGCCGCCGTCTGTACCAAAGAGCTGCTGCTCACCATCCCGCCGGTTAATTCCACAGGTATGGAGCCTGTGGCTGAGCAGCAGCGATGGGCTGTTGACCGTGCAGACTTCGCGCGAGTCCTTGAAAAGGTGCCCTCTGGAATGGCGACGACCTTGCACAGTGCTCTTATTGGGGTCTGCCTCTTCCTGGCTATTGTTGGGCAATTGCTTTGGTCCTTCTACCTTTGGTTACTATCAGTGGCAGCGAACATTGACTCCCCTGATTTCAAACCTCCGATAAAAACGGCACAGCCAGTGCAGGGTCCTACACAGCAGTTCGGGGGCGCACCCATACATATCAACATCCACGTTGATCAGCCAGCAGTGTCTAACGCACGAAGGCAAAGTGAAGCAGATTGGATAGAATCCCCTGGTCAATCCCCGACAGCGTTTTCTACCGTGCAGTGGAACGGTGCAGGGAGAGAAAAGGTGTTGGGCAGTACCGCGGAACTTCTCCAAGGGGTCCGGACCCTGATGGGCAAAGAGATGGGCAGAAACATCTCTATAAGTATCCCACACCATACTGACGGCCCACTTTCGCCTGTCGACTCCAGCTGTGACCCGCTTGAGGGGGTACCTTGGCAATCACCAGATATGCCCTTTGAGAGGACAGACTCTGTATCCAGTGCATCCAAACCTCCAGTACCTCCACGTTCCAAGAAACCACGCGGATACGCCTCGAGGCGTAACACGCAGATTCCCGTCCCTAATTCCATGGCGAAAAGAAACAAACACGCAGCCGAACAGAAAAATAATAAATCCCCCGAGTCCGGTGAAGAAGTTCCAGAAATCGTGGCTCTGATCAATGAATTCCGAGGACGGGCATCGGTATGATGTGTGACGATCAATTTTAATTTACGAATTATGCACGGCGTCTTTTAATATTTTCCTTCATGTCTTCTACCTGTTAATCTGATTTCATTCCACTTGCGTGGCGGCTAACACACACAAACAAGCATCTCAATCACAATAATATCTAATCTAGCAACCATAATGACAATGAAACATTCTACCAGCAATCAGGGACAGAAACGCAAGTTTGAGCTGCTCAGTACAGTATCAAATCATCCAGAACGACGGAATTATATCATAAGCATCCGTCTATATGTCCAAGTCGTTCCTCCCGTATCAACCGTAGGGTATGCTAGCGCTGGTGAACAGCCACCAGCAGGTCCAGCTGCCTTCGGTGATTCTGGCCACTGAGGAACTAGGTTGTATACCAGAATCATACTTGGTCTGCGAGTAGAATTTACTAGTGTTTCCGAATGTAAAGCCCACCATCAGGCAAACGTGCATAGCAAAAGAGAAGATCAGCGGTGAGGATCTCTACGTGGCATCGTACCCAACTCATGCATCACGGAAAAGGTTTCCGTTGGTGGACTTGCTCTCGACATCAATAGAATGCTGCAAGTTCTCTCTAGGCCGGACCAACAGAGTGCAACTCTCCACCTCCAGGCCTTGTGCCCTACTTGGATCTCATGCTGTCCAGATATAAAACATATGACAATCCCACAACTCCTCATCCAGACGTGAATTCAAAGACAACGCTGTTCCTGCAACCAAAATAAGTCTTGCCCCCCAAGGCATGAATATTTCAGTCATCCTCAATTCCCCAGTGATTGGATTTCCAATAATCTTCCAAATAGATGACCGCACATGGCATGATGAAGGGATGGGGAGGAGAGCTCGACGGCCTGTTTCATAGCGACGAGGACATGGACGCCCGGATTAAGGTTCTTGGCTCATTGTCCCAATCTATTGACGATATTTTTTGGCAATGGATTTAGAGCTCCAGTACGAGAATGTGAGCGATCTAAATGGCTCTTACACGGTTGACAACGCGAACTCCTATGCAGGCCCCACCGATGTACACATCACAGCTAAGAATGATGGAGGAAAGACTGTTTCCATCGTTGGCCCGGTCGGCGCGCCAACTCCTTCGAGGAAGGCTGTCACTGGTATTCTCCATTTCGATACTTTTATAAGAGATTGAGTCACGAGAAAAGCTTCATGAAGACCCGTAGGGGGTAGGTCAGAATGAAATTGGCTGGGGGGAAGGGCACGGTTCCATGCGAAGCGGGCTCTGACTGAGATATTATCAATCCCGACGATAGCATGACCCCATATTACCAGAGAGAGAGAGAAACAAAGAAGAAATAACGGACGCAAAAGTCTCAATACAAGCGTTAGCATAAGGTAATATTCTTAGCTCGGCTCATATGCGAACAGCCCAGGTAGAGTCCACAGCGAACGGAGCTTCCCGACAGAGGTAGCTCAAAAACAATCACAATCCGTAAGAGAGACTTAGCGCTGCCTCTGCAATAGTGTACAATATATCATGGCTAACACTCACCTAGCTATGCCACCTACTAGATACTGGTACTATAACCTTCCTATTATATCCCGGAGGACACGGTTCCGATACTTTCCCCACGTGGATTATCCTTGCCATCTTCCGTTCCATAATGCAGTAATGGAATAGACCACGGTATGTCAGGGACCTCTCGGATTGGATTGGACGAGTGGTGCTTATACTAGCCTCCTCGCCTGGGATGGGTCAGGGTCTGGCCAGGTCTAGAGGGATTGCTCAAGTCTCACTCAAAGAAGCTTTTTCTCTGGTCAGCCTTGCCTGGTAGCAAGCAAGCAACCTATCTACATGTACATACATCCAGCCATTGCTGAGATAGGTATCATCACATTTTCTTGGACTTCAAACTATCAAATTTCATGTGCGATGGACCACCATTACACATCATTTGCAAGAAAATGCATCGTAGTATTGATGAGCAATGGACAGGCGCTAAGACAGCACTAATCTCCAACAGCGGGCCATTCCCGGGAAGTATCGTCGATTCTTCCGAGTGCCCCAGACCGTTAAGTGTCCATTCTTCACAAATTAGGGTCGTAGCTAATTTCCCCTGCCGTGGTGGTATTGGTTGGCAAGAACTGCCACCCGTTAAAAAGCCAGATTAGGCAAGGTTCGGCCGCCAAGAAGGGGTCTTGTCAGAATTGTATAATCACTGGTAAGCGTTATCGGTCCCACTACGACCATCCATGCCAAGACATCTGGGAGCATTCTGAAGGCTGACGGAAGGATTATACAATAGTTGATAATGATAGCTTGAAGTGTTTCGAAATTACCAATGCTATACACATGCTTTGTAGGCACGTCCTAGCGTCGGGATGTAATTTCAGCATACTATATAAACAGATGGCTTTTCCTCGCTATAGACATTCTATTACCAGGCAGCAGCAGATCCAGTGAGCAACAATAGCTTTCTATCACTCAAGACAAACCCAGCAAAATGCAGCTCAGCAAGATCTTCCAGACCATCGCGCTCCTCGGAGCCTCTGTTCCCGCTCTGGCGTGGAACAGAATTGACAAGGACAACGCTGTATGTCTCACTTGCTCCTCATGAGAAATCGTACTTGTCACGCTCTTGCTAACGGTCCATGTCAGGCCCTGCTCGTCATTGATCACCAGGTCGGTCTTGCCCAGCTGGTGCGCGACTACAGTACCAATGACTTCCGCAACAACATGCTGGCCCACGCCGCTATCGGAAACGTCTTTGACCTCCCCACCGTCCTGACCACCTCCTCCGACACCGGTCCCAACGGTCTCCTGCTCAAGGAGATCCGGGATATGCACCCCAACGCCACCCTGGTCCAGCGCCAGGGTGAGGTCAACGCCTGGGACAACGAGGAGTTCCGTGCTGCCGTCCGGGCCACTGGCAAGAAGCAGCTGATCATTGGTGGCATCGTCACTGAAGTTTGTAAGTCTGCCTTCTTCACACATATCGATTGCAGCGGTAGCATTTGCTAAAGGTTGGATTGGATAGGCACTGCATTCCTCGCTCTTTCCCTCGTCGACGAAGGATACGAGGTCTTCGCCAACACCGAGGCCAGCGGTACTTTCGATGCCCGCCTGGCTGAGGATGCCAACCGCCGCATGGAGAAGGCCGGTGTCACTCTGATGGGTATCTTTGGTATCGTTACCGATCTGATGCGGGATTGGAGAAACACCCCCGGCTTGACCGAGGTGCTTCCTATGCTTGACAAGTACGATATCACCATTGTTATTTTTCCTATGCCAAAGTACTGACATGACGCTTCTCCAGGTACCAATTCGCTTACGGTCTGGTTGCCCGCCACCATGCTGGTGCGATTGAGAATGGAACTCTGGCTCCCGTCGAATCGACCTTGATCTAACTTAGATCCGAGGTCAACTAAGGCAAGAATTCACGGCAGGGTCATTACAATAGACTAGTTAGTCTATGTGGAAAGATAGGGAACATCCATTGTTCCTGGGGGATAGATGAGAGATATAGGCACGGACTACAGATAGAAGCTTAGGAAGTATAATTTAATAGAACTATTTCCCGGCACGTCCAGGTTCAGCTTCTTTACCTACTAACCCTTCCACAAAATCCATTTCTCGTCACGTTAGTTAAACAGTTTATTCCTCCGCCATATAAATACAACCATGTAAAAGAAACGACCCTTCTCCGCGTCTCGATCTTCTAAAAGTCGGCCATATGCCTCAAACAACCATCCACCCGGCCTCACCCAGGAAATCGAAACAAATTGCTAATGATCTTACTCTGAGTCTGAAGAACACACAAAAAGATAAGAGCGCAATTTATGGATCTCAATTCATCAATAAAATAAACTATAGAACGCTTAGCCCGAATAACGCCTTAATACCATCAAATAACAATCCATCACAAGTACACCATGCAGAACTATGCCACTCCATGCCTTCCCTTTTTCGCCTAAAGGTACACCAGGTGTATTGATTTGCCAAGTAAAAACAAACAACATCGACGTGCACTTAAGTATGTGTCGCGAGGTATAAAGCATACTGTCTTTGCCAATTTCAGTTGTCCTTCTTCCAGCCCTCCCATCTGGCAAAGTCGGCGGTATCCAGATCAAACAGATCCAACATGCGACCAACACTCTGATCCACGAGTTCATCGACAGACGCTGCCTTGATATAATATGCTGGTACAGGCGGGAAAATGATAGCGCCAGCCTGCGACACAGAAAGCATATTGCGAAGATGGATATCACTCAAGGGAGTTTCTCTGGCGACAAGTACCAGCTTTCGGCGCTCCTTCAGCATGACATCTGCAGTCCGGGAGATCAGATCCTCGCAGAAGCCGGAGTTGATGGCGGCCAGGGTCTTCATGGAGCAGGGGACAACGATCATGCCGTCGGTCTTGAAGGACCCGCTGGATACGGGCGCGGCCATGTCATTGATATTGTGGACATAGTCTGCCAGAGCGCGCACGTTTCGGGGATGATAGTCTGTTTCGTATTTTATGGTTGCCTCGGCCCATTTGCTGATGACGAGGTGGGTTTCGATATTGAGTCGGCGGAGGGCGATGAGAACTTTGATTCCGAGAATCGATCCTGTGGCTCCGGTCATGGCTACCACGATTCGCTTGCGTCGACCGCCGGTTGGTACCGGAGGCATTGGGGTAGGAGTGTGCTCGACTGGTGCGGACTGTGTGGTTGATTGGGTTTCGGATGCGTTGTCAGGGCTATGACGGCCGGAGTTTGGCGTATTGGTGCCAGAAGGAAGGAGAGAGGATAGCATTGTGAGATTCTGATCAACGGTACCAAGATGATATGTAGGTCTGAATATGAAGTGGGTCAACAGAAAGCTTGATATTGAGTGTAGTAGTAGTTGTGTTAGTCTTCACTTTCGTACTGATGAGATGATCATCCGAATGCACTGCGAGGTCTGTATATTTATAGCAAACACCGGATGTTCCTTGCCGCAAAGGCAAATGACAGGTAGGAAAACCTGGGAATGGTTCGGGATCCTCTTCTACCAGTTCATCAAAAGCTCCCTAATATCGGCAACCCGGAGATCCTGGATCACATATCAATCTCCGAGCCACCGAGTTCCGAAACTGTGGATAAAGTTTGGGAGAGGGCGTTTCCAGTACTCTGGTTCCTTACATCATGATATCCCTGGTGGGTCCCGGCGAATGCCCTGGAAGACTTTTCCGAGCCTCCGAGCTTGATGCACGTAACTCATGTCCGAGGCCCCGAGCAACCCTTCGGCAGGATCAAACAAGCATTTGAGAAGATTCCACGCTGAAGTCTAGAAGAGGTATCATCCACTACCGAATCGGGTAATGCACAGCTGCCGATGATCCGTACAGGGCGAGATGCCGGTGTATAAAAGTCCAGGGGGCATCCTGGCAGTAGCCGACAGACCAACACCCACACAAATATATCGAATAACAGTCTAAACTTGTATCCTACCATCTAAACCAGGAAAGCAAATATGGCCGCGTCTACCGAAGTCGATCATTCCTTCCGCGCTTTCGTCGAAGCCCTGAAGGCCGATGATGACCTGGTCGAGATCAACACCGAAGTCGACTCGAACCTGGAAGCCGCCGCGATCACTCGTCTGGTCTGCGAGACCGACGATAAAGCCCCCCTCTTCAACAACCTCAAAGGCATGGGAAAGAATGGCCTGTTCCGTATCCTGGGAGCTCCTGGCTCCCTCAGAAAGTCCAAACGAGACCGCTACGGCCGTCTCGCCCGCCACCTGGCCCTGCCCCCTACCGCCAGCATGAAGGAGATCCTTGACAAGATGCTCTCCGCTTCCCAGCTACCTCCCATTGACCCTAAGATTGTTGAAACCGGTCCGGTGAAGGAGAATTGTCTGGAAGGCGATGAAATCGATCTCACAGCACTCCCCGTGCCAATGGTGCACAAGTCCGACGGTGGAAAATACTTACAAACATACGGGATGCATGTCGTGCAGTCTCCTGATGGGACATGGACCAACTGGTCGATTGCCCGTGCGATGGTCAAGGACAAGAACCACCTGACCGGGTTGGTGATTGAACCCCAACATATCTGGCAAATCCACCAAATGTGGAAAAAGGAGGGCAAGGAGGTCCCATGGGCCCTATGCTTCGGAGTTCCTCCTGCCGCTATCATGGCCTCGTCGATGCCCATCCCGGACGGTGTTACTGAGGCTGGGTACGTTGGTGCCATGACTGGTCGTGCCTTGGAGCTCGTCAAGTGCGACACCAACCATCTCTACGTCCCCGCGAATGCAGAGATTGTGCTTGAGGGTACCCTCTCCATTACTGAAACTGCCGACGAGGGCCCCTTCGGTGAAATGCACGGCTATGTCTTCCCCGGCGATAGCCACAAGTGTCCCGTTTACAAGGTTAACAAGATCACCTATCGAACCGATGCCATCCTTCCCATGTCTGCCTGCGGTCGTCTTACTGACGAAACCCATACTATGATTGGCTCCTTGGCCGCTGCCGAAATCCGCAAAATCTGCCAGGTGGCCGGCCTCCCCATCACCGACACTTTTTCCCCCTTCGAGGCCCAGGTTACCTGGGTGGCTCTCAAAGTCGACACCACCAAGCTTCGTCAAATGAAGCTGACACCGAAAGAGCTTCAAAAATGGGTCGGAGATGTAGTGTTCAACCACAAGGCCGGGTACACCATCCACCGCCTGGTCCTGGTTGGCGATGATATTGATCCATATGAGTGGAAAGATGTCATGTGGGCTTTCGCCACGCGGTGTCGGCCTAACGCAGATGAGACGTTCTTTGAGGACGTCCGGGGGTTCCCGCTTATCCCTTACATGGGCCACGGCACAGGTTCGCCCACCAAGGGTGGCAAGGTTGTTTCTGACGCTCTGATGCCCACGGAGTATACCACAGGTGCTGATTGGGAAGCTGCCGACTTTGAGCACTCCTATCCAGAGGAGATCAAGGCAAAGGTTAGGGCCAACTGGGAGGCATTGGGATTCAGAAGACAGGAATAAATTATGTGTACATTATATTAGACATATAAACAGCAGGTTCGCTGAGTAGTAGAATGAGTAAACGATGATAGTTTGTTGTCAGAGAGAAACTTTATAGGCAATTGGGCCTTTTCATCCACATACTTTAGAGAAATAAAGTTATCGCGCAACACGCCTGTTCAGGAACCTCGGAGGGAAGGGTGTGCTGACTGGCGCAAAGAGCTGAAGTGACAGGTTACGGGAGGGTAGCCAGAGGATGACCGCTACCATCGTAGAGGCCCCCAGTCCTAGATGAAGCGAGTTCCATGTTTTGCGCACCGTATAAGACTTGGTGACTACCCGTTCGCAGGATGAAGGCATAACGTCTTGTATTCTTACGGGTGTAACGGGTTGTTTCGCCTAATTGCCAGAACATCAATCTGATGGGTTAATAATATCCGTAACTCGGTATCGGCATTGAATATAAAGGTCGCTATAAGTGCAGGCTATTGTAAAAACGCATTGTCTTCGGAGATATTGAATAATGGAACTGTTGACGACGTCAGTACATGGAAACTGAGACACGCGGGGACACCTACCGTTCATTATAGAATCCAAATAGGTCAACGGGGAGAAATCCGTTGTATTATCTAGCATACCATCCGGAAAGCTGTCTTTTATCAATCACCAGATCCTACAGGCGAGGTGGAACCGACTTACTAGTTTCCATCCCCCGTCGTCAACCCTCCACCAAGGTCGAATCCGGGCATAAACATTGGATCTTGAGCTACAAGCTCATTGACATTATGGTTCAAGGGGGGACAAGTAGTTTGGCCTTCCCCTTGCGATCCATTACCCTCTTGACCAGCTGTATTAAGCGGCGCGTTCCGCACAGCATTTCTCAGGGCCACAAGGGCACGGATATGTCGCGCAGATAACCACTGGCCATCGTCCGATCCGCCGATAGTGTCCTTCCTTGCGGGATCCGCCGTTGAGAACACCGTGATCACTCTCTGCTGCAAGTCTCGACATTCATCGTCATTCCGGGTTTCCTGCCAAATGCAGAGGAGCAATGTAGAGCTCAAGACTGTGTGTACCATTGACCAGGTTCGCAATGGCACAATGCTCAAAGTTTGGAAGTCCAAGAACGCATTCGATGCACTCACAAGGCTATCCTTGGCTCGGAGTCGTAAGCGGTTGTAACGAGGGTCATCGGAATGGCTAGGGGAGCTCCGGATGGTCGGCCGACAGAGCACTGATACGCAGAATGACATATGCATCCGAAGGGCGAGGTGCTCCTGGTGCTCCTGTAAGCAATGGCAATGTTCTCGGGAGAGTAGATGGGGCTGGGCACGGCTGTAGACATTATCTAACGCGCTCAGTAACTCGGTGGCGCGCGTCAAATCCCAATGCTCAGGCTCCTGAGCCTTGGCGATATCGAGGCCCAACTGACAAAGGAAGTGCATCACATCCGTGAATGACAATGCCAATGCAGGTGTTGGATTAAGGCTCTGCTGCCAACCCGAGATGGAGACTACTGGTGGACGGTCATAGCAGAGGCTCAATAAGCAGTCCTGCCAAACAGTCATGGACCTTGACGGGTTAGCGCATGTTTTTTACTGTGACTGGCTCTCACCCTACCATAGCTTCTTGGCCTTTGAGCGGACACTTTCTGGTAAATGTGAAGTGCCGCGTTGGGTGTGTAAGCCGACAGCTTGGGCTAAGCGGACGGTGGTCCCAAGCAAGGCCCAGGCTGCATCAGACTGGCCATTGTTTTGCAACATGTTCCCCAAAATGAGCATAGCTTGGACAATGTCTAGAGAGGGCCTGAAAAGAAAATTCGCCAATCTCAGGGCCTGGAATGATCGACGTGCTGTTCACCATTAGCGGTTAGCTCCAGTAAAAGATGGCCGTAGTACCATACCGAGATCCTGGCATACTTCCGAGCGTTGTGGGTTTTCAAGATCTGAGAAGTGAGCACCGGAAGCCAATGTCGCCAAAAGGAGGCTGATATGACCAATGGACTTGTCGGAGGACCAGCGCTCCGAGATTCTGTTTGGGTTACTCAGTTCCCCAGACGCAACCGACTCCAGAAAGGTGCATATGGAGGACTCCACCCCATCAATATCTACCAAAATTGGATTGAAAGGGTGTGCCGACAAGCGATGGTGGTGAAAAAACCTATTCCCCGTTAATGCCCGCTCGTTCTTAGGTCACTGGCGGAGGTCGAACGTACTTCAAGATCTCGCTTCTCTGCGGGAGTATGTCCAGAAGGGCACACCATCGATCCGTGGGAGTCTTGATATCAAGGAATGGATAATACTCGTATGTGTTCTGCAGGCCCAACACAGACCCTGCCTCTCGGGCAATGGAGCCGTCGGGGTCTTGGAGCCGGAGAATGGAGACCACGGAGTTCTGCCCAGAGAAGACATAATCAGACGAGCGATCACGGCCGGTCGACCCCGAACGCGGAGCAGCTCCCGGTGGTGAAGTCGCATCCAGCGGTTGCGCTCGCTCGGTTTCCGCTCCATTCAGTGCCGACGGGGATGGAGTCAGCGGGGAAGTAATGCCGGCCGGTCGATGCGACGGCGATGCATGAGCGGGATCCACCCTCCCCGACCGGGGAAACGAGTGTCGCGACGAGTCCTTCGACACATCATAGGCACAGATATGTGGATGACCACGCTTTTGACATGTTCGGCAAGGATGACCGCTATCGCACTTGACTTTACGCTGGCGACAAGGATAGCAGGCCTTAGCCTCGCGCTGCTTCCGCTTTAGTTGCAGCACACGGTCGATCTCTTGGCGCTGCACATCGGGACTGCGGTGATTCATGTCACTTGTTCACTCATTCATTGATTCATTCAGTTGGTCATGGATTGGTACACTCGGGTAATGAAGAGTGAAAAGTGAAGGAAAGGTTCGCGGTCTTCATTCATGTCGGAGCCATGCTCAACTCTAAAGACTAGAGGATCCACTCCCGATCCGGAAACTCGGCATTTCCCATCGGGATCCCGTGACATCACATGGCGATAAGATAGGAGGTTGGAGGTTTGCGATGTTTGCACTTTCTAGCAAATGTCTATCCCGAAGGACACAATGAACATTGACATTCGATCACTGACAGTACACCGGAGACTAAAGAAAAACAGTCTTACGCTTGAAGCCCCACTCGGCAATATGCCGGTATTGATTGTCTTCTGGCCCAACTGGTCGAGATGCCATTAGCGCTGTATGTTTACCCAGTAGTTCATTTACCCTCGTACCTATTTACCACAATGACGTCAGTGCCCGCCAGTGCGATGCCACGCATTTATAACCAAGGCGCTCGCCGCGTCTCAAGGAATGCCCAACCCACCATTTTCGTCAAGCTCGCTCTCGCTTTTGCTGAGCCACACAATTGATCGCCCAAGATGGCCTGGTCGATTACACTCCCCCGAGAGGTCTTTGCCTCGCCAATCCTTTCCGTCGCAGCTCCTACGACGGTCGGGATGTTAATCGGTTATCTGGTCAACCGTGAGTTACACCTGAGAAGGCCAATAATCAAGGGAGCGACCGTATTAAAACTCTATACAGGCACAGGAACAACCAAGCGAACCTACAAATCACTTCAAAAGCCAGCCTTCTATCCGCCCACATGGCTATTCGCACCGATGTGGACGGCCCTCTACGGGGCCATGGGATACGCCGCTCACCACGCGACAGTGGCCGGACATAGCGCCCTAACCTCCTCCAGCGCTGCACAGAGCTTGGGAACGAATTGGGAAACGCTTTACACATCACAGCTCGTGCTCAACTACCTCTGGATGCCCCTCTTCTTTGGGCTCCGTCGCCCTGCCTGGGCATTGGCGGATATCTTACTGTTGGGAGGGAACGTGGCGGCGCTGATGCAGACCTGGTGGAAGACGGATCGCACGGCCTTTTGGCTCATAGTCCCCTACGCGGGGTGGCTAGCATTTGCGACGTATCTCAATGCCGGTGTGGGTGTATTGAACAAATGGACCATCGGAGAAAAGCCAAAGGATCAGTAAATAGATTATGTGGTTCTATATTGTTACCAATTTGATATTTGCATCTTCCATAACTGCTTTTGTCGCTGTATCTTCCACCTCCAGGCTACGTCTATTGATATATATCAGTCATGCAACGCCAGGCAAGGCTAATAACAAGAATGGATGATGCGCGATCCTAAACGTCAAGTAATCTAGACTCCTAGCGACTCACTCTACTCTCCTCTCCCTTTTCAGAAATATTGACAAGTGCCGCACTTTTTGCTCAAATTCTGCTATCGTCTCAGCGGCACGCCGCCCATCGAACTCGCGCTGATAGCTATCCAAAGCATTTTCAACCGTAGTCCGGAGGATCTTATCCGTGGTGCCCACCCTCGCGGTCAATAGGCAGACCAGCATATAAAAGGACCCCAGGGGACGAAAGGCTACCTGAGTGTCCGATAAAAGAAGGATCTCCTGCGCGAAATAAGTCGATTCCACGGGGAGCGTAGGGTCGTCTGGGTCCAGCGCCTGGGCCAGGCAGTTCAGGATAATGGCCACAGTAAGGCCAAGTCCATACATACGTTGATACTGCGCATGAAGGAGTGTGCACATACGATACATAGACCCGGTGGCAAGCGGCGTCTCGACCGAAGCTGTTCTGGTTTGTAATGTCGTCAGGATTCCCTGGTAGCTCTCATAGAGGTCCCGAGTTTCGTATCGTAGTGACTTAAACTCAGCATCACCCGGCATTGTCGCTGCAATGCGTTCTCGGATCCCGGGGACTCGTGCAAGACAGCGCATCATCTGCCCGTCTGGCGTGCCCGCATCGAGATCGCTTTCTACCAGGCGTTCGTACTCCTCACCGCTAAGGTCAATGCTGTTGACGAAAAGGCCTTCAAAGAGCTGTTGCTCGATTCAGTAATCACCCCCCAGCTTTTGGATCATGGGAGCCATACCACAGGCCCGCGCAACGTCAGGAGTAGCTTGGCCTCGAAGTCATCTCGGGGTCGGAAATTCTTCCGCGCCTTCAGAATCTGTGCGGCCCCCTCTGCATGGCCCGATTGTATTTTACCGTGGCTGGGGACGAAACCCTATCCATTGTCAGCCACTACCTCATTCCATAGTATGGGGAATTGCGAACCTGGCAGAGCAGGAGTATCGTAACCGCGCATAGTGTGTCGGTGCTAGCCGCCTTGACCGGGTCGTCCAGATAGGTACGAAGGGTATTTAAAGCACGGCCGTACTTACTGAACGCCTGGACGGACAGCTTCCGGGTGGCGCAGAAATCCGAATGCATACATATCACTGCATCCGCGGCGGCGTCCAGGGCCTCATTTGTGCCCAGGCGAGCAGGCACATCCCGCAAAAAGCCCCCATACACCCAGGCAAGATTCCATCGGATGTCCGTCGACGGGTGTATAGCTCGGACAAAGGCTTGACTCAATACCGTCAGAGCATTGCTTGGGTGTGGGGAGACCCGGCAGACTTCTGCACGCTCCTCGTCGCTACTAGAGCTTGTCTGGTCCTTTGAAACTTGTCCTTTAAGCTTTCCCTTCTTTACCATTACCGGGATGGCGTACTCTTGCTGGAACTTGAATCTCCGCTGTCCGGATCCAATACATGGTATGTTTAGTCGGAGACATCGTGAACAGGTTGGTTGCTTCTCATCGCACTAGAGGCGAGACATAAGACGCTGATGGTAAACCGGGAGATAGATGCACCACATACCTTTTTCTTCTGGCGACGACAGCCTTCACACGCCCGTCCTGATGGTACTCCGGGCATGGTGTTCGCTGTCAGCTGCGCATCGTGGGGGGAACGGCTCGGTATCGCCGATAAGATATAGCAGTTGCCAAGCCTGAGCCCGTCGCTTGGCAAGGCTGACATTGAGGCTGTGAGCGTGAGTACCGTTCAGCTCTATAGTCTGTAAGATTTAAGGATCATCCATGGCTTGACTTTTAGCCAATAGTACCGTCCGCGGGGCAAAAGAAAAATAACAAGCCAAGGCGAGGGATTTTTTTATTTTCAAATTTTGAATACAATTGGTCTCCGTCTAAATCATGCTAAAATTCTTGATACATGAGCCTGGGTATTTCATTCCAAAAAGAATCCACAAAGATGCCATACAGTGTGTTTACTAATTTGTTCAGACACAGTGATAAAATGAAAAGGTAAGGAACAGAAGAAAGAAAGAAATCCGGTAGAAATGAAACAGACGCTGGAAAGGCAGAGAATAAATAGAACAAGTATACGAATCCAAAGAAAAGAAGATCACCACAAGGAATGTTCCGTCAACTGTAGAGAGCAATGTCTCAAGCAGTGACAGCGACATTGGTGCTCCGCATATGCTGCAAGTATGCGTAATACATAAAGGACACGCCCGTGAGCATCAACTCATCCATGGCAACTCCACTGGTCGCCGGCGGGATCAGAATGTCCAATTGACCCAGCTTGCGCATGGAGAAAGAGGAATGCGGCTTGAACCTGGCCACGGTGACGTTGTTTTGGTCCACACATTCAAAATTGAGGAACTTCCATGCACTGGTGTCCTTCCATGTAAAGAATGTGTTGGGGAACGCCAGCGACTCATATGAGGTTGCGTTCTTCATGGAGCCGCGAACGCGCAGATGGATATCACGGCCATGAAGCTTGATATCAATTTCTGGCTTCAAAGCCCGGAGATGCACCGTGGCGATGGTATGGTTCGTTGTGGCATTCTTGAATTCCATTTGTGGGTTTCGGGTGTGCAGGTCGGCCGTATAGAGCAACGAGCCTTGCCCAAGATCATTGATAGCTAGATGTCTTGATGTCCAACTGGAGAACTCGACTTTCAGAGAGCGCACGGAATTCTGAGTGTGATGCGGCTGGGGAGGGTACTGAGGGTTGCCCATCATTGGTTGCGGATAGGGCTGGGGAGGGTATCCATATGGCGGGTTTGCTGGCATCGGCTGAAACTGTTGAGGATATGGAGGAGGTGCTGGTCCAGGGTGACTAGGATGGTACTGCTGTTGCTGCGACATTTTATACTTGTGAGATGAGAAAATCGGGTGCGAGAACCCTCTGGTTGTCTCATCGGTTGGATAAGATGACATGGTGTTCTGTTTGTAGAGTGTAGAGTATTGAAATGGTCTGGACAATGAATGCAGGTTTATGGTAGGAGATTGGTAGTGTAGAAGACTGATTGTAGATTGAAGATGCACTTGAGACTGTCGTTGTTCTCCTATGTTTATATCTACTTTGGGCTCGAATCTCACCCTACAGCGGCGCTAACCTCTTTTGGCGCCACCCAGCGCTCCAACACGAAGGCCATGGCTGATTGGTCGCCGATCCCGTGGCTTAGACCCATGTCTTCTGTATGATTGGCCTTTTGCCCGCTAAGCATGCATTCTGATCTTTTTTTATCCCCATTCGGACAGGGTTCCCCTCAGCCACCTGTCACTTTGAGCCCTATGACGCGGTGCAGGGCGATGCACTATCACACCATAGATAATAACAAAGACCTCTCAGTTAGTTCGTCTATCGCTAGCTCCATCAAGCACGGCATCCTGATAAGACCCTGGCGGATTGGAACAGACCTAAGAGGGCTAGAAGTCTACAGTGTAGTAAAACACAATCATACTAATGTCAGCCATATTCTCTGGCTCCGTAGGATAGGGACATGAATGCATTGGCTTATGAAACACGTTATTATGCTGACCAGATCGCTAAACCAAGACCAACATTCCAAGGCACGCTGTTCCAGAGCACTGAGCGTGAGCATCTCAGCTTCTCAAGAGTACGCCCCACAGGGCGACATGCATCTGTAAAAGCACAAGGCTCAGCGTCATGAAGCACCGGATATTCCCGGAGGCGCTTTCGTAACTAGCATCGCTGAGAGGGCGTTGTTGTTTCGCGCAACAAGCAGGTGGCATCTTGGCCGCAGAATTGTCGCCACAGAAGGTGAATCCTACATGTGCGACGGTCCTGTCGGTGGAATATGCACTGGAGCAGAAATTATAGGTCTCCGCTGCCTCATGGGTCATGTAATATGAGCCACCAGAGACTCTGATCGGAATCCGGTCTCTGCCTTCGATGACCATCCCTTCCGGGAAAGTCAACCTCCTCGATCTTGTACTTCTTGACTAGGCGATCCATTGGCCAGCTGACTCGGCATAGCATAGGACTGGAACGAGGCTGCATGGGCAGTACGTGCCATAAGAAATCCCAGGAGCGCTGTGATTGACGCTGCGAAGCTAAACGTTCTTTCTCCCATGGCACTAACGATCGGTAAGAGTCAAGTAAACAGGGTAGTCGTTCCAAGCGGAGCACCGCGATATAAAAGGCAATAAACCTAACAGGATAGTTGGGAGACTGTTGGAGGTCGTCGTTCATGGCAGAGATGGAATTCCGCTCCGATCTATGTGCGCCAATACCAGGGTATTCATTATGCGATTGAGATGACCAAAAGAGGGTACACGTTATCACTCTCAAAGCATCACACGCAACCGGTGTCTACAAGGATATGTTGGTTGTTGTTGGAGATTTGGGTACGTAGAGATTTAGAACGGAGATGAGCGAGGGAGGGGCTATCGAGAGGGCAGATCTTCCCAGGGATCTGCGGATGTCTGACTCCACCTCCTCTCTCTCTCTCAGCTAAGGCTCGGGGGAACTTGGTCATTTTGCATTGCCGCGAGATCATCCCAAAGTTCCTAAACCCTTTTCATATAGCCGAATGATCTTTCCCCCCTAATATATGGACCTTTCTATAGAGTCTAAGCTCCACCTCGATGGACGCAGAAACCAGGCCAGTATAACCGTAGGATGCTAGAACTGGCGCACCTCAATGGGACAAAGGGTTCCCAAAAATGCCTCAACAGGGATCATTGGGGACAAGGGTACAGGGCGAATAAGCGGCCGGAAGATGCAGGAGTTGACATGGCCACACAGGGCCAGTATCGGCCTAATGTCTGTCCTTAACGCCATGTGACCCTAACAAGGCTAAAGTGGGCTTTCTGTTATGATGGTCTGATTTTTAGATCTACAGGGGAAATGCTTCTCGCAGAATCCCAACTCCTGGGTGTGACGCTAGGCCTTTAACCCCTGCATACAGACGCTAAATTCTGAGGTAGTATTTGCACTGCCGCAGAAGAGACTATCATAGATTCTGTCAGTATTCCGTGTACTACCTTCAAGCGGGTCAGACACGTTATCTAACAAGTACTTTACTTCGAAACTCCAGGCGTCCTAAATCAAACAAATCAATAAAACGACAAATCGGGTGTTTGGATGCCGTGCTAGATGTATCTATCTCAACTGTCCTAATTCTCATCGGCCTTTTGTGCCCAAAACCTTGACCCTCCGCAGCAATGCAATTCTCCACTCTTACCTCAGCGGCGCATTCGCCAGTGATGCAGTGGCTGAGATCTGGACGGGCAAGGTGAATCATAGCGGCAAGCTGCCTATCAGCCGGTGGTTTATAGTACACATTACGGTCCAAGCGACCTACTGTTCAAAGTCTTTCGTGTTGAAGCTTGGTAGATCATATGGCGTTGCTTTGCTATATAAATAAGCCCTAGACCGTGACTAACTTACTAGTATGATCACTTCTAACCACTTTCCCGAATTCTCTCACAATAATCCTTGAAATATCAAAAGCAGAAAATGACTTGCCCAGCCCTGCCCGCTACCAGTCGCTATGGTCCCGACCCCAATAACCACCCCGACCAAAAAGAACTATCCAACATCATGAGCAAGCTGGACACCGGCTCGAAGGGCAACGCTCCCTTTGTTATTGGCACTGATGGCGTCCTCCGAACTCTGACCCTCGACAATGACGTGATTGACGCCATCGGCCTTCCACCTCGACTGATCAAGGCCTTGCTCGATCGGACCATATTTGACCAGGAGGATGAAGACAAATTTCGCGGCGCTGATGGAACAAAAGTGTCCCAGGAACAGTGGTGGAAGCCAGATCCATCGTTATTACCGCCACCATTGACGGCGGAGGAGAAAGCAGAGGCCGAGAAGGATTATGAGGAGAATAAGGATATCATTGAGGAGAATAGAAGGAAAATGGCCAGTGGGGAGTTGAAACGGTGCGGGGTGGTTATTCGGTCGGATTATGATATTAGTCCTCGGTAGAGAGGGGATTTCTACCCATGTTTGTCCCAAGGGTTTTATGATATGGCATGCTACTGGGACTCTTTACTTTGGTCAGTTGATATTGCTGGAATACTTCCCCCCGTTGTAAAGTAGGCGTCTGATGCCCTGTGCATAGAGTAACCCAAGTACCCATGTAAGAGGTGGGTTGTCAATTCTTGCATAACCCTTCTTGTATCGTGATCTTTGTGCCTAATATTCTTTACCATCTGTTGCGCAACGGCAAGGATCGGAGAAGTGTTTGTCTACACAGTGATCGACCCAGATGCAAGTGCATGTTGACGACAGCAGTGAGATAGTTGGAGACCCGATATTACTGTCCCTGGCATCGCTTCTAGTCCAAGTAATCGTTGTTGACTTTGTCCTAATGGGGACTTTCCGGCCTGCTGACACTATATCCCACAGAGTGAGACATTTCCTTATATCGGCGCAGCCTCGCAGGCACTAGATATGCATATCAATGAGGTATTATCCATAACCGATGCGCCAGGGGCGGGTGACGCGGACAACTATCCACCCCCCGGTCCAACATCCCGTATCTCGCCGGTACCCTTGGTGAGGGAGTGGAATCATCGTAGTATCGACTGACCCGGATGCAGCGGAGAAATCGCAGTTGGAGCTCCCTCAGAGATCATTGTTCCCCCTATTGTCTATCACGCTACTGAGGAGCAAAAGTCCGATGACCCTTGGTCTCTGTATGAAGGACGCTACACTGTACATTGTCTTCTTGGTACTTATAAATACCCTCACTGTACCCCTAGGTTATACCTCCTTCATCATCTTAATTGCACCCTTCTTGTTTTTTACTTCCTTTCTATTGCAGTTTCCGGTTATTATCCTCGAACAATGCGCCTTTCTGTCCTAGAAATGTTTGCAGCTCTTGTTGCCACTGGAGAGATCTGATGCGTTCTTTCGAAAGCGTAAACCCGACAGACTTCATCCACTTGGGCGACGACGGGGTCCTGAGACACTTCAACGAATCGGGCACTGTTCTTAACTATGCGCCGCTGAGTCCGCAGCAGATTAGCCAGATGCTTTCTGATACCTCTTCGCGCGACACAGAGGCAGAGAAGGAGCATCTTTCACAAGTCTTCAGTGGTGTGGATGGCCGTACTGTCAAGGGTCCAGCTCTCCTGAATCCTCCGGCGGAAATATACCCAACAAACTTTCTCAGCAACAGCCAAAAGCCATCAGAAATATCGGGAGTTCCGCGGTCTGATCACGGTCTGGACGCAAGACAACATTGCCCTGCTCGTCGTTGTACTCCCAAAGACAGTTGCAGCAAGTATCCAGGATGCACAACCTGCGTCATTAAAGACAATACTCATGAGGGAGTATGCGAATAGATAGTTTAGGCACACTACTACTTACTATAGTTGATAAGGAGCCATTGTCATGATTAGTGGCCTTTGGATATTACAATTCTTTGGACCAAGCAGGATACGTTGTTATTTACAAAGCTATCACTATGTCTGGCTATCACAATTTGATTCATGTTCCAATCATAACCCGACACCATCTATAGAGACGACTTAGGAGGCAACAAATCATGTTTCACAAGGTTTCTGTATTTGATCTTTGGGTGACCGAACCACTAAAGAGCTAGGATAAACAATCCTCCCTGGGCCCAAGTACCGGCCCGAATCAGATTGTCGTAACCAGCCTCGACCGAAAACCGATCCGGCTAGTGATTGTCTCGAGCTGTTTGCCTGTCTAATGCCTCCTCCTCTGTATCTACCTGTCCAAAGATTTATTGCGGATAAAAGTTCTCCCAATTACAAGTCGCTTCACTTTCAGGCGCAACAGGGGCGTGAAGCGGCCGAACGGCAACAAGACGAACACAAACTGGAGCAAGAGAAAGATTACTGCAAGCAATACTGCGCGAAAGTATGCAGGCGAAGCTAGCATTTGCCTGCTATCAGTCTGGTCAATAGACACGTTACATACCCCATAGTCTGGCTGACAGGCTATGGCTGTCAGCATTGGATCATAAGTCTCCTACATCGGTCTCCTAGACCCCCACCCTTGGGGTATTACACCCCCATTTGTTTTAGCCAAGGACCTCTCTAGAAGTTTGGTTAAACTGTCCAACTGTCTACCACCTGTCTAGATCTTCTGCTATTTCTAATCCGCAATGCCAATTGAAAGCAACGGGACAAGGCTCCGCTCTAGACCCTTTGGTGGGTTGGATCCAGAAGCCAAGATTGACTGGCACAAATCCACGATTCGGGACCGTCTCACTAGAATGATACCGGACAGCTTTTGTCTTGGACTCTTCGTTACGTAAGAGAGGGAGAGAGAACTTTCGTGCATACGGAGTAGAACAAATTGAGGGTGTAGGAATGAGATGGTTTAAAGATAAGCGTCACCACATGTTTGTCGTGTTTGTCCTTTTTGAGGGTCTGCTGCTTAGTAACCACCGGTTCAACTCAGCCCATCCAGACCATATCTTATAGCATCGTCTGTACTCCATAGCCCACGAGATATCAGTGAGGAGAGCATAGAACGTCTTCCACCCTGCGACTCATATCCTTGACATTCTTACTATCACCCTAAGTGCTTTTAGACTTCCCTTTTAGCATTTTACTCATAAAGCACACGAACATGTCTGTTCCATCACTCGCTAGGGGGGATATCTCTCTCTCCAGGGGTGTAGTCCAATTTACACACAACAATATGAATGACATCTTCCTACTTGGACTGTATTGAATCAATATTCGAGAACATAAATCCTCTGGTGTATTACAAGGTATGGAAAGACTGTAGAACACAGTTATCATGAAACTGGGTCGCTTGGGTTCAGCAACGACTGCATTGCGACAAGTTGTCAAGGTGTAAACAACAATAGTAGGAACCAGTTGATGTGCGTAATCATGCTGTCTATGCATTTACGTCCATACGGCAGTTTTGTCTCATGAGCAAAACTCACATTCTTCGATTGAGCTCGACTCTAGATGCTTACAGCTTACATTGGTATGCGCATACCAGATGCAGTAAAGGCCTTCGAGTAACTTGTCTACCTGTTGGAGACGCTAATTTTAAAGAGACATGAGTTGCTACGCCAACATCCAAAGTATCGACAGTGAATCCGCTAAAGTAACGCAACTGTTGTTATGAAGGGCAATAAAGTACAGTGGGTGAAAGGTTACACGCGGTGGAGAACGCAGAACAGTTGGATAGAGACTAAAAGGAATGAACTCACGTCAAATCACTGAAATCAGTGTAGGCAATAGTCGCTCACAATAAGATCATGCCGGAACCAGCCACTATTGCCGTCACCAGGTAGGCCCCGATTTGCCAAGCACCGGCCTGGACCGATCGTGGTGCTACCACGAGGCCAGCAGCAGAGTCCGATGTGGTGGAGCTACTGTCACTGCCGCTGCCACTATCACTACCACTCTTCCCACTACCGGTTGGCTTTGACGAGACTGTGCCAGTACCGGCGGAACCGGCCTGTCCCAGCAGCAACGAGCAGGTACCTGTGGGCTTGATCGCCTTTTTGGTGGAGGCGGCTCCCTTGAAGTCGCACGCCGAAGCCTGGTTTTCCTTGCTCTGTTGCTGATAATATTGGTTGAGGACAAACGAGAGTTGCTGCCGGGCACTACACATGGCGTAGGCACCGAACTTACCCTTGATCGCATCACGGGCGAGCCCATCACAGACACCTTCATGGCCGCAAATTATTCCGAAAAGTTTTCCATACTCCTGTTCCGATACTGAGTCCTTGACCACACATGTGAGACCTTCTTCCATACACGCGCAGAGATCTGCATTGGGGGTTGGTGGAAGGTCTTTGGCGTTGGCCTCCCAATCGTCCCCAATCTTCGGGCAGGTTCGAGCACTGGCAGTCGGGCGATAGTCGGCACTTTTCATGCCCGTTGCGGTCGCCTTTTGAATTTGAGACGACAAGCTGTTGAAGTCCGCCATGGTGCTGATTTTCGACTGATTCAGGGTGACCAGGCCATAGTTGTTACCCTCCTGGAAGTACATGTACACGATGCCACCGCTCCAGACATCATTCATTTGGTCGCTATAGAGCACTGGAACATCATCAAATGGCCGAGGTCGAGGATTGTTGCATCCATATTCCGAGAAGAAGGCGGGAACGGGGTAATTGGAAAATTCTTTGGTACGCTCCTCGTAGCCAGACTCCTTGAAGGAAGACTTCCCACACCATTCATAGATATTATAGCCGAACATATCAATCTGGCTGTCCTTGTCTCCACAGACGAGGTAGTCTGCGACCTCCGCACGAACTGACTGATCGTCGTCGGTAGAGTATCCGATCGCCAATGAGTCGCGGTACTTCTTCTGCTTGATGTAGGCCCTCATGTCTCGGACTGCTGCCCTGACAAAGGCAATAGCTGCTGTGTTCTCCTTGGCATTGGCAACCTCATTTCCGGTGAAGAATCCAATAACATTGTCATACTTTGCGAATGCGTCAATCACGTCTGTATACCGTTTGTAAAGACTGAGATCCCATTTGGGGGTTTCCCGCTCGATGGATTCGGTCGGGGAGGAGAGATCAGAGATGAGGTAGATGCCGGCATCAGCGAGCTTTTTCATGCACTCATCGTGGTTCTTCGATGGGTCGACGGCGTATGTCCGAATCACATTGGTGCGTAGCTTGGTGAAGTATGGGATGTCACGCTCGCAAGCTGATGGATCCGCAAGGGGGTCAGTATATTTCGTGTCGCTTGCGCCCGTGTGTTCCTCTGATGATGACAATTGTGGTTAATGAGATAGCATGAGGCACAGAGAGGCGGGGGCATCACATACGCTGGTAAGCAATGCCGCGAATGAAGCTGAGAATCAACGAATCAGCGGGATCCGAAACATTCAAGATGGAGCTGTATACTTACAATTGAGTGCCATTATTGCTGTAGAAAAATTTGGATCCCTAATAAGCGCGACTGTCAGCGCTACGATAAGACAGTCGCAATCCTCGCGCCCACCTTCGCGACAATAGTTGGCATACGAGCCAGGGCTGTTCCCAACACAGTGCCCAGTACGACGATGGAGAGCTTCATGATGAAACGGTGTTGTCGTAGAGTAGTAAGGACAGTAAAACAGAGCAGTTCACGGTAATGGTTGTTGTACAGAAACTCCTGGGGTGCTTACCCTGCGGTGGCTGGGGGTAATAAGAAAGACCAAGTGAGGTGAGGTGAATGATAAGGAGAGAAAAAGAAAAGAACCTAACGACAGAAGTAACAAGAGGCCTATAGGAAGCACACATCCAACTATTAATAAACCAGCAGGAGGGAAGGAACGACAGGAAGAATAGAACAATTGGCAAGACCAAGTGGGAGAGAAGGGAAACAAAATCAAAGAGGGCTACAACAGGTCACATTATCTGATAGACCCCAAAAGCGATGGTCATTGTCAGGTTTGAATCCATCTACCACTTCTAACCATGTCATCCAGGGTGATTTTGGTATATTTTACCCCTCTCTACTTCTGTATCGAGCGTGATGGAGAGTTTCTATACATCCAAGGGTCTTTATTGAAACCGTAGCAATAGAAAGGACAACTACTAAGGACACCTACGCACAATCCTCTTTTTCTGTCAAGGATGGCACTTGCTAAGAGCTTGTCGTCTTGCCCAATGTCAAACAATCCAAGTTGCTAGGCTTACATGGCTATTTTCTGTGGCCGAGAAGGGATCGATGGAAAGATTGATATTCTGACCGGTGGCTGGAGTGTTGGGAAGCACCATAGCAAGATTAGCAATAGTCTACTAGTAGTTTTCTTCTCCCTCTTTTCTTTTTCCTCAATCATTTTCCGTCGGTCGCATGTTACACAGAGGGGTTCTGACACCTCATCGTCGCAATTCTACATGTTGTACGAAGACATCCTGTTATATGACGGTTTGGCGAATTCTGACGCAAGTACAGGCAAGGATATTGTCCAACTTCTGTTTCTCCCCACAATGTAAGCGCTCCCGCCGGGTTTGACGTTTGACGGTGGCCTCTGGATGGCCAGAGTGACACGATTGAGGTTACATTAGGCCTTGGTTGTTCCCTAAAGAGATCTTTGTTTGGTGTTTATTGGAAGCGTGGCAGCGTCGTCGTCCCCACAGTATCCGCAGTAGTGCGAACAATATCTCTTTCATAGCTTTTGCCCAAAGCCATTAGCATCTCACTTTCTGAGACAAGAAGACCAGGGACCCGAGCTTCTGGGAAACGGCGTGTCCCTGGTTCTATGTCCGCCGGCTTTGATCTGACTCGAGCCAATCGATCGGGTCACCCGTACGATATTTATGGTTAGGATCTTATCTACCTGTCAGATGCGCCTTTATTCCGTATCTACGCAGCACTGAAACCATCCACATTTCGATGGCAATATAGATGAAACCCGGCTGAGGTTAGGGCGGAACTACTAGGGTAGGAATGGATAGGACGACTACTAGCAGTGGGCTGCACCAAATAACGTGCCGCTTCCGGCATATCAGGTCCAAGGAAGCTTTTCTGTAGTAAAAAACCGAAGCAATAGCTGGTTCAGTTGTCGCTGAGACTTTGGTATCCGGAGAGCTGCTCTTCGGCTAGCATATGGAAGTGTATGTGAAATTCACAGCTGGTAAAAGAATCACTCGTCTATAGCTATCTACAGAGCTACACTGCCCTACGTGAATGCTCCACAAGTATGATGGTTATGTTACCTGTACACCTACGCAGGCTACAAAGAGCAATTCCGCGATGGACGTGAAGAGTCAGTGCATGTCACCGGTGCGAGGTCATGGGTTCGTACAGGCTTATCCGGTCACACGATCTGAGGAGACAATTTCTTTGCATGTTGTTGAGTACTCAAAGTCCCTAAGGCAACGATGAATACATCGGCATTGTGGCGTGCTGAACGGACATTGAATATGATGACTAGAAGGGTATAAAGTACTCTCTGATCTCTAGTACGATGACTTTCTCTTTCCCACTAAGGGACAGCCTAACGAAATAATCTAGGGAACAATCAATAATATCAAGCAGAACAACAATGCAGCTCTACTACGTGATTCTCATTATGTTCGTTGGCTTTAGTGTCGCCGCCCCAAGTACTGAGCCGGTAGTCAACCTGGATGAAGGAATGCGTCCGGTACGTGTTCCATTATCTGGCCACTAGTGTTGTGCCAGAAGAGATTGACAAAAGGAACTATGATCACAGCCTTGTGGGATGCAGTATAACTCTTGCGGACTACGGAACCAACCCCGTTGCTGTACGGGCCTTTTCTGCGATCGAGGCACCTGCATGTTTAAATTTTAAAATATTGCAGGGGTTGTAAAGCTTTCCTAGTGAGACCGAGACGTACCTAATTCCAGAAGGAACTTGCTAATGTGTCACAGTGATATCTTTGAGTAAATGACCATTGGGATGGAGGCGATGTCTAGGGTCAGGCATCGATTGACAGCATCTAGTTCCTGATCTTGAAAGGGCCCCATTGTATACTCCCGAGAGTGTAAATTTGTTTGAATGATAGAAATAATTGAAAAAAGATATAAGGTACAGAGAGCAAAAGTATCCAGTGACAAAAAGTGTTGAATGCTGCCGAGGTGCCAGTGTTGTTCAGCACAATAAATATAGTGGCGAGGAAAGGGACTGGATAGGAGGAACCCTGTAGCTCAGCTAGATGTGGGTGAAGAGCTCCGGGAAAGGGGAACCTTCTTCCTGGGCAGATTGACTAACAGAGACCAGGATATTGAAGGTGGAAGAGGGATATAGGACCCGGTGAGCAGCATCGGAAGCATCATTCCGTTGCGTACCGCCTTAGACTTGGTCTAGGCATGGAAAGTCTGAATGATGGAATACCCCGTTGGTGGCTGACCTCCAGCTTCGTGATTTTCTAACGCATATAACAAGGCAATCGCAAAAGTGAAGGTCAAGATATCATTCACCATCCCTCTCCGAGTCATAAATCGCGGGATCCCTCGGCTCTTTCTTCGTAACAGCACCTACATCGAGGCTAAGCCGTCATTCACAAAGGTCATTTAGCCATCAACGGTGGCATTGTGTCTTGTGTATTTGGTTTGGGTTGTCCTTCATAGACCAAGCTTCCCGATGTCGGGATGCTGTCCAATTTATCTCAACATGCTCAATACAATGGGAAAATGTGCGTTTGCGTATTTTATCCGAGGACAACTCAACATCACATTACAGCATCTTTCAATATAGACGTCGAGGGCAAACTTTCTCCCAGTCATTCGTATTCCACATAGGTCAGGTTCGACAGTCCCTGAAACTAGGGATAGAGGCAGCTCTTGTATGTCAATACCTCGCAAGAAAAAGAAAGTCTGTCGGTTGCCATGAAGGATAAAGACTGCTGAAGACTGGTGAAGTAAATTTATGTTTATTAGTCGAGACAGTGGGCGACCATGGACGAGTGCAGAAATCTGAAGACGTAAAAAGGTGGATTTCATTTGCGATTTGAAACCTGAGGCATCAATCTTGCGACGAAAGATTGAAGAAAAAGAAATTCCGGTGCGGGGAATCGAACCCCGATCTCCTGTGTGAAAGACAGGTATGATAGCCGTTACACTACACCGGATCTTGTTATGAAAAGTTGCTTTATTGTGTTTTATATCCGTTTTAAACAATAATCAAGAGTTGATACGAAACAACAGCTTGAGAGCGATATAAACTGGTGAGATTGAATATCAATGCTTCTATGTTTTGTCCTGCTGAATAATTTGTGGCAGTTTAATCTTCTGTCTTCCTTCAAATTAAGGCTTATCTTGTTCTTAGGTTCTTCTTTATGTAAGAAGTGTTGCGATTGAAGAGCTCTAAGAATGTATATATATTGTTGGGGATAGAACTCAAGGCAGGACCTCAGCATGATATGGTTTTGGTCAAGTAGGATTCACCTATATTTCTTTTCAATATCTCGTGACAGAGCCCATCCAAGCACTGCGAAGGGCATAGGCTTTAACATATTGATTGAGATTCCTCTAATATACACTTTACAAATAGTATTATCCCTCAGAATGTATAGGACTTGCGAACTGATAGCGCCGCCGCTCACTCTACGTTTGTGGTTATGCAAGATAGATTCTTGATGTACATACTGCCAAAGTTGCATTAAGCGTTCCTAGCAATGTAATCTATTATTATAGTTTCCAGACGATTGATCCAGGATAATGCGTGTACACCTAGATGCTGGAACAACTACCCCCAATTCCCCCGAACCGTAGTAAGACATGTCCATTTACCGAGTCGCGGATATCCTCCTCGTCGGACACCGTTCGTAAATTGCTACTTGCGGTTGCGATACTTGATGAATCTAGAGCTGAATGGTGAGACAGTTCAGGAGTCCCTGGAGATGTGACGTTAGCATCTGTATCACGAACTAAGTTAATGGAACCCACGCACAATGCCATTGCTCTCGCAGCAGGCGACCTGGTTATTGCAGTTGCCAAGAAGAGCTAATATGGGATTAGCGATGAACGCAGATTTCTTTTTTACCAGCATTCAAAGCTTACGAAGGCAGAGTGCCGGCAGGATGTTGAGGTTCAATCCCTGGGTGAGACCGGAGCAGCACTTGGATTCCTGGTTAGAGCTGCACTGGGAACCAGAGTCAGAGCCACCGGAGCCGCCAGAGTCACCACCATCACAGCTGTCACAGGGAGCAGCGCTGACGGCAGTAGCGACAGCCAGAAGGGCGATAACCGGGCGGAATTGCATTTTGGTAGATGAGGACTTCGACGTGGAAGCGGACGAAAGGCGGAGAAGTCTTTGCTGCTTAAGAAAGAGGACGAAGCGGATAATGGACCTGTGTGTCTGATGAAGAAAAGACAGGATTGAGCAGGCTGGTACGCAGTATTTATAGCTGATCCGGGGCTAGGCAGATGATTGTAGTATAACATTTGCGGTCTGCCTGGCTTGATACATTTCGCCTGCTTGAACCAACATATTGCCATTCCAGGTACCGATTCCTCGCCCTCGGGCACAAAAGTACGATAGGTGGTCAAACCGTTGCAGGGAAACATGCCACTCTAAGAGGCCTAGAACCTGGTGGGTCAGCGCATTGGATGCCTCTGGTTGGCAGATCACTTGAGCACCCCGGACGGGTGTTTTACTTCCATCCAGAACCTGCATGAGCTAAAAATCAGATCGTGCTGTTGTATTGGCTCGATGCATGTTTGGCACCTGCTCCTCCCGCCCGTCTGGGGGAAATCGCCCCTGCCCTCGTGTTGGCTAATTCCCACCATGCACTTTGCCCCTGGAGGCAACCCGGACTGCAAGACGTGGACTCAGGGGCTACCTGCACGCATGGAACGGCCTGAAGACTTCAGACTGGAAACAGCCAAAGTCACACCGATGTTGAGCCCCATGAAAAGGATCCAACCAAGTTACGGAGTGTCACTTGAATCTCTTGTTGTATATCGTGTCTCTTACATAACGTATACATAATACTCAGGCCAATCCATCGTTCCAGAATCTCTGGTGTCCTGCCGTCGGCTAAAGTTGCGCTTCCCGACTAAGGGTGGAATCATAAATGACCACTATATGCAGTGAAAACAGGAAATTGTCACTTAATGCCCCAGGCTATAGCGGGATGGCTTGAAGGATTTAAAATTCGTCGGGTTTAGCTTTTGCAACCTGCATGTTGCCGGCTTGATGGGTTGGAGGTGCTCCAGCAGCACTCAAGACACGAACAGCAGGCTGGTCACCGGGTTTGACGTATAGGATCGACAGTATATACACTAATCAGGAAGTGCTAAGCGTGAACTAGTCCAGACCCACTCGTCGGGGGATTGGTGATGCAGATGGGTTCTTCCCATGGGCTGTTCATACAGCCGGTTCTTATCAGAGCAACTGAACAACAACCCCGGGGGTAGGCTTTTCCTTCCTGTAGTGAAGTCCGTGGAAATTGGTTCAGTTTAGAACTCACACTGTGACCAACGGTTCCTAGTTTACACACAACCTCACCGAAAGTCCTGCCATGCCAAGATGCTTTGGAACCAGGAATCCCTGCAGGTAATATGACGCTGAAGCGCCAGGCAGGTCCACATCTGCAGAGATAGCTCCAACTGACCTTGTTTTGTCAGCTGAACAAATAGGGATGGATATATTTAGCGACCCAATCAAGTCATAGTGAGTCAAAAAATCGATAGCGTACAATTGAGCTGACTTCGGGATTTGACATTCTCCAAGCTGACAGGCTTCATTGATCATCCCTCGAATCAGGTATCATAACCCTGGGAAGTCGCGCCCCAAACGCTGAAAGAATACGAAAGTGAACATTCTAGATCGAACTGCTGATTGAGTCACGGTATCGATGCCGCCCGATTATAATACCCTCTGCGTACGTTGGGTATTTGCAGTCACATCTGTAGCCTTAAGATAGACCACCTGGATCTTACGCTACTGCGCTTCCATAATAGAAGTTTTAAATCGGTCGGAATAGTTTGATGAGGAACAGCCACAAGCAGCCACAGAATCGCCTCATGTAGAGAAAGCAGTGAGGCTATCAAGCTGGCTTGGCCCGCAAGATGAATCATTTGGGGAACTGTGTCTATTGATGCATGTACCCGCCCTCCGCATGAGGACAGATTTGAGTCGGCTATTCTACCTGTTCATGGATAATGATTTGCTCTTTCCTTAGTGCTGTAAGGAAATGAAGATCTACATTGCTTGTCTCAAGACATCAGGGCGGATGTCGTCAGGAAAGTGACTCCCCGAAGTGATTACAGCAAGATCTGCATCGACGTGCTGACCACTTTCCATAAATGTAATCTTATACTGGGGAATGGTCCTGTCATAGATATTCGATCGACACGGTAGGAATACTGAGCGTGGTCATCGCTCTACTAGTGTAATAGCCCATACTGTTACATCCTGGGAACAGCCCTAGCACTGTCCTACTGTCAATGCTTATCGCCATGTCTTCCTAGGTCTCGATGCTATTACCCGATATGTGATGTGATACGTTCACCGCACTGTTTGCCACTGTGGATGTGGATAGTCCTCCACTACAGGAGTAATAGAAGAGGCACTGCTACATTCTACCAGTTTATATTGAGATAATGTAAGGAGCCAGCCTCTTCCCTTACTCCTGAGGCTGGAGACCATTCCTAATAAAGTTGCTCTCAAAGACGTTTAGCACGACTTTAAGATCGAGTAGCTAGGTACCAGATACGGAGTGAATAGAAAATAGGTTCGAGTCGCTTTAACTGGCAGGTAACTGTGTTCTTCTATCTTATCCTTTCATCCTAATTCCTTTCTTGCTTTCTTTGATTTCCTTTCTAGGAGGGCCTCACTCTTTAGGATATCTTTCGTTCCGAAGACTTAATGCACATGGGAGTCCTGCATAACTTCTCACTCGATAGCAACGTTGGCTCCTGAGTGAACGTTTCCATCCCGTTTCGCTCTACAAGTTGCCTTGGTTGTATGCATTAGCCAAGCAACTGGGGCACGTATTTCATCAAACCACACTTCCGCAATATGGGGAAATAAAGTAGATTGTCACGAGGGGTGATCGTATGCCAACAATAGTACACGATTTACGAGTATTATGTCTCAGCGTAATCGCTGAGTACTGGAAGATTGCATTTATAGTTAGCAATATTGAACTTCAAACGTAGCAAATAACCATATACATGATGCAATGTCGAAATATGAGGGAGAACTCGGCGCTATTGCTATCAATCATAATGTTGCGTGCATTTTGAACAGAGGCGATGTACAGCTTGTGATCATACTAGCGGTATTCGATATTCTGTGGACTGGAATCGTGAAAGCCTGCCAGGGTCTAGCATATCTCTGTCGTTCAAGCTTTGATCCCGCTCGAGAATTGCCGCTACTGCTGACAAGAATTAGGGTATTACCATTATCGACCTTGACCGAAACTATAACTGCATCCTCTGCTCCAAGCCTTCCGGTAAGCGTACCTAGTACTTGATTCAAGTGTTGGTTCATGCTACTAGACTGAGAAGACCATAGACAGATGGCGATGGTCCATTGCTGTACATATGATCGCATAAGTCAAAGAAACAAGTAATCGTTCTACTTCCCTGCTCGTATTGTGAGAGTCAAGCGTGATATTGGGCACCCGTGTAGAGCCCAGATCATGGACAATGGATCCACGGAAACCCTTCGACACAATCCATTTCTGTTACGGGGAATATTTCAAGTTAGTAACCTCCAATCCTGGAAGGTTCATCGATTGTTGAAGAGGTTCGCATATTGCCAAGTTTCAAAGACGTGAACCAGGCTACAGTGTGCCAGTGTCCAGCCATGACGTAACCATATAATCTACGAGGCTTATGCTTTTATGAAAAGCATCCCAGGGGAATCACGAAGCAAAGTCCCATACAGCAGTAAAGAGACATCTTAGCTAGTACCAAAGAGCGGGACGAGAACCGCCACGACCTGAAGCAAAACCTCATTTCTCGTCCATTTCTCTCAATATGGTGGCCAACGCAAAGAAGCAGCACGTTCTTCTGACAGGCGCGAACGGTTTTATCGCATCACATATTTTGTCTATCTTACTAGAGGTGATATGCCGCTTAATCCTGGAGAGACGTCCTAGCTGACTCTAACAGCGTGGATATGCCATCACGGCAACCGTCCGGTCACAGGAGAAAGCAGCCGCCATTATCAGAACACACCCATCGTGGGAGGGCAGAATCACATTTGCAATAGTTCCTGACTTTACGGGGAGGAAACCATTCGATGAACTCTTCAGGAATGCAGAAGTACCTTTTACCTTCGTGATTCACGCAGCGTCACCCGTCACGCTTCAGGCGGATGACATGCAGAAGAGTGTCATTGAGCCAGCTGTACTGGGGTGAGAAAAATGTTTCCTTCATCTCCGAAGTATTTGGACGACAATTGATATATTTAGAGTCACCGAGCTCCTCGGGAGTGCTCAACGCTATGGTGGAATAGATCTGAGGCGGTTCGTCCTTTTGAGTAGTGCCGTCACAGTCTTGAATTCTTATGAGGATATCGCGCGCCCGGGGCGTCCCTACACAGAGGATAACTGGAACCATGTGAGGATTTGGAATTGATACGTTGCCCTCGGTAAGCAGTAGCTAATGAATGCGGAAGGTCACTGCACAGCAGGCAGTTGAGCGTCGTGATGCAGCATTAGGATATACAGTCTCCAAGATCCAGAGCGAGAGAGCAGCGTGGGAGTTTATGAAAACGAACTCCCCTGCTTTCGACCTGACAGTTATGAACCCTCATTTCACCACAGGGCCGATGATCCATCCTATCTCGGGCATAAGCTCCATCAATATAACGAACTATCTTGTGATTGCAAACTTAATTGATGGTGTCCACAGAGACGGCTTTTCGGATGTGCACTTTCCGCATTATCACTTTGTATGTATCCACACAATCATGCGTCTACCGTCAGACGCGCTGATGACAGTTAGGTTGATGTCCGTGACGTCGCCAGAAGCCATGTAGATGCTCTGACGAACCCTGCGGCAGCTGGTCGACGAGTCCTTCTTGTTGCTGAACTCTTGACTCCCCAACTCGTAGTCAATATTATTCGGAAACATTTCCCGTCTCTCAGAGAAAGGGTCCTGGAAGGCAATCCTGCGCAAACTCTGCCATATGGGGTCCGTCCAACCGGATGGGACACGCGCATTAGCCAGGATATCTTGGCCAAGGGAGCTGTCGATGGGCAATGGAGCTATATCGGTAGGGAGAAAAGTGTCATTGATACGGTCCAGTGCATGATTGATAGCAACGTAATATAAATGCATGCCTGGGATTTAGGAGTACGTTTAGTTGACTACAATGCGCATACACAAGCTGTCTCATGCCTCTAGTTCACAGTCTGCAGAGTAGCATACGGTGTGTAGGTTACTAACCTGCGGTGAAATGATGCTTACCAATACCGCGAAGTGGTTCTGATGTTTGCTTACGATATGAAATACATCTCTTGCTTTTACTTACCCATGACCTCATTAAGGTGAAAGGACCGTCTAACCCCTCAAGCTCGGGTTATGATTCTTATAAAGCGTGGTTTAATTTTGATTGTGGCCCCTTTCTTGAACCATGGGTTCGTAGGAGCGTTCTACAGGGAAATTGTGATATTTCCACGTCATGGAGCCAGCCACTTGAAGTTACTGAAGAAATATGGCATATTTAGGTCATTGGCACGCACGCGCAAGTTTAGGCATATCCTGGTGTTAAGAATGACCACTCGTCAGCTAACCTCATGGCAGCCTTGTTACCTTTCGGTGTGATTTACCCACTATGTTGCGAGACCTGTACCTGTATCTTGTTCTGATACTTATCTTGGGTCTGCTGGGGGTGTACTACGTGGCGGGATACGTCAAGCGCTGGCATCTCCATGATATCCCAGGACACACTATCGCTGGCTTCAGCAGGATTTGGCTTATTAGACAGGTTCGGCAGGGGCATCGCTCCCTCGTCGTTCACGATCTACACACACGGTACGGCAAGATAGTCCGTCTGGCTCCGAACCATATCTCCGTCGCAGACGAGTCTGCCATTCAAGTCATATATGGGCATGGCAATGGATTCCTCAAAAGGCGAGTCCACCGTAAGTAAGCTATCTACGCTCGTTGATAATCTGACAGGCCTCATCACAGTGACTTTTACAATGCATTCCTGAATGTCGATTGGAGCATATTCACTACCCGTAGTCGTGCGGAGCACACTCGCAAGCGCAAGATTGTCTCCCACGCATTTAGCGCAAGATCTTTAGCCCACGTCGAACAATACGCACATAACAATATGGAGCTGTTGGTTAGACAGTGGCGCAAGGTGATTGATTCACAAAAATGTTCCGACGATCGACATGCAGTGCTCGATGCCCAGCCATGGTGTAATTATTTAACCTTTGATATCATCGGTGACTTGGCATTCGGTGCACCGTTTGGAATGCTAGAGAAGGGAGATGATACCGTGTCTATGCGGAGAGGGCCGAATGATCCAGAAGTCACCCTCAACGCTGTGGAAGTCCTTACTCATCGCAGTGATGTCTCTGCCACTCTTGGGATTTGCTCAGGTCTTATTCCCTACGCCAAGTGGTTGCCTGACCCCTTCTTCCGTCAAGGTGCCGAGGCTATCGCTAATTTGGCTGGTGTAGCCAGAGCGGCAGTCGACAGGCGTCTTGGAATGGCAGAGAAACGTGGGGATCTTCTCGCTCATTTGATAGATGCTGAGGACCAGGCTGGTGCAAAGCTGGGACATCGAGAGCTCACCGGCGAGGCGGTGACCTTGATAGCAGCTGGGTCCGATACCAGTTCTAGCATGCTATGCGCCCTCTTGTACTGGGTCTCAAGCACTCCACGTGTATTGTGGAAGCTACAGCTTGCTCTGGATGTGGCCATCCCTGCTGACGTCGATGTCCCATATCTGGAAACGGTGAAGAAAATTACTTAGTAAGTTAAAGCCGCTTATTTTGGGCTATGCCGTTTCCTATTTATTCCCAGTCCCAAAGCCGTATTCAAAAGATGAGCCAATCGCACGCTGAGTAACTGCTAACGGCCCAGCCTTCAATGGGTTATCTGGGAGACTCTCCGCATCCATAGCACCTTTGGCCAAGGTCTTCCACGCCAGGTTCCTCCTGATAGAGGACCTGTTGAGATATGCGGCCACACCTTTTATCCGGGTGATGTTCTCTCCATTCCTGGATATACTATGCATCATGCAGTGGATATTTGGGGTGCTGATGTGGAGGATTTCGTTCCCGAGCGTTGGGACCCACGTCGCCTCACCCAAAGGCAGAAGGAGTCATTCATTCCCTTCAGTCATGGTCCTCGCGCCTGCATTGGCCGCAACTTGGCTGAGATGGAGCTATTTGTGGGCTGCGCGACGTTATTCCGGTTGTTTGATATTCGTGTGGAGCGACAAGGGCCCTTGGACGTCCGGGAGGGATGGCTCCGTAAGCCTGTCAGTTTACAGATTGGTATAAGGCACAGGTATCTTGATGCCCGGTCATGTTAACATCGAGAACTGTCTGCAAAATGTGGTATGCAGTTGAAGAGGAATTTCCTTGCGATTCCAGGCTGCGGCAGCCTTCAAGTATCAATGGGATCCTACGTGACTTTTGTAAGGAATGAACCTAATATGTGTGGAAAATCAAAAATAAAACTTATTCTTGATTAGCGTGTAGAAGTAGGTTGTAACACGTCATTTTACAGTATCTATGAGAAGTAGTTTCCCCATGATATCATGGTATATATTGTCATCGACATCTAAGTTTAGAAGCCCTAGTGTTTGCCAAAGTATGGTCATTTGACAGGAGGAGAACTAATCGCTCAAGTATTCCATATCACTTACATTGCAACTTAACCCCAGACATAGTCTGGAAATCTTCTTCAAGAGGATTGACTCGCAATCAGATCTAACCAAGCTGCCAACCGATACCCAGCTTTCGCGATCAACTCCTCAAAGACTGGTTGGGATTTGTCGTAGTACTCGCCGGACAGGTCCGTTGAGTTGATGTATGCCAGCCCATCGTCCAAAACTGTACTGCAGACGTAGGTGTTGGCGTCAGCCGCCCAGATCATTGATGTCGCCACAGGGTCTTTGATATCGATTCCGTCTGTCCAGGAGTCCTTCTTAGACGAATAGGCACCGGTCTTGATCCGCTCAGTTAGAAGATCGGCATAGGACTTTGCGACGGACAAGCTATAGCCCCCTGCGGCCTCTTCGGGCATGTTGGTATCCCAGATATGATGGAGGTTGGTTGTCTCTCCATCATATGTCACATCGATACCGTTACCACCAGCCTCGAGGTTCTCGTCGTGGAGGGGTTGGTGCGTGTCACCAATGATCTGTGACTCGTTAGAAAATCGGATCAAAACGGTCAAGGGACGTGACGGACATGGACGACGAATTTCAAGGCATTTGACGCCTCCGAGCCAGTGGGAGATTCCAACAAAATATTGGTCTAGGTATAAATTAGCTAGTTACTTCTATTTTGGCTAAACGTAAAGTAACTCACATAGTTTTGAATCGCGCTAATACTGCACCCAGCACTGCCACAATCCCGATCGTAATCTACTCCACAGCTCTGCGGAGGGTTATCTTGTGCGTCAATAAAATGATACGGCTTGGAGAATTCTCCGGCGTCGGTGTACTTGTACGAATCGGCCCATGTGGCGATGTTGGCCAAGTAGGAGGTGGAGTCATCGCCCAGAATGTCCTGACAGAAGGACTCGGTGGAAGAAGCAATGAAGCTCTGGGCAATGTAGGCCACCGTCTCGTGACCCAAGTTGCCCCAGCCATAACTGAGCTGGGCCAGGGCGAGTGTAGCCGCCGAGATGGGGAGTAAGCGCGGCATGATCGAAGAATGGGCTGAATACGGCACTGAGGATGGATACCAAGGTCCTCAACTTTGTTTTCTGGTGCATGCTATATATAACTACCCCTTACCGAGTGCCCCTCGCATTTTCTCGGCTGTTTAATGTAACTCTGCAATCAAAACATTGACCAATCGATAATCCAGCTCCGGTCTCCACAACTCTGCATAAATTCTCCCTGAATTTCTTTCCCGTCGGACTTCCGCTATCTTATCTGCCCATATGATCTTGTCCGAGTCTCGTATTGGCCGAAGCCAGTGGGGGTCCCTGAGATAGTCCCTTGTCGATCGACAGAACGTGTCTTATTATCTGGTAGATATCGACCCAATTTCTAGGCCTGTCGGCATTTCTGCTTCCCCCGCTGGTTAAAATCCACCGGTAACAGGCCAGCGTCTCAGTTTGATCGCCTTGATATTATTATACATGCCTTCTCAGTGGTCGGACCGGACGGTATATTAATTTGGGGCTTCGGCAAAACAAAGCTCATGATTGCGATGAACATTGAAGCGTCTTGAACTAGCACGTGCTCCCTTGATATGCTCACAGTAATCTTGAAATATAGCTGGTTCCCATTGACATAACATGCGTTTACAGAAGCACCTTAGCCGATGTCGGTTCGTTTTTCAAGCCAGATTGAAATGGCTCATGGTTTCAGAGACGACACACAGCCAAATGACCCATTAAAGGCAGTGCCGTATGATTCCATCCTGTCCATGGGCGGCTGGTGGTAATGTATGAAGTATTGACACTAAGGGTATCCGGTTGGTAGTCGCGCATCTAGTTCCTCCCTTATCAGCCTAACAGAGCTTTTCTAATGCCCCTATTGTGATTGAAATGAACTAGGCTTTCTAAGTGGTGAAGATTCAAGTAGCCAAAGTGTAAAAAATGTTTCAAATACCCCCGAAATCTTGAATTACTTGCAAATCAATCTCTCTTAATTTCAAGCCGTTTAACACTCCTGAGTCCCCAGAAGCTAACAGCTACCGAGGCAAATGCCAGTGCACAGTTGTACCACCATCCGGCCTTGTATCCCTTTAACAGTGCGCTGGCGCTTTCTGCGTGATGGGTCTGCGAGGTGATTTGCCGTGCAATGAGTGCCGATGTGGCGATCCCAACACTCTTCCCAACCTGAGCTAGCATGTTAAAGACGCCGCCCGCTAGCGCCTGCGTCTTGGCTGGGAATGAGTCTGTCATTACGAGGTTTCCGATTGTATAGATTAGGTCCGCTCCCAACGGGTTCAGAGCCATGGCTTGGAAGACACCACGCCAATACCCTGGCCCGTCGACGCCGCACAGGGTTGCTAGCAGGAGCGGGGCGATACCACTCGCAAGACATCCGGCGGGCACAGCGATCGAGGGCTTCAAGTATGGGAGTGAAATGCCGATGGCAGCATTCATCAACAGGCCACACACGGGTGCCGGCATGAAATACAACGACGCTGTCAAGGTCGATGTGCCGCGAACGTCTTGGAGATACAAGGCTGTGAGCTGTTCACTCGCATTGAGGGTGCCCCAGACAAGGAACACGGTAATACAAACAGCTGTAAACGGCACGTTGGTCCAAAGCGAGTTTGGAATCAGTGCCGGACGACTGAGTCGAACTTGTCGCCGCATCCACAAGGCAAATACAGGTAGAAGTGCCAGTGCCGAGCAAAGGAGGACAAGGTTGAGCGGCTGACGCATACTCTGATCCGCATCTGAACCGGTAGCGACGGCTAGCTCGTAGGAGAGAAGCGCAAGGCAAATGCTGATGAGCAGAGCGCCAATCCAGTCGACATCTCGGCGCAGACGCGCGAGCGATGCTTTCCCCAGCGGACCACCATCCGCACTGTATGGAATTGCCCATAGTGCCAGGGCCAGCACCGCACTGTTAAGTATTGCGGTAACATAAAATCCCCAACGCCAGCCAATTGTGTCTGAAAACACGCCGCCCAGCGCCAGGCCCAACCCAAAACCAACCGCCTGGCCACCACCCATGGCTGCAAAGGCAATGCTGCGGCGACGCGGGCTACTATTGGCAGGAAAGACGTGAGCCGTGACGCCGACAGCACTAGGCAGGCAGAAAGACGCAGCGAGGCCCGCGATCACTCGCAGCGCGATCAGTTGGGTTCCTGTCACCGATAGTCCAGCGCCCAGGGTGCTAGCGGTCTGAAGCAATCCACCAAGCAGACACGCGCGCCGACACCCCAACACATCAGTTGCAGCGCCACAAGGAAGCAAGACACATCCACACGCGAGTGCAAATGCTGCGGTTGGCCAGAGCTGGAGCGCTGGAGGAATGTGGAGGTCAGCTGCAATGACTGGAATGCACACAGTGAGCAGCCCGGCAAGCAGATTACCAATACCGGTGATACAGGTGATGCTAGTGATGATAGCGACCGTTTGGGTCATTGGAACAGGTGCTTCGGCTTCCTCGAGCCCGTCAAGGGAGGGCGTAACTGCCGGGCCTTGGTCTGTAGCTGAGGTTGATTGTGTTGACGGAAAGGGCGTGGGAGCAGCCATGCTCGTGAAGCCCCTATGAGCATCTACCATGATCGCTTTCCAACAAATTCAGTTTCCCGATGGTTAGAGAAAGCTATCTAGTGTACCCCTGGAACATTCAGATATTTTATGTGGTGATATTATACGGAATGGTCAGTCAGTCAGTAGAGGCCGTTGGACACGTGGCAGGACAGCGTCTCGGCTAAACATTTAAACAGCCCGTGGTTTTTGATACTGACAACCCGCTAGCAATCGTCTATCATGCGCAATATCCCTCCTTCGAAACCGGAGATAATATAAACAATCCCCGTGGTACCAGCTGTGATGGTTCTCACAACGCTAAGAAAACAAATAAATCAAGAAAAAATAAGGAAGAGTAGTAGTGCCTAGTTCGTAGCTTGATCATGTATAAGTACGCATACTGATAAGCCTGTAGACAAACAAATGCCGGGTGATACTACGATGACCTTGTTCCTAATATTAGGGTGCATTTCCTGATGTAGAGTAGGGAGTTGAACAAACATCAACATTAGGCGACTTTCATACTATATTCGAATGGAAGGGGATCATATTGCTAGTCAATGGGACACCTGATAATTGCATGAGCCTGTGCTCTCTTTGGACATATCGCTACAGGCATGTATGCTATTTCAAGTCGAAAACAACATGTCACCACGGCAAATTATCTTGCTACGCTCGGAGGTTTCAGGTAGGAGGTAGCTGGTGGTCATTGTCGAATTTGCTAGACCTAAGAGGCAAGCTCATTCATGCACAGTAGCGCTATATTGGGGACAGGTGCAAGACTCGACTAATAGAGCACATGCGTAGCACCTACACTTATGAAATCAAAGCCTAGGGAAGTTGATATCATCTAGAATATAGTCGAAGACACATACTTTAGCAGATCTAAGCATCAAACAGGGTGATTTAATCAGCGAGACGCATGAACAATTGCCCTGCGCCCTCCAGCAAGGACGAAAATACGAGGTAACTATGTGTTGAGGGCACCCAAGATGGGTGCTCTCTTTCGCCTGTCATAGGCATTAAATGTAAGATGGGGAATATATACTGCGCTAGACTCCGTACATCCAGCAACCCCACATGAAATATACGTCCCAGAGAAACTAATGCTTCACTGTCACAGGCCTTGCATGTACCACCTGTCGATGGCAAGAGATATCACGGTCTAAGTGGACCTCTTCCCACTGATTAACCGCCTTTGTAACCTGGACCGAAGAGAATTGGGCATGATCAATGAGACTTCTGACCTTATGTAGAAGAAACGCCGGCCCGATACCGAAATTGAAGCTTATACGAAGAGCAATCTCGGATTTCCTCTTGGCAGAGCTTGACCTCGTATTGCGTCAATTGTCAACTTTTGTCAACTGTCACACTTCTAAATCTCGCATGGTGAAGTGGCCTGTGTTGCTCTGAGGGAATTCAGAGGCGTACCAATTATTATGAATAACCAAAACCCAAAAGAAAGGCGTGGCCAGTAATCGCATCCTACGAGAAAAAGGCATGAAGGAGTACGGCAGAATAGGAATGAGACAGGTTTCTTCAGCGGGGGATCCTTCGATGATCGCCTTCTGTGTGCTATTTTTAGAATCCAGGGTCTACCACCTTTGATGATCCTCTTGGCATACACAAGCACTGCAGCTGCGCGACGATGGGGTTTTACGAGCCACGAAGGTAACCCAAGATTCTTCAAAAAAGTCTTGGCTGACTAGCCATGCTCGTACCTGAACTTTTATCCGGAATTTACTATTATTGGATACGATTCTTCCTTGATCCAGGGACTTTGCAGGGCCAATAGGCCACTAAAGCTTATCCGAGGCTCATTTGACATTGGGACAATAGTATGGTCGGTGCACTTCAGGTGCTGCAGATCCTGCAATCCTCTATCGTATTGTGAAAGATCTTCTCTTCTTTTCCAATCATACCTCGAGAGCTTTAATGATACTCGTGTTGAGAACTCGTAAAAAAAAGGTAAATAGCTCCTTGGCGAGAGGGGATGAAATGCATCAGGTCCACAATCAGACACGGAGAATGTGCCAAACTATACAGCAGAATGGGGGCGGAGCAAGATGCAGTTTACTGAGCACGAAAAAGCCTCGTCCAGAACGACAACCCATGACAGTCATCACGGCCATTTGCGAGTATAAAGGATGGGTCATCTCCCGTCATGTAGCTCTCTCCAGACTCATCAACCATCTCCTACAAGTATCACATCCACTATTCATTGTCTACTCCATACGGCTGCTAGTCACTTATCAACATGAAGAACATCTTTGTTGCTACCTTGGGCCTCTTCGCGGCAGTTTCGTCTGCCTTGCCCTACACTACCCCTGTCAATGACAACCCCATCTCTGCTCTGCAAGCGCGCGCGACGACATGCTCGGCCAAGGCCACTGATAACCTCATCTTCAAGGTCTCCATGAAGACCTTCCAGAAGGCGCGCAAGGCCAAGAACCCCTCCAAGTGCAACTGGTCATCGGACAACTGCTCCAAGTCGCCCGACAAGCCGGATGGATACAACTTCATCCCCAGCTGCCAAAGACACGACTTCGGGTACCGGAACACCAAGAAGCAGAAGCGCTTTACAAAGGCCATGAAGAAGCGTATCGACGACAACTTCAAGAAGGATCTCTACAAGTACTGCAGCCAATTCTCTGGCTGGAGCTCATGGAAGGGAGTCGAGTGCCGTCGCCTTGCGGATGTCTACTATACTGCTGTCCGCCACTTTGGAAAGCGCGATGAGCTCGAGTTTGACCCTGAGATTGAGTTCGAGAAGCGCGATGAGGTGGCTGATGTCCAGCCTGACGAATTCGATAACTTTGACGGTTCCGAAGTTGACCCTGATATTGAGGGCCAGGTCATCCCAGAGGTTCGCGAAGATGATGGAGTGGATGTGGAAAACCTCGACGACATTGAAAACCTTTAGGTCTTCGGTAGCTGTTGTGGACTTTTGCAAATGGGTAGTTTGGATTCCACCGGAAGCCAATGGAGGAGGGATCCCAACGCGCGTTTTGTACCTTTTTTGAGTACCTGCTTTGCGAACTGCTCTTTTGAGATCTGATGTAAATCTTGGTTTTCTTCAACCCCACATCTTAAGCTGTGATCAAAAAATAAACAGGGCAATTATGAGTTTTAAATCACTTAAAAATAGTAGCAGACCGCCGGTAAGAGTATGATAAATACGTCTACCGTTCTTCCAGAGTAGGCCATGTCTAGACTTGTATACATTGCCACGGTATTGATAGCCCCTTGAGTAGTTACTCTTAGACTGTACCCAAGTTCACATTCGGTTTGATGCGCTCTGTCTTGCGAATACATCTTTCAATAAGGATCAGGTCTTGGCAGAGTATAGGTAGGAAATCTCCGACATCAGAGGTAGAACCAGCGTAATAGAATTTCAGATCTATCCAGTATCATTTTCAAGTTTGTATACTCAAATCGTAAATGAATGACGTACATAAATATACACATTAGATGGGATACGAAAGTACGTTTGAAGCTACAGATACATACTTGAATGTATATTCTTTGGACCTGAGTCGTTTGAATGCTGGGTGCCTACAAAAGCAATATACATGATATCCCTATCCTAACCTGGCCAGTCTATCTGGAGATGCACTCAGAGGACAACAAGAAGGATAAACAAATCTTGCACCAAATCCCAGCAAATCGGGATCGCCGGGTGCTTAGTCCTGATTACGTGATCATAAACTAGCCAAGTCAATTCGCAATCGAGTGGGTCCAGGATTTCCCACGCTTAAGAGAGCAGAGCTCTCCCTTGCTCACCAAACCTTGCCGATCCAGCCCTGTGTCGTTAAGAATCCAATCTCGTGCTCTGTTATTAAGGTCCTGACAATATGGCTGAACATCCTTCCTTTACTCTCGCTGGTCTTTGTAAGTATCCAATGGACGCGTGAAATCCGCGTCATGAGTTGCTGATTTCCACGATGCAACGCAGTGCCTGTAGGGGGTGTTGCTGGATATATGCGGACGGGCTCAGCACCTTCTTTGATCGCAGGTGTTGGTCTAGGCATTTCCTATGCGTTTTCAGGTATGTGGTAATGAAAAAGCTTGCATGCGAAAAAACCAATATGCAACGGATAAGCTGACCGCATGTCCAGGCTATCTGATTAAACAAAATAAGGACTATGGTACCGAGCTTGCCTTGGGAAACAGTCTTGTCCTGCTTGGCGCTGGAATCTCCAGGACCATCAAGACCCGGGCGAAGTCACCTATACCTATGGCACTTGGAGCCACTGGGCTATTGGCGTCATACTACTACCAGAAGAAGGTCCGAGAATTTAGGTACGGAGTCTAAACCATGCAACATGGTATCTTCGTGACCGACCCGCAGCAACTGGTCAGCTGTTAAGTTGCGTTTGGAAGTTCGAGTCAAAACAGCTATCACCAATATGAGCTGCCTTTGTGTATCTAATTAGAAAATTCATGTTACTCTTGGCAAGCTAACTCATTTGAACGGGTACCGCAATTTCACCACGGTGTAAACACCGTATGCAATATCAAGCTGGGCCACAAGCGTATCAACATGCGTCCAGCATGGAAGTTATGAAGTCGGTCACCCCGTTTCCCGTCGACTGTAATCAGCAGGCAATTACAGCCCTCCAAGACTCATTTTGCACGGCTACTACTGCACCGATTCATTGTGGAGACCCAGAAACCATCCGGATCCGCTTATTCAGCGGCGAGGGAATGATAAACTGCTACGGAGTCTTCGAATTTCGCAAAGTTCCCATGGGTGTCTCGGTGAGGATATTTACACTCTTCTTATGGGACTGGACCATTGGCATCATGCCAATCATATTACTGGTACGGGTTAGGGCAGGAATCGGAATCATATAAAGTACCACATCCAATTCTAGTCGCGTAGACTATCAAAGAGCGACGTATGTACAAATACAGACTCGCCTACAAAACAGATCCAAGCCTATTAAGTTCCAACTGAGTAACTCAACTCAACGGCACTAGGTTGCTCTAAGAATGTAGACTGTGGGATAGACAACGAGACCTCTGCCTCAGGCATCGGGTTGGAGCATGTGCAGCTCTTTATCTGCGTAAGGCTCTTACGCCCGACGGTCTATAGACGTTTTGCATTCATATCCATCGTCCTGCGCTACGCCACCGCACTCAACATTGCCTCAAGTTCAACTGAACGTCAAAACAATTTGCTGACATGCCTAACGATACTTCACCAAGATGGCATATTCTGTCTGTTTTCATTAAGAATGCGCGTGACCTCCACAGACATTGGATAAAGTCGGGCGTTAGTCGGTTAGTGAACGAGAGCCCGTAATTAATATTGGGTCTTTTGTCCTTCATTGACTCTATCACTATCACTCTCATTCGCTGAAAGATGTCACATAAAGAGCTTCAAGGACTTGGCACCGAGGTGAAGAACCAACATGTAACCTTCACGCCCTAAAGAAGTAGCGCCCCGGAACGAAGGATATGAGAACAAAGACCATTAAGGGGCAGGGCAACGGCCCAATGACTGGACATAGAGAGCAGCGCCGACATATATAACTCCAATGAGAACCTTCTGAGACCTCTCTGAAGGCAGCCCTTCCCTCTATCCAGCACTGTTTGTCGACGCGCCGAGAAAAATGCAAGTACCCCAGACAATTGCCATCCTGGCTCTACTAACCTCAGCCTCCGCCCATGCTATCCGTCAGGATGACAGCACAGAAGCCAAGGCCGATTTTTCGAAGACCTGCGATAATATTACCGTTCGAAAGGGTGGCAACCACTTGGAAGCAGAATGTACTAAGACAAACGGGGAAAAGATGAAAAGTTCTCTGGACCTGAACTTCTGCATTCGCCATACATATGGGGGTATGGAAGCGTACGCCGAGTACGTATATCTTCCCCTTGTTATTCGACTGCAACTAACGTGGTGTAGCGGCCATTTCTATGGAAATCCCGGATGCACTGGTTGCCAAATCCTCAAAGATTCGCCAAATACTTTACAGTGCGTGTGTGGGACTTCACAAGTGGGTGCCTTCAAAAAGGCAACCCTGGACTTAGGTAAGTTTCTCTATACATAGCATCATCGTTGAGTTCTAACGCCGGAATCAAAGACATCATGGTGTGGAATAATGACGGTCTCACGGAGTGCTACGGTCACCGCGCAGACTCTATCTGAGTTCTTTGATCAAGGGTTTTTCTAGACATTGGCAAAGCATACAAATAATCTTGTCCATTGTTTCAACCGCATTCATGTATCGATGTGTGAAGATGGTGCGGACATGCTTAGAGCTAGTAGTGGCAGGCATAGCTAACCTCGAGATTTCAATATATGGCCAAGGTTGGGTCTTGTTCGCATGAGACAGTGCAACCGCCCACCCTAACACGGTCTCCTTAGAAATAACCCTCATCATTTAACACTGAGCTATAATAAGTATTGCCATGCCTTATTATTCTTGTGGAGTATCGAATATACAATAGGGCGAGGGAGGGACGCGGCTACGGGCAACAGGCTTTCTTTGTGTTAACCTAATTTCGGTGCAACATCAAATACTTCGTACTTTGTAATAGAAGGTCGAGTATCTTGTTCTAGGAAATATTGACTAGACATTGAGAAAATCAGATTTGTGTTATTACCGGATAGTACAGGACTGAGGGCTGTTTGATGAACTTCTGGAAAATAACCTTCAAAGGTTTTAGTCTCTCGATTGTATCCCGATCTTCTCGTCGACTTCAGAGAGTGAAAATTCTCAAGCACTTACAAAGGTTTAATCAACTATGTAACGGCTGGGCTACGTCTCGAGTAACCGCATAAGGTTTCCTGATCTTTCCTTGCTAGCGACTCAAGGATGATTTGTACTTTGTATTTGTACCATTACCATGGGGGAAGTTTTCTTGCTACGGTTTCCGATATGGTGGAACCGTATGTTGATTTCTAAATGGGTACACTAAATACATAGTATCGAAGAAGTAAGGTCAATTTCTAACACAGCATAGCCATGTTCAGACGAAGAGGCATTGTTCATCCCCCGGAGCAGCAGGTACGGACACCGTAGTAGTGATGGTCACGATCTTTGCATGACCAGTGGCCTCACTAGGTGCAGCAGTAACGACTGCCGGAGGTGTAGAGAGTCCAGCGTCGTTGGTGCCAGCCGGTACTGGGGTGGGCGTGGGAACTTGTCCAAGGTCACAGGGTGGGAGTAGTCTGAGCACCAACCAATAGTCTTAGGCACAATTCCGGGCTTCACGGATTTTGAAGAGGCAGTGACAATGGAGGAGGGAGCAGGGAGGGCGTGGGTGGAATGCAGGTGGTGGCTGGAATGAAGGCCGTGGGAGGAATGATGAATCAGACGAGAACTGGAACCAGTAGGGCTCACCGTGACATAAACGGTCGACACCGCGCTGGTGGGACCGCAGGTGGAAGCTGGTGGTGGGGGAGCAGAGTCGGCACAGCTAGTGCCATTCACAGCATCTGAGACCGTGAAGCGGTCACCCTGCGCGTAGATAATGTATACATTGGTCCCGTTGATGGCGCTGATCTGATAGCCCCATTCGGGGTTGGTGTCGCAGGGGATCTGCACCGCGTAGGACTGATCGGCGGTGGGCACATTCTGAGCCAGCGGAACGTAAGAGGGCGGCCAGGAAACAAAGTTCCACAGGTAGAGGCTGATTTCGGTGGGATCCGTATCCACCGTCGTCCAGTTGACCGTCACGGTAGATCCGGCGGCGTAGGTCGAGTTGGCGCCCGGCTTGTTGATGCTAAGGGCGGACACCAGGGGGGTGAACCCAATGGCAAAGGGGAGCAGAAACCGCATTTTGGTTCTTCCTTGACGGTATTTTCTTTGGTGGCTTGGCGGTATCGGCCCGAAAATTGATAAAGCCCCTGAATAGATTGACACAAAGGGAGTCTAGGAGGGGGGAAAAGAGAGTAATAGAGGAACAACTGGACACAAACGAGCGACTGATGTTCGGATTGTACAAACGAATGACAGATAGAAGAAAAAGGAATGTATCTTCACCTCAGAATATAGATCTGGGGGAGCTGGGACTGACGAGAATTAAGTAAGGAGTAGTTCCATTTGCCGGAAATTAACGATAGGGCAGACGAACCCATGATCTTTCAGGGAAATGATAGTCAATCAAACTAACGGTTTTTACTCCGGCCGTAAGCCTCCTTGGGCTCGTGGGTTCCTCATTAATTGGCGAGGTTTGAACTGGGCAATGAAACCCAACGGTCAGTGCTCGCCTAGTGCCTTGGCTTCTGCTCCAAAATAGATGTTTCGAGGCTCGTGGAATTGAGAACAAATAGCGCTACTTCATCCTTGGAATTCTTCGTATGTAACCCTGGGCGGGCATCAGCAGTAATTCGCTCTAGGCTCCAGTCTTAGTTGGCTGCGAAGTGATGTCCAGACCACCCAGGAGAAACTAGCTCGCAGGGTGTCACATGACGTGCTCTATCCAATTTCTTTTCTGGGGCCAAAGAGTTAAATGAAAGCGGGTCCCTGGGCGCCAGTGTCCAAGGTGACATTTCCAGCTCTCAAGTTCTCTGTTCTGCCCAACTCTGCACTTGGAGGACGTTTACAAAAATAGTCGCTATAAGGTGGTGGAATGGCAAAAGTCCAATTCCGGGCAGGAAATGAATTTCAAGGTCTCTCGAGACTGTATAGGGAGGCTCATGGCCTTGTCCTCTCATCCCAATGAAGGCTTTTGCAAGTTGTCGCAGTTGCTTACATCAAGAAGGGCAAATTGACGGGCTTTTGAGATTGGTCTCCAAGCGGGTAAGCTCCGAAGACTTGATGAAAGCCGTGATCCCTGTGGTCGCTCGTGTCCTGGACGGTCGTCTGTCAAATCTCACAAAAGATGGTTAAATAAAGGCGAGGGCGTTCTGCTTGTAGCGGTTATAGCATGGGAAAAAAGCACAGGAACGACTAGGTAGCCTTGTATTGCTTGACTTGGGTGTAAAGAGTATCGTTGCTGGTGCGATTATATAGAAACGCCATTGAGTTGAAGACAGTCGTGAGCGTAACACACAAACGGTCTTGGATAGAAAGTGAAATAATTATCCAGGATCCTTTAATGGAAATCTAGATTCCAAATGAAATATATATCTGAACATGTATGCTAAGTGCTAAACAATGCTATTGTATCTCATCCGAAGGCCGAAGAAGCAAGTGTGCACGGACCAAGAAACGACGGCTGAGTCGGCCACGAGGATGATTAGTAAAAGCCAAGCAGATGCAAAATCCAAGGCAGAAAAGAACAACCAGTGCATATCCGCTGTGCATAGGAACAAGGGCTTATTGTATTCAGAGCCCTGATATAATGTGCCAGTGGTGTCTGCTACCGGCTTATTCGGAATTACCGGCACCTATATGACGGCATTACGGCATTCAGTGGCCAGGATCTCAGGCTAAATAGACGAATTTAGCCGGCACAATGAATGTCGGGTTTAGGATAATATGCGGAGAAATCTCTCATGAATGACGGCCCAGACCGAATATGGGGTGTGGAGTCACGTATGATTGGTACACACCCCTTGGTTGCGATATCGATGCAGCTGTGGTCTGATCAGTGGCCATAACATCAGCGAGCTGATGTAAGGTGTTCGCTACATTCCTAATGCACAGCACATTCATTAAGGCTGTCCACATAGGAGAAGAGCTAGACATACGGAATACAATTGATCTATGCTAGGAAACAGCGACATCGTTATGAGAAGAGGAAATATATTAATAGTCTAACACTAAGTAGCCCTCAGCGATACCCATCAGCTACTACGACCTGGCACATGCTATGTAGCCTGACCACCGGGAGCAATATGGCAGCCAAACCACTTCAGCCTTAGAACACTACTCCGACACATTATCAACATGCGTAGGCTTCTCGGCCAGCTTCTCATCAGTTGGATGCTCTGGTTCCTCACCCAAGAGGGCCAAGAGCCCGATCTCACGCTCAATCCGTCGCTTCCGGGCCTCATCCTCCACCGCCATGCCTCCGGAGCCAAAGAGCTCGTCCATCTCCTCTAAGGTGCGACCTTTGGTTTCGGGCACCAGGAACCACACCCAGAATACACCGATGGTGGTGACACACCCAAAAAAGATGAACGTACCGTAGTTTGAGGCACTGAGAAACGGCGAAGTAGAGAGACCGACGGCGAAATTGTTCAGCTACAGAGCAAAACGGTTAGAATGATGGTAATAAACCATCGAATAGATAAGGAAGAACGTACCCAGTTGCTGCTGCCACCGATACTGACACCCTTGGCACGCATGCTCAAGGGGTAGACCTCGGAAACCACGATCCAAGCAACAGGACCTACGACAGTTAGTCAAGGCTGAAGGGCCACGGACGTGGTTGGACTCACCCCATGAATAGGCAAAGTTAATGATGAAAATCCACACAAATACTACAGCAACCCATCCAGGAGCCTTGTGCTGGGAGAAGGTATGTTGATAGGACCCAATAATACCAGCCACGATAAAGTGACACACCGCCATACCAATACCACCGGCAATGAGGATCTTCTTCCGACCAATATTGTCGACCCAGAGAACGGCAGGAATGGTGAAAACGAACTCGAAGATCCCGGCTACTCCGGTGGCGAGCAAGGAGGTCGTGGTACCACCGAGCTGAAGATCTTTAAATATCTGCGGGCTGTGAAGGATTAGACGTGCCCACCTGGCGCAATGGAGGACTTACGCATAATAGTTGATCCTACTAGGCATTAGTACGTATATATATCATCTGATTCATGGCGACTTACGCATTGATACCATTCCACTGTTGAAAGACCATGATCAAGCACTGCAATCGTCAGCGGTCGTCCAAGGAAGCCGTGTCAAGTCACATACCGCAACGGAGGTCCGCTTGAATAGCGACTTATCCGTGATGAGGGACATGTAGTCATGCAGCCCAATCATGAAACGGCTCTTGAATGACCCATCCTGATACTGCGGATACTTCTTCCGCGCCGTCTCATCCTCGAACATACGGAGCGCCTTCATCTCCAAGAATTCGATGCGCACGAGCATATCATCAACAGAAGCATCGCGCAGACGAGCTACGGTCTGTAAACACTCTTCTTCGCGACCTTGATTCATGAGATGACGCGGTGACTGAGGCATGAACATCATCATGCCAACCGCCAGGACGAGCGCGGGCAGAATTTGGATACAGACCGGAATCTCCCAGGCCGCAATGGACTGACCTTCTCCCGTACCGCCGATGAAGTTGGTACCATATCCGATCTAGCAAGATTAGTGAGGCCTCGAGACGAGAGGGGAGTATGGTACTTACCCAGAAACTGACCATGATGCCGAAGGTAATGGCCAATTGCTGAACAGCGACCAGAGATCCTCGAATCTCGGGAGGAGCCTGCTCGGGTAAGAATATATCATCCAAATCGGGGTAATATGCAACATACCAGCTCGGCGTTGTAAAGGGGGACAATCATACTCAGGTTACCGACTCCCAGACCGGTGACAAACCGACCGGCATAAACATAGTCTGGGTTTGTCGTGCACGCCTGGACAATGACGCCCACACAGAACACAACTACGGCCACAACGACAGTCACACGGCGACCCAGTGCATCGGCCAAATATCCATTGGCCAGTGTTCCCAACCAGGCACCGAGCTCGAGAATAGAGGTCAGCATACCCTGAGCGGTGCCCGTGTGTTCGGCATATCCTTGCGTCTAAATTATATCAGTTGGGCACTATGGAGACGCAAAGCTATCCGTGACATGCATACCGCATCGATGAAGGACGGCATCGTAAGAATTTGAGCGAACATTCCCTGGTTGTCTGAAGGCCGTGAGTCTTCTCATCATCAAGTGTTTCGGGATTTGGCTGTACGTACATCCATAGACCAACCCACCGAGCGAGGCAAACAGCGCAATACCGAACGTTTTTTTGCTATGGACTAGCCCGCGCCATCCAACTCTGCCTCCAGCAAGCTCTGCGCGCTTGGCGGAGATGCCCTGAGAGGTCATACCACCCGCCATATCGGCAATATAGAGCGAAAGACGTGGGTATTTGGTGATAAAACGTGCCCTATGGAGATAGAAAGGGCTGTGAGGGAGTCGCTGCTGTATATAATAGAGTTGAAATTGAGACAGGAAACAGTCGGGACCGTGGTAGTAGATGCCGATCAAAAGCCCCCTTGGGGGAAAAAGTGCTGGGATTCCGGCTCATAACGGCTTTTTGTCTTATGCATGAGCCAGAGCAGCTTCTGCGACTGCTTCTCTGACCTCCGCAGGCTTTCCGATTTCCGGTAAAGATCGCTGTGCTAATTTAGCCAGAGTTTCCCACTGACGTGTTGTCCCCGGGTATTTACCCCCGTGGGGGTGGACAAGTGAGGGCTGATAAATTGATTCGGGCTGTCCACCGGTGTGCAGCTGTAGGAACATTGAATTCTTTCTCATACTGCTAAGCTTCGTGGCTACGCCTTGTACATCTTAACCGGTCTTGGCTGGACGCCATGTCGTAGAGAGTTGCCATATGAAGAATGATTGTATTTACTATTTCTTGTATAAGAAAGCAAAGGACAAAGTCTTACAAACGAGAAAGAAAAGTGTCTGTAAGCCCCCCACGTGGAAACCAATAGCCATGGCTACTCGGTATCTGTGTGGAGGGAAATGTGGACGGATGTGGGTGAAATCTGGGGGATCCTGCACCGACTCCAGTAAGCAAAGAACAGACTGTGGAGAAGAAGAAGAAGAGGATGGAGCATCGGATGAGATTTTTTCCGATCAATTTCATCCCTAAAGCCGGGGGTAGTCTCGCTGAATCCCCCTGGATAGTCTCTCTCTCTCTCTCTCAGCGATCCTAATTGCATGGGGGTTATCCAGACATTCTCCTTCCCCTTAGAACCAGGTCACAAGGGCTGGCATCCTCTTATTTCTGGTAAACTTCAGCTCTTAAACGGCTGCAATATCAGTTCTCGTTACGGAGTACTACACTACACTAACATCGAGTTGCCAAGCCCTGTGGCTTAACAAGCATTACGGAGCAAAATACTACTAACTAGTTAGTTGGCTAACTAGTCCATAACTAGTTATTTAATGCAACATGGCTGACATAGCCGCTGCACTAACTGCCTCATACCTGCAACTTGCTGACGTGGTTTCCTACCCCCCTTGTAACTTGTTCGGCTTTAACTATTCTCTCCGGGTGAGGCTACGGCAGTCTCTAGTAGTATTCTTGGTTATCTTCACGGCAATGGGAGGCTTGCCTCATTCAAGTGAGCCGAAGGGGACACGCATAGCCCGAGCTCCCAGGTCAAGATCCGGATGCCGCACATGCCGGTTCGTAAATAACTCCGACGAGCGCGGATCGTGCCACTAACTCCCATGGATAGAATACGGCATGTCAAGTGCGACGAATCGCCGGGCAGGTGCTTGAAGTGTGAATCAACTGGGCGCCAATGTGGCGGCTACGATCTTGATCGACTTCCGCTACAGAAGAGGCCAGCCAGCGGCACAACTGTCAACCTCCACCAAATACGCTTGGTGCTCCCAGATCGAACATCCGACGAGAGGCAATGTTTCTCGTATTTCCAATGCTCCACTATCCCGATGATAAACGTCTGGTTCGATCACCACATGTGGGATCGGCTTACGCTCCAAATGAGCCTTGCCGAGCCAGCCATCTGCCACGCGGTAGTCACAGTGAGCGTCTTGTAGCAGCTAGTAGAAACGACTGGAATACCCGTGCTGCCAGAGGATATGACGAATCGCTACCATCGCTTCGCCTTGGGCCAGTACAACCGAGCAGTCGCGCATCTGATCTCCCGCATGAACTCCAATGACCCGAGCGTGAAGAATATGGCCTTGATTTGCTGTCTACTGTTTGTGGTCTTCAAGTTAACGCGGGGGCGGTATGACCTAGCGATTGTTCATCTTCAAAATGGGGTCAAGCTACTGGGCGCTGAGGCACAAAGGCCTAATTACAGTTCCCTATACCATACACATCCCTCTTTAGCCTTAGAGCGACAGATTGAACCATCTTTCGCCGCTGCCATAATGCACCTGGATCAGCAGAGCGCACATTTTGGAGTCTCCAAGCTACACGACGGGCTGGCTCTAGAAATGTTTGCTGACCAGGCCGGCCACGCACCGACAATCATGGATTTCCAAACTATCCAGGACGCGTGGATCGTGCGCGACCGCATCTTTATTCAATTTTGCATGTTTGGCACACTCTGTGAATCCTTCTCGGCAGTTGAGATCTCTGCGAACTATGGTGTATTATCTATGGAGCAGAGGAAACAGCAGGTACAGCTTGCCGGGTTTGCGGAGGCGCTGGATCGCTTTGAGAAGGCAAGCATTCGTGGCAGATGTCTCACGGCAAGGGAACGAAGGGCCCTTGCAATTCTACGTATGCATCATGCGGCACTTTCAGTGACTACGGATATATGCTTGATCAAGTGCGGCGACACTATCCGTAGTATATCCACGGGACGCTTCCACAATGTCGTCGATCAAGCGCAGAATATCACGGGCAGGTTGATGGAGATTGCCCCCCGAAGTACACATCGCCGTCCCACACTGCTAATGGAGACAGGCACTATAGCACCTCTGTTCTTCGTCATCGCCAAATGTGATGATGCAGCGGTTCGCCAGCGCGCACTGGCGGTCCTGGAGTCTTGGCCACACCGAGAAGGCCTGTGGGACTCCCAACTGGCCGCAACGTTGGCTCGCCAGATGATCTCTCCCGAGGTGCATTAGACCGGAATTATGCATCTTTGCACTAGTTGAGATGCTGTATGCCGGACGCGCATAGTGCCGACGTGGAAAGTAGCCACGGTGGTCACCTTCTCGCATGCAGTAAGGTTCAATCATTGTTACGGAAAACTGGCATACACATGTCAGGAGTAATTGGCCGTAAGCCTGGAATAAAGGGAAATATGCGTAGCATTGTAGGATGGCACCTTGCATGTAGGGCTTTACCCCGCCCATGGTGCTCGGACCGAGGGGGGTTTACCATGCCGGATTCCGCATAGCACCGGTGTTTATGCTGCACAAAGGAAGAGCTTTATGCTGCATTCTATGTATTCCTTCTCTATTCTTATAGTCTAATGGCGGGGTCCTGCTCTTCTTGTAATTTAACTGGAGAGCCTCGTCCTGACGTCACTCAAGGCATGTGAAGCTCTTGGCTTCTCCTGCTATTGCCATACAACCTGGAGCACTACAAGTGTATTATACAGCACCAAGGATCAGCAGGACACCGTGGCTCGTCATGATAAGAAGGACTTCATTATCCCATGTGTCCCATATGAGGTGCAGTCCAATATGCGGGCCTCGGTCCGCGGACAGCAGGATTATAGACATCGCGATACTCAGCAACCAGTATATATTATTGTTCGACAGTAGGACTAGGTGATGCCCTGTATGATTTGCCATAGCATAATTTCTTGCAATAATGCCTGCGCCCAAGAACGCGAAAAGAAACCGAATTGAGTACCATTACTGGGACTACAGTTTCGAGTGGACCGATGGGCATCGGCCGGCGAGCGAGTTCGAGTCTTGGATCCATGCCTGCGATAGCCTTGCGGATGAGTGCAACGAGATATTAAACGAATTGCCTGCCCCTGCCAACGATGAAGGTGGCAGTATCTCGAAACGAGACCGATATGCACTGTTGATGGGGAATCGTGAAAACCACCCGAAGCTCGAGGAGCTTTGGACCCAGATCAATACGGTGCCCGAGTGGGTGGATTGGGCACAGATCCAACGGGGCCAAGAGGTGTATTGGCGATACATGCTCCCTATAACGAACTCGGTATGAGTCTTATATATATGGGATAAACACACTGCTAACCCTTTGTCCCGTTAGCTCACATACAATAGCCTACTCGGCGGAATGTATGAAATTACTTTCAGTTTCCTGTCCTATCACATACCTTGTCGAAATTCTAATCCCAGTAACCTATAGGGGAGCCATTCGTGTGGGAGAAACATTATCGCGCACTGGCGGCTTTAGCGCCAACGTCGTCCGTCGCCGACTACTAGAGACCGCTCAACACGCGTTCCAAGTGAACAGCTCCGTTGACAGTATGAGGCCTGGAGGGGAAGGACATCTTGCGTGCGTTCGAGTCCGGCTCCTTCATTCAGCTGTGCGTCTCAAGATCATGAGCCTGGTGGAGCGAGACCCAAGCTATTATGACGTCCAAAAATATGGCTTGCCCATCAACGATCTGGATGCCTTTGCGACCATCAATACGTACAGTAGCACTGTTATCTGGTTAGGACTACCGCGCCAGGGTATCAATCTGAGCGACCAAGAGACGGAGGATTATATCGCGTTATGGCGCCTGGTGGCCTGGTATATGGGCGCCCCAGCCGAGCCCTTTGAAAGCGCAGCCAAGGCAAAGCTTTGGTCTGAGTCTCTGCTCATCAATGAATTTGCCCCGACCGATACCGGAAGGATCCTTGCAAAGAACATCGTAATAGGAATGGAGAACACAGCTCCTACATATGCCTCGAAGGAATTCATGGACGCGTTATCTCGGTTACTCAACGGCGATCAGCTTTCGGATGAGCTCCACATTCCGCGAACGAACTTGTACTATCGAATGCTCATGTGGGGATACTGTCTCTCGGTCCAGCTACAGGCCAAAGCCCTACCGAAGATTGGCTTTCTGGAGAAATATGTTTTTGCAGTATGGAACCCTCCCCTCTCGTTCTACATGTTGCCGTAGGATACTGACCGAAATTGCAACTGCAGTCTCGCCGCCGGATGATGTGGAACCACCTCATGGATGAAAAAGAGGGCTTAGGAAAGGAGACAATCTTTGACTTCAAGTACGTTCCAAGTCTCAAACGGACGACACGAGAGGGGCAGCGCAAAACCTATATACTTAAAAGGCCCGGTATCGAGGTTCTATCGTATCTGGGACTCCTTACTGCCTTCGGGAGTGTTGCCACCCTCAGCACCGCAATTTACCTCGCAGCCGCAGGAATATTGCTAGGGAGCCAGATCGTACCAGATCTGAGCCATCTCCTACGTGGTTGACTAGGGCCTTGAGGTGGGTATGTGTTATGACATATTATTTGACATTTGTACGACCCTGTTTAGACAAAAACATGGCATTGGACATCTACGAGTAATGTTGATTGCAGAAGGAAGGGCCGTCATGAAAGAGCCTCAGCTTTACTATTTGTACCGTGATAATCATGGATTTCCACATTTCGATTAAAGTTATGTATCCTCATACATATTAGTCTCTTGTTGTGCCATATTAGTCCTGCTCTAGTAGAACGAGCTTAAAATGTCTCATCGGTATCGCCTGACGGCAATACTTGGATGTACCTTCGGATTTGATAAATCTAGATCATACACATTCCCAGGCGTTCTCATCCGTGTACAGACCGGGCCCGACATATCTATTGCGCTTGGGATACTTGCAGTGCTTGCGGCGATATTCCGCAGTAGAGCCATTGAGCTTGGCGCCCCGAACAAAGTCAGGGGCGATACCCTCTTCGACCCACTGTACCATGGCCAAGAGGACATTATCCTCGGGCTTATTTCCTGAAAATGTCTCAGACCCTTGGCCGATAGCAGAAGGCCCATCTGAATTGGCGCAGTGGCCCATGCCGCTGATGGGAAAGAAACGGTAGAAGTCGTCGAGCTCAGAGGGGCTGAGATTCATTGTATCAGCTACATGTTTGTAGTAGCGTTTGGAGTTGTCGGAAGAGATAACTGGATCTTCCACGCCGTGGTAATGGAGGACCTTGCCACCCTTTTCCTGGAAGGGAGAGAGATCGCCGTCCCAGGTGGAGATCTGATAGGGGTCCTGAGCGCTGGCAACAGCGGCGTCCTTCACGGTCCAAGTGGTAAGGTCCCAGTTGGTGTTGTTGTATACCACATAGCGATACCAGTCTTCGGCATAGGAAAAAGGCGTCCCACTGTAGTAGATGCTGAACGCTCCTAACTCGGATCCGGGCTGCATGCGTGGATAGAGGAGGGAGCCATCGACACCATACGTCGGACTGAACACACCGTTCACGGTCTCAACCTGTGCTCCCGTGAGACACGTACCAGATGTGGAGGATTGGGTCGCATTGCAGAGCAGCGTCTCAATGATAGGCTGACAAAGATCCGGGTCCTCTATGACGCCGTCCACCGCACCATCGAGGGAATCACATTGTCTAAGTATCTCCTCGTGCACGGTACTCCATTGCGCTTTAGTCACGAAGGTCGCTGCGCTGGAGTTGCCCGTGAGGGTGAGGAATCGGGCACCCCAGCTGGTTAGATTAACAAAATTGAAAGCAGGCGCACCAGCCACGACGCCGTCAAAGTCATTTGGGAACCTGTGCACGGACTTCCAACCTTGCCGGCCTCCAGTGGAGCAACCAAGGTAGTATGATTTATTATAGCCTTGAGGGTAAAAGCTTTGGGTCAATTCCTTCCCGACAACGACGCCGGTATGGAGGGCGCGGTAAGCAAAATCCTCAACCACCTCGGTGTTTTCATAGAAGTAGACCCCAGTGTTACCAAAGTGTCCATTATTTGTGCCAACAGTGGCAAATCCATATCCAGCAGCATAGGCCATATCATCGTACTTGATACCTATGTGATATTGTTTAGTTAGGGCACACCGAGTTGAGAAAGAAAGGTCACATACAACCACCAAGGCCGCCATTCCCTGTACTTAGGAATCGGCCAGAATAGTTACTGGGCAGCCAGGCTTCCATAAAGATCTGACTCTTGCTAGAAGTCGTTACGTTGAGCGCAATGCGACAAAATGCAAATGTGCTGGTTATAGGATCCTCGCCGTCACTGCAGATGGCCGGGTTATACTCCATGGAGATGTTCACCCCAGCCGGGACATAGGTAACCGAATGGACAGTCGCATTAGGTTGTTTAATCTTTTCCCTGAATGATTCACATTTAGCCTGGAAAGAAGAGCCATTGTGGCTAGACTCAGTAGAAGAATGAGATGGTTCTATGGCTGCAGCCGTAGCTGCGGTTGCAGCAAGGAAAGGCAATAAGAACCGCATGGCAAATGTAAACGAATAATGCTATATCGGGATTGAAGATTTTCGAGCTAAATGCTTGCTTTTATAAGTTTTCCCCATCCTGTACCCCGGATGTGATCCCATCTCGACGGGAGGTATCAGATAACAGCTCCAGATTAAGATCCCCACAAACGGCAAAAGTGAGGTAAGAAACGTAGCTATCAAATACCGGGGCAAGACTGTAAAATACAGGAACACCTGCAAGCCTCGGCGAAACTTTCAATCGAGTAGGTCGCAAGCAGTTGAGATCGGCAGTTATCCGTAGCGTGGAAGATGCAGTGGAGAAAAATCCGCAATTTCCCCGCACTCCACAATTTGCCCTACATGGCTTCCTCCACGATCCAGACAAGTCTTCGCTCTCCCCCAAACACACCTCGGACTCGGCAATTGATCGTCGTCCTAATTGCGAGGAGTGTGTTAGAGGTATGGTGCACGCAAGACGCCGGCAAAATGGGCTTTGTATAAGTCTCGATACTACTGTTTTCTGACGGTCCTAGTCTTATTTGTCAGGGGGGATTCAGGACTTCGCCTCCTGCCAGAGCTGGGAGGTCTTCACCCTGTGTGGGTTCCTAAGCATCATCATTATCTGATGACGAAAAGAAAGGTGAACTTCTTCAATGCTAGGGTGCCGTATCTCGCGTCGCGTGGGAGAATAGTTCAGGGTTGTTCGAAGCGACTTTCATGAATGTCGCAAGTCCTGGTCCGGATTGGCCTATATCACGAGCATCGAAGAGGGACCATGTTAGGACAATGAACAGGGACCTTCGGAGTAGTTATAGATGCATTGCTCCCCACGTCGCAACGATTCACTCGGCCCGGGGAATCCTAAGTACCTCGGAAAGTTAGCGATCGGCTCTGACTTTATACCGGCGGTTAATGTCCTCAGGGTCGTCTTGCTGTGCATGATAGCCCGTATACACTCCAAGTGATTGGCCGAAGGCCATACTGTATCCACAGGGAAGTTGCCTACCCACGAGCCCTCATTACTGCTTTGATATTCTGGAAGGCAGCGTAGATCAGTAACCATCGTTGGCTAACATTCAAAGCAGTAAACACCTCGATCTGTTGGGGACCACCTGTCGGACATTGTTCCATACCGATGTGTCGAGCTTTCGTCTCATTCGACGCATCGGACAAGACATGTCCAAGTAGGAAGACCATTTTCCTAATCAGGAGCTATGTGTCAAGCCCATGGTAATGTTCAACCAACAAAACCTATAGTAATGGTGTCACCACCTCGGGACACTATCATGGTCAGTTCACATCTGAATATGTTCACCATGTCGGCCAGATTCCGACACATCTGATTAGATTAGATCCCACTGGCCAACTTCTAATTGGCTGGCCAAGAAGCCCGTAACCGAAAGTAGAAAATGGATCCCAAGAAATGTCTTCAAAGACATGCAGCGTTAGTACGTTCCCTGGCCCATATGGACAGTAGGACGTATGATTGGTATATCCTTTGGCCTGACGGGTGCTGGGGCCATGCTTGTTCGAGTAAGGTCGGTCTGGTCTCTCGCGATGGAGTGTTGGGAAAGCAAGTAATATTGGGGAACTAAAAATTAACTCTTCACACGGGTAAAAAAAAAGGTCATACCACGGGATCCATCTTATCAGATTGGGGATAGACATGGTCATAGATAAAATGTTGCTCGGTCAAGGACTACCCCATCCCAGCCCAAACTTGTACTCACTCGCCAGATCCGGAGACATATATCTCCTGCGAAACGTGGTACGTCAACGCGGTCTACAACAGCTCCATTATGTCACCGAGCGATCAAATAACCCAGGTCACGGTTCCTGAACAAGATGACCAGGCCACGCTCAAGCCCGCCGTTGGGGATTGCCAACAGTCCCAGGGAGTCACCCGAATGGAAGCCGTCTATCGCGAGGCCAGGTCGGATCGGAAGACATTGTGGCTCATCGGGGTGTCAGTGCTCGTCTGCGCTTGGGCTTACTCGCTCGACTCATCCACCACGTCCTACTACTCGGTCGATGCCTCCTCATATTTCAAACAGCACAGCTCAGTACTCTCAACTCTATCAATTGCAACAAGCATCATCAGTGCCATGAGCAAACCCTTTATCGCAAAAGTCTCGGACATTACATCCCGCCCGTACACATACATATTGGTGCTGGTCTTTTACGTCCTGGGGTATATCATTGTTGCCACATGTAGGACCGTTGCTGGCTACGTCGTTGGAGAAGTCTTTGTCGCCATTGGGAGCTCTGGCCTTGACTTGACCAACGATATCATCGTCGCGGATCTGACACCGCTCGAATGGCGCGGATTTGCTAGTTCCATGTTATCCACACCTTTCATCATCAACACCTGGTTTGCCGGGAAGATTGTGGATGCTATCGATAGCAAAGGCCAGTGGCGCTGGGGATACGGGATGTTTGCCATTATAATGCCTGTCGCCCTCGGACCAGCCGTCGCCACGCTCATCTACCTCGATCGCAAAGCTAAACAGAATGGCATTGTCAACATTGCCTCTTCGAACGCCGCACGTCGAGCTGCTGGGCATCTTGCGGAGAGGGAAGGTCGCGATACACCCCGTGGTACGGTCTCAGCACGGGCAGTTGAACCTTCCGAACGCTGGGCGCCGTCTGTCCGGCGCATCCTGGAGGAAATTGATGCCTTTGGTCTGGTGCTGCTGGGGTTCGGCTGGTCACTCTTACTATTGCCATTTTCTCTGAAAACCTACGCAGATGGTGGTTGGCGGAATCAATCGCTCATCGCCATGATGATCGTCGGTGGCCTCCTCCTGATCGCCTATGTCATCTACGAGGTTAAATGGGCCCGTGTACCCAGTGCTCCTCGCTGACTGGTATTTAATAAAACTTTCACAATGGCTATCATTATTGATAGCTTCTACATGCGCAAGTCCTTCCAATCCCGTCCTCATGCTTAGGTATCCGATGCACACTTACTGACTTGTGGTGCAAAACACCAGTTGCTGGAAGTGTGCGCGGCCTCTACTGGGACTCATATGTCTACGTGGCGAAGCTTGGAGCTATCAGGATTGGGTCTACTACGGCAATACCCTCACTCTTGCCCTCTGTGTCGCCGGGCCTTTCGTCGGCCTCCTCCAACGGTGGACGCATCGGTACAAGGCCATTCAGATTGCCGGTCTAGTGATCAAAATCATCGGCATGGGAATTATGCTAGACAGGAACATGGCGACTGCCAACACGGGCGCCATGGTGGTGGCGATGATCCTCGTCGGATTCGGCGGCTCTATGTCGGTTGTCGGATCGCGAGTTGCGTCGCAAGCCTCCGTCCCGCACCAGGATGTTGCGCTCGCCATTTCGCTGTTGGCCTTATGGTCGAAGATTGGTAGAGCTATCGGGTCCGCGATCGTGGCTGTGATCTGGGCGGATCAGATGCCCAAGCAGTTGCGACAGTATCTGCCATCCAATGCCACAGAAGCCGATGTAAAGAAGCTGTTTGGTAGTCCGACGTCCATTCGAAAGTTATACAGCTTCGATGATCCTATGCGAGTGGGAGCAGTGCGAGCGTATCGGCACGCGCTATATTATTGTCTTGCCACGGCACTGGGACTCGCATTTATCCCTCTTATCGCGTCGCTGTTCCAGCATAATTATTTCCTGGGCAAGTCGCAAAACGCAGTCACGAATGTTGGAAATGACGGACTGCCCCTTACAGAAACTTGTCGATCAGAGTTACAGCCTCCCAAAAACAAGACAGAGGCGTTTCTGCGTTTCTGGGCCGGTAGGTAAATGGAAAGCCTACTGGTTGGGGCAAGATGCAAGTTGTAGTGGAGGGAGATGATATGTTCTGTGTGCTGTGAAATGGACTCATTGTCCACATATGGTAGTGCCAATTGAGCAGATGAGCGTGCATAAGAACACGAATATAGTGACCTAGTGAGAAGAACCACCTACATATCCCTCTCCGTAAGTTTCTATGTATAGGTCTGAAGTACTTCCCCAAGAGACGGTCAGTGCACAGTGATTGACCAACTGCCATAATCTATAGCCTGCCGTTGGTTGGTTGTCTCCGACCTGAAGACTGCCAATCCGTAGTGCGGATGGCGTGCCTCAGCCCCGGTATAACATCACTTTAACGAGTCGTTATCACTTCTGTGAGCCAATAATTCGGCCCCGTACCGCCAGCGTCTGACTCAACACGTGTGGTAAAGCTTGCGTGCTTTCGCGCATGCCTTGGTAATCATCGGAAGGCGCTCCATGCGGGGTTCAGGTGTTATATAGCACTCAATCTTCAGGATAGCCTATTGTCCATGTATTCGTTTAGCCATCTGGTCCTCTCACAAGCATTCTCTATAGCACTAACCCTCTTTGGTTCAACATGCCTGCCAAACTCATTGACAGATACGATCACGTTCCAGTGACAAAGGAAAACCGTGAGTGGTGACCCCTACATACTTCACCTTTCAATGAGGCTGATGAAATAGTCGATTGGGCTGAGCTTGTTACTCTTGACCTCAGTCAATATGACCAACCCGGAGGCAAGGAAGAGCTTGTGAAGCAATTGGATCACGCCGTGCGACACGTGGGTGAGTATTCAAGATGCCCATGTATCGCGTTGTCTAATATGCTTGGGAACAGGCTTCTTCTATGTCAAGAACTTCAAGATCAGTCAAGACGAAATTGATCGCCAATTTGCTCTCGGTCGCGAGTTCTATGCCCTTCCTCTAGAAGAAAAGCTCAAATACCACAGTGCCTCTGACCTCGAAAAAGGCGAATACAACGGTTATAGACCTGCGGGACACCGGGAGTAAGACTTTCACCCCACCCATTGAGAATATGCACTAATCCCTCCAGCCTTGGAAATGGGGTCAAAGACAATGTGCAAGTCTACAACATCCCCAAGTTCGACGGCTATCACCAACGCCAGCAGCCGCCTATTCTCGGCGACCATCTGGAGGAAATCGAAGCATTCAGCCGGGTAGGTACCAGTAGCCTATACCTCGTCAGATCGACTTCATAGTAATGGTGAACATAGAAATGTCACAAAGAAGTTGTCGAAAAGCTTCTCCGTCTATTTGCCATTCTCCTGGAACTTCCTGAGGACCAACTTGTCCGGGACCATCAATATGATGTGAAAGGCGAGGACCATCTTCGATACATGCACTACGCAGCACGCGGCGCCGAGGAGAACAAAAAAGTGGGCAGTATGTACGTTCCGGGACATACAGACCTGGGCACGGTCACTCTTTTGTTTCGCCAACCCGTTGCTGCATTGCAGATCCTTAATTCTGAGGGTCAGTGGAAATGGGTTCGTCCACAGGATGGAACAATTACGGTCAATACCTGTGATGCGTTGACTGCTCTTACGGGTGGTCTGATTAAGTCAAGCATCCATCGCGTCCATGTGCCACCAGCTGATCAAGCGCATGTTGATCGGTTGGGAGTATTATACTTTGCACGGTGAGTTCGCTATCGAGGTTCGCGACATGGCTAATACTGATTCCTGTACTCCGTACCCAGGCCGAATAACCACGTCGTGCTGGACCCGATCCAAAACAGCCCTCTACTCAACCGACTGGGGCTCACGCAGAACGTCTTCACAGAGCTAGGGCAACATTTGACGACAGAGCAGTGGGTCAAGGTGCGACAGACTCAGCAGCAAAGACGCATACGGGATGCGAAGATCTCTGAGGATGGGAAATACACGTATCGGCCCAAGGATCTTGAGATCCTTCCAGGTCTGCATGCGAAGGTGTACAATTAGTTAGAGATGATCATGACGTCATGTCTTTGTTCAGGAATCCAAACGATTTTGGACATCTTACCTATAAACCTATCATCTTAGATCCAGCGGTAGAGTCTAGATTGCTACGGTGTGGCGGAGCACTCTTAGGCAGGGTTGCCATTTCCTTGGCTAATATTAAGGTAATCAACAAAGACCGAGAGAAGAAGACACAGCGGGAAATTCCACCATTTAACATCATGCTAGAGCGTGTTATCTGCCACTAAATTTAAAGTTGTGGGGTATCATTCGTGGGGTTTTCTGCGAGGAAGGCAGGCGATAATTCATCCGTTTCTTGGCTTAACAGCTACTTGTATACCGGTCAAAATAACCGAGGCTATTGGATATATAAGATCATAGAGCACGTAGACATCCATGGGTGCAGGACAGACCAGGATTGGCCATTATATTAGTCTATTTCACTCTTCTCGAGATGCGACCATCTCTAGCCCTCGTCGCCGCTACGGCAGGCACCACACTGGCTGCCAGCAACAACAACTACACAGAATGGATGGCTACATCTTGGTTGTCCAAATCAGTGCCCCTTTCCCGGAACTACGCGTACGGAGTGCTATACCGGGGCATTGAATTCGCACATAACAAAACCAACAACCCCGAATATCTTGACTTCATAGTGTCTCAACTCTCGGGCGTTGTCAGCGATGCAGGCGAGTTGATCAACTATAACCTGAGCGATAAGATCTCCCTCGACGATCTGCGGATCGGTACCAACTTCCTGGCGGCTTGGGCTGCCACTGGTGAAGAGAAGTTCAAGCTCGGTGCCGATACTCTCCGACGACAGATCGACCTGACACCGCGCAATGAGGGAGGCGGGCTCTGGCATCGAGACCCTACTTATCCCAACCAGATGTGGCTGGATGGGATCTATATGTCAACGAACTTCTACGCGCTGTACACTGCATGGTTCGATGCAGACAACAGCACTGCGTGGGATGATATCATGCTCCAGTATGACTTAATCGAGGAGCATTGTCTGCGGGAGGATGGGCTGCTTGCCCACGGATTTGATTACAGTAAAACTGCTGTGTGGGCTGGTATGTCAACCATGATCGCTGAATCGCTGTTTTACCCCCTCCCATTATCCTCTAATATCATGAGGCAAGATAATAACGATTACTTGCAGATCCCGAAACTGGTGCGGCTCCACTCGTCTGGAATCGCGCCTTAGGGTGGTATTTTATGGCCCTGGTGGATATCCTGGATTACTTCCCGAAGTCTCACCCGGGCTGGGAGGCCAACCTGAGCCGCTTCCAGAAACTCGCACAAGTGCTTAAAGGGACCCAGGATGCAAGTGGTGGCTGGTGGCTGATCATGAACGAGCCATATCCAAGCGACCCCAGGAACTACATTGAGAGCAGTGGGTCTGCAATGTTCACGTACGGATTCCTGAAGGGTATGCGGAATGGATACTTAGAGACAAGCGAGTATTCACAGGCGGCCGACAGCGGGTACAAGCTGTTGGTTGATAAGTTTCTGAGCAAAAACAATAACGGGACATTGAACTGGGAGGGAACGGTGGAGGTAGGAAGTCTCAGCAGCAATGGAAGTTTCGAGGTAAGCCCTGATTCCCAGCGAGTAACGAAATAGTGAGGGTGGGTTTAACTGACTGCGTGCAGTATTACATATCGGTTCCCGTGGTGCAGAATGATGTCAAGGGCGCGGGGCCGTTCATGTACGCGAGTTACGAACTTGAAGCTTATTAGTACATCGTGACCAAGACGAGAGGAAAGGCTCGAACGAGGAACGATCAGATTCGAGAAATGAAGCTTCTAGCCAAGGGCTCAAGCGCAGGATGTTATGCTAGAACTACACAGAACGTTACCATTTGAATATAAACTCTTGACATTGCGATATCTACCTTGGATTGCTCAGCACGATTGTCGCTAGGTCTCTCTACTTTGACGTAACTATATATCCAACATGGACTAAAGCTGGACAAAAGTGAGAGACGGGAGCCATACGTCTCAGACTTCACTCAGAGCGGAGATACAATCCTTGGTTTCCTGCTACATGGGGGTGTCTCCTTGTCCTTCGCCCTGTGGTTGTTAAGAAACAGATGCCATGGTTGGAACATTGGTAGACATCGGCTACGTTTCCGTCGTTGACCGGCACTAATTCGCTCTGGCAATTAGTAATGCATGATTGCATTCTTTCCCTCCACGCAGTTTCTCCAATTTGGGGTAAAGTGGGCGTGTGGTAACGCCAGGTATACCTGCCTTCTTTTCCTTAAAGATGGCGAATCATTCCCCGGGTTACGAAATGTTCAAAATACCGTCCTCGAAACAGCAATGAGTCCAAAATGCTTTTCCCGACTGAGGTGCTGTTGTTGACGGCTCGGTTACTGGATCCCTGGGATCTCATCAACTTGGCCCGAGCAGTCCCAGGGCTAAGATATGAATACAAACCAAAGTACTGGGTCGAAATCCGAGACAAGAAAGGGGACAATATTTTGCACATTGCCGCAGCATATGGAATGAACGACTTTCTCGTGCCTCTAATGCTCAAACCCGGTGACCTCTCGACACAGAATCAAAGCGGCTTCACCGCTCTACATCGAGCATGTGGGAATGGGCGGACTGATTCCGCACGTTTGTTACTTGAACAAGGCGTAGATCCGAATATTGCGGGCAAGGGTGGTGTGACGGCGTTGCACCTGGCCGCTTCGGTTGGAGATGATGAGGCCATCCGCTGCTTAATCCAAAGCGGAGCCAGCCTAACCACCACATCTCAGGGAGGCTACACAGCCATCCACTGGGCTGTGCACAGGCAACAGCATCAGGCGACCTCAATATTGGTTCGTGTAGGAGCAAGCTTGGACTGTTGGGACGCTCAGGGCTGGTCGCCCTTACACTGGGCGGCTTATCAAGGCGATACAGAGATGGTGGAGCTGCTTCTCCAAGCAGGAGCTGACCCGAACGCCGAAGATCATGACCGCTACCGGCCTTCCGATCTTGCACTTCGCCAGAGACAACATATGGTTGCCTTGCGATTAAGCTGGTCCGAGCTCGTGTTCCATTCTGTGGCTGGCTGGGTCCGTATATTGGAATGCCTGTGGCACTTGATTCTGGAAACTCGACAGTCTCGGTTTAACATGATGGGCTTAGTCGTGAACATTGAGTAGCACTGAGGGCAAGGCAAATCGTGCCCACAATCGATGAAGCGACGCATATTACATGTGACCTAATGATGGCCTTCGGGTTTCAGCTACCTTGAATACAAATGCAAGGTGCATTCCAGCATCCATCAGGGCACGTATTGACGACACCTAGTTGGTATCCTCTGAAGAGTGATCGTATTGTCCACAAATCCTGTATCCTAAAGCTGGCTGGACTGGACGTTCGGGTTGTGATGGCCATATTGAGCCTCTTTTGAACCTGAGCGCAAAGGGTTTACCGGGATGAAATATTCTCACAATATTGCTTCCACGATGTAATTGCAGAATGTCGTTTTAAGTACCCTTCCTGTACGGAATTCGCCTGAATTAGTTAAGAAGAACCCAAATGTCCTTGCTAGAGTTGAACGTTCTACCGCCATCGTCATATAGGAGGGAACTGCGGCCTTGTCGTTTTATTCATATAGCCTTGCAGGCATCAGATATCAACCGGAGGGCAATATGATGCTCCCTCCGGATAGGCGACCTCGTCAATTCTCCCGTGAATATGGTTGACCACTGTATAAACAAGCCACGATTGTGGTAGAATTGACGAAGGTCAACTAAATGTCCTGTCCAGATCCAGGAGTAAGCAAGCCGGCGGTCATCCTTTAGAATCTCACACTCTATGAGGAAGACCATACCGGATATATCCGAAAACAGGCAACCGTAGCGGTGTGTGCCTGAATATTTTCGTGGCCGGCGACGTGTGATTGGCTCTTTCCTGCCAAGACCTTTTAAGTCTGACGTCCGCTGCTCCCGGGTTGCCCGATCTGGTAACCCGCGGAAGGGCCGCGGCTTAGCCCTCGTGTTCCGCCCTTCGAGATGACACGCGACTATCGTGTTTGGTCCATCTCAATCGCATCGTGTTTCCCGCTTTCCCCAATGGACCATGGGGTTCAGAGATGGTGTCAGCGTGGATTGTATATTGCACCACGCGGGATACTTTCCAAATCGGTCATCCAACGCTCGTCAAAAGTACCACCATCAGATCCTGACATTACCTATCGATCGAGAGACCCGAGATAGACTTCTCGCTTATTCCATTGCAGGGATGTCATAACGCTGGATCACTGGCAGATGCAAGCATCGGAGCTACCGTTCACAGAGCCCTAAGCCACATGGCCAGCAAGTGGTAAAGATGCTCGGTTATATCGGATGTGAACCCATGGATGCTAGCTAGGCTCCAGCATTTCTGTACAACCTCGAGACTTCCTTCTTGATCAATTTCTCTCTTTCCCTTTCCTTCTTTTTCTTTGTGTTTGTCATGCCAAGCCGGCTCCAACACTCGGACCGCACAGCCAAGCCTCGTAGGATTGTTGGGCCCGCACGGCCGCAACTGTCTGGACGCCATCAGGCCTGAGCACAGAAAGATCCAGTCGGAAGGCTCTGTCTCGTGAATCCTGGTAAGCATTGATCCATGGCGTTGAGTTAGACTCCCAATCAAGTCACTCACCCACACAACAGCTGTTGGACCCGACACAGTGGCCCCTGGGCCAGCGTGCGCTGTGATCGTGCAAGGAGGGTGGCTTGCAGCATGGCTACAACTAAATTCTAATATATCCGATGACACTCAGTGTGCTATGACCTTGGCGATATGCTTGTTTTGCGCCATCTCAAACTTGGCTTGTTACAGATACTGCGACCACATGCGCCAAATGTCGGTGGCTGGATTGCTGTTCACAATGAATCGAAACTGGGTTCGCAAGCTCCAAATGAAGGCTACGGAGCTAGTCGCACTGGCAGGAAGCAGTGCTACCATCTTATACCCCCCCGACGATCAGCTTTAGATAATGATCAAAGTTCAAGTAGAATTGCGGATAGGCTCTAGGTCTCTAGTAGCCTTAAATCAAGCCAAGGAAGGACAACGAACGCATAAAGCAGACTGTTAGAAACTGACTTGGGGAAGAAAGCAGCCCGGGGGAAATCCCATTGGGCGGGCGGGTATAAGTGATATACATGCGACCAACTCGACGTCTATTACATAACTCTCCTCCGTATCGCTCAAGCCTTGACCTCAGTGGTACTGTCATCGCTTTCGAAGGGCTTGGTGGGTGCCGGGGCTGTAGCGCTCTCGCGACGGATGGCCTCCTCGAGGTACTCTGGCTTCAGTTGACCGTGTTTATCGTAGCGGTAAGGCTCTTTGATCGAGATGGTCACCGCGTCGAAGACGTTCGTAGACTTCTTGAAGATGTTGTCCATCTCCTCCAGGGAACGGTAGCGAGTTTCCGGGAAGAAGAAGTACACACAGGGGAACATAAATGCATTGCTGGTATTGTCAGTTAGAAAGCACTTCCAGAGCATCATGGCAACTCTTACATGACCGCGAAGATGACATAGGTCTTGTACCCGATGTTGGTGAATGAAACAGGCGTAATCATCACCACCATGAAGTTGAAGATCCAGTTCGCGCTGCAAGCATATTAGTTTGGCCGCAACGTGAAAGCCATGAAGATGACGCTAGACAGGGTCGTACCTGGTTGCCAGTGCGTTGGTGGGTGCACGAATGCGCAGGGGCACAATCTCTGCCGGGTATAACCAGGTCATTCCCAGCCAACCGATGGCGAAGAAGGTGTTGAAGACGAAAAGGAAGACGGCCTGTCCAATACCAGCTCGGCTGTCACCGAGGTGCGTCAACCGGTAGTTGGTGCCCGCCAGCACAGCCATAGAAATCGACATGCCTGCAGCCTGTGGAAAGATCGGTGTTAGCAGCGGCAATTGGACAGCAGACAGACAGTGAACAGGCTAAGTACCCCAAAGAGCATGAGTGGCCGGCGTCCAGCCTTTTCGATGATGAAGATCGGGATAAATGCAGCCATGAGGTATTCTGTGCCGTTACAGGCGGCGAGCAACTTCGGCAGATTGCCCTCGCCCAGACCAATCTCGGCGTACAGAGAGGGAGCCTAGGAGATCATCTTAGTATGATGGAGCAAGATCAGGAGCGTGGGCCATCTCTCACATAGTACGTGATCAGGTTGATTCCAGATATCTGCTGGAACATTTGATTGACATAGGCGAGTGCGACACGATGGAATTCTCGGTACTCGCTCATGTCGAACAGACTTCGGTAAGAGCCCTTGGACATCTCCTTCACCGTCTCCTGGATCGATTTGAATTCGTTGACGATATAGGGGTCGTCGCGGGGCTTCTCATTCAGGTACTCGAGAATTTCCAAAGCCTCGTCGTTGCGGCCCTGCATCACAAGCCATCGGGGAGACTCCGGCAGGTTCATAATCGAGATGAAAATCACCACGGCGAACAGAATCTGGAAGGCCAGTGGAAAGCGCCACGCCACCTCACTGTTGGGGATAAACGAAAACCCTAACTCACGGTTATCAGCAATGCCCCTTTCCTTGGGCTAGTGGACCAGGTCGGACTCACCGTAGTTGATCCAGTAACTGAGTGTAATGCCTCCCGTGATGAGCATACCCTCAATCATGACCAACTTTCCACGATCGTGGGCTTTGGATGACTCGGACTGCCAGGTGGGTACCGTACTCGTGTTCATACCATTCCCAATCCCAGTCACAATGCGACCGATAATAAAATGCGGCAAATGAAACGCGGTGGATTGCAAGAGAGCCCCCGTTGCCATTGTGCAGCAGCCGATAAAGATGGTCTTGCGTCGACCGAGCGGATTTCCGATGAAGATTGTCAAGATGGCGCCCACAAAGCATCCTAAATTGTACGATGCGACGGCAATGCCCTGGTTCAAACTGCGCTGCGATTTCAGAGCTTGGTCGATGCCCTCCGCCTTGTCATTGATGTCGGGGAAGTATTTAATGAACGAGGGCAGGTCCAGGAGACCCCCGGTGACACCCTGATCATATCCGAAAAGCCTGTTTACGACCCCAGTCAGTTGCCAGACCGGATATCATGCGACAGAGGCGGCGCCGTACAAGAAATCAAGACTGCCCAGCGAACTGATCGCCAAGTTCAGGGCTCTGCCTCTAAATCCAAAGAACCTCGGTAACCCAAACATGTTGTTCAAGCACAGCGCAACTGGCGCGAATCGAAGTTTGGACGAGAAAATGGGAGCTGGTAAGATCGCGCGCCGCGACTAGTAGTTATTTAAATGTAGTATTCGACCCCCCCTCTGCGCTCTCGGCTGGATCAATGCGGTAATCCGAGCCCACAGGACGTCTCCAGGGCCTCAGGCTGGCCAAGATACGGGGAAAGACGCTATGCTTTGCGGGGATTGGACGTGGCATTGTGGGCGCCCTGGGGAAGTGGCTTGCCGGCTCCATCGTCCCTAGACTCAAAAGAGTAGTTCGTACAGTTCAGAATCAGAAATTGGACCAGCTACCCATGACGTACAAGCCCTTGGCAATGGCAGCGAAATCCTTGGCGCAAGGAAGAGGGTCATAGAACTAATATAACGCTCTGCTACCATTAGTGGACGGCCGGCTTAGGGCTTGGGGGCTTGGGGGCTAATTTACGAGCGCGTCTCGGCACCCGCGCAATGGCTTGCCAAGGAGGTGCAATGGCCTCACCCAACCGACACACACCCTGGTCCAACAGCAAACGCAATGAACCCGATCCAGCAAGGGCCCAGCGTACGCTCTGCATGCTTCAAGCTGTTTCCTCGGAGCGAATCGTATCGACAACCCAGCGACAGCACCCCTTCTCTGCACGCCAAGCTGAGTCATGTCTCCAGAATAGGGCCATGCGGGGGATGAGGCTAAGCAAACGGCGGCCCACGTGTGATGGAGTGCGTGCCATCGGAGACACCGGATATATTATGTGCGTCAAGTGAGATTTCATGGAGTGGAGGAGCTGCCTATCACTACGCTCTATTCCCGCAGAGACATATAACTACGTACCTACGAGGGTTGTCGTCCTGTGTCGGAGATACTGGATATATAAAATAGGTTGTGAGGCTCCCTGATGGAGCCCAATCAGAGTATATCCTTCTTGTGATCAATCGTGAACAGAGTTTTTCCAGGCGCCACGAAATACTTCAGGCCAGCCACACGCGGGTATTCAAATAGTGCTACCAGGATAAAAGCATAAATTATTAAATTTATATCATATGTATTACGGTAAATCGGTAGAAAATAGCACTGTAAATACTTCTAGTTAAGGTGCGATCCAGGCAGATCAGAGCCTAGGTCCGGTTATGCTGGCCTTTTGGCCCAGTTGGGAACAGTCTTGCCTGGACACCCAACTAGAATACATAATGTGGAATGTGACTACAGTCAACCATAGCTTGTCATCCAAGTTGCGTCTTTCCGGATCAATACACTTGGCCGGACACTTCAGATGAGCATTCGAAATTTGAGCGTGTCCTCTCTGACGATCTCGTCTGCTCCACTCTCTAACTCTCCCATATCCCACCTCAAGCTTATGAAGCCACTAGATGCCCACGGTCAAGACATTTGCGAGAACCAGACACACACCGCTGGACAACGAGTGATATCATCTATGAGGCTACCCCGATGTTAGTACCGTCGTAGGCTTTCGGTGTCAGAATATGTACTCGCTTTGACAAAAGTCAGGCACATTGTCCGCACTGTCAGATTTTATTCCACCTAGATGCAGCGCTATACGGACAAGGCTTTCGTCAGCATACGTCTCATCCACATGTTGAGTAGAGCGGTTGAGGGCTAGCTTGCTTATTCCGTATGCAATAATAACCGCTGTGACATAGAACCCCTATGGACGTGATATTAATAATCTGTCTCCTACTATTCCGAGGGCCTAGTAGAAGAGGTAGTAGCTGGTGGATAGCATAGCGCGGATCCAGATAGTTGAGATCAATGAGATTGGCATGCTCATTCGGATCAAGTTGATGAAGCTTTCCTGTGAATCCTTCAAGCCCTCCAATCGAGCCAGCATTGTTGACAAGACAGTCCAATCGCCCATTGAACTCTTCCTGCATCGTTGACTTCGGTCTGATGTACGTTTCCGACTTCGACGCATCTCCGGGAAAGGCTCGAACATGTAAATCCGGATTCTTGGTCGTTGGCCCGTCGAGTTCCGCTTTGAGCTTCTCGAGATCTGACGGCGTTCGAGACATGACAATGATATCCGTTGCCCGTGCTTGTACATACGCACGTGCACTCTGTGCACCGATTCCTGTGCCCGCACCCGTAGTTACTACAGTGTAACCACATGGAAGCTGGACATTTTCTGGATGCATTGATGGTGTTGGCTTTTCGTGGATGGTCTGCGTGAAGCTAAGCCCAAAATCTATGGAGAAAAACCGGCCCATCCCTTTGAGTCCTAACCTTACCACTGATAGCTAGCTAGCCGTGTAGCTAGACTCTTTAGCGGCAGGGCTCTACTAGTTTGTGAGTTAAGAGACCTTCCTCCTTCTTTGCTGGAAACGCACCGCCACCCTTTCTACGATTTCAGTAACTTCAGCTTGTGGGGCGACCTGAACTGCCGAGCTTCACCCAGGGTTCCACCATGAACGGACTAAGGACGGACTCTGACGGAGTTACCGAACCATATACTATTGGGATAGAAGGTAGCAGACAGATGTCTGCATGGTTATGTTATGCCTCAGCACCCAGTCAAGTCGATCTATACTCGACCTCCGGATGGAGAAGTTACCCTATTCTTAGTGCCCCCGTATGCCACCGTTGTACTAAATGTATAATAGTAGATATATCATAACGGTGGCTATGAACGAAGAATCAATGCTGCATAGTAAAAAGACTCATGATCATTGAACGCTGTGTTTGCCTAGCACTATCCCATTCGATATACAAAGCAGAAATCTTAAGTCCACATTCACCAATCCGCACACATGCCAGTGTACTTATCGTACACAGTACCGTCAGGACATCCCGACTCTCCTGTAGAAGGACCACCTGTAGAAAGACCGCCCGTGGACAGACCGCCCAGCGCAGGGCAATACTCGAAGTTCATACAGCCTCCGGAGGCCAGGGCACAGTTCTTGCCATTGAAGACCTGTCCAGGGGGGCACTGAGGTGGCTCAACCGCCACACACTCTTTCGTCTTCTTGTCAAAGACGGTACCAGGTTGACAAGCAGGTGGCCTCTGCGCTACACACTTCTTGCCGTTGAACTTCATTCCAGTGGGACAGGCAGGTTCCTCGGGATGGGCACACTCCTCTCCGTCAAAAATAAGTCCGTCAGGACAGTTGGGGACTTCTCCCACACATTCCTGACCGTTGAATGCGGTTCCGGGAGGACACTCTGGCTTACTATCGGAGACACATTCGCCATTTACCATGGTGTATCCTGGCTCACATTCCGTGTTCACCAGGTTGATACACTTTCCGTTGCTCCACTTGTGCTCCGGTGGACACTCAGGGTCCTTGGGGCTAATGCACTGCTTCGAGTCCCAAACCGTGCCTTTCGGGCAGGTGGGGATCCCAACGATGCAGCCGCCAGCAACTAAAGTAGACCCGGGACCACATTGAGGGACGGAGCTGGTAAGACAGTCGCCCTCGCCGTTATGGACAGAGCCGGACGGACAGGAAGGCGTGCTGGTGGAAACACAACGGGTACCGTCGAATGTTGTATCTTCAGGGCAGGTTGGGATGTGCGGGGTGACGCAGTCCTCGCCGTCTAGGGTGTTGCCCTCCTCAGCACATGTGGGATTATGGGTGGTGGAGACGCAGTTAGTCCCGTCATAAATGAACCCGTCTTCACAAACAGGCGGGGAGATGCTTGCACAAATACCCTTCTCGAACCTAGTGCCGGCAGGGCAGTTAATTTCGACAGTAGAAATACAGCTTTCTCCCGAGAGGGTTAAACCAGGAGGGCATTCGGGCTTCTCGATGATAGCGCAAGTGGATCCTTCCAGGATGTGACCAGGAGGGCATTCAGGGAGCTCAGTGAGCGTACAGCGATTGCCATCCAGTTTCGCGCCAGGGGGACATTGGGGAATCATCGTAACTAGCTTTTGGCAGTACTTGCCCACCTGGGTGAGGCCGGGGGGGCATTGACCGCTCGAATCAATTTCGAAGCGACAGACGTCACCAGTCCAAGCCATACCGTCCGGACAACAACGGGCAACACCGGAAGCAAGATCAGTGGAGACGACATTACCGGGAGGGCATTGGGCCTCCTCACTAATCACGCACTTCTGCGAGTGTAGATCCAGTTCGGATCCAGTTGGGCAGGTCGGCTTCTCAGTTGACGTACATTTCACTGTCGTAGGGTTGAACGTGCTGCCCTCAGGGCAGGATGGCGGAGTATCAGACACACACTCGCCGTTCTTGAGCTGGCTTCCTTCATCGCACACGGGACCAACAATGGAAGCACACACTCCAAGGTCTTCATTATACTCTGCGCCAGCAGGGCAGAGGGGAGAGCCAACACTGATACACTTCCCGTCGCCAAACTTCAGGCCTTCAGGACATTGGGGCTTCTTCACACTAACGCAAGTCTTGCCATTAAAGGAGTAGTTGGTAGGGCACGCCGGCGTTTGTTTCGATAGGCAGACTTTGCCGTTATACTCAAGACCAGCGGGACAGGTTGGTGATCCGGCCACACACGAGTTACCCTTGAGGGTGGTAGGCGGCGGGCAGTTGGGGAGAACACTAGACACGCAAAGGTTCCCGTCGTACTCGCTTCCGTCGGGACAGATCGGCTTGAATTTCGAGACACACTTGTTATCCTTGCGAATAAAATCCTCCGGACAGGTAGGTACGCCAAGGACACAGGTCTTGCCGTCGAATTCGGTTCCCTCCGGGCAACACTTCACAAGACCCGAGCTCGGATCCATCAGGGGATGAATATCATCGAGGGTGTACTTGGCTCTACCACGGGAGGAGCCTCGGGCTTCCACATGGTATGCAGAGATACCAAGAATGAGGGCCAATAGGCCTTTTGCTTGGACCATGTTGACCGATATGAAGGAAGAAGGAACGGATGACAATGCAAAATAAGGATTGAAAAACCCGGGGAGATAATGTTTTTTTATATCCGCGGTCGTCGCAGCTGGGTGCGCTGTGCGGTGCTATCGTGTTGGCGTCTGGCTTCGTTCAGGATGGCAAAGGCTTGTTCCAAACCCAACAAAATGGGTCAAGTTCCCACTCTGTATCATAGCTAGAACTTAATATCGGCGATCATCGCAACTTAGGGGAAAGAGAGGACGTGTGGCGAGCTGAGATTCAATTCACGAGGGCTGTGTCTCGCTGGATCTCGGCATCGGCGACGGAAGAAAGTTGAAAGGACGGTATTTGGGTCTAGGTGCTAGAGAGACACGATTTACGGACTAACTAGGGGCATTAAATTTGATATCCCACTATTCTTCATACGGGCCGGTCCATAGATCTCCATTAGGTTCGAGTCAAGTCGGTTGGTTGGTTGATGGATGGCCTCGTTTGTACTTTTTTTGTCACCAATTATACTTCGCCGTGATTTGGATTTTTGTAGCTGTCTTAGGCCCCACTCAAGCAGATACCTCTATTAACACTATTACCATATGAAGCCTAGAGAGTAAGAGAGTTTCGTCCATGGCCAGGTGAATCGAGCTTGATTCGTTGTCTACCGGGAATCTTGGGACTAAGATCGCCATGTCTCCACCTGCCTGTGGGGTAGCTGAACTCGCTTCGGTAGCTGAAGATTAGTAGCGTGCATCACTAGCTTTCCTATATGGAACGCGGTAGCCCAAACGAGAAAGCTGAAGAGTGAATATGTCGAATCGACTGCCACAGGCAGACACTGGATGATCATGCACGGTCCGTGCCGACAGCTGAAAAGCCAGAGCCACCTGCCTCTCGGCTCTCTTTTCCCCTGGTGGCCCAATTCCCATCAACTTGCAGCGAGACAGTGTAGACTAGTTGAACCTTACACAGTTCGCGTGAAAGGTCCGAGCCATCTTCCTAGTTGGCTCCAGTAGAAGTCGGGAAAGCATATTTCAGAGATTTGAAAACACTCTGCACGAATTCATTGAGGGCTATCTTACATGACGTGGTGGACTGGGGAGCTCGGGTTGTATTTGTGGGCGTGGAGGTCTAGGGAGTATGCAAGGCTCGGCTTCGGAATTCTACGGCTAACAAACCTCTCTTCCTGTCTGACGTCTCTGGTAGCTGATCGAGCAATATTCCCTATCTTCTATTCCGATCTTAGACCACGTTCAGAGGAAAGATTCGGAGGATACGCACCAATCATGATTGGAAACAAAATATTGGAAGGAAGTCCTGGTTCATTTGGCCTCAAAGCCCGCTGCTCATCCGTGCGTCTCTGAATTATTCTGCTGGGCATACTGTGGGGTAGCTGACAGAGCTGCCAGCTGGAATTACGCAGGGGTGCAGATCGCGAGAGGCGCAGATCCGATAGTGAGTGTACCTATCACACGAACAAGGCTCAGACACGTAGTAACAGCTCCACTACGGTGCGAACTCTTACGTGGCCACTACCAATACAGTAATTTGTTTGCTGAAAGTAGGCCGATAGCACACACAGTATTTGGTGTCCATCGTGGTACTTCGGTCTTGAAAATGAATAGCCACTGGCATATATATTCGGACGAACCCGATCTGCCATTCACCCACTGGTCACAATGCATAGATCCGTTTAACTCTATTCAAGTTTAGCTTGGAACACTCTCTTTGGTGAGGCTTCTGATGATCATAGGTTTTAATCCATCCCTGCTCTTTATCTTCCTGTCAGCGACTGCAGTATGAGCTACTCGGGTCGCCATGACAAGTGGATCTGGAAGATGCCCTGCCAATGTCTAGCGACAACTACAGAACGGCCTAGAATACCTGCTGCTCTGGGGGAGGCACGTCCGGCAAAGGATCTGTCAATGGTGTCGAGTTCGCCTATTCCTGTTGAAATGGGCCACTGAGCCCAACAAAACATCCATCACCGGTGTAGATACTTGTGAGCGCGCTAAGCACCCTGCTGTCGAAACCGAATATTTGGTAATATTATGGACCTCTAGAGATCATTGCTTCTTGGTGACTACTCAGGGTTATGGCACCCCTCGGGCAATATCGTCTTGCTGGTTGAAAAAACGGGTCAGGTTATCGATGAGCGAGACGAGGAAGTTGGTTATGCAAAGCCCGTGGAGGCAGCTCAGGCTCATTGTGAAAAGGAGGCCACAGCTTCGTGTGAGGTGGAAAAGGCTACGCTCAGTCAGATCGAAAAAGTCGAATGCGAAAGGAAGATGACCGGGACGTGCAATGCCAACGCTACCGCCACTGCCGAAGTGTTGAAGGCTCGATGTGCACAACAGAAGGCTGGATGCGACAAGATCGCTGAGACGGCCAACTCTCTTGAAGCAATAAAGGCGCAATTCGAGGATGAGAACGTCACCCTTGGTCAGACAAAGAGGGCTGAATGTGAAAAGGGGATGGCGGAGAAGTGCGAGTTGAGACTTCTGCGGCAGTCGCAGCATTAAAGGCTCAATTCGACCAAGCCAAACCGGATATTAGTTCATATTACCAATGGTATGAAAGCCAATATGAAGCCGAGAGGTCAAGCCAGGCTAGTGAATGGGAAGCTGCTGAAGGTAGACTGGAGGCCGAGAAAGCAGAGCTTCCGAAAGCTCTTGACATACTGAAGGAGATAAATACTAGAGAAATTGCCTCTCATAATAGTAGCGATATTAGTATCCGGCTAGCGAGTATCGACTCTATACTAGAGTATAATATTTGCCCGATATTCAGTGGAACAGAATTCACGACAGCTACTTTGTCTGGAAATACTGCCAGATAGCAAGTCAACTGTAATACATTTATTATTGACCATTGGTATAGTGATCAACAATACCCGCCCGGCTTTATTGTTCAGATTCTGTGAGAGACAAGAAATTCGTGATTACAAAGGTCTCTTCTAGAATCATGTAAACATCTGTTATGAAGTTATACCAATGCCTAGTACATCAGGGATGTACCCAAACAAGGCTCCCAACTATCCGAACCGTGCATTTATGGAGTGCATTGATTAAACATATTCGACCACAGCTGTGTGAAGACGGGGACAGTGGTTTCTGATGCTATATCAAGTAGTGTGGTGATCAGAAAGGATGAGGACATCGCTGTGACATGGATAAAGCCGATCCTACAGAGTAGTTCCCCTGCTCTTGATCAGCCTAAGTAGTGAGTTGTTGTGTAGGCATACTTCATCGACTTTGGTTTCTACTATACGGCCATATATAGCCGTGGGCCTTCTCAAAGAGAATACAATTACCTTCTATCCCATGAGGCCAGGTCAGGGTCCTCAGCTAGAAGAGGATTTGTGGCTGGCATCACCACAAGATTGGAGAACAGGAATTTCAAAACAAGAGATGACTGAGCGTAGGTGTTAGCTCGGAAGCGTCGAGTGTTTTTGACATCTTTAAGCGCAGATCTGGTATTTTTATCTTAAAGGGTAGCCGTTGCATACTATCATGGTCACATACGGCTGCTGTGATCCGCTGCCGCGAGTGGGTTAAATGGCATGGATTCATCAGCAGCTTACCTTTTCGAGAAAGTCGAAGGAGAAATGTTGATTCGAACACTTTCAGAACGACACAAGCATTTCCGGCTCCAGCCCTGTCGCTGGGATGCTTAGGTAGAGTGCTTACGGAACAGAGTTCTGACGAGATGTGCAAGACTCTACCACATAATAGGAAGCCCGATTCCTCCTGGTAAATGTAAGTGAGAGGCTTATATTCCCCCACAATGGCGCAGGAAACGGACTGTTCTAGAGAATTAGTTGAAGATATCAGAGTCGTGGTCAGCCTTCTCCACTGGAAATTCCGAGATAACATGCGCAATTCGGCTCATTAGAAGCCAGACATAGCCCACATGGGCTTTGTAGAAAGGATGAACTATTATTACTCACACCCAATGGTCTCAATTGAAGATGACGTGTCCAAATGGCCCCTCGCTGATTGACAGGGATCCTGCTGCATAACGGCCAGTGAAGCTTCAAGATACGGTCGACTAAGTGGGTTCAGCTCGAGAAGAATACCACCGCGAACTCCACTCTCCCGTGTTTATAACTAATCAATGCTTCGGATTCTCGATGGAAAGCCTCATGGTGGCCTTAGCTCTTCCCCCTTGTTCTCCATCGCCTTGCCTTATCTTCTGTGATCTTTCCTTCCCGTCCTTCTCTAGTCTTTCTTCATTTTAACACTTCATTCAACTAGCATATTGGGATCGGCTCATTTTGTAAAGTGTGGCTCTATAGCAATGGAGCAATCCAGCGCAGTTTGGGACACTTTTCTCGCTCAGAATGATCGGGTCGAGTTTGTCTGGCTGCAGTTCATTTCCTTGACGTCGAATCCCCTCATCCGCATGATTCCAACAAAGAAATTCTCCAACATGCTCAAGAACGGTCAACTCCTCTCGATGACCAGTGCTGTTCTCCATCTCCTTCCGGGCGACCGGCTCGCCGAGGGTGCCAGCCCCACGGGGAAGCTGCACCTCCGGCCAGATCTTAGCACTGCATACTGCCAGTTCGGCTCCCATGGGACTCGTGCCGTGGTTAATGTGGACTGCGTTGATGAGCATGGCGTCCCCATCGCGGAATGTGCGCGGTCGAGACTGCGCGCGTTGCACGATCTGCTGGAGCGTGATACTCAAACCGCTCTCCTAGTAGGGTTCGAGGTGGAAGTCATGTTCCTGCGACCACGGGAAGAAGGGAGCAAGGTTATAGACTTCGACGCAATCAATTGCGAGCATTCGTTCAGCAGCATGACTCCGCAAGACCGAACATACTTGGATCTGGTCGAGGCTGTGGCCCATGCCTTGGCGACCGTAGGGATCGCGTTGGAACAGTTCCACGCCGAGGCAGGCCCTGGTCAGTGGGAGTTTGTGCTTCCGCCGGCACGCCCTCTCCAGGCGATTGATCTGCTCCTGCGGGCTCGCGAAACCATCATGATCGTGGCCCGAAGCTTTGGTCTACGGGCGACCGTCTCGACGCAACCCATCCCCGACAAGCCATGCAATGGTGCCCATGTGCACCTGTCTGTCAACCCTTTGGGAGGCCATGAAGAAGCCCAGACTCTGGCAAGCGTAGAGTCCTTTTTCGCCGGAATTATGAAGCATCTTCCTGCAGTCCTGGCGTTTTCGCTTCCCCATGATATCAGCTACAGTCGTGTTGCTACGGGGATCTGGAGTGGAGGTGAGTATGCCGCCTGGGGATGGGAAAATAAAGAGGTCGCACTGCGCCGAATTCAACACAATCGGTTTGAGCTGAAGTTAGTGGACGGCCTATCGAACCCGTATTTGGTTCTGTCGGCAATTCTCAGTGCTGGGCTGGACGGGATGGTAGCCAACTTGCCCCTGACTGGGGGCCACTGTCATAAGGCCGCTGCCCGGCTATCTTCGGAGGAGCGCGAGCGGCTTGGTGTCAAAGTCATGTTGCCCTCGACGCTCGATGAGAGTCTGGCGGCATTAGAGGCCAACCGTTGCATGCAAACTAGGATGGGGGACTTGGTGTCGGCCTATACCTGCCTCAAAAGAGGGGAGGCAGCATACCTTCGTACGATGGACGACGATGAACGGAGGCGCTGGCTCATTGCCCGGTACTAGAAAGAAAACTAGTATCTCACTCTGTCGACTGTGGACTACTTCGTGCGGTGCCACTTGCTCGTCCCATTGCCGTCAAAATTGCGTGTAGGGTTGCTCTCCGTCTATCTAGGCTCCAGATAGTTGTCTGCCATGAATACTCACATTGACGGGCACTCTGTGGCAAGAAAGTAAGCTCTACGTCGGAAAGAGAATCTCACATGGGATAAAACAAAGGACAGTGAGTAACCTCCGCTGAGCCAAGGAGAGCAGTAAATTGAAGCACATATCGGAATTCGTTGCCAGCCATGCGTGCGACTACTACAAAGAAACCCGCCCTTATTGACCCACACGCGAGAAGCTCAACTTTGCCTGTCGCCCTTGACATTGATTCCCTTCCTCTCAGTATGCTTTTCATGTAGCTGGATTCCATTCACAGCTTAGATTCTGGGAACGGAAACAGGAATTCCTCGACCAGATCCCTCACCGCGCGTGCAATTCCGAAGCTGAATATATAGCCGCCGCCCGCAACACCTGCACGATAAATTGTTAAATACTTTGGGTACTAAGATGGCTGACGGATGATTCTTCTGCACGCACCGTATGCATGAACTATCTTTTGTCCTTCGCTAACCGCCTTTTCGACGCGGACACCAGACTTTCGAGATGGGCGAAGACCCACGTTGTGTCCAATGATCTCACTATCCATCGGATTTGCTGAAAAGTGCTCTGGCAAATGCCGATTGATCCTTGTGAAAATCTAAACTCAGGGTCAACATTCTTGGTCCGTAAGTGGGCCGGATGTCTGCTTACATCCTGCACCAGGTCCCAGTCAACGTCAGGAGATCTTTGGTACGATAGTGAGTATAAATGAATAACGTCGCCGGCAATTAGTTTATCGGGTCTTACACTGAATTCTTTTGCCTTGTGCCACCAAGCACGACCGTCCCATCCAGTCGAGGTATCGCATAGGTATATGTTTCGCCGGTATCATGCATGAAGAGTTTATCGTAGCCGCTCTTCACAACGACGGTCTGACCTCGGATCGTCTCGAGATCATGATCATGCACATCCTGCAATGTGAGCGAGCCAAATCCAGTGGCATTAATCAAAATGTCATGACCAAGTTCACGAGCGTCGGACAAAGACTTGAGATCCATACGTCTAAACTGTACTCCTGATTTTTCAAGCTTCGTCCTGAACCAGGGGAGGAAGACGTCAGGTCTGAGAATAAGAGACTTGTCTAAGGGATACATCAGCTCAGTTGATAAGGTGGAATTGTGGTTGACTCACAGGAAGTTCCAATTCTGGCGCCTTGGGGCAAGGTTTCGGGAGGAAGGAAATGGAACTGAAAGATGTTCTTCAGGCCATGGACGTGAGTTATCGCCAGGTCAGCCAGCTAAACATACCTCCGGCATGTAATCCTTCCACCAAATATCGTCCTCTGTTTTGTCATCGTGGAAGTCCTCAATGGTGATCTGTTTGATACTAGAGTCTGGGTATGCAATACTCCAGCGCCACAGCTCAGCAAATGCGTCGAGTTGCATTTTGGCTTCGCGAGCCGAAGAACACCCTCCAGCGATGAAACTGGCTCCAGCCCATGGGCTGGTCCACGCGATTGTTGGCTCGTCACCGGGGAGGTTCCTCGCAATTATGGTGACTTTATGGTTTCGTGAGAGAACAGAAGCAGTTGCCATGCCAATAATCCTGCGAGTGAAGACATCACAGTCAGCCAGGCAAGACAGGAAAGAGCAAGACCCTGGAGACGATATGGCATACCCTGCCCCGAGGATGGTTATCTGAGCCATTTTGTTGCACACGGTCCAGGAAGGTCGTTGTTGGAGTATGGCGAAGGCAAACATTGCGCTTTTAAGATGGCGACGGCGGTCACATGTGGACGCTGATGGATCCCCTTGAGATTTAGTAGAATACCTATCGGAGACTTGGCCGGTAGGTTCTATCGCTAGGAAGTCTATACAGCCATGTTACGATTATCCTGTCTCTCCATAGCCTCGCCTATGGTCCATTTCGGGAAAGCGCACGGAATGCAATGCTGGGTGGGTCGCTATGCAACTAGAGACCTGTACTATCTACTCCGCTCAATACCTCCCTCGCTGCCTCGGAATAAAGACGTGGACGTGTTTGATCTATAATCCACATTACTGGTCTACAGTCGGTCTCCGCTAAAATAATTCAGGCTCAGTGCTTGACCCAGAGACAATCGGAACGGCATCCGTAGAACGTCGGCCGGCAGACCCGACCCGGATGTCTTAAAAGGGTGGTCCTGCTCAAGAATTCACTTGACGAAACCATTGTCATATCAATGTTCACGGAGTGGGGTTCGGTAAATGTATCGATTAGAAAGCCGTAAAGTTTGGGGAAATCCGAACCTTGGTCTGGAGCTATATAGGGAATGCCCATTCCTGTGGCTTGGATAAGGCGTGCGGGGATATCTCTCTTATCACACCTTGTCGGGAACCAGTCCGTCTTAATACCCTCCTGCCACTTCCCTAACAAGCCAGCTGAGAAAGAGTTAAAGGTTCGTGAAGACGGTGCTGGTCAATGGCTTCCAGGTTGGGTTCACCTCATTCTCTGTCATATGTCTCCTCGTAGCGCTGATGGTACGTCCGCGTTGAGTCTCAATACGCCCGACAAGACGGAGGTCAAAGATAGGGCGCGCCTTAGACGCTCACCTTCATAAGCTGCCTCTGTTCGTAACTTGTTTTGGAAATTCTATCCTATTGCCGAGTCACCTCTTTGCAAATCAATAAATGTCACCCTAGCTAGGATGGTTGGCCACTTCTACTCTCATGGCCAAGACGATGATTGGGCTAGAAGTTCTATCCGTTCTTGCGGCCTTCGACGTTTTAGGATTTGTGCCCGGCGTCATGGGTCTCTTATCTGTTGCAGCACTCATCATCTGACGAAGGGCCGACAGACAGACAGAGCAGGGTGAGGCACGACCATCAAGAGCCGAAGTGGAGCCTCTCGCATAATGGCCGAAAGAGGCAGGTGGGGCGCCGTCGATTCTTCTATGCAGTAGACTTGGTTGGTGTATTGCTCTTGGGGGGTCGATAGAACTGCCTAGCCGGCCGATTAAAGTCTCTTCCTGGGCCTTATCAGCGATTGAGGTGACTCCACAGATCAAAGATTCGTCCCACTCGCGGCAGAGAGGAGAGAAAAGTCCTGGATAGCACGACCCCGCATTGCGGGGAACCCTAATTCAAAAGCAAGTCACATCTTCTTCTTCTTCTTCTCCTCGTCGACGAAGCCACCAGTGATTCCAGCCTATCCAGGCTAGGCATCCATTGCCCGGTCAAGACAGAAGACAGTTTTGAGCTACTCTTCCATGACAGCCTATCGAGTCCGATTCGCCTCACCAGGCGGTCCATGCCGCAGTACTGTCAGGCCTGCGTCCGCCATCGGATCCCATCCCTCGGATGCCACAGAACCCTCCTCTACGCGACAAAGAAGCCGCTCAGGTTGCCGCGAATGTCGGCAACGAAAGGTTAAATGCGATGAGACCTATCCTGTGTGTCAGCGCTGCCAGCGGCGAGGGTCGCTCTGTCGGCCCGACCTACGCACATCGCATTGGCGGTTTGAAGTCCCATGGCTGACGGATACTCCATTAAAGGATATACCTCTCGTGCCAATTGTAGACAGCAAGGTTGATGTTCGGTTGATGCGCTACTGGCTTGTGGCAACCAGTCAGATGTTGTCTGTCGATTCCAGCAACAACCCTTTTTCATTTCCAATCCTCAGATATGTTACCGCTTCGCCGTCTCTGGCCCACTTGCTTCAGTCCGCTAGTGCAGCACAGGAGGCATACTTTTACCAGCCTAAAATGTCAGTGAGCCTGGAAAAGCGAGGCCAGGCACTTTCCGCTTTGCGACAAGAACTCCAAACCCGAAGTAGCTCCTTATCACATTGCTTCCTGACCCTTCTAATGCTCGGTATGTCCTCATCGTGGATGACAGTGGGCCCCACGGATTACGGAAGGGAGCACCTTGTCGCCGCTCGAGCCGTAGCGGACATGATTCTGAAAACGAGGGATTCAAAAATGGAGGAGCTAGATCACCTCACGATGGGTATTTATGTCTACTGGGATATGACTTGTTCCTTTTGTCTAGACCCCGTAGATCACCTCATTGAACGAGACAACTCCCTCAAGATGTACGTGAAGCAGGCTCGTCATCAGTTCCACCCTATCACCACTCACTCGATAGACCTGTATCATCTCCTCGGACAGATCAGTCGGTACTGCCGGATGACGGTGGATGGAGGCGGTCGTAATCTCGTCCTTGAAGCATATTCTGAGAAGAGCTTGAACGAATACAAGTCCATCGAAAGCGACGCAACGGCCCAGTTGCTCACTGAAGCCTTTCGAAAACATGGCCTTCTTCTTCTTTATCGCTTCTGTGGGAAGCCTGGGTTCTGTGAAATTACCACCCCCGTTCTGGCGGAGACTGGGCACTATATACATCAGCTCGCACTGGATATCGTGGAACTGATCTTGCAAGTCAAGTCCACTTCACCTTATCTAAACCTCCAGACGGTACCACTGTTGAGTGCAGGGGCAGAAATGACATTGTGTGACGCACTGCAACGCAATCAGATCCGGCAACGACTGAAAGAGGTATATTCGACGAATCGCTTGGTGTCCACGCTGTGGGTACTGGAGCTTTTGGAAGAGTTATGGGGAGTTCACGATACGGGGAGCACACATATCACGTGGCTGGAATTAATGCTGAACAAGAACTGGCGGTTAAGGGAGGGCTAAACACTTGCAACCAAGCTGTAACTATAATCCTAATAGTGGTCAGGAGGGTACGCCGTGCGATTCTTGTTCCACGCTTCCTTCATGGAAGAACATATTACTCTTCCAAAAGCAGTGTCAATCATGTAGATCTACCCGGTGCACTGCCCCCGTCCTAACAACCCCTCCTGAATTGACTGCGGTACATAATCTTCTGGAGGTGGGGGACTAGATCATTATCTCTGCATATTCGCATGGTGATAGCTTGCGATCAAACTGTCTGTCTTCGAGTCGCAGTTATTCGCATTGAATCTCTCCGTCTGAATTCAGCTTTGCAGAGAACTATGGTTATAGACCAGGATGATGATCCGAATAACACCAGGGGTGCCAATGTGTTGCCCTCGAGCGAGCAGAGCACGGTGACCAAGAAGGCAGAGGTTGATCTCAACGGCGTTGCGAAAACCCTCCTCGTCACTCTTGTTGCCCGAGCTTATGATTTCTCCACCCCTCGACCCATTCTCGGCGATCCATACGCTCAAGATGTGTTGGAGCGTCTTGACTTCGAGGTTACCACAATGACTATGACTCCTAACCAGATGGCGACCATCGCTGTCCGAACGAGACAATTCGACCGCTGGGCTTCAGACTTCCTCCAACATAATCCTGACACTACTGTTCTGCATCTGGCATGTGGCCTCGATAGCCGGATGGACCGTGTACAATGGGGCAAAAACACTCGGTGGGTTGACATTGACCTTCCAGAGGTCATTGCGCTTCGCAAAAAGGTTCAATTTACCTCCTTCCCTAGTCGCGATTACTCTCTTCTCGGAGTTGACGTTCTCAATGAGGATTGGATACATGGAATTTCCACTGACGGGCCGGTGCTTGTCGTGATGGAGGGACTACTGCCCTATCTTCATGAAGACGATGCGAGACGACTGTTACAACGAGTGTGTGAAAACTTCCGCTGGGGGGAACTACTTTTTGACTGCATTAATTCTGCTACTCTACGAAGCCTGAATGAAAGGATGCCAATACAGTCCATTCGCAGCACCGGCGCCGAGTTTCATTCCGCCGTGGACGATCCCAAGACTCTAGAGCTCTTCCATCCTGGTTTGAAATTGGCTGAATCGATTCGTCTCCCAGAAGCTCCAGGGGTTGAACAGTTCCCTCTTGACTTTCGTGCGCTGATGTATTTACGTTCTTGGGTGCCTGGGGTACGGGACAGCGCAAGATTCCTGCGCTTCCAATTTGGCGAAATTCGCACCGTTGCAAATGAATAGTGGACGCCCATCTTGAGAGTCCTGCACACAGGCCGGCATAACGGAGCTATATGGATTGAATATTCTCCGCCAACAAGAAGAAGGGTCTTCAATAGATGTGATTGGCTGCGCAGGCCCTACTAGCCTGAGGGTCCGTTCATTTCCTAATACCCTGCCATCCCCCAGGCCCTGTACTTGCAAATTGAACCATTTCAACTTAAGCATTTTCCAGGTTGGAAGCCTCCTCACCTACACTCCTGTTTACGTCATAACACTAAGGTAGCCCTATGCAGTCTTGCTCCTCTCAAAGATCCAAGTATATATGATGGTATTCTAGGACAGGTGGATTTCAACTACGAAAATGGTGTGGAAATAGCAGTAATTGTCAATAGGGAGCGACATGAGGCAACCCTTCATGCCAACTGTGTCGACTATATCGTGTAGAACCGTGCTGCAGAATGAGATGAAATGATTCTTTAACGTATTCGGACGCTGGACTCGAGCCCCGTTTCTCTTTCGTAAGCAGGTATAGTGGATATGATTGGCCTGCTGTGTTTCCTTACTCCACCTTGAAGTAGCAGATTGAAGCCTAGGGTCACCGCAGCCAAAGCCCGGGAACACTACTATACATATAAGATAGGGCATATATAGCCTGACACCTGTAGTGAGCGCAAAGCAATAGATGGGGTATACCAGCGACAATAACACCACTTAGATGCCATTGAACTATCAACCCACTCCGCTCTGCCCTATGGTATTAGCTTATCCACTTATCTACACTAATATACACCAACACCGGTCTTTCGCGTCTAGCAACTGTCTCCCCGAACAATCACGTTCCAGTTGTCCGAATGGAAATCCTGTCCCGAAAGCTTCACTCCTCCTCTTTGGCAGTTATTGAGAATCACCTGGGCTCCATCAGCGATGTTGTTGAAGCTGGGAAGAACCTTGGTGAAGGTATTCTGTTCAAGATGTGAGCACAGCGCTTGGATATAGTTTGCTACGAGACTTACATCATTGCACCACCAGATGGCAGCGCCCCATGAGCAGCTGACCCGTCCACAGTTTCCAGGTCCAGGCCCGTTCGAAGGTTGTCCGGAAACTCCACGCAAGTGCTTGATACCGGCTTCGATATCACCACGGCGCGCCTTGGGCCAGTTGTTGCACTTGATATCGTCCCGTTTGTCAAGTACGGCTGCCTCCCGCTTATCCAACACGGCGGCAAAGTCATCATCGTAGTTGGGGTTGATCTCTAACAGCTGCGCGTGCACTTGCTGGACTGTTCCGTTGAGGATCACCTTGGGTCCTCCCGGGGTCGTCTCAACCTCCCACGAGGGCTCCTGAACACCATATCCCGGGATTGGAGACTCATCGAGCGCTTGAGCCTGCGAAGAGGTGTTATGGAGAGCTCTAAGTTCCCATGCTAGTACCGATTGAGGGACTTACTGCAGCAATAAAGCCGGCGGCGAGGATAGAAGCAAACTGTGTCAATCTCATGGTTGCGAAGAGACGTCTAGATTCGAATACTAGTTGATTGAAGGAATGGTGATGAATCCTGCTGAATGAATTCCCCATGTGGGAGTAACCGTCCTCCCTTTTATACTAGTACAGTCACTATGAAATATAAATATACGTTCTTCATCAGGTTCCACTGTAGTTGTTAACAAGCCAGGATGGGTTCACTTCAAGGCATTGCTGCTCCATTTCCTCGCCCCCAACACCACTAACAAAGCACCCTGAGTAAGCCATTGGCGGCCAATATAAGACATTTAAGGCTGGTAGCTGGGAGACCCACATAGGTCGTATCTAATCGGACTAGAAATTTCTCACGATAATTTTGCCCACGTTGGTTCTTGACCCATCTGGAAGACCATGCCTCAGTAAGTCTGCAAACTGTAGCATATGGAGGTATTTCCTCCCTGTGGACGTGATAAAACGATCCGACTGAGGGCAACTGTCATGTGTCGAGAGTCAAGACCTTCCCAACAGCTCTCTTCCCAGAGCTGGGGGCCAGAGGTGTGAAGGCCCAGAAATAATGCCGAATATACTCCACCAGCTCAGAGGGGATTCACGCAGTCAACCGCCAAGGTGTGCCCACCGGCGGAATATACCGATTCGGACATTTCTTCGCCCAATTTCCGGTTTCTTGTGGGGTGATTCTGCAACATTGCTGAAAGTGGGGCATCTTGGAAATCCTGCTCTGTAGACTCTGATGCCTTGCAGGAACGGATGCCTGGTTGTTCTGGAACCCTGATGCCTCTGTGGGTCAGGCCAGGGACACTAGGGCTTATTTGCACTAAGGGCTGCTAGGGCTGTGATTGCATGACCATGGCAATATATAGGGCTCTTTGCTAAATGTGACCCACTTATGGAGTCCTCTCGGCCCCCAAGTCACCAGGTGGGCTGCACGCTAGCATGGCCAACTATTTGTCCCTAGTTTCTTGTTGCCTCGTTGATATGATTTTTAAAAAGCTAGCTGGGTGACGGCGTCGGCTTAAGATCAATATCCACTCATCAGAATGCTTGCCCCGATTATTGGTCTCGTGTTCTCGCAGTGAGTGGAACTTTGAAAGCCTAGCCGATTGCTATGTAATCATCAACCGTCCTAGCTATAGTAAAGGCTAATGTATACCGCGCAATATTCGATGGGCAGTGTATAGGTTCCTCCCTCGTAGGTATATGAGGAACCTTATCTCCGATACTACATGAATCAGGCTATGTGGCGTGGTATATGCGTTCAACACCCTAAAGTATTTATATATTATACGTCTTCCACTATCTTATAACCAATTAATACATGCAATACTCACATCAAGACGGATGGTGATGGCTGAATTAGGGTCAACTAACCGAACAGTAGCTGCAAGTTAATCTCAATGAATGTCATACATCACTGATTCTAGGAAGCACGCAATTCACCTTCAGGAAAACGTAAACACGTCTTTGAATAGAAAGAGCATTGTTCCCTGTTGGATGATAGTGGATGTGGAATAGTTCCTTGACTTGACGTTTCTCTGCACCAGGAGCAAATCCGGAACCCAGGACTTTGTCTCAAAGGAGCCAACCTCAATGAGAGACTCGTTGCTGGAGGGTTTGTCATACAGGGGAGTGTATGCGCCTCAGCTGTCGACAGACTTTAAATAACCTTCCTCAAGGACTTTTAGATAACAGTCTTCTTTCCCGCTACCTTTGAATATCAATGTAGCTTGGAATGGTCCTTTCCATTTACTCTTAGAGCTTCACTGGATAGATGTCCAGGCTACATTTAGTGTATTTACGTGCGCATATACAGTCGATCTTTACCCCTCTAACAATAACTGAATCCCTCGTTCCGTAGTGGCTTCCGCATGCCTTGCTCAGGGCTGCTGCTCCCTTGGAGCATAGCCTCAACGCCGACCATCCCTAGCAAACAACGATGATATTCCGGTCAATTCCGAGGATCAACTCAGGCATTTCCTAAGAGACACAGACATTTACCATTCGAGAACTCGCGAAATTATCAATTCACAACCCCGATATGATTTGCATTGTACATACCTAGTGATTCTCGTTTGAAAGGGATATATATAAAGAACGAACACGGCTATCCATTTTCAATTTATGACTATCAGGGTCTCTCAACCTTTGCCTCATTCTTTGCTAGTTCATCCAATCCTTGTCTACTACTCATCGTGCGATCCTGCAGTTCCAGTTAGCATGACCAACAGAAAGAATACATCGAAGATAGTCATCACAGGAAGCTAATGAAAATAACCGACCACGGCCTTGGATGGAGAACAGACGCCTGTTCAGTATTGGTTTAGTTCAAGAAATCATTAGAACTCCGATCAAAACAGGCGAGAAAGGGAAAAGAAACAAAGACGAAGAAGTAAAGAAGGAAAGAAGAAGCAAGCTTGCCAACCCAGGGAGTATTGACGACCGCGCCCACACTGCTCATATTAATAATGCGTCCCTTGGAAGTGATGAGCAGGTCAGTCACTGCATGCTTGGACCAGCCGGGGTAGGCCCCACACATTCACCTCATAGGCTTGCTTCGCGCAATCAAGGTCAGCTTCCAGTAGAGGCATAGTGTACCCCGTCCCGACATTATTGACCAGAATATCGAGACCATGGCCATGCCCCATTGCCGCGCGCAGAACGTCAGCAGCCGTGGTAGGGTCCGTCCTACCCAGTGGCAGCACCTGCACGTTCGTCAGGGATGTCAGGCTCTTCGGGCCATAGCGAGGATAAAGTGGCCCTGCTAGGGTCTTCCCTTAGCTGTGAAACGAGTGAGGCGTTATCGCGCGCGAGGGATGTGCTCGCCATAACGGCCTCGCACTCACTCAAACCATGCCGTAGAAGTCCATATTAAGAATGATATTGAACGTCTAATTGTAGACGAAGGAGGCTATTGGGCGTCTACTGGGTTTTGGGTCAGTTTGGGCCGAAACAGCACGAGCCGAGTGCAGCCAGTCCCGGTGGGGGGATGAAGACGACGATGATAGGGATCCTACACAGAGGAGCTTATCCGGACACATCTAGTCCTCTACTGCCATGTGAGTGAGTATCACCAGACGATAGGGCGGGACAGCAAGTGTTGGGGAATGGAAACAGAACGTCGGCCAACCCCAAGTGGAAAACCATCCATCCCTGTCGACGGAGTTACTAGTACAACGTCCATCCGGTAAAGTCCGCTATCTCCGTTAGGGCTTGCCTTTATAAATTTGAGGCTGGTTATCCTTTTGGCGATGATGCCCACACGATTAACTACAGTGTATCTTTCCATCGATCATGGGCTCTAAGAAACTCACCTGGCTCATCACCGGCTGCTCATCGGGCTTGGGCCTGTCCCTAACTCGCGCCGCTCAGGCTGGTGGCCACAGGGTCATCGCCACCTCACGCAACCCTGCTCGCACCCCCGATCTGGTCGCAGAAGTCGAGGGAAAGGGGGGCAAATGGGTCCAACTCGATGTCGATAGCGCCCAGAGCGGTGATGTGATTACCGAGCTGGAGGAGGGGGGAGAACCGATCGACGTCCTTGTTAACAACGCGGGGGGTTCTATCTACGCACCCATTGAAACCAGCACCGATGAGGAGATTCGCGCCCAGATGGAGACCATGTACTTTGGCCCCTTGCGCCTGATCCGCGCAGTGCTGCCTCACATGCGGCAACGTCGATCCGGTGTCATTGTCAACATGAGCAGTGGTGCTTCGCTGGATGGCATCCCCACGATGGGAGTCTATGGGGGTGCTAAGGCTGGTCTGGACGGTATGGCAAATCCTCTACTCGCGGGAATTCGCTTTGCCGATCTTTCTTGTAGCTGACAATGGCACTCTAGCTCTCACCAAGATCCTCGCTAAGGAGGTTGCTCCCTTCAACATACGGACTTTGACTGTCGTTCTGGGGACTTTCAACACCAATATGCCCCGGTCGGTAGTGCTGGGCAAGACCCCTCTGCCCGACGACTACAAGGGCACCATTACTGAGCAAGTGCAAGGGCTTCTGGTGAGCGGAAGGATTAAGCCCAATGGCGACAAAGACAGGGCCATGCAGGCGCTATATGAGGTGGTAGTGGGCGAGGGCGAGGGCGAGACACACGAGACGGAGAAACTGCTGCCGTTGGGGAGTGACATGACTCCTCGCCTCAAGGGAGTGCAGGAGTATCTCGACCACGCCCTGAAGGTGTTTGGCACCGTGACCAACAGTGTTGATGTGGGTGGTGTGGATAAATAGATTTGGCAAATAGAGAAAGAAAAAAAAAAGATAGGCCCGAACCCGGGATCGAACCGGGGACCTCGCGCAGTCAATGCTTTGGGTGAACCCTGGAGATGTTGTTAGTAAATTGAAAGGTGACGATTCGATTGGTGAAAGTGAGGCTTACTAAGCGCGAATCATACCACTAGACCATCCGGGCGGTGGATGTCTGCTTTCTTCTAATAGACCTACATAAGGAAAACTCAAATGGAGAGATTTCGAGAATGAAACAGACCTGCCAGCAAAAGCAGACTATGAGAAGACGAAGTCGTAAGGTCGATTCGTCTTGTCTCCCTTGGAGAGTGTAGCCTGTCATTCCCAGGGCTTTAATAGCAACCATTGCGATCAGTTGTTGAGCCACAACGTCCGGTGCTCGTGTCCGGATATATATTTTCGCCTGGGATCCAATTCTCTATTGCACCTCGTTACCAAATGACTCCCTACCACCAAGACTTCCCTAAAAGATACTAGTTCTTCTCTTTGCACTCCCCGATACGTATATATATATATATAAACGCATCAAACCAGAGAATCCTAATAAACACTCGCTCGAGTTTTGCAAGACATCCCCTGACGCGAGTGGTAGAATCAATGGACTGCCCCTTGTAGCAGGCGGTCACCAGCTCCCCGTGATGATCTGTCCTCAGGCATCCAGGGTTCTTGTGCGATGTTGGATCTTTCTTTGCTTTTCAGTCTAGACTCTAGGCAGTGTAGCAGCCTTGATGAATCTGTGGAAATGGTCTTCTCATTGGGTGCTAAGGCCACTGTGCGGTGACACTCGCCATGGTATCAAAGGTCGAGTATTAACGTCAAGGAGGTTCAGCCCCTTAATCTCCGTCTTCTAAAAATACAAGTTATAGCAATGTCGGGATTAAAACCCATAATCATCCCATGCTCCCGACATCCCCTGTACGCCAATCTCAGCCTCGGCGTCTCTAGCATTGTAATCATTGGGCCCTGAGCACCCGGATACCTATCAGATAGGCAGTGCTAATTGGGCCTCATGGTCCTGAACCTGGTCAAGACGATGCGTGCGATTGGCCCACCGTGTTAGCTCACCACCCGATTCCTATGTTGACCTGCTTCAAAACCGACCTAAAATGGACCAGTAGCTTTTAGCGCCGACGAGTCCAATCACTCCCAGAGCCAACCCACCAACCTGGACGCTCTAACACAGCCTCGCGGGGTAATGTTGACCCTATATATATACGGACGGTTGATCTCCACCTTGGTCGCAGACAAGCCTTGTCAAACCACCTCACTGCGGAGGGAAGGCAAACATGAAATTGAACCCTCGTGCAGCAACGGTGCATGACGTTGATAACCACGACAATCCCATCCTGCATAGTAGGCGATCGGCGATGCGAGTCAAAAAGGAAGCATCCCCGTCCGCACCCCGGAAGAACACTCTCAATCACGCCATATACCCTAGGGTCACTATCGGCGAGTCTATCATCAGCGGCCCCATCGAGCACATGGTCAAGGCGCTCGGTACGCACCGGAGCAACCCGCTCACGATCTTTACACGGGGTCGGAATGAAAGCCGCGAGTGGAATGAGATCAGCGGATGTCAGTTTCGGAAGGTGTTTTTTACCGGTAGGATGCTCTACTCCGCTGGTTACCCCGGTCGCAATAAGATAGAAGCTGAACAGACCCGGAACGTCAGATGAGACTGAAATTTTGAAGCCCGATGCAGTCTATGAACGCCAGCAGTCCGTTCGTCTGACTGCGTTCATCCCCAAAAAGGATGAAACTCACCCAGACCCGAGGATCTATGTGGAGCAAAGAGTTTATCGTGGAGGACAGGAACAGATCGTCTTGCATGAACTAGGCTTCGGTGGGCGCATCCAAGTAGGTGTCGAGTATGTTTTCGCGGGATGTGGAGATGAACACGTCAACTGGGGGAAGCGCGATCTTCTGCTACAAGTCCAATCGGTACGTTGAACACATCTCTGAGCTTTCTAGATCTTTCATTTACAGTGGAAAACAGCTGGATCAGGATGTATTTGATAGCTACATGCACCAAGCGAAGTACTACGGATACGATCACACGTACTGCATTTACGTGAATAGACACATGGTATCGAATGGGGTAAACCATAGGCTACCAATCCTGGACCAGAGCAGACGGTCGCCCTGCAATATTTGCTTTGATCCGGATGATCTTCAGGCTCTGCTGAAGGCCAAGGGTGTCATGCCATCGAATTCTGAAGTGCCCTCGACGACAGAGATCGAGTTGCTGAAACTGCGTTTGCGGGGGCTTGGGGATTGTACGGAGGATGGCATGGCTTCGGGTGACCTTCATATTCGTATCATCTACAAGCCGTGAGATATGAGACTCGGGTGAGCTTTTTCTTTCGAATATTGGTTGGAACGGTGTATTGGCAATAATTCCCGTGTGATCAACTTTCCTCTATAGCCAGAGTATCGTCTGTACCCGACAATGTCTATCTAATCTTCGACTTAGCCACAGTTTGGAGAGCATATCCACACGCAGTATTGCTGCGTCCTTTCCTTTTAACCTCTAGATGAACTTCCGCATCGTTGGAGCAAACGAACTTCAACGGAGAAAACTTCTTAATCATACTAGTAGTCATACCGGAGATGACCATTACCCACCCTGCTGAACGCACGGTCAGCCAGAGCAAGCAGGTATCCGAGTACGCATAAACCCAGTGGGCTTCAAGTATTCTAGTGCCTAACTAGGGGATATGCGCCGCTAAATACACCTTTGTTTTTATTAAGAGTATCTGGTATCAATCACCGCGGCTATTTCAAACCTACTTTGGATGATTACATCGATTTCGGCCAACCCCTCCCCCCCAACTCTCCTTTAGACAGAAGTTGAGGTCAAGAAGCAGTATTAATGTGGACACCAGCAGCAGCTCCATTCCAGGCTCGTCAACAGCCTGCCGTTTTCCCAACAATACTACTTTCCCGACGAAAGATGATAGATATACAACCAATTAAGAGCCGTTTCTATGGATAGGGGTCAAATGCACATTCAACGGACCCCGCTGCCACATTAAAATGTTTTTCTGCTGGATCCAATCCTGCGAATCGTCTGACAGCTTCATGTCAAAGTTGAAGATCATGAGGGCTAAAGTCAGACGCATCTCGCTATATGCGAGGCTGAAAGAGGATCGGTCAGTTATCCTCATTCCCTGGAGAAGAATACTCGACTTACTTGCGACCTAAACAGCTTCTGGGACCAATATGGAACGGTTGGAGGACGTCACGTCGATCATTCAAGAACCGAGGGTCCCCGAGGAATCGTTCCGGGTGGAACGTGTCTGGATCTGAGAAATACTCCTCACGCCGATAGAGAGCCCAATGGTGAACCGAAACATATATCTGTACAGCCGAGATTAGCCATGAACGGATCTCTAAACCGGATTGCCAATACTCTCTCTGGAATCCGAGCTCCTAATATTTGCGCTCCACCCTGCGGAGTGACCCGCGGAGGGCCAATAGCACCAGGTGGATACATGCGCAATGCCTCGTCCAGACAGGCCAGCATATACGGTAATTTAGCAACCGATGTGAGGTTGATATCCTCCTCGCTATTGAACGCCGACCGTACTTCCTTTGTTAGAGTCTGGTAGGCTTCCGGGTTTTTGAGAATTAGATAGGTAGCACCGGCGAGCAATGTAGCCGTCGTCTCGGAGCCGGCAATCACCAAAGTCTCAGCATTGGCAGTTAGTTTATCGACGGTCAAATTCTGGAGTAGTTAGCTAGTAGCCACCCCTGATCATTCACGGGAAGTGTGTACCAGCTCTTCCTTCTTCTTCAAAAGTCCTTCGATCAAGTCAGGCCGCTCCTCCGCGACTGCCATGCGACGAAGCATCTTTTGCCGTGTGAATTCGTTCAGGCGCTCACGCCTCTCACGTACCGATCGGGGTACCAAGGCCAGCAAGACCTGTTTGAATAACGGGGTGAATGACAGGGCCTGTAGAACAGTGGCGAAGCGGAACGCCATGAATATACTCTCAATCCACTCGTCGTAGCTTGAAGCTTCCAAACAGCCGAATGATTCACCGAAGGAGAGATCGCCGATGATATCAAAGGTTGTATAATTGTACCAGGCGGAAAGATCAACTGCCTTCTCTCCGCATCCAGCTTTGCACAACCTCTGTAGCAGAAGATCAAGATACCCCCGGATCATTGGCTCCTGATCTCTCAACCCCTTGTCTGAGAAGCTGTGTGCTAATTGCCGACGCAGACGACTGTGCTGCTCGCGGCCCTCATTGAAAATATTTGGTGGGTCATAATCCAGAGGCCTGTAGAACCAACTAGCCTTTTCTAGATACAGGCCTCCCTTGATGTGGCCTAAGATATCCTTCCATGCGTCCGGGTGGGAGAAGGCGAGCTCGTCGGGGGCGATCCGAACAATGTCCCCATAGCGTTTATGCAAGTCGAGCATATCAAACGCAAGAGTGCCCTTGAAGATGCGAATGAAGTAGGGCAGACGTGAGGCGGCGTGCGATACCGGACCAGGATATCTGGCCAGTGGATGGAAAAAGACATTATAGACCGCATTGCTCACTACGTAAAGAGTGACCTGTGCCGATTAGAGAGACGCACCGCAATGTGTATAGGGCGAACCTACCACTGCCGCACAAGTCACCGCCCATGATATGGCATCGTGGGGGATATGAAGAATGTTCAACATCGTAGAAATCCTCTAGACTTGGATATTAGTGTGAGAAGATATCGCAAGGGTGCGGTTCAGTTCCGCCTCGTACCTACCTACTCCTGCCCCCAAATGCGACTGGCTGTATCAATGATGACAAAGGGTTCCATTCCTTCTATCCAGTGATCTACAGGAATTAAATAGCGTCGTTGGGAAGCGAGCATTCCCTGTCACCGACTTGCGCGCTTGGACCGTGGTTAAGCCGCAAGCAGATTCTCACCTGCACCCGAGATTGATAGATTAAGTAGTTACCGTGGATCAATCTCATGTAACTCTTAAAGTTCTAGGAGTCATCTATCCTCGTAGTGTATGGATTCTTCGCGCGTTGCTCTCTCCTGATCATGACAGAGAATCTTCAGGGCTCTCGAGGAAGCTCATGATCATGAATCCCTGATGGGCTTTGACTGATTGCTGCGCGATCTAGGCGGCTTCGGCTACTCCGGCCTGAAATAGTTTCAGTCTTCATATTTTAATTTACATTCCTCGGTGTATGCTTCTTGGTGCCACTCTCTGACCGGAGAACTCTTCCGTAGCTCCACTACTACATTCTGTGGATGGCACCGATCTGTTCCGCATGCGGTGAAGAGGTTTAGCGACCACAAACCCTACAAAAGTCGGTGATCTTTTCAATCAACCTTGACTGGCTGGGGCATTTGAAGGAAAAATTTGTCCATGTCAGCCAGCCATGAACTCGAGAAAATGTGGAGATCAAAAGGTCAATAGAGGAGTTCGGTCGGTATGCTGCATGCATCACGGCTACCCTTCCCTCGAGAGGCTCTGCCGTATTGATTCTCGCTCCATGAGGTCCATCCTCCAACAGGACATGTCATGATGGTTACATGATAGGATTAATCTGTCCACTGCGTCAAGTAAAGCTTGTATGTAGTACTCTTAGCTTCCGTTTTCATGCATACATTGGAATTCTTACCATCATCACGGCAAAACTTCAGTGCCTAAAATGCAACATTCTACTGAACTTTGTTTTAATAAGATCGAGCATTCCCCTACGCCCATGCGGAGGACCTCCAAATTACCATAGGTCTCCTTCTCTCTGCCTCCGAAGGAGAATAGAGACAACATGGATCCCAGGTCCACGGTATCTAAGAACTACACGCTTAAGATCAAGAACCGCCTCAATGCCCAAGCTGATCATCTCCCATTCTCGGCGCGCACCACGAACCCAGAGGCGTGGCGTCTGGTTGTCGAAAAGGGCCTTGGGCGTTTAAAATGGAAATATCTGACTTCACAGAATGAACGAGATTCGCACCCACAGGATATTGTTTCGCGATTCTTTCTAGGACTTCCTCTGGTTTGTGCATGATTTCATATTCTATCTTCCTCTGTGTGTCTGCTTCACATTTATTTCTTTATTGGTTTTTTGTTGCCCCATCTCAAACTCCAAGGAAAAACACAATACTGACTAAAGACCAGTCCATTCCCGATTTCGAGGCAGCAGAGCGCCCATCGCAATCCATATCCAATGGCCTCCGATTTCATAGCCGTCTCCAAGTCGCTGGACGTGGCTGCTGGGCGGCTGACATGAAATGCATTCTGTTTGTAACGCCAATGCTGATCATGTCGTGGTACATCACCGGCGCAGAGATTGAAGAGGCTTACGCGATTGAGCTGGTCAATTTTTTTTTTGAAATCCAGGACCCGATAGACGGCGGATTTCCCACATACATAGGAGGGAAGACCACGATCATGGGCACCATGTTGATCTATATTGCCCTTCGTCTTATGGGAATGCCCTCTGACGACGAGCATCTCGTCAAGGCAAGAGCATGCTTCTTGAAAATGGGTGGCGCGACGTATCTCCCGAGCTGGGCCAAGTTCTGGCTGGCTCTTCTCGGCTTGTATGGCTGGGAAGGCACCGACCCTTATCCCGTCGAACTCTGGTATGGCTCCTTTCCCTCCTGCTTGTCTCCCTTCGGTTCGGTCTAAGTTACTCCGTCTGTATTAACCATCTTCATCAAAACGCAAAGGCTCCTCCCGGAGTGGACCCCGATCAGCCCCTGGAGATGGTTCAATATTGTACGCCAAGTCTATTTGCCAATGTGCTACCTCTCCAGTAAAAGGTTCACCATTCCATCGAACCCTCTGCTAGATAAGATTAGAGATGAGATATTTACGCAGCCATATTCGTCTCTGGACTTTGCCTCTCTGCGGGGATCCGTCCTCGAGTGTGAGCGTCACCAGCCGCAGGGCCGCATCCTGCGCACGATCAATTGGGCATTGTCCAATGTGTGGAATCCATGGTTACGGCCCAAGATTCTGGCGGAAAGTGCCGAGAAAAGAGCGTTGGAAGTTATTAAAGCGTCCGATAAAACGTTTAACGGCACTGGATTGATCAGTGTGGATTGTTTCTTGAATATGATTGTCTTCTATCACGACGAAGGGCCCAACTCCAAGAGGTTGAAACAAAATCAAAACACAAGTCTTGAATATCTTTGGAACAGCCCGCAAGGGCTGCAATCCCAGAGCATCCATGGCGGGCACGTCTGGGAGACTTCTTTTGCCCTACAAACTTTTGCAATGTCCGGATTGGCAGACCATCCTGACCTGAGATGCTGCGTCGAAGATGCCTACAAATTCCTGCTTGAGCAGCAGCTGGTTGCAGACTGGCCGGACTCACCTCCATGCCATCGTCCCAGTCGCTTGGGTGCGTGGCCATTCAGCACGAAATATCATGGAACGGCGTGTTCCGACTGTACCGGGGAAGCATTAAAAGCAATTCTGCTGGTGGAAAGCCAGACAAACATTCCTCGGCGTAGCATTGAGAGAAACATCCGGCTAGGCGTCGATAACCTGCTCATGATCCAAAACGCAAGTGGAGGGTATAGCTCTTTCGAGCCCATTCGCAACGGTCCTTTCATGGAATGCCTAAATGGAACCGAGCTTTTTGCAAACGTGATGACGGAGTATGATTTCACGGAATGCACGTCGTCTTGCATCACTGCACTGAGTCTGTTCAAGAAGCGCAATAGCAGCTACCGAGCAGAGGAGGTGGTCCGCGCCATTGACCGTGGTGTTAACTTTATCCACCACACCCAGGGTGCAGATGGAGGTTGGCTGGCGTCTTGGGGAATTGCTTACACCTACGGTGCCTTTTTTGCCATGGAGGCTCTTCACTGTGTCGGGGAGACTTACGAAAACCATCCGGTTGTCCAGAAGGGGTGCGACTTTCTCCTTGACAAGCAAAAAGAGGATGGCGGATGGGGGGAAACCATTGAGGTAGGGCATCTAGCTATTGAGTCGCGTACAGGAATGCTGACCCCATAACGCACAGTCCATTCACAAGCAAAGTTATGCCCAGGCAGAAGTTTCCCATGTGGTTCAGACCGCATGGTGCTGTATGGCACTGCTATACGCCAAATATCCCCATCCCGAGCCAATCAAGAGAGGAATCCAGCTGATCATGAGCCGACAAAAGCCAAGTGGTGAATGGGAACAGGAAGAAGGGGTGGGAGCAGGGATCTTCACCTGGTAAGTCATGGACCTCCTGAGGAATGAGATGGGATCCTGACATTGTCTTTTATAGTCAACTCTACTATCTCAACTACATCTACTCGTTTCCAATCAGGGCCATTGCCCTGTACAAGGAGAGATATGGTGACGACAAGCTGCTTTGATTCAGGCAGCATCAGAGCTGGTTCAATCAAGTGATAAAAGGCTTCTACCATGAATAGCCTAAGAGATATCATGGTCACCATTCATAGCTACAAATTAATCCATGATGAACAATGCTGAGAACTGCCCCGTAAGGTCAGTTAGCTAATAGTAACTACTACATATTTATACAGCGTAGTATACAAGAAATACAGACAGCAATGGTATTCAGGATTATTCCAGTATGTGGCTATTGGTGCGCGCGGAGAGAATCAAAAGGTTGACCGTGGACAGACTCCGGTGTGCCTGCAAAAAACACGGTGAGGTTTCTGAGGGATTTGATAACTGCCTGGGGACCGCCCGACCGAGAGTATAGGTCTTGATCACCACAGCTCCTTGCCAAGCTTCCAGTACCACCACTGCCTTGTTTTATGTATCCTCAAGCATCCTCATGATGGCCTGGTTCTTGGTGAACCAGTCCCAAAGCTGAGCTCCCGAGAGATCCATCTCCATATCCTCATCCGCAAATGCCGTGTTCTGTAATGCTGTGGGCTCGCCCAGCCCATCTACAAGCCCCATTCTATCTCCATTAGCCTCGTCATGCGATGCCATGTGACCAGGAGCACCCGAAGTATTTGTGGTCCCCGGGTCTCCCACAATTGCTATAGAGTTTAATGTACCAAGCCCAAGAACGTTTGAGATCGTCGCGCCGAACGCATCGGCATACTCCTGCCGAGTCATCGACCACGACATCTCGCCTGGCCCCCCGTCCGCGCGGGATTTGACCTCGACATATTTGGCTGCGACGTCGTACAACGCCCTGAAGAGGCGACGTTGCTTGCTGCATGTGCTATGTGCGTGGGAGTTTGATGTAGACTCGAGCGTGTCGACGAGACCTCTCATGTGCTCGAGGTCTGAGACCTCGGGCGTTCGATGATGTGGCAAAACAGGATGATGAAGGGGATGAAGGGAGACTGGGTGATGGTCCTGCACCACCATGTCAGAATAATCTGGTCGACAACGGAACGGGGCATCATCCATAACGAACCAGTTAAGGTATGATTCAAGGAACACCGTTTTCCCTCGCGCCTTTGTTATGACCGCGACGCATCGGTCGTGTTCCTGGAGGGTGTCTCTGGCGGCATCGATGCATTCTTGACAAAATGTGGACGTTGATGGTTTCTCAGGGGCGATGCTTCGGTAGATGAGCGTAAGCATAGAAAGGCCGATGACTCGATCGGAACGTCTTGCAATTTCGTGGTAATCCAGTCCGAGCACTTGCCCTTTGCTCGCCTCATAATGGTCCTGTGGCCAGTCAGCCGTCTGCATGGTCTCGAGAGGCGATTGCGACAACTGCATGATCCTAGACAGGTAGTTGGGACAAACTCACATGGATGTCTTGCGCATGCTGCATGGCAGTTTTCAACTCTGACGCAAGAGCCCGGGCATGAGACGTCCGGATGTGCGCAGGTTGCTTGAGGGCTCCTGGACTGTAAATGTCGTCGTATATCCGGCCCTGTATGCTGGCCATTCTCATCCAACTGGGGGCCAGTTCGGCCAAAAAAGAACCGTTGGGACGTTCCATACCGATGCCGCTCAGGGTGATGTCCTGATCTCGGAAGGTCGATGAGCGACCTAGGCGCAGCGACAGCATCTTCTCCGTCACGTATATGGTGGAGAATAAGTTCCTCATCTGGGCCTTCCCTTCTGGCCCCTCTGTGCCCGTAGGAACATTATGTTGCAAGCCAAGAGCCTGCACCATATGGGAGGCCGAATTGACGAAATGCCACGCGGCAGATGGCTTGTTCTTCTGAAGGCAATACAACGACTAGTATGTACGGTCAGTCGGAACGGGACTCTTCAATTCACTCCCATAAAAAACAAACGAGCTGCTTACCGCCATGCCCATCGCATATGCAAAGTCCACATTTGTTGGCTGATGAAAGCGAAGGTTTGCAAGGACAGTCTCGAGGTTCGCCTCGCACATGGAAGCTTGTGCGTGGTAATCGTGCTTCGTGTCTTCGTCAGCGACGACTTTGGAGCATTCGCAGAACAGCCAGCACAGACCGCAGTGGACGATGATCAAGTCAGCTTCGGTAGCTGGACCAGGCGATGCGACTTTGATAAAGTAGTCGTTGAACTGGCTAGGCCTAATAAAGTCCCCCAACCACAGCGTGGCCACTTGCGGGTTTTCTCGGGCCATACGCAAGCACATGAACACCTTGTCGATGGGCGGTAGAGTGAGGTTGCGCGTTGTCGAGCCAGGTGGGATCGACTTGGCTTGAGTATAGAGTGTATCGAGCGTATCAGACTGCTGCTTCCCAGAATGAACGGCAACCCTGAGGCCGTTGAGAACGGCTTGCATTTCGTGGGCGACCTCGGCGTTGGCCGTGTTGTCAATGGCATTCTGCAGAAACCGACATGCGAAGACGGCGTGGGCGAACAGCGACGATTCGCCCTCGTACTCCACTTTAGACGAGCTGTCTTGCACTTCACGAACACCTACGCCGGTGGGATTGTACGGCAGGGACTCTTGGGTTGGTATAGAGCCTGGTGAGGGAGACGATGGCGTTAGTCCAAACGAGGAGGGTAAGCAGCGCTCCCCCTGGTTGATGTTGATAGAGTCTGCAAAGTCTATGGGTTGATAGATACTACTTTTTGTTGGCGCATGACTCAACTGGCTCACTCTCTGGCTGAGATCGTCGATTTTCCTCGATATTTCATCCAATTTGACATCACTTGATGAATATTAGCCTGGTGTTTTGCCTCACCCAGGCTTGGTATCTTGCAGAGACTTACTATGTCTTCGAGACCATGACCCTCTGCCGTCTTTCTCTCGGCTTGGGGCCGCTTGCGTATGAGCATTGTGTCCCAACTTTGATACAGTGACCACACGGGCTGGCCCGGTCGCATTTCACCTGGACGCGACGTTAGAGGCTGAAACCCACTGAGGGTTGGATGTCTTGTCTTTACCTTACGTTGGCGGCAGCGATAGCACTGTTCTCGTAGAAGCTGATCAGCGACATTATATGGTTTCACACCCGACAAGTATATCGGTCAGCTCACTGCTAATTTCTCGGTCGTGGCAGGACTTTGTTCTTCGTCATGCTCCTCCCGCGAGAACGAGACATCCGGACTTTCTTCCATCAAGAGTGCGTGGGCGGGTGGTGGGATGCGAACTTCCAGTGTTTGTGTTAGTATAGTCGGAGCGTCAGAGTGAACGTTGGCGATCCGAAGGTGGAAGGCTTGGCGCTGGGCCTCGGGTCTTCGGAGGCTCCGAGACTCCGCCCTCAGTTCTCGACTCCCTCGCCCATTCGGATCGACAAACCAACATCATCATCACATCCAGGTTATGGAGACGGGCCGTGGTAGCCTCCCAGCTCCCGAGCAATGCGAGAGAGTGAAGATAAAATGGGGCTTCTCTCAAGAAATGATTCAGGTATGTCTTCTGTAATAATCCAAACTATTTTCGTTCTTTTTCTCATTATATATATATCTATACGCTGTGGGCAGATTCCCCTTTCCTGATCACTTTCATTTATACTATCTGGCGAAGTCGACATTTCTGCCGTTTCTATAACCCCTAACACGGAGTGAATAAAATGGTAGTTCGTGGGAACCGCCGAGAGACCGAGGGAGCTGCGAGAGTAGACAACGATACTGAGATCTTAATCAAACCCGCGAATGAAAATGACGAGTTCGCCGTGAACAAGAAAAGCACAAATGGTTTTGTAGTGAGTCTAGCCTGAAGGATGATGGTTGATTGTTCATCAGAACGAGTCATGGCTGACGACCTGGGATTATCTACCTTGCAGAGAGTATTCGCCTTCGGCGAGACTAAGCTCTACGTCCTCGAATGTATTGCTTTCGTCGCTGCGATTACGTCGGGCGTTGCTGTGGCCATGGTCAACCTGGTCATGGGAAACTTTTTGACACTGCTGAGCCACTTCAGCTTCTCCGACGCCAATTCAATGTCGGGCAATTTCATGTCTGCGGTGCGGACGTCGGCGTAAGCGCATTGCCACCTCTGGATTTGTTCTCAGACAACGGCAATATGCTAATGCAAATAAAGTCTGTACTTCGTTTACATCGGTGTTGCGCGCCTCGTGGCTACCTACATCTACGCCTCTCTCTTTACCTACGTCGCATACCACTTGACCCGCAATGTCCGACAAAGCTATCTACAGGCAGCCTTCAGCCAAGAAATTGCATACCACGACCGGGGTACCACCGGCTCAATATCTCAACAAGCGACCACGAACGGCAAGCTTATCCAATCTGGCATCGCAGAGAAACTCGGCATCGTAATTCAAGCGATCGCTACCTTCGTGGCAGCGTTTATAATCGCGTTTGTAACACAATGGAAGCTAACTTTGATCCTTATCTTTATGGTGCCTACTCTGCTTATTGTGCTCGGCACGGCCGGTGGCATCGATGCCATAATCGAGACCAAGATCCTGCAGATCTATGCCCAAGCTAGTAGCTATGCCGAGAGTGTCCTCGGAGGGGTCCGTACCTTTCAGGCATTCAGCCTTCAACTGAGGGTGATGGCCAAGTACGACTCATACCTCCAGTATGCATATACGCAGGGAATGAAAAAGAATAAGCTGTACGGCATCGTGTTCGGAGGGCAGTATTTCATTGTCTATGCCGGCATGGGTCTGGCCTTCTGGCAGGGAGTTGCCATGTTCGACCGCGGTGAGATTTCTGATCTGGGAACCGTTTTTACGTCAGTATCCATCCTCATGCGTGCTGGCGGGCAGACTGCCGTTCTAGCACTGAGACCCTCGTACTGATTAAGATGGCAGTGTTCTCTTCTCCGTCATTATGGCCGCACAGACGATCATGCAAGTAGCACCGCACATGGTTACCTTCAGCCGTGCAGCAACTGCAGCCTCGGAGCTGTGCGCTCTCATCGATAGGGAATCTGACATCAACCCTTTCGATGAATTGGGAGAGAAACCTAACGAAGTTGTTGGCTCCATCGATCTGAACGGTGTCACCTTCAGCTATCCTACGCGTGCAGACATCCCCGTCTTAGAAGACTTTACCTTAAATATCCCCGCAGGAAAGGTTACAGCGTTAGTGGTGAGTCCCCTCCGATTATATCTTTCCTAGGCGTCTCTTACCAGGCGGGAAAAAAACAAGGGACCGTCTGGCTCAGGAAAAAGCACGATTATCGGCTTGCTTGAACGGTGGTATAAGCCCCGCGCAGGCAGCATTTTCTTAGATGGCAAGGACATCAGTCAGCTCAACCTCAAGTGGCTGCGGACCAACATCCGCCTAGTTCAACAGGCAAGGTGCCCAAAGTACCAGAGACTGGCAAGTCATTTCTCTAATGAATCTAGGAACCAATACTTTTCAATGCCAGCGTTTTTGAGAACATTGCCAACGGCCTCGTCGGTACCGAATGGGAGGCGGCATCACAAGAGGAACAAATGCGGCGTGTCCAAGAGGCCGCAAAGCTTGCTTTCGCGCACGACTTTATAAAGGCCCTGCCACAAGGATACTACACGTGTATCGGTGAGAGAGGAGGCCTACTTTCGGGTGGACAGAAGCAGCGGATTGCCATCGCCCGCAGCGTCATCTCGCAGCCCAAAATACTACTCCTCGACGAAGCGACCAGCGCGCTTGATCCGCACGCCGAGGGAATTGTCCAGAAGGCCCTCGACAACGCCTCTCAGAATTGGACAACCATCGTCATCGCCCACAAGCTTGCGACCATCTACAACGCGGATAACATCGTGGTCATGTCCAAAGGCAAGATCATGGAACAGGGGCATCACGAAGAGCTGCTGTCCAAGAACGGCATCTACGCCGCTCTCGTCAAGGCCCAGGATCTTGCGCCGGCTAACATGGAGAAGAACCACAGCTGGGAGAACACCAATGCAACTGATGAGACTTCGGAGAAGGGGGACGATAATTTCGATTATGTTCAGTCCCTTGACAGGATGAGGACGGCCGAGACGCAGCAATGGGCTGCAACAAAGGATCGAGAAGAACACGACTTATACGAGAAGACGGGAATTGTTTACAATGCTTGGAAGCTTCTGAGAGGCACGCGTGATATCAGACTTTGGTTCGCTGTCACAGTAGCAGCGTGCATGGGAGGAGGTGAGTGGTCTCGACCGAGAAAGGCTTTCAAAGGCCAGCCTTGGAGACTATGGTGCTACCGTTACACTTGCTCACCACGACATCACTTGCAGCTGTCGTCAACCCTGGACAAGCCCTCTTGCTAGGCAATATCATGAGTGTATTTAGTGCCTCAAACATGGTTGCTCGTGGCAACTTCATCTCGCTAATGTTCTTCGTCATGTCGGTCGGCATTCTCATCATATACTTCGTCATGGGCTGTCGACCAATACTATCGCACAGGTGAGAGCTTCCATACCTTCGGCGTAGGAAGAAGAGCCCCGTCTCCAGCCTTGCATCATGATACTGATTTTGAGCGTACCGCGTCCTAGAGACTCAGTAAGAAGATGCGACGAGACATTTTAGAGTCCTTCCTCCGGCAGGACCTCCGGTTCTTCGACCGGCCGGAAAACACGGTCGGTGCGCTCATCAGCCGCCTCGATTCTTACCCACAGGCCATCCTAGAACTGATGGGTTTCACTGTCGCCATCATCCTCATGTCTGTATTAAACATCGTCGCGTCTAGCATTCTCGCGATCGTTGTGTCTTGGAAACTCGGGCTGGTCGGCGTCTTCGTCGGCCTGCCGTCCATGATGCTAGGCGGCTATGCGCGCGTCAGGCTTGAGGCCAAGATGGACGACGAAATGGACCAGAGGCTGTCAGCAAGTGCTGCGGTGGCTTCGGAGACAGTCATGGCGATCCGTACTGTGTCTTCGCTTGCCATCGAGAGTATCGCGCTGAGGAAGTACGTCTACGAGCTCGACCTCGCGATATCCCAGGCGTGTGGGCCCATGTTCCACATGATGACCTGGTTCTCTCTCACACAGTCTATCGAGTACTTCGTGCTGGCCTTGGGGTTCTGGTGGGTCTTCGCCTCCTGGCTTTGTGGTGTCATGTGAAGTGACTCGGCTGATTGTCTATGTGAACAGGTGGGGATCGAAGTTGATCAACGACGGGGAAATTAGCCTCTACCAGTTCATCGTATCCTTTATGGGTGTTTACTTCTCCGGCCAAGCCACCGCGTTGGCTTTCAGTTTCGCCAGCAGTGAGTGAGGGGAGGGGGGCGCTCGAAGCTTGCTGATATCGAGTTACTGACAGTTTCCAGGCTTAACCAAGGCAAATCAGGCTGCCAACTACTACTTCTGGCTCGACGGGCTCGATGTAGCCATCCGTGATACCAATAACAACCGCAACGAGGGGCCCAAGCATGGGTGTCGCTCCTACGACTTCCAAGACGTGCAGTTCTCCTACCCCCAGGCGCCTAACAAGCGGGTTCTCAGGGGCGTGTCACTGTCGGTAAGTACCTACTGCGCTTTGGGGAAGGCTGATCTTTTCTCTGTGGGCAGCAATGAGATTGAAATTGTGCTGTGTTCACTAACATTGTCACTGTCAAGATTCAAAGAGGTGACTTTGTGGCTTTCGTCGGCGCCTCAGGCTGTGGCAAGAGCACTATGATCTCGCTCCTAGAGCGTTTCTACGACCCAACAAGTGGCGTCATCACCCTCGACTCGTCTACGCCGTTGTCGTTCATCAACCCCCTTCTGTACCGCAAGCAGGTGGCCCTGGTGCAACAAGAGCCGACACTATTCCCCGGCACGATCCGTGAAAACATCTCGCAGGGCGTGCCAGACCTCGGCGCAACGGAGATGGCGTCGAATGAGGCTTTGGAGGAGGCGTGCCGGGCGGCTAACGTGTGGGAGTTCGTGTCATCGCTGCCCGAGGGCCTCGACACACCGTGCGGGCTAAGTGGCAGCCAGCTCTCAGGTGGTCAGCGGCAGCGCATCGCTATCGCCCGGGCACTGGTGCGCAAGCCCAACGTGGTCCTGCTGGATGAGGCGACGAGTGCCCTGGATACCGAGTCGGAAAAGCTCATTCAGGGCGCGGTGTTGCAGGCAGAGTCATCCGGCAACCGTATCACCATTGCGGTGGCGCATCGCCTTTCGACCGTGCGCGACGCTAACTACATCTTCGTCTTCTACGCAGGCAAGGTTGTGGAGGTCGGGACGCACTACGAGCTGGTTGCGAAAGGGGGCATGTATGCCAAGATGTGCGAGGCTCAGAAGCTTGACGGCGGTGCATGACTATATCATCTAATGTAGGTGTTTATTCAACTATAAATATATACATAAAGGTACTGGTGAATAGCTCAATTGTCATAAGAGGAATTCTACAAGATGTATCTAATCCCGGTATGATGTCCTCCCAACCCGCCAGCTTCAATTTGATCGCTCCCTTGGGCCATGTCGAGACGCCTATTCATCCGGGAGTGTACCATCCGAATGACAAATGCTAGGATCGCGACTAGGAGCGCGATACCGGCCGTCGCACCACCACCCGCGATGTACCGCGGACCCGCGGACGACGGCCACATGTAACTGCCATAGATGGACGCCGTGTTGCCAATCATATTGGCCGTCGCGATCGCTGCAGACCGTTTCACGAGCGGCCGGGGGAAGGAATTGGCCACCCATGCGATAATGATCTGGTAGGCGGAAACAGCACCCATCGGCATTCTACACCGTCAGTCCTGTCGGCCTTGAAGGGACAGTGATACATACAGAAACATGCCAAAGAACCTGGCACCGATATTTGTAGTCGCGGTACAGATCACACATCCGACTACGCTGACGAGCATCAACGATATAATATGCAGACCGCGATCGTTCGTCCGGCCCGACGACCATGTCACGAGAAGGGAGACCATAAAGGTGGCAATCCAAACCGGCGCGGTGATCAGCAACGTCTCGATATTCCCATAGCCGAGCGTCTGGACGATCGTCGGAAAGAAATACTGGAAGTTCTGCGACAGGAGCGAGGTGTGTTGGAGCAAGATGAACAGGTAGATGCGCCTGTCGGAAAATACCAGCCATAGCGCCTCGCGGAGATTGTTCGACTTGGCTTCGTCGGCTTCTCCCGCGTCATGGATGAGACGCCATTGCGCATATAACTTCTCCGTCTCATCAAGCCAGGATGTGGTGGCAGGGTAATTCGGCAGAAGGAGACTGGGTCTTTAGCATTACTTTTCAGAAGGAGTACAATGCACCTACATGGACACCAGCGATATTCCCACGGTGACACAGCCTTCAATAATGAATAACCATCTCCATCCTGATATGTGATGGGCACCGTCTAGATTGCCCAGGACCCCGGCACCGATCAAACCGCCAAATGCGTTGGCCAAGGAGCTTCCAGCGTAAAACCAGGCAATTCGATGACTTAGCTAAAGACGAGTCAGCATTTGGGCCACATGTAGGGCTGTTGACGATCGCAGCATACCTCTTGGCGGGTGTACCAACTCGACCTGGTCGGATCAGCATCGTCCCCATTCCTCGCCGATTTCCACTTACATGAGCATAATGGCCCCCGGAAAGAACGGGGCCTCCACGAAGCCAAGGAAGAATCGAGCGAGGACCAAGCCTGTAAATGACTGGGTGGCGGCCTGACAGGCTGATATCACCCCCCAGATGGCCATTGTGATCCCCAGAAACAGCGAAGGTCGCACCCGTGTGAGGAGGAGATTGGATGGTAGCTGCATGAGCAAGTATCCCACGAAGAGGATGCTGGTCGCGAGATTATAGTCTGTCCCTTTCATGTTCAGATCCTTCTCCAGGCTGCCCAGTCGGGCTTGAGACAAATTGCTACTTTTGTCAGCTTTGCCGCGGTGGATTGAATGATACGAGTACCTACTTCCGGTCCAGAAAGTTCAGCAAGTACATGACGATGAGGCATGGTAGCAGATGCAGATCCACCTTGCGGAGGAGCTGTCGGGTCATCTTCCGGTGCCATTCCGGACTTTGGGACACGTAAGTCTGATAAATCACATCTTGTTCGGACTGCTCCACCTTTTGAACGTGCTCCTGATTTTCAGCTAGAATCTCCTCCTGCTTTGCCATGGTGGGTGGTTGAAAGAGCCATGTCAACCACAGAGGGACCCTGGCATTTAAGATGTGTTGTCACTTTTTCCATCGGCGCATGTCCGAGTTCCCCGCAATCACAAAACGCGGGGGAAGCTTGCTCGGGGTAGCTTTCCCCCGGACCTGCAATATATGGGATAGGTTTACTGTCGGTCTACGCTCTCGTGTCTCTTAGATCCGAGCGGTCTTCATGAAGCGAGCTTGTGGGGGGTCAGGCTACGGACACAAGCACTCGTCCAAACCATTCTGTGTACCCCCCACGGATGAAACATCCGCGGCAGTCGGCACTGGCGACATTCTGGTGTCCAGACAATCCTTCATAAGCAGATCTGAGGCTCGAAGACACGAACACATTCATTAACTTTTTAACTGTACATCGTTTTCTGTTTCCTTTCCCATCACGCGGTAGCGGTAGCGGCATTGCCGACTAAGACCTCTGTCATGCGATTATGAAACTCCAGGGCCATGATATTATCATACTTTGCCGGCATCTTCTCGTTCACAAAGTCTGGTATAGCACCCACCATACACTCACGATGGGTCTTAAAGAAAAACACAGTGGAATGTCGCTCGGGAAGGACATATTCCCCAGGGAGTTGCGCTTGAGAGGGAAGGTGTTTGGGCAGGAACACCTGATGCACACCAGCCTTGATAAAGTCATTCGTTAATCTTTGGAAGGTGTCGCTCACATTGATTGCTATCTCATCAAGCCTCTCCCGCACTATGGGAATGAATGTCCCGGGATGCTCGCAGTCTTCATATTCCAGACCCCCTTGGGTATCTCGGAAGAGCAACGTGATGATGCCAAAATCAGTGTGGGGCCAGCCACGACGCGTGGTGCCTTCGGGCACTCGGCATCCAATTTCGCATGCAGACATAACGTCAAGACACAGACTCTGACATTGCCCGTAGAACCTCTCTGTGAAAGCTTGGAATCCAGGAAGGCTGTCGTTCGACCATCTATTAGAATATACAGTGTCATCGGACGGACCGACATCGAAGTTCTCCTATAGCAAAGGAAGATGTGAGATCAGCCTTGTACTCTCTCTGCTAGTAGGTGGTGATGGGCCGAACTAGAGGGTTTGTGACCTACCTTCTCGTCCATGCGGACGTTACCAGAGTTTGGCGCCCGCAGGCCGGCTGTGGTCTCGGCTCCTTTATAGCTCCATCCGCGCTGAGGTTGTGGGCTTGGAGGATTGACAACTCGGGCCTTTAGCTCAGGTTTTAGATCGAAGAATCTCTTGTTCTACAGCTGTGGTTTAGCATCGAACTGTACCTTCTCATGGCGAGAGTAGCCTGCCCATTCCTGAGACCTCTCAATGGTATCAAGAGGAATGCCGTGGTTGATCGGCTTCACAAAGCCGGTACTTCGCAGACAACCAGAGCGCAGTGCTTAGCAATGCACCCAAAGCGATTGGTCTTCGGAGACTTGATAGAGAACCTCCAGGAGCCACCTGTACGAAAAAGCAAAGGAGAATATTTGGCAGTGGGTGAAGGATAGTACGCCTAACCGCTGAGATGAGAGAATCGATATAAAACCCCTCCCGGGGCAACAATCCACGTTGCAACATTGTTGGTGACCTCTGCTCTGCTCATGCCTTTGCTATCTAACTGTCTGTACTCTGGGGATCATCGTAACTGGCATCCTAATATACGTGTCAACACTGTTTGCGCGCCGGAATTATCCCGCAGCCGACGGGTCTCACCCGGCAAATAATCCAGCCGAGCGTATTATCTCGAAATACCATATCAAGGCCATTCTTTCGTGGAATTGGTTGAAAGTAGTCACCTTTGCTGTCCTTCGTGGACCAAGGAGGTCATTTGTGCTAGGGCAATCGCCCTGGGGGAGTGACCCTTAATGCCGTATATCCAAGCATGTGTCTTGAATGATGTAGCGGCCTTTTGTACGTGGCAAAAAGAATGACTCAGTATACGAATAACAACGAGAATAGCCCGTAATGCCTCGGTTCATTTGTTTAAACTACAATTTCATGCCATGCGATCCTAGCCCTACACAGAGCTTAGCTTGGGTAGCATTCAAGATACCTCAAGTCTCACGGCCCACAACGAACAATTCCAATTTATGAAACAAATATAGATAAAACCAATACTCACAATCTATATTCGTGCTGCTTTCTCTGAACCAGGCCTTCGAAAAATGCCATAGCCCATGGCTCAAAGTTTGGCACCCGAGCATGCAGGACAGCTGCGTTAAGAGCCACTAGCGTAAGGAAGATGAGAATACGCCGATATCTTCCATCAACTGGCTTCTTGACCTTCTGTAAAGTATTAGACATGCTGTGATGTAAAAGACAGGATATTCTAGCTCACCTCGATCTTCCAATCTGACCACTTTGCAAACAAACTACGATACCAGTAGTGGGTTTGCTCCACGGGTAGGCCATGGCGTTCCAACCTTTTGGGTTCAGGTACCACGATGCACATCCAGCATTCCAGACTGTCTGAGGAAGCGCTGCCTGTACATCCAGGATGTACTTATCCTCGGCTTCCTGCTTCAGTTCAACTGAGGTCGCTGCGCCATCGAGGACTGGCTTCAGAATGCGAAGAGCATAGCTCACGGAACCCTTGTCATTGGGAATAAACGAAAGTCATTCTCGGCCACCAAGAAGATATGAAGACGATGGGGCGTCATGGCTAGAGGGATATATTGGAAGATCCATTGGAGAAGAGGAGGGTAGGTGAGGTTGGCAGCTGGAAGTACCCAGTGCCTGGAGCGGATGATCTGGTGCAGTGACACCGTCTTATCAACAATTGCAGGCACAATTTGCGCAGCCGTGCCTGAAGCATGTTAGCCTCATGGGTAATATCTGGGGCCACACAAACAAACATCCATTCCCAAGAACAACAACCTTCTTTCCCTCGAGGGAGACATCATGTCTCAACCTTGCCGAGTGGAGATGGCTCCTCGAAATGCCTCAGCACCAGGGATGTCACAGAGGCGAGGCTCTACCAGCTGCCCCGTTGCAGCAAACAGTATTTAGCACTCGTGATAGGAGGTATCCCCGTTGTAAGGTTGACAAGCGTCAGGCACATTCCCTGACTTCAGTGGAAAAGGTCATCGTGCCCCTCAGGCCGTAGGCTTCGACGACTTCATCTTGCTATGCTTTTATTTCTTTATATGAGGGCATCGATTTCGTCCATCTAGGATATCGATGGAATGAGAATGGTTAGAGCGCTAATGGGACATCACAACCACAGCCTAAGCTCTACGGTTAGGAAAATCATGTCAAGCTGTGTGGTGAACTATACTTGGGTAGAAATTTATGTGCCAAGTGCCGCCGCAATCGCTGTGACGTTCAAAGAAACGAACGTCTTCAGGGGAATACCATCTCTTAAGCGTCACGCCCAATGCAATCGCAGAGAGGCCAGTTCCAGTACATGTAATTTGACTGTACGATGAGACTGTGAACTTCCCTGCTGGGTCACTCATCGTGGTGACCTTGGCTGTATAGGGAGACCCAGCTGCGGTCTTTTTGTCTCTTAATACTTTCCCGCCATTTACATCATAGCCTACCTCATAGGGGTGAGCCTGCCAGATGATCCCCTGAATGACACATGATGTTTGTCTAGTGGCCAGCTGGCGTAGGCTCCTCCACGCCACTTGGATTACTACCGAGGCTAACTATGGCACGGATCGGTTCCGGTATAAGTATTGCGGGGTCAGGATGCAGCCGCCCTTCAGAGTTGTATCAAATATCCAGAATCTCTGCGCCCAGCTTGCTCGACAAGTGGGTGGAAATGGCTCGCAAATTGTCCCTTTTTGGGGGTCTACGGATTCTCTTCAACTTCGTGGTTTTCGTCTTGCCGTCAGCTACGGGTAGAGTTGGGCGAGCCATTATCAGGGCTTGGCTGAGAAAGCTCCCGGTGAAGCCGGCTATCTGGAATGGATTTGCCGGTAGTTTGATGCTCAACATCCCTCCAGTTCAACTTCAGGCCATCCTACCTTCGACCTTTGACGCGTATAAAGAATGGAGCACTTCGAGGGGGGATGACATTGGGGTGGATGTTGTCGCTGATAACTCCACAAGGCTGCTGTGGGTGGGCCCCCGAGGAGGGAAGAAGGTGCTCCTTTTCTTCCATGGTAATGCCTACTGGCCATTTCCTTCTATAACAGTTCTAACAACTTGTAGGCGGAGGATATGTGATGCCACTGTCTAAAGCCCATCTGGATTGGGTGGAACATATCCGAGAAGAAGCGTGCAACGCTGGTCTCCAGCTTAGTGCGTGTATTCTTGAATATGGTTCGTAGAACTCCACAGTACAAGCATACTCCTGGTCAAAAGGCTGACCTCCCAGACTTGATTCCTATGCACCCATATCCTCGACAAATGCTGCAGGCAATATTGGCTCTGAAGCACCTTTTGTCCGCAGGATACGAGCTGTCTGATGTAGGTGGTTGGATAGAGATATTTCTGAATAATACGCTGACATCAAGCTCATTAGATTATATTTGGAGGAGACTCTGCGGGTGGTCACCTCTCACTGTCTCTACTATCGCATATGCATCATCATCGTCCATTTCAAGGCCGTGAAGACTGTCATGTTGATCGACACTATGGGGTACGAGGCTGCTTCCTCGTGTCGCCTCTATGCTCATTTAGTTTCAATACTCCCTCGTACAACCAATGGTTCAGCGTCGATGTTCTTGGAAAACCGCTAGTGAGTAAATGGGGTGAAGACTTAGTAGATGGCTCTCCCTGGCAGGAAGAGATTTCTGCCGGGAAAGGCTGGGGAATGGCACTAGATGTCCCGGAGCAGTGGTGGGAAGGTCTGGATGCGGCTGACCATATCCTTGTCACTGGAGGCTATGAGGAGGTCTTTAGTGATCATATTCAGGAGTTGGGGGCCATTCTTCAGAGAAATAGCACGGGTGAAGTGGATATCTATATGGCTAACGAGGCCCACGATGGCCCGCTCATGGACTTCGCGGCTGGAAAACCTCCCAGTGAGACGACAAGAACCATTACCCGTTTTATTGTATCTAGCTTCCAACAGTGATCCATGAGACAATTATGTCGAGAACTACTAAAGTATTGAAACGAAACACGGTGTCAATACGCCTTTGATGTTACATTTGGCGTTTCGCGTCTTCCAACACTTCAAGGCGAGCACCTTCCTCCATAATCAGTGCAATATGCTCCTCGCTTCTTGGTGTCACCTCGACCGGGAATGGCTCGTCTGTTCTATGGTGATTCAGGCGTTTCGAGTCGAAAGCGCCATTCTGTATTGTCAGATATTCGATCTCCCACTCGTAAATCAGGGCGTTTACTTACTGCTTTGTAATTGTAGCAGAAAATTAACCGAGCTATGTTGATGAAGAGACCCCTGAATGCCAATCTGTACCCTACGCATATACGCCGACCACCACCGAATTGCCAGAGGCCATGGGAAGGATCGGTCTCGTGGCCGTCGAGCCAGCGCTCGGGTTGGAATTTGTCTGGATCCTCGCACTCATTGCACACAGGGATCTCGTTGATCACGAATCCAACTCCGGCCGGGAAATGATAGCCTTCAAATTCCATATCTGCAGTCAATGTATGGTCTGGTGTAAAAGGAAAGATAGGGCGCCATCGTAGTAACTCTTTGATCATGGCACAAATATAGGGCAACTGTTCCATATCGTCGATACCAGGGAGGCGCATCCCGTTTGAATGGCAAAGGCGATCTACCTCTTCTCTTGCTTTCTGGAACTTCTCCGGGTGGCATAAGGCCGACATCACAAAGATGTTCAACGCTTCTCGGGTGGTATCACTGCCTGCCTCTAACAATTGAAGGGCGACGTACATGGCATCCCTATCGTCCCCAGTGAACTTGGTATCCGGGTGGAGGAGAACATCGCGCACCCATGATGGAGGGGCTGTACCGTTTTCAACCTTCTCTCTCACCGGTATCCACCACGCCTTGTAGACTTCTTCATTCCAATCCCCGAGCCTCTCCCAATGTTTACGCCAGGGCTGTAAGAAACGAGGAAGCTTGTCCAGCTCGGGAAACCAGTCAACCAAGCTACTGCCGATGCTCCCGACGAAGTACGTGACCACGTCTTGAAGATCAGCAAGCTCCTTTCCGGTCTTCACCAGCCGCTCACCCAGGGCAATGCGGTGCACCACAGAGTTGGCATATCGGTAATGATGGCGGTACCAACGTTGTGGATAAAAGTGATATTCGGCGAGCATCTGTGTACTCTCGAGCTCTTGCCAGGAACCGTATTGCTTTAACGCCGATCCACTGAGAAGGGAGTGCATTACTCGTCTTTTCTCTGTCCATCCGGAGGGAGGCAGCAGCAGGGAACGTGCGTTTCGGCTAACGATGCCGCTGGCTATTGGCATGGGGCTTCTGCCGTTCGTAAGAGAACCGCGCTTCGCAATGATCTCAGACACAACGCGTTTGCTGTTCAACAGAACCCATGTCTTTGAACCAAGGTGGATTGTTGTCATTTCACCATATCTGGCGAGCTCATTATGCTATGCAGCATTAGCTTACATTCGTTCGGCCCGGAGCAGACATCTCAACCATCTTGTAGTCTTTGTCACTGCGTGCTTTATCCAATTCCCATAAACTGCCAAATATTGGGATTCCACGAGGGCCCGGAGGGAGGTTCCATTTCTTTCCCGGGGGTGGTTTTCGTTTTCCAACAGGCGTAAAAATCTCCTGGATTACAAGGAAGGTTGTTCCCAGGCAGATCGCGAGACTGACGAGCGTAGCGGCGAGGGGATGTGCAGAAACAATGACCGAAAGGTGGACGTGGATCGGGGTGCTCATTGTGCTGGTTCCTCTGTCTATGATTATCTGGCCTTGCTATTATGGGTGTTGTTAAGTGCTTCGTTGAAGCCATGTTGAGAGACCGGGTGTGTCCCGATCTTTACTGTTACCGCTGTTGGGGGCACGGGGCAAGTATGCTACTCTGGATGTCACTGTCTACGTCAGGCTGTCTACCAGCCCATCTATGGACTATGTGAGGGGTCGAGTCTTCAAAATTATGCAATCACCTACGTCCACAGCCCGGGTATCACGGCAACATGGTGGGTTTATGCATCCGGATAGACATTGCCGCCGGGATGATCCCGACGTTCGTTTAAGAGGCGAGCTGTGGGACCAGAGACACCAGTTTCACCACAAGCATCATGCTGGTTGTTCTGTCCATTTCTTTCACACTTCTCCTTCTAATATATTTCCCCAAGAGAATCATTTCCAACGACATGGGTGAGCACGCTCTGGACTGGCTTCGTGAGAAGGCGATCGGATGGAGCCACACACCTCCGGTCAACAAGATCGATACTCACCATCATTTCGTGCCACCGTTCTATGCAAAGGGTTCGTCATTCTGTTAACCTTCCACAATGACAGCTGATCTGACTTTAATCATGTAGCAATTGAGGAGCAAGGAGGGGATCCTAGCGGTTGGCCGACTCCCCGCTGGACCTCGTCGGCATCCCAGCTTCTGATGAAACGTGTCGGCGTCCAGACTGCCGTTCTCTCCGTGACAGCCCCGGGAGCGTGTATTCTTCCAGATCGTCAAAGGCGTGCCCAGCTTGCACGGCAGTTAAATGAATACGCAGCGGAGCTGCGTGACAGTAACCCCAGGTCTTTTGGCTTTTTCGTCTCTTTACCCAATATCCTGGACACGGAGGACGCCCTGGCAGAGATAAAGTACGGATTGGATACGTTGCATGCCGATGGAGTTACCCTTTTTACCCGATACGGGGACTCGAACACGTATCTGGGACACCCCGATGTGGAACCGATCTGGGCGGAGCTGAGCAGGCGAGGCTGCGTCGTGTTCGTTCATCCCACACATCCCGTCGACACCAATCCCGTCAATGCCAAACTACCTCAGCCCAGTATCGACTATCCGCATGAGACCACCCGTACTGCCATGGATATGATCACCAGTGGCACGCGCCTCAAGTACCCCAACTGCAAGGTGATCCTATCCCATGCGGGGGGGTCGTTACCATACCTCATCTCCCGGGTTGCGACGCCGATGCGAAAAGCACCCGACTTTGCGGTTTCGCACCGCATGGGGACAACCTATACCAAGACGATGGAGGCATTCCGCAGTTTCCATTACGATCTGGCATTAAGTGCCTCACCACAAGTCATGGACCTTCTCCTCAAGATGGTTCCACACGATCATATCTTGTACGGTAGTGATTTCCCATATGCACCGATCACTGCGTATCCCGCTTTCCTGGAGGGCTTGGAGTCTTATGAGATGAGCCGCGAGCTCCGGGACCAAATCAACTTTGGGAATGCAATGAAGTTGTTTCCTAGGCTAGCCTCAAGCCGTGGTACGAACATGTAACATCTAGTTCCCAATGATATATATATCTCTCTCTTTTTTGCTTCTATTCAAGTAGAACCTACTTCCAACGCCGTTTGGGGTGTATAGCTGAGTAATCGACAACAGCCCTGTCGGAACGTTTCCGGTCCGCCCGGAACCAGCCCGAACAAACCTTTCTGGCTTACGTCGCGGATGGAATTCCTCCTTCCATGTCCTCGATGCAATACACAAACAGCCCTGATGCAGTCACGCCAATCTGCGGTCCATAAAAATGCGGGACCTCGTCGTCGGAAGGTTGCCTTAGCATGCGAGCCATGCAGGGCGAGGAAGGCGAGATGTGATGGCCAAAAACCGATCTGCGGGGCCTGCAGGGCGCGCGGACAGAACATTGATCAATGCCTCTACAAGACAACGTACAATGCAAGATCTGCCAGTAATGATCAGTGCGTCAGATGGCACGCAATGCAGAGTCCAAGATGCTGACATTGAGCGTAGGTATCTTCGGATGCTTCATCATCGGATCCGAGAGCTGGAGGAAACCTGCACCAAAGCAGGGGTCGCCGTACCTGCATTTGGAGGCGAGAGCCTCATGGACAACTCTGTAACAACTGAGAACGATCCGGGTGACTCCTCCGGGTTGCTGGATCCGGCCATATCGTCCACTACAACGGGCGCGCAAGCACAACAACCATCGCCTACACACCACATAGAGCCGGCCAGATCGCATCCGGTGAACAGTGACGCGCGTGTATATAGTTCTCCCTTGACGGAGACTGAGATCTACCCGTCGACTCCATTTGAACCTCATAGTAACGTCACTGGAATGGGCGCGATCAGTTCTGCCGATGAGTCTGAAAGACCTGTGAACGAATACTTTGGCAGCTCATCAGCCGTTTCTCTGATGCGACTACTGGCTAAGGGCCCGGGCAGACCTCACGGCACAACAATTCGCAACATCTCAGAACAAACCCCGAGTCCATTACGTCGAAGGAAGAGATGTCGTCCTTCACACAAGGTGCCGGGGCACCCCAGAGCAAGTTTCAGGTCGATGAGCTTCTCCTTCCGCCAAGGGACTTGGCAGATCACCTATTGGACTGCTTCTGGGACCGGATCTACTGCCTCTACCCATTTTTTCACCGTCAGAGTTTCCAAGACGCCTACGACAATCTATGGATCGGACGTGAGCAGCCCACCAAACCATTGAGCAACCTTGATATTGGGCTGGGAAACAAAAATCATTCGGGGTCTCGATCGATCGTGTTCATTTGTGCGCTGAACATTATTTTTGCTCTTGGCTGCCACTTTGCCGACATACCGGCCCACGAGCGAGAAGCGGTTGCCCATACGTTCTTTCTCAGGGCGAAAAGATTTATTGGTCTTGACATACTAGACATCCGCAGCGTCGGCACTGTCCAATGTCTTCTCCTCACCGTATTATTTCTACAGTCAACGCCCTACCCCCATCGATGCTGGCATTCCATAGGTGTGGCTTGCCGCGTGGCCCAGGGACTGGGCCTCCATGAAGCGCGATTAGATGACGAGGTACATCCGCTCGAACAAGAAATCCAACGCCGGACATGGCATGGATGCGTGATGATGGATATGTTTGTAAGCATGACTTACGGTCGGCCCACGATGACCTCCCATTTACCAAGTGTTCCACCTCCGGCATGCTCTGAAGCGGGATCCGGGGAAGACCAAAGCCCATCGGTGATGGTCTTCTACATCGCCACCATAGAAATGTACGGAATCCTAGACACTATATTATCTGACGTGTATAAGGTCTGGTGGAGCAAAAGCAGTGCAACCCCGGGTGATTCCACAGCAAACCAGGGAGGCTTGGATGTTATTATCTATTTGGAAGAGAAGCTGTTCGAGTACGAGTCCAACCTACCATCGTTCTTGAACTGGACGAAGCCAACGACGCCAGCAACTATATCAGCCAAGCAGCTCATCTTGAGACGCCAGAGAAACGTCCTCCATGCAAGGTAAGCAGGAAGTAAACGCCACTGGATAGGAAGCTGACTTGTCCCTAATCGTCCAGATTTCTCTACCTCCATCTCCTTCTATATCGACCAATTTTCACGCAACTCTGTTCCGAGAATCCGGGTCGCACCCATGACACAGACCGCCGCAGTACAACTCATAGCATGATCAAAACATCGCTCTTGACGAAATGTGCGGCCGCTTGTGTTCAAGCAGCGATCAACCTCATCTGCCTCGTCCATGACACCCATCTGGATCCCGCAACCGACACTTGGTGGTATAACGGGTTTTGTATGCCTCACCCCGCAACATTCCAAAGTATTCATCATCGATATTAACAAAACCTAGATCTATCGACCGCAGGCATGGTAATAATAATGTCTTACACCTGTCGCCCCATTTGGGACGAGCTAGACAAAGCAACCATCGACTCAACATGGGCTAAGTGCGAGGAAGTTCTACGAAAAATGGGACCATTCAGTGTGTCGGCCCGAAACACTATACAGTTCCTACAAGCCACGCGCAACCAAGTCCTGGCTACTCACCAGCAGAGACCATCGGCAGCGGCATGTAGCACAACTACCAATAGTGAACCGCAGCGTCAACACATCAGCTCACAGACCAACCAAATCCAGCTGACTGGCGTTGAGCTTCTACCACAGGAAGGGCCCAGTGGGCTCACTTGGGATACTTCCACGGAACCCCTAGCATACGATCTGGGGTTTCTGGGACCCTTTGATTTCAACGAACTGCAGGGATGGTTGCCTGAGTGGAATGCTTGACCTTGAATCGCTCAGTGCACAACTTCCTCGCCTTTGCATTAGAGGAAGTCTACCTATATTCAGGAGTACGCCGTGATCAATCGCAGAAAGCTCCGGACGCTTAGGGACCTGAAGAAAATCCGCACTGATGAGGTGGAGGTCTATAGAGGGGATAAGGATTACGACAAGCTGTTGAGCCCGGTGGATAACAATATCTTTGTTCACTCTGACAATAACAATATAGCGCAGGCTCTCGTACAGTGAGTTCTTTGTGGTGACGCTCGTGAAGCTATCGTTAACCTCCACGAGAAAGACGGCTAGTGTCTGTATAAGGGGTTCCCAAATCCCTGCCCATGATAGCGAAGATGTCAAGGCTTCGGATTGCAAATGGGATCTCAGCTGATTGGGCGATGTTTCTTTTCTCTTCTTTTTTTTTTATTTGTCAGTGATATCAGAATATCTATATAATTAATTAATGCAGTAGGGGTATGATTGCCTATAGGATAGTCTTTCTCTTTCGAACAGCGGAGAAGGATATCAGGGAAGGACTAAAATGGAGATGTAGAGCACCACTGCCACTGAATATGTCAGAGATGCGGTAGATGACCAACATTCAAAGAAATATTTTTAGTAAAAAATAAAAAAAGAAAAAAACATACAACAGGAGGGATTCGCTGGTGGTCACCCACCCAACTACTAACCTCCCGGCGTGTGGCTTAAGTACGGCTGAGCGGACGGGAAGCCCTGTTCTCCACACCCTGTGGTCGTATGTGCTGGGTTTCTAGCTAGCGGAAAATATATAGGAAAGATTGTATCAGTACCAATAGATAAAAGCGACAAGCGCAGTACATCGCCTGCTCCGCTCTCTAAGTCTATTCTAACACTAGGCATATGCATACATATTCATCTACTAGAGGGTGCTATAAAGTGGTACAAAACCGTCTGGCCGGAAAATACCTTCCTTGTGTTTCCTGTATTCTATTTCCTAATATCACTACGTGGGTTGGTATAAGGGCTGAACTGCCTCTCTTAATATATATATCCCCGCCTGAGCAAGTCACCTGCAGAGTGAAGAACCACACTAGCTCAGATTCAAATGGAATACTAATCCAAACCACCAGTTCAAATGATGCTGGTACCATCATAGAATCAAACCCGTTAGTCAATTTCCGACTTGTATTATAACCAGAGTCATTCAAGTTGCCCGATAAACCCACACACAGCGACACTGACCAGTACTTCCACTCGTTCTCGGCCTCCAGTAATGCGTGTGACAATGTTATCAGGAGACACCTGAGAGCCTATATTCAATTGATGGACTCAACCTCCACGCAAGATGGTACGTCTTAAACCTGACTACGATCAGTGTTATACAGACCGTGACCTAAAGATAGTATTGCTAGTCATCGAGCAGGTTGGCTCTTTTTGGTATGCACTTAGACAATGACGTATAAGATACTTCATACGTGAGGGTAGAATAGCTGCAGAGAAGTATTTGACTGCAAAAACATCATACACCCGCACCGTCCTGGATCTGCCCTTGTCTGTCCACCGATACAAACGTCACCCCTTGTTATTAGGCCAAGGGTACGAACCTACCAGATAGAAAACGTACGTGGCCTGTCGCCAACTCTTTATAGCTTGCTATTCGACCGAAAAGATCCCATGAACGCATCCTTCTGCTCCGTCGCGTCTCAGTCGGGCGAGGCAACGACTCGCGCACATCGTCATTGACGGGGACGAGGATTAGAGCGCTTCGATCAACGGACCGAAGCGCCTTTTTCACTCCATCTGCCGTATCTACAATGAACTTCCTTTCGTACGGTAGACCTTCAACCAGGGCCAGAAGGTCTCCTCGTCCAATCATCAGCGGCTGGTTTCCGGTCGAACTATGGATCCCGTTATAGATCACTACATGGACGACCCTCTGATCCCGCAGGGGGGCGAGAATCGCATTGTTGCCTAGGTGCATCATGAAGGAACCATCGCCATCGATGCACACGACTCGGTTGGCCCGGCAGCCGTTCGATACCCCGTGGGCGAGAGCATAAGTGTGTCCCATTGCTCCAATACAGAAAAAGTTGCGAGCGATGCTTTGGCCTTGATTCTTTCGCAGCATCCACAGCTCGCGGCTATTGCCCCCAAGGGAGGAGACGGAGATATCGTTGGACTTCAGCGCCCCCAGTATGCTCTCGATCGTACTCTCTCGTGACAGGACCGGCCTTTCAGTCGACGAGGATAGCCACATGACTGTCTTCGACTGGGTCAGGGCCGCGGACGCCCAACGGGCCACCACGGGGCCTGTGTATGCGGCGAAAGATTTTGCGCGAACGAGCAACGCGACGGGGGTATTGTCTTGCTTTGCCTTGGCTACGAGGCGCCCGACTGAATTCCGAGCCCGAGATAAGCCTTCCGGGAGGATCTCGTACGGAATATTGTTGGCTTCGAGATTCTTCACGATGTTGGGGCCGATGAGGTTATGCTGCGGTTCGTCCTTCTCGCCGGGCCGACCACGCCAACCGATCATGAGGAGCATTGGGATACCGAACACCTCCTTGGCCACCAGCGATTGTAGAGGGTTTAGTGCATTTGAGTAGCCAGAGTTTTGCATGTAGACCAGGGCTAGATTGCTTGTAGACAGGTAGTAGCCGGCAGCCAGCGCCACCGCGGCGCCCTCGCTTGCCACCGTAACATGCTTGCGCGTGCATTTCACGGCTGCCAGATAGGTCAAGAAAGGGCTCAGAGTTGAGTCGGGCACGCCAAAGGAGCGGTCAATTCCGTTCATCTTGAGGACCTGCCCGTCGAATTGCTCTGGATCAAGTGGGGTTTCCATGGTCACACTGTCTGCCTTGAGACTTCTCTTACAGGGCCAATGGCTAAGCAAGAATCGAAGAAAGAGTTATGTGGTCTTGCTCTCGTACCGCCTGACAGGCCCGACGCAGAGAATGAATAATGATTCGTATGAAGCTCCACCGACAGACGGAGGCACCGCCTGTATGTATTTTCTTTCATCCGGCCTCTAGCGAAATCGCCTTCCCCGTCAGGCATATGAGGCTTATCTTCTGGGCCCGTTGCCAAGATCTGACTACGAACAACTCGCTGAGCAGGCACTCTGAACTTGTGGGTCTATGCCAATGTAGTCGGGTACTTAGCATGAATATTACAGAACGTGTATACTGTGCACTTCAATACCAAGTTGAAATGCATTTTGCCGGGTAGCCTCAGTCCGCAATTTACACGCCAGACCCGTTTTTTACTCCCCTTATAACAGGATGCCCAATAACGTCTTCTGCTAGAGCCTGGACAATGGGATCAGAACAGAAGCGTCATATACTGCTGGGTGAAGGCGATTTCGTCGGCAACTGTACTTGTCGGAGGCATTTAGTCCCATCAGAATGAAGATGTTGGCCGCGATGGGACGCTTTGCGCCATTTTCTTGTCGTGTGACAAGACCACCGTTCCGGGGAGTCGCGCCGGAGCTATGGATTTAGCTGCAGGCCTGCTTTACCATACATCGATCCTAAAAGCTGGGCCGCGTCATGCGTTCCCCGGAGTCAGGGATGCATGCATTAGTTTGCAGCCGGGTCCAGCCCGCTGATCGTTCCGGGTTGAGTTTTTGACTTCACCATTACGGTAGCAGAGCACGCGAGTCAGGCTGTACAGTAGCCTAACATAACCCCCTGTTCTTCGTTACATTTCAACAGATGGGCTACACGCCTCACCTGTAGAACCGGGGACCGCCGGATCCTGCGAGCTTTGGGGCTACGGCGACTCCAGGTCAGGCCCGGTGGAGAGCGCTGACAGGGAATATTGCTGATAGTCTGACTTCACGGAAAGCACACCTTCTCGCCTTCTGGAGTTGAGACGCGTCGCTCCGGAAAACCCATTCATCTCTATTTCGGAGAAAATCACTGTACGATTATTCCTTGCTCGCCCAGTTGGCCACAACATAGGAATTACCGTCTACATGCATATTACGTCAAATATCCGAAACCTGGAGAAATTCCTCACGGCGTTCCCGTGGGCAGGCTCGCAGCAACTGACGGAAGCCGACCTTACCAAAAATGTCCCGGCTCTGCCAGATAGTCGGGCTTATCTATGGGATCTAGTCGCTGCCAAAGTGGTCGCTGTTGGAGACACCGTGACGGAGGACCGCGAGGGCCATGAGCGACCGTTGGTGCTGAACGAGCTGCTGGTTGCCCCCCTTGTTGGCCGTGAGTCCAGCCTGGGCCACAGCTCGGTTCTGCCTATGGAGGGTGTCGTGGTGGGCTCAACAATCGACTATGTCAGCACTGGCGGCGGCCTGGGGATATCCCCAGACAATCCCCCGGGCAAGGGCGACCCGTCGAAAGTCCGGCTCCTTGGCCTATTATGCTATCCGGACGGCGAAGTCGCCAAAGCGCAGGACTTTGCCAAAGACTTGCCATCCGCGGACACGTTGAAACCAGTCATTATCGTGGTGGGATCCAAGTCTGATGCCGGCAAGACGACCGTCTGCATCGACCTCCTGAAGAGTCTTGCTGCTGCAGGGCGGCGGGTTGGTGTTGCGAAAGCATCAGGCACTGCGCAGCGTATGGAGATTGAAGAGCTGGCCGTGCATGCGAACGAAGGTCTCGATACGGCGGATGCCGGGATGCCAACCACCTACCCTCCTTCGCAGGAGTCGGACAAGTGGGCCGAATCCACGCACCAGAAATCCCTTCTGGCGCTTGAATCGAACCTTCGGGCCCTGTCCGTTGCGAACGAGGTCGTCCTGGTGGAGTTCGGAGGCGATTTGCTGTCTGCAAGTGTGCCTGAGATCCTGGAGGACCCAGGTCGCCTGAACATCGTCGCCGTGATCATGGTGGCAGAGTCGGCGACCGCGGCTATCGGAATGGAAACAAAGCTGATCAGGATCTCTCCCAGTTATGCAAACATACCATACTACGTCGCGGGGCCAACCGCAACTCTCAGAGCGAACAGGAACCGCGTGGAGCGTGAGACGCAATGTGCAGGATGTTACGACCTCTGGAGCAAGAATAACTCTCGTGCATCCCAGAGTCAACGAGATGCGAGCACTGCCTCTTCGCAAGAACTAACATGGAAGCTGCTGGAGCATTGTGGCTTGGGACCTGTTTAGTTGTTGCTCAGGTCAATGGACGGTGTGATTGTCGAGATCTGCAGAAGGCTTTTCCAAGCGGATAACAGCCCAAGATACAGTGTCTGGGAGATCCGTAACATAGCTTTGCTTGACTACATGGACTCTGTACATAGCGAAAACTTGACACCTTTCTCAAGGGAATCCGTGGCCATTGAATTCCACACAAGTGTTTCGTAGTAGTGGGCTTCTGTGAATGAGAACTGGTCGTGGACAACACCTAAGTTTCCTGATTCGACAGCAATTTACCATTATTTTATAACATGTTCTACGAGGCTCACTCTCTTTCCAAACGTCATTTCTAATTTTCCATTGGCCGTAACTATAGCTTTTGCAATCAAGACTGGGGAACATTCATTCGTATACGTAGTGAGATTGAACATGCCCCCAGATCTGAACATCTGTGGGTGTTTCTTCGAATCATCGGTTACGCTAACCTCAAAGCTTGGCTGTATACGATTCCTTCCCCTCTTCCAAGAGGAGACTGTTCAAAGGAGAAATTTGCTGGCTATTTATATCGAGAAGCTCCTTAGCGGTGATGATATGGTTGTCCGCCGCCCTGGCATTTTGGCCCTCGAGAAGCACCCTGATCACTTTCTTCACGTGAATTAACGCATATCTCGTTGCTAGTGCGCGGTATTCGTGTGCTGACTCGCTCAGACCTTCAGCCTTCTCTAACTTCTGTAAAAGGTATCCGAAGTTTCGAAATTGCAGGGCACAATCCCAAGACTTGTTCCCAAACGAGAAGCCCGACTGCCTCGTGGCTAGCAGGAAGGTCGACATAGCATCAACTGCGGTAATCTTCGCCCTCATTAGATGATTCGCATAAATGATGATATTTGCCCCGGCCTCATACAACTCCTGGTCTGTAATAGAGCCGTAGGTGGTTGGTACCACAACCAAAGGGGTGTCCGCATCTTGGGATCGGAACTGATTCAGAAATGCCAAAACCTCAAGCGGGCTTTTCGATTTGCTGTGGATCATAATAGCATCCGCTCCGCAGCTCTTGTAGAGTTCCGCACGCACCAGCGCATCTTCGAGGGCCAACTGGACCGATGCTAGTTCCTTGGCTTCGTTCTCCTCCGGTGTGCGAGTGGTGAAGCTCTCGATCCGTGCAGTAATCATGATCTCGCTGTCTCCCGTGGCGGCTTTGAATGCTTGAAGGGTCCTGACGAACTCGTACATATTAGCCTGGCCCTGGGAATGGGAGGCGCCAGCAAGAGAGTTGATCTTCTGACCCGGCGACGTCAAGCTCTTGTCTTCAATTATCACCATGGAGATGCCCAGCGACCGCAGACACGACATTAATTGCGGAATCTCCTCGACATTTCCCCCACTATCTGCGTCGAACGCAGCGCAGAGCGGACGGCGCCCCTCTTGCTCAGTATTGTTGTTCGAGCCCGACATGTGCATTACACGCTGAAGAGGGGAGATCAATTCTGTGTCTGGGATCCCCAAATACGTGGTCTGGGTCAGGCCACTCAGCCAAATACCATCAAAAGATTCGCCATCTTGACTGAATGTCCCGCGGATTGTTTCCTTGGTGGCATGGTCATGAGCCTCCAGCAGCCGAACTCGGCCCTGGTTTTTCTTCAATACGGACTTAATGGAAGGAGACATTGTATTAACTCGGGTGACGGTCAATTTGCCAAAGACTCCAGTACCACGGAGGTCCGATATCTCTCTGCGGCCTTTGAGTATCACAAGCGTCCTCTCATAGATCTAGGTAGGCGACCACGCTGCGTGCATATAAATCGAGGACCCTATCCTTACCAGGAGACTTGCCGTACGTGGCCCCGTTTCGACAATGGAAATTTCATGCATCCTGAAGGCTGAATCACGTCATTGACTTCAGTAATTGGGCCAAGCTTTACCAAGCCTTGTATAGTATTCATCAGATTTTGACCTAATGCACGCTGTAATGTAACGTAGGAAGTCCGCCCCCAAGCACCATTTGAGGAAATCACTCTCATTGGTTATAAGATGGAAGATCCTTGACTATAATATGGATGGGAGAGCGACGCAGCCGAGTCTCCAGCCGAACCTCCAGCCGAAAGGTATTTGCGCCGAAGCAGAAGATCTGTCTTGTTTCTCAATTACCGGGAATTATTACAAAGAAAGTGTGATAGCCATTGCCAACTTGCCCACCAAAGGGGACCTCAGCATTATTGCCTATAGACCAGATATACAAGGTAATATGTGAAAATCTGCACTCATTACTCCGTACTCGCTGCGGAACAGGCGCACCGGTGGGACGGCGTGTGATCTGCTAGTTTAGTTGGCTAATACGTACACACCAAGCTGGTAAAATGGGCTCCGATATGCAAAGCCCGATTGGATCTTTGCACAGCGTCTAGCATGCCTGAGGTTGAAGTGGGCCTCATTTCCTGTGCGTTTTGATCCTTCGCTGTCCGATAACAAAATATAGAGCTAGTCTGGAACTATCTAAATTAATTTGTATCATGCTGGTATTGTTGGTTGCTCTGCCCTGCATGCCAGGGGTGAGAGCATACGTATGACATATGATAGATAGCGCTCCCAGGGCCAATGCCCATCTTAATTTCATTGGAGGGGCAGGCAGCTAATTTAATCATATAACATCATCCGGCCCCATGCAAGACGCTACGACTTCATGTATTCTGTTTCGGGAAGGTATGACACAGGTCAACTTATACGCCACCAACCATTGGCCAAATGTGCAAGGTGATATATCGAAATCTGTATGTTACTTGCCGCGGAACGGGCGGCACGGGCTGACCGGTAGCAACGTGAGTGATCTGCACCGCAAGCCCATTTGTTCTGTTCTGGGGTAGTGGTGGAATCCAGGTCCACTTATACACCACCAACCATGCTTGTTTCTCAGCCTACCCAGTAAGATAAAGGATATCAGGGAAGCTAAGAATCTAGGAAAGGAAGACTGCAGCTAAAATCTTACTTAGTACTCTTTCAGGAATGTTTTACCTGGTAGCCCGTGCTAGCGCCCGTATACTTGTCTATGTAATTTGGTAGAGTTACATTCTCACTGTTAAAGGGTTTTCTGAGACAAACAATAAATCTACGATAGTCTTAGTTGGCTCCCTGTTCTCTAGTTTAATAGAGGATGAGCTATATATGGGTATACAAGTGCATGTATAATCCTAGTATTGTATTTACAGAGTATTACATCTTTACACTGTAAACCGAATCCAGACCTATATGTCAAGTATTATAAAATTTATGATAATTCTCAAGCATGTGACCTGATGCTATTATACAATAGTACCATTGCGTATAAGAAGTTGAAAAAATATGAATAAACCATGGGGTTTCAAGTGCCACACCACCGGAGTAGATCGCTTGTCAAATACCGCAGAGATGTCGTCTACCAGGAAAATACCTCTCCTTGATCTGAAACTCGCAGAGGATCCCTCAACGCGAGGACTACTTCTTAATCAGTTGCATGATGCATTATTTAACATCGGTTTTCTGTATATTTCCAACCATGGAGTCTCGGAAGAAATCATAAGTGCTCTGTCAGAGAAACTTCCGGCGCTCTTTCATTTGCCGCTAGAACGAAAGAGGGAGTTGTCTAAAACTAAATCCCCCCAGTTCCTTGGCTTTAGTGACTTTGCCCAGGAGACCACTCAGGGTAAGCTTGATTTGAGGGAGCAATACGACATTGCCACGGAACTGCCCGAGGTCTACCAGAAGGATGCAGTCCCGAACGACCGGGGAAGAAACTTTTCGAACTTGTACTGGAGGCTTAGGGGCCCAAACGTGTGGCCGTTAGAGAACGAAGTACCTGGCTTTAAGAAAGCGGCTAATGAGTAGGCACCTCCCTGACAACGAGCAGCAAGTAGCTTTGACTGACATTTCTACATTTTCTTGAATGCGTTCGCCGAATTATCCTACAGGTTCGTGCATCTCGTGGAAGAGGCATTTGGTATCCCAAGAGGGACATTCGATAGCTTCTTCAACGAGGATGCCGCTTCCACCCCGGAGAGCGACTTTCTTCCTCCTCAGCATCGTCTTAGACTCAACTTCTACCCGGCCATGCCGCCAGAGCAAGAGGGCCAAGGTGTAGGCCCACACAAGGATATGGCTGGATGGCTCACCTTTCTACACCAGGTCGGCTCCGAATGCGCCTTGGATGTGCAATGCAGAGACGGCAGCTGGATTTCTGTCGATCCAATTCCCAACACTCTCGTTGTCAACCTAGCTACGCCTTTGAAGCGGCCACCGAGGGTGCAGCCAGAGCGACAGTTCATCGAGTACGGGCACCTTCACAGAGAGATCGATACTCGATTCCATTTTTCATGGGCTTGCCACACGAACTTAAGCTCTCACAGGTGAGGAGCCGTATCCCAGAGAGTGTCAGGGCGATGAGACGCAAAGAACTGGAGAATGGTGAATGGACTATAGACCAGAAGATCGAAACCTTTTTGGACCCGAGGTGGGACAACATCGGTGAATCCGTACTGAGAAGATTCATTAGAGGGTACAAGGAAACAGCTCTAAAATTCTATGGGCAGGAGGTGTACCAATACTATACTCAGTGAACCTGTGTGGGGAAGCTGACTTATGTTTTCATTGAAATTCTGGATAGTGATAAATTGACGAACTCGATGCGAAGTTGAATACCTACTGAACCAGCGATCATTCAATTTCGTAAGTGAAACTCCTTCGTACTTTCTGTCCCAGCCTGAGACAGTCCTGTCTGCTCCTTCTACTGGCCACGGAAAAGTATGCTAGGTAGCTGAATACTTCGGCCTTGGGTCCGAGTAACTTATCCCCCTTTTTCTTCATCGTCTTGTAGTCTACAACGGCCAATCGTAGATCTTCATGCCGCTCCAACATCTCTCGGCCGGGGTCAGGACTTTTCATCACGCCATGTTTGTCCTCCGGAATGATGATGACCTGAACCCACCATTGTGGGCCATGGCAGAAAGGTACGCTCAGCGCACGACATCGATCCAAGTCGCCGAGAGCGGCCAGTATGTGGTTGGCATAGTAGTCCACACCGTAGGTCAACAGCGTAGCACTACTCACAAAATAACCACCCGGTCGAGCATTGATCTCATGCAGGTAGAAGGAGGGTTCCTCGCCGCCTTGAAATCGCTCGCTGGGATACAAATCCATAATGCCGTCACGCGTATCGTACGCTTTGGATGCATAGCGAATTCGCCCCTCGCAGTGAAAGACGCCGGTGCGGAAGCCTTGTCGCAAGAGGGTTTGATGAATCGAATCCCTGGTAACTTGAATTTCCTTGGGGGAAAGTCCTGTCGGGAGAACCATATCAGTCTCCATGAAGGAACCGTCCAATGCATTCCCAGCCTTTTCGCCCGCTTTGGGGAAGTCATCTGCAACCTCAAAGAAGATGATCTCCCCTTCGATCAGCACAAAATTAGCATCGACTTCGGGCCCCTCGATATATGGCTCAATCATTACATCCGACCGCGGGTTTGGCCCTTCCCTGTGTCGACTTGAAGCCCGTGCGACTGCTTGAATGAGTTCTGCTTCGGTCTGCACTTTCGAAACACATTCACTACCCCATCCCATACAGGGTTTCACGATCACAGGGTATTCAATGGGCGGATTTGTCTTGGACTGCAGTCGTGTGCGTAGCTCGTCGATATTGAAGATCTTGAATGCTCCTCCGTTATCAGGCTCCATCTCTCGCGTCTTGAACTTGTCTCCTGCAATGATGTATGACTCGGGTGGCGCAGACCGGAACCCCAATATCTGACAAGCTCGTGCAGCGCCGATGGCTCCAGCGTTGTTGACCGTCACAAGCGCGTGGATAGGTTTGTCGTAGCTCCGCACCGCGGCCACGATGCGGTCTACAAACCCCTGGTCCGCGGTGATATCGGTTGGAATAAAGGCTTCTCGTAAAAAGTTCCAGCGGTCATCGTCTCTCTGAAACCAGTGGCCGTCATGGTCCAGAATCACCACCTTGATGCCCAATGCTCGAGCGGCTTCCCATATGCGCCTCCCGCTCTCCAGGTCCTCCTTCCCTTTGATCCATGCGATGCGTTTCTCTTCAATAGGCTCAGGCGAGATCCATGGGAACGATAACCTGTTCGCTAACTCGGCCTCCAGACTGGCTAGACGCTCTTCATTCTGGACTTGAACGGCTCCAACAGCATGGGGTAGAAGATCAAGTAGGCTCAATGGAGATTCACCATCCAGGCGTCCGAAACTAGGAGCTTTAATTTCCTCTCTTGGCGTCAGAAAACCTTCGAGACTCAGCGCATGCTCATAACCTTCCAGGCGCCGCTCAAGGAAGTCCGACCTGACCGTGAAGCCTGACTTTACCGGTAGAATGAACTTGATGGCAAGAACGGAAGATGTCGACAGCGGCTGATGGAGAAGACGAATGAGAAAGTTGGACGCACGATCGTCCGATCTTAGTGGCAGGGCGTTACGTGCGCTTGACGTAGCTAGCAGCGCGGTGTGATTACCAGTCGACAAGAGATCCAGTGTCACATCTAGAGTTCTATGTAGAGATTCTCCCGGTGCCACAATATTGAGTTGCCACAACCCGTCGACGTAGACTACCAACACCGTCAGTGTTCAGTGAGAGGCAAAAGTGCAGCGAGGCTGAATACCATCCTTCCCTTCTACCGTGTAGTGGAATGTACTGGCCTCCGCACCAGGCATCATGAATCGTAAAGAGACACCGATTAAAATTTGAAGATGGTACGTGTGAGCAAGAGGGGTACAGGGCTCTCGTCAGGCAACCTCGGGGGCAAACGGCGGCACTTTAACTGTTTAACTGGTTCTGCATAGAGTCTATTGGTCACATGTTGGACGCCGTCCATAGATCAAATGCGGCTTTTGCGTACCCAATCTATCGGCTTCGCAGGTACATACTATCGGTCAACTAACTAGTGGATCACACGCCTTCTCAATGGTGTTTCACAAACTTCATAGCTTGCTCACATTTTTTTCATCGTCTTATACACAGTGGTACTATGGGATAACATTATTGGGCAGTATACTAGAGGACAGGGAGTCAACTCAGGTAAATGGTGGGGGTTGCTCTTTAGACCAGGCCGAGAGTGGTGGATGGCTAGGTTAGACGATACCTTCCTTGAACCGAACAAACAGGGTTACAACAGCACGTACGTTCCCGCCCGTTCCGCGGCACGGAGTAAATATAGCTTCCCCCATATCACCCTGTCTATTTGGCCTTATGGTTGGTGGTGTCAGTGGACCTGGATTATGCCCTCCCAGAAAGGAACGAATGGCCACCCGAGCAACCCAGCCACCAATGTAATCCATACGGAACAGGAATTTCGTATATCTTGATATCTCCATGAAGTTATTTTTAAACCACCGGCAAAAATTACATATAGTATACAATGCGCCCAATGATAATAGAATTAAGATCAATAAGAAAAAAAAAAAAACCAACATTGAGTAAAAATACCAACGATTACACTGTTCTTTTGCCAAAATATACATAGCTCGGTGTGATTTCAAGATCTACTCATTGATATAAAAATTTATTTTAAAAGCATATTTTCTTTTACCAAGCAGATGATATGGTAAACATGTAATGTTCGGTTATTCCATACAAACTCCAGGGCACATAACCCCTAGCAACAGAGTATAACAAATGAATTTATGAAAATACGGTGGAAGATGTCGGTAGCTTACAAAAATTACGCGGGTTACTAGCCTCAGACAGGAACAAAGCAGCACCTCGCTCACCGCATGTGATTTGTCGTCTCTGGTACGGACTTGATCGGCGGTAAGATTTGTGGCTCGCGATGGTGTACATGTTGATGTTCCCACATATCCGATTTGTTATCAGCTCCCCCTGGTCGCTCGCGCGATATATAGATCATCATGGGAATGCCCATGGTTGGTAACCGTTCACATGTCCTCACCATTCTCCAATGCGATGGCGAGGATAGTTGAAGCTGGAAGCGGCCCTGCAGGCATTGATGACGAATCTCTCTCGCCTCGAGATGCTACAGATGAAGAGATTGGGTCTCTGAGGCATGTCGTTGACAAGCTACCCAGAAAAGTCTGGGTCTCTTTGCTCGTCAGTGGAGCAGAGCGCTTCACATACTACACAATCACAACTCCGTGGCGTAAGTGTACGGCGAGAGAACGGGGCATGATATGATATACGGCTAAGACACAATGGCAGAGAACTACATACAGAATGCTCCGGGTGATGGGGCCGTGCCAGGTGCTCTTGGGCTTGGGCAATCTCGGGCGACCATGATCTTTAATGGCTTCTATTTGTTTTATTACTTGGTGCCTATCCCCTTCGCCATTGTGTCAGATGCATGGCTAGGGCGATATGCGGTTCTCTGTATCAGCCTGAGGTGTGTGTGTTGGCGTGCCACGGCACCTGGTATTGGCTAGCTCACTAACACAATATAGCTTGTATTTCTGTGGCACGCTCGTACAATTTATAACGTCTCTACCCTCGCTTTTCCGCTATGAGTCAGGCCTGGCGGGTCTTGTCCTCTCTATGATATTAATAGGTCTCGGTGTTGGAGGAACAAAAGCAGCAATCACGCCCTTCATCGGTAGTTTTATCCTGTTAAGCACACTAACTTTGAATGAATCTAATAATGGCATTAGGAGATCAATACCCAGTCAAGCCTCCACAAGTCAAGACTCTGGCAACCGGAGAACGCGTGATCATAGATCGAACGTTGACCTTGCAATATGTGTACAATGTCTACTACTGGTTAGGACCTCCAAGAATCAGTGGGTGGCACAGGCTAACCCATAGCAGGATCACCAATATCGCCGCACTTTCTATCCTGGCATCGACTTATCTCGAGAAAGAACGTGGCTTCTGGGCGGCCAATGTCCTTGCATTGTCCTCATCCTGGATTGGGGTTGCCTTGCTTGCTATATTTGGCAAGGAACTCGGTGCGTCCCCGCATACCAACCATAGGGTGTGGCTGATTAGTGGTAGAACGGTATCCGGCTCAAGGTGGTGTTTTGTTAAAAGCTGGAAAGGTTCTGGCATATGCTATCCACGATAAGTTCAAGATCGATGCTGCACGCCCACGCTACCAGTTAGAAAGGCACAACCGGGCAGTCCCATGGACGGATCGTTTCGTCTCGGAGATTGAAAGTGGCCTTCGTGCATGTCAAGTGATGTGGGCTTTCCCCCCTGGAATTCTCCCTTTGGGCATACGGGACACGAGGGCTGACTGACCGTGTGACGGATAGGACCTGGTTCGTGTTGTTCCATCTTGGCATCAACCAGATGACCAACAACCTCGTTTCACAAGCAGGCGAAATGGAGCTCTCCGGCTTCCCCAACGACGGGATTCAGGTTCTAAACCCAATCGCCTGCGTTTTACTCGGTCCCGTCATCCAGAAACTACTCTACCCAACCCTTGCGAGATACCAGATCCCCTTTGGTCCCCTCATACGCATGACCATGGCCTTCTTTACAATGGCAGCGACGTTCGCCTACGCTGCGGGAGTCCAGAAGATGATTTACAATTCTGGTCCCTGCTACGAGGCTCCATTGGTTTGTCCGGCGGCCCAAAGAGTCGGACAGCCGGCCTTGCCCAATAATATCATGGTCTGGGTGCAGACGCCTATATATGTCATCTTAGCTCTGTCTGAAATCTTTGGCTTCGTCACCCTCAGTGAGTATAGCTACAGTAAGGCGCCTAAGGATATGCGTACTGTAGTCCAGTCAATGAGGCAGCTGAGTGCTGGCATTGGAAGTGCTATTGGTATAGCTCTCGGTCCGGTTTCACGTGATCCGAAGGTATTGTGGATGGATGTCGGACTGGCAGTAAGTCTGGGGCTTTCAGGGACACTGTTTTGGGTGGTTATGGGTCACCTTGAAAAAGATAATGAAGATTTGGACACGATGGTTCTGAATGATGACCGAGGTAGGGCGGCACACACTGGAGATGAGGTCGTTTCAGGAACTAAAAGCTGAATACCTTATCCGATTGACATTCGGTTGTATATAAATACATCTTTAGTAAGCCAGACTGCCAAAGACGCTACGATAGAGGCTGTGATGGGGGAGATGCGGGCGAGGAAAGATTCGTATGATAGAGTACTGGGAATTGCTGGTGAGCCAGTCTGACCGGTGCAGCTCGAGACATCGACTGTGTCTTGTATTGTCCCTCCCGGGAAAAATGGCCTCGACAAGAAGTCGAATAGGTTCTCCATGGTACTATTTGGTAGTACTTAGCAACAGTCGGCCGGAAAGTTTGGGAGGGGGGACATATTACTAGGAACTATTATTTCGAATTTATATAGAAGACATCCATTTCTCTTCCTCTGCTGCACCTACAAATCCGCGTGGTAATCTTCTTCAGAAGCATTCGCTTCCTCTGTATTAACTCCAGTACTTCACTGGCAAGTATCATGTAGAAATGGGATTAGAGAAGTATGATCTGGAGAGCTGAAAGTCGTATAGTATTAGATAGAAAATCCTGAACTTAAGATACTAATGTAATTGCAAAACACTGATGGCTAGCTATTTCTTCTATAAAGAATCTTAAAACGGACGCTAAAATGTCTAAATGGTTCTCCCGTTATTTAATTATTATTGTTTACATATACCTGATAAGCATCCTATAGTTCGTGTTGAGGTTTCATTTTATCTTATCCTGCTAGATCAGCGAACTAAGCCAACGTCTGAGAGCATTACGGACCATACTCTATGCAAAATTGAATATCGAGGTCGCACTTGTGGAAACCCTAAATTACGAGGCAATGAAATGACTTGAGGAGATGGAAGCGAGGAAGGGGTTGAACAGATCTAATATGAGCCATTGCAGATGGCAATGCATCAGCTAAATACAAAGAAGCACAGCGCAGTATATAAGAGTTTGATCGGTAATATACAAATTTAGAATATAATAACAATATCAATCCGAGAATGTTGAATAAAAATAATTAAAGACCAAGTCGTAACAATTGTAATAGAATATTGTAAATGGCCAAAGATAGTCTGTTCTGTATAGAGAGAAGACAGATAGATAATTCGAAATATAGTGGGGATAAAGCACAATATAGAAGCGGAGTAAGTATTAATAGAGTTCCTAGATCTGACAGCAGAGGTCATCTGGCGCCCAATACAATGAACTGTTATAGATAAAGTTGTTCTGAGCGTCTACTTTAAACAGGGCACACAGATATGCGATGGTAGAGGAGAGGATGCAGATTATGAATTCACAATTAATGCTGTCCCTGCCTCTGAGGATCTGACAGGTTCTATAGTAAAGTGTGTAATACATGGGACCGAACCAGAGTCTGACTACCATGCCATTGAGCCCGTATTTAAAGCCCCGATGCCGTACCGTAGTCCCCTTGGGGCAGCTGGGTTCCGTTGTATACCCCCCTATACAGGTCGTGAGTAGAAGTATGCTCAGTACCACTACGCAGAAAGTGTTTTCTGCGAGTGCCATGGTTGTTCTGAATGTAGACGTTTGGAGACACGGAGCGGTGACTTACCACCGAGGAGTTATTCTGAGTGGCCTGACCATCTGTGCTTCCACAACAATTCGATATTCTTGGCATCTTGTTTTCCGTAACACCAAATATCACCGTCGGCGTGAGTAACCTAGGACTATGGGCTAGTAAACCGATCGGGCGAACGAGCCCGAAGGAAAGACCCAGTGGAGCCAATTTACTGAACAACTTGATTGAAGAAAGAACGAAAATCATTGGGGCAGGTTCAAATTGATCGCTCTGATTAGACATCGGCAGAACCCATCATGAATCCAAGTTTGGACCCAAAACCTATGAATAGGTATTACAGTTATAAAAATCCGGATATCAGTCGCCCTCAGGTTCACACCCTTCTGGAGTAGGTCCATCGAGTACCGTCTAAACGCTACCATCAGTCTCAGTCTTCCAATTGGACTTCCAACCAGCACTATCAAACGGCCACCCAACTAACCCAATACTAAGTCTTGGGCTCGCTGCGATCTCCTCCTCTTGGGCCTTCAGTTCATCAACGTCCCAGTTTGCCCACAGATATTTACCTCTCAAGAAACGTGCTTCGCCGCTTGCGAGCCAAACATTGAAGCTTGCCGGCAGAGAAACTCATCCAAAAGTTAGTCTATGGGGCTCCGATTCTAATCAACCAGCGTACTACTTACCATCATCCGCGAAGCCCATCGCAGCGACGCCGCCCGCTTCCCTATTCATCGCCGTGTCCACCACGCCAGGCTGTATATGGAAGATACTCAGTTCCGGGTTCGCAAAAGCCAAGGAATCCCAAAGCCGAAAGACCGCCAGCTTGGCAATGCTGTAGGAAGCAAACCCCGGAGCAAAATTGAGATGTGCCGCAGACGAAGAAGTCTCAATGGCAACTGCATCCTTGGACGCGTAGCGAAGGAACGCCTGCGCGATATTCAACGATCCTTTCAGGTTCTGATGAATGGCATCGAGAAACTTGTCACCATCCACATCACCGACGGCATCCTGGGGCCCAATCACTGCCGCGTTACTGACCAGAACATGGACATTCCCGCCGCCAACGAATCTAGTGAATACTTCGTCCACTTCTGTTTTCTTCGTAACGTCGGCAGAGGCCACGAGTACTTCCACGCCAGAGCATTTGCTGTCGATGGAGGCCTTGGTGTCGAGAAGGGGTTGTTCTCTACGGCCAAGGAGGACGATACGAGACGCGCCTGCTTCTGCAAAATGGCGAGCGGTCTCTGCGCCGATACCAGTTCCTCCAGTTATGACAATGGTTTTCCCTTTAGCGGAAAGCTCCGGGCGGGTCGGCGAGATGGAATGGTATGTTTGCGTGTGCCAGTTTGAAGTTGGGGATGGAAAGGGGGCCATGTTGATCGTAAAATGTACAACGTATTGGCAACAAGGATGAGTAGATTGGATTTATTGTCTGACAAGTACAATATGTGGGAGAGGCATGCATACCTTTAAGTATACTCGAGTACATTACCTCCAATACTATGGCGGAGTTGTGCAATTTGAAAGCTAGCCTGATCATCCCATCTGTGAGACCACTATGAGTACTGTAGTCACGGTTCTGTTTAAAGACAAGGTTGTTGGAGAAATCGGAGCTCAGGTGTCGTGGAGTCCATTCCGAAAGACGGCATTACAAAATGGTCCGGGAGACTTCAACTTGGCCGGTACAAAATGACCCGCCCCAATCAGCTTTTAATATTGTACACTAAACTTGGCACCTCTTAAGCTTTCCAAGGTCGGCCGCCAACAGGCTATTTTTAGTCAGATATCTCAGTGCTGACAAATGCTACCGACAATGGCGCCTTTATATCAGATATGTTGCAACTCTCCATACTCTCACGCGGTCAAATTTGAAATGCATGAAGGACAAGTGGAATCGATTCTGCGGTGTGGACGTTGCAATAAGCCATTCGACAAGGGTCAGTTTGTATTCCCACCAGTCTCTCTTCACTGACATTGGACTCGGTATTAAAACGTGATGCGTTAGTGTCCACGCTGAAGAGACATGGATATTACTGTCGATCCCGAAGGGTGGGCAGTGACATTCGGGCTCGATCTTGTATTGCATGCGCGAGAGGAAAGGCGCGTTGCGATAAGACGCGGCCGGAATGCTCGAGGTGCAAAGCCAAAGGCAGTGGGTGTCATTATCCAGCGACAACGTCCAAGGTTGCAGGGCCAAGGACTCAGGGCCGTGAGGACGATGAACAGATCGAACGCCTGCAGCCGGTTTCTTCGTCGGTGGCAGATGTCCCCAGGGTTGGAAACCTTCTAGAAGCGAGCAGTGATGGCAATATACCTCTCGACGGGGCCATGGCGATCGCAGACCCCGAATTCGCAGCTATTGGAGGGAGATATAGTGATATCATACCAGATCTTGATTTCAGGGATTTCCTAACTGCGCATATGGATGATGACGACGTTCACTATACCCCATCAGGGTCGTCATCTTACATCTATCATGCGAGATCTTCGACCCATGGAACACTTCAAGTACAACACCCCATATCCTCTCCTAAGCTATCAATCCCGCCTGTGCCAACTCAAGCTATCCGATCGCTTGTCCAGCGCCCAAACATGAGACCCGGGACGCACAGGATAGCAAAGCTGATACTTCACAATCTAAAATCATATCCCCAGATGCTGCTGCTCCACAACACGCTTCCACCATTTATCCACCCGTCTTTCTTATCTTCCGATCTCTGCAACCCCAATTTCGAACCGTTAACCAATTGCATCGCCCTGGTGCATATGATCGGCAGCGGAATTCAAGCAAGCCGACGGTTGTTCTGGAAGAACGTACGGATGGAATGTGAACGGTTATGTGAAGAGGTATGTTGACTGAAGTCTATCGCGAGAAAGTAACGGTGGAGAATGAGCTGATGAACAATGTTAGCACCTGACGTTAAACAAGTGGGAACTGCTGGCTGCTATGCAAGCCCTCTCTATTTATATTATTATCCGATTAGATGAAGGCGAGACAGATTACAATAACTTTGATTCACTGTTGCTGAAAGCAATCACAGTAAGTCTAGCTTTGGCATTTTCTCCCATTCCGCTGGTCGTATTGATATAATCTAGGCAATCTCTAAGCGGCTCAGCTGCAGCGAGATCACAAAGAATGTAAAGTTTGCGCTACACAACTGCGATCTCAAAAACAACTGGAAGGAATGGACCTTCGAGGAGTCAGGGCGAAGGTTAGAGTTCCACAGTCTCTCCTCTGTTACAATGCGATGGATATCGAAGTGCTAATTGCGGCAAAGATTATGCGTCATTTATCGTGTCGTGAATATGCTGGTTTACTTTGAACCAGCAGCAATGTGTGGTCTGCAGACGGACCTTATTATAGCACCTCTTCCAGCAAAGAAGCAGCTTTGGGAGGCAGGTGATGAGCTTTCATGGGAGGCTGAAAATGGAAGAGAACCTGGGATCCAGACTGCGTTTGGGCTGGCATCAAATGGTGACCTAGTCAAACTCGGGGGAGGTCAGCTATGTTATGCTGATGAAGTGCTGGCTTATAAGTCATTTACTGCCAGCGGCTCGGGAAATTGGGAGGAGTGGTGCTCGGGGATGGATGGGTTTGGCGGTCTTATAATGCTTGCTGCTTCTTTGGTAGGGTAGAGCTCTGCCTATATGGCGATAGACTCTACAGCTACTCCGTGAAGAGCATCCTAGAATGACTTCCTAGGAACCATAGGCCTTCCTCTAGCGTTAGTATATACTGTTATGTCGCGTCACACATGTTGTTCATAAAGTTAAGATACTGCATATTATGCACCATCTCTATTCCAGAGATATGTAGCTATTATAAACTCATCTATGTTGACGTCCCTTAAATTTCTGTAGCGAGCAACCTCGTATTAAACCCAGAATCGCTGTTCACAACAATGGAACATAACAAAGAGCGATTTGATTTGATATCAAGTCACTCGTTTAGCAGGCAGGAAGAATACAAACCGCTGCACCGCTTCACAGCTTCATGGATATATTGTTGCAGGTGAATATTGGGAGAAGAAAACACACCAGAGGTAGCCAGAGAATCCTCCCATGTTCACCCACCACTGTGCCCGAATTCATATTCTCGACATCAACACTAGTAATTATTGTTCTATCATAAGAATGCAATATTTATTTTAATGAACGCCTAAAATCTCACCCAAAGGTGGAAATAAGACGAATACGGCGGCTCGCTTTCCGAACACGTTGATTATAAATTCGCCCCAAATTTGACCGATAGAGACCATGTAACGCGGCTTTGGGGATTTCAGGTAATTTGCCTTTAGCGGAGACTAAACCGAAGTAGTCTGCTGTGGATCCGCCTACGTGGGGATGATGGGCGCGATTTCGAGATTTTGAGATGAATTTGCCTGCAGCGGAGACTAAACTGAAGTAGTCTGTCGTGGATCCACCCCAATGTCGCCCTTTTGGTAGAAAACATTGTCCATGCCAAGACTCGTAACAAGATCATGATTCATAGTTCTAAGTTGTAATTATCTTGTAACCGGAAAACTTTGGTGGGCTGGATTGCGAGTATATCTGTAGCTGTCCAGTTACAGGAGACTAATTTAGTCTGTATAGTCTTGGTCGGTTCAGTCGGCGGTACAAGCTCCAAGCTTTGATAGAGCGCCTGGCCCTGGCCGGCAGCTATACTATTTGTAATAAAGATTGGACTCTACTCGAAGCTTAAGTTGTCGGGGATGTGTGTCTGAACACTATCCTTGGTAGGGATATACTCCGTAAAGAAGCTGTCCACGGCCTGGTTAGTGTTGGCACTGTGCACAAAGCCAGAGATACGGTCGCCCCTCTTCAAGCGCGGCGTATATATGTACTCATGTTATGGATAGTTACTGAAAGATGCAGATCTTCAGCAAATAGAGTTGGCTTACAAATGTATGCCGACATATTTTGATGGGATCCACAGTCCTTTTGTTTTGGGTCTGCGAACCCACTTGGTCCATGCCCCGGTGGAGAACTACCAAACATACTCTCGCAGATTTGTTCCTGTTAAGCAAATTTGAGGTAGACTAATTGACTAACAGCGCTAGTTTCTGTTACACATGGCTAAGCATAGACCTCATCAACAAAATCCACCACCTGCACTTTCGCCAAATACCCCTTGACACTCTGGACAAGACCGAGATGCACCTGATCTTCTGTCACAAAGTAATCACGCTCTTGCTCATTCGCAAATACAGAGACAAAGCCATGGCTGATATCACTCTACTGGTAATACATGGTCAGGCATGCCCATGGAAATCATAGAAAGGGGACTGCGAGAAGAGTACCTGTAGCCCTTCAATGGAATTGTCACATCCGCCTTTCATTGAGACAATGTACGGCATCTTGGTCTCGGGATGGAGACAGCTTTCTCGGAGAGCCCGTACTTGGCTGGCAACCTGGTTTATGGGTAAGATGTTATATCATTCATGAGGAGGGCGGGACGTACTTTTAGTTTGTCTTCGGCAGAGACATCCGGCTTGAACTGGAGGAGGACAACATGGGTGATCTGCATCTTGCGCTTCACCCTTGAGATAGAAATACTAGACCAGCTCAGCTACGGTATGGATTGCACCTTTATATACTTCGAACGCCCCTCGGCTCGTCCAAGACCTTGTCAGTCCGACTAGAACAGTTTCTAGATGTGGACAACGCTGCTTCTGGAAGACTCTTTTCTCCTTTCTGCTCTGTAAGCAAGTCCGAATAATCCCGCAACGATACATTCTTGGTTCGGAGAGGTAAGGCGGTTTTCTAACGATGTGGATAGCTGCAAGCTGTCTTGCCCGCCATGTCGGAGCGGAGTCTAGTCCGGAATTGGCAAATGAGCCAGCGGCGGGGCGGGGCTGGTCCCGGCATTAACAGATAATTGAGCACCGAGTGGATCGTGTCTACTCCGGCGTAGGAGCTGCTTACAAACATGGAGATCCAGAGGCATCGAGAGCGTACTTATATGGTTGAATCCCGTTGCTTGATCCTGATCAGCTCATAGTCTCACTACCTAGCGTACAGCAACGACACCTACCACCTGCACAATGTCTCCTCAGCTTGCATGGATTGGCCTCGGCAACATGGGCCGCGTATGTACATTCATCGCTCTCATCATTCTGTTCTACAAATAACCACCACGACAGGGAATGGCCAAGAACCTTGCCGCAAAAGCCCCCATCAGCGCCCCGGTCCTCATCTACAACAGAACCACCTCGCGCGCTGAGGCCTTCGCTTCACAACACCCCAACACAGCTGTTGCGTCTTCCATCCTAGAAGCAGTCACCAAGTCGGATATAATATTCACGTGTGTCGGAGACGACGCCGCCATCACCGAGACCATTGACACCGCCGTGAGTGCCGGCGATCTCAAGAACAAGCTCTTTGTGGATCTCTCCACCGTGCACCCGGATACCACCACCTCCATCTCAGACAAAATTCAGAAACACGGCGGCCGCTTCGTGGCCAGTCCTGTCTTCGGCGCGCCAGCTATAGCCGATGCCGGACAGGTCATTTGCGTTCTTTCAGGTCCGAAGGATGCGGTTGAGCAGGTGAAGCCTTATACGACCAGTGTGATTGCCAAGTCCTTTCTGGACTTTAGCGACCAGCCAGTAGCCAAGGCGTCGCGGCTCAAAGTCCTCGGTAATACCTTTGTAATCAGCATGGTCGAGACCATTGCAGAAGGGCTCGTCGTTGCGGAGAAGTCCGGGCTGGGAACAGATGCACTGCATCAGTTCTTCGAGGCTGTTTTCCCCGGTCCGTATGTTGCGTACTCGGCTAGAATGCGGAGTGGAGATTACCACAAGAGGCCGGAGCCGTTGTTTGCGGTTGACTTGGCGAGGAAGGATGCGAGGCATGCCATGGATTTGGCGGAGAAGGCGGGTGCCACGATGCGCGGGTTGAAGTTGGCGGATGGCTATATGACACAGGTTCAGGAGCACCAAGGTGAACGGGGTGATGTGGCTGGCATTTATGGGGCAGTTAGAGAGGAGGGTGGGTTGACGTTTGAGAATTAGGGGTTTTTTGGCTTCTTTCTGAGCCTTGCGTTGGATGTCGGTATTACATAGACATAAATGAGCCCCTAGTCCATCAGAAGTCTCAGATAGTTTCGTGATTTTAAATGCTATTAAGTGTACACTGTGGTCAGGTACTGAGGAATCAATCAATGCCATGCACCCACAGCAAGGGATTTGAATATGTCAGAGCCTCATCGGATCCGTCAGTACAGCCTTTCGCTATGTAGGTTCACCTAGTAGGCAGTCAAGGTCATGGACGCATAGGGAGAAGTCACAAGGAAACAGTACAGGGATGATTGTAGGGTCAGATGGATCAATGAAATTTCACATGAAGGGATAACAGACTAAAACATAATCTAATACCAAAGAAGTGAAAGGAACGTAGGAATCAACAACGAATATGAAACAGTTACCTTGGAATGAGTGTATATGAGCGAGCCACATAATTTGACAATTCAGCCCTTAGCTAGTATTGGCCAGTTCATTCCAGTAATTCATCGAACCCTCCTCCCATGGATTTGACAATCTTTAAATGGGGGAGGCATCTATGAAAGGACTGTACTGTCGGGGGCATGTAGTGTTGGATGATGGAACTGTCCCTTGGAGGTATGCCTGAATATGGCCAAAGTAACAGTTTGATCCCCCCTGGTCGATGACCGTATGCTGAATTTAAAGAAAACATCGCGCGAGTAAGCCTGTACTCTTGGTCGAGATGGCTGTAGGATTGGGAATTGATAAAAACTTACACCAACAGCTTCCTGCATTAAAAGTACCGATCCGGCAAACCGAGAAGACATCTTGCGCGCCCTATGAGAAGATAATATCAGCTACCTGTCCAATGTCGATGCGATCTGTTCGCAACGTACGATTTCAACGGCGTGATAGGGTCGATAGTATTACTTGCGAACAGAATCGGGAAGGACGTAGGCGTGTTTAGTGCTTTTATTTCGCCTGCATCAAAACTGGTTAGACTTTTATTTTCAATGCAGATAGACACCCATTTTACCGCAGACGATGCTGTATAGAATGCCAAAAAGAGAGAGACAGAGAAAGGGGGTGTTGAGTACCATGAACTACCATGCTATCAGGCAACTGCGGTTGAAATGATCGGCATAAGATGCCTTCCAGGAAGGTGGGGTAGATATCACCGATGTACTTGCTCTTGACAATGGTGTACTCTGCCCAAAGCTTGAACTCTTCTATGGTAGTAAGCCTATTCCTTCGATACGAATCAGAGCATGTAATGGCGAGACGGGCATCGGTTATAGAGTTTAACTGGTCATACATGCCCGCAAGAGCAGACACATTTCCACGCTCCACCTGGTGTAGGATGTCTGCCATGCTTGGAAACCTTGCCAGTGGGGTGTAAAGTGTGTTGAGAAAAAGAGTCTTTAGGTCTGAATAGGTGACCATGGTCGGCAGGTCTGGATCTCCGGCGCCGCTTAGCGGGACTGGGTGGTTCTGAAGCTGACGGATGATGCCATCCATTCTTGCCGTGATGTTAGCGGGCGTGGGCCCCCAAAAGGAGCATTTTTCAGGCCCTGCCGAATGACAGAAGGTGGAGAATGTTTCGATGGCCTCGTCCATTTGATCAACATTGTCCGTCCAATAGTTGTTATAATATTGCTCTGCGTTCAGAACACCATCAAGGATCATTCTCCCAACGCGGTCAGGAAACAGGGAAGCGAAAGTGCTGCCGATGACAGTGCCGTAACTGACGCTATAGCACCATAATTGGGCGTTTGATGGTGACTGACCGGCCCACTCAGCCTCGGCTTCGGTAAATGTGAGCAAATCATGGGCAACTGCTCGCGTGGTCACGTAATATGAATGGGGTGACTTGCTCTTGATAGCATTGTTGCACCACTCGCCGTAGATAGAGCTTGAATAGTACTGTTCCTCAAGCGAGGTTGATGAGATATTGGTGGCACCTGTTCTGTGCAGTCTATAGAAAGCTGATCTTGCCTTTGTGTCCTCCGAGAAACAGTCAAGATGCAAGCCGCTATTGTTCACACCGCGAGGGTCAAAGGAGACGAAGTTGTACTGCTCTCCAAACATCTGCCCGATGAGATTCTGGTATGTGAGGAGTAGGTCGACACCAGAACCACCCGGACCACCTAGGGAAGTGTCAGTCCAATCCAATGAAGTTCAAACAACCTTGCATCATTTATAGAATTGAGATCTTACCGGGGTTGAGTACAATGCTTGGAGACTGGACAGTGGCATTTTTGCCAGCCAACTTGATAAACGCAATCGACGTCGTGCCAAGACTTCTGTTTGAATAGTCCAGAGGAACTTCCAGTCTAGAGCAATTAAAGGCATCGAAACATGGTGTCCATGTGAGGTTGGCTGATGGTTCAATCTAGATAGCTCATCAGAAACCTTGCAACCCTTGGGCAATGTGGTGCCGCACAGTCCCGGACTCACTTGTTCAAATCCATAGACCATGCCCGGATCATGCACACCGTAGGCTTTCATGCCCAAGCTTATGAAAGGGATGAGAGCATTCACGAGTCGGCTCATTGTTATCCCTGGAAGGAAATTCAACTGGGATGAATAGTTCCCAGATATCGCAATTGTATCAGCTCACGGCAAGAAACCGAACAATTGCGATATCTGGAAACTATTTATACCAGTTGAATTTCCTTCGACAGTACCAGCAAGCCCGATGGTTTCAATCTGCAGCTGCATTCTTCACATCCACTCGCCATACCCCTTCTTGCGTACCACCGCTTTGCGTTCCGCCTGTACGAACCAGCCAATGACTATTTCTGTCGATCGCCACAAGTGATTGAAGAGGAAGAGGCTCGCCTTACTTGGCGCCCCGCTTGTGCGAGCTAACCAACCAGTACTCAGCGCGGAAGAAGAAAGTCGAACAGAGTCATATTGATCTCTCTGTAGCCTCACACTAGGAGCCCCACTTGTACGAACTGGCCAATCAACGCTTGTCAAGAAATGCACGACCCAGCAGACTATATTTAGTAGGGCTAACGCCATTCGGTCTAGCTTCAGGCTACCTATCCAATCTGGCCCTATCACTAAGAAGTCACCTTTTAAGCACCCATCAAGCCCAGTCTTTCCACGAGCTTCGTTTTTCGTGCTCCGCATCGCCCACCTTTTCTCACTCCACAGTCCATCCCAACGGCTGTGGCGATAACTTCCCCATTGGCATCGAGTCGACCAACAGATCATCATCGTGGACTTTCATCGGTGCCCCATCAGTTCCCCTTCCAGGTCAATGCAAGCAGGTCGTGGCTTACGGCTCGTGGTGGCCTTGAAATCGACCTCTGCATGAGACGGTCCGAACTGCAAATATTAGACAGCTCTCGTCACCGTGATAGATGGGATGAAAGACACGGATACCAAGACCGGCAATCAAGCCTGGAGAAGAAAGCCTCGCAAGTTTGCTCCAAAGTCAAGACTAGGCTGTAAGACTTGCAAGTATGACTTGACTTGACGTATTGCTACAGAGCGGTCAATTTGGTTCCAAGACATCCAAACTGACATCCCTCAGGATCAGACGAGTGAAATGCGATCTATCTGTGCCGTCATGCTCGAAATGCTTTTCTACAGGTCGCACCTGCGATGGCTATAGTGAAATGCCCCTCGCATTCAAGCCCGAGGAGACCGAGAGTGAAACCACTCATGATCACATGGAGATTGCCGACAGAGCAGATAGCTACGGCTGTGACCACCCCGGTACCACGATCAGTACGTACGAATCAAAGCAATGGCACTCGAAATACCATGGCCTCATTTGGCAGAATCTCGGATCCTTTATGATCTTACCCGTGACTGGGTCAACCCAGGCAGAGGCAATGTCCTTTTTCAAGGATATTTCGATCAAGCATCTGAATGCATACCGCCCTTGCGAACCATGGCGGAACACTCTCCTGTTCTTCTCCCAAACAGTGCCATCAGTAAGGCATGCTGCAATTGCTCTGGCCTTAGTTCACCGAAACTACCTGGATCGTCATTCTAACGATGGAGGGTATGAATCGTCTTTTTTAAAAGACCGGCTCCCGGGTGAGGCTCCTTTGCTTCACTATAACCGCGCCATCCAGCTTCTGCTGAACCTGGAAGGTGGTGACAGTGCCCAGATAACAGCTGTTACGCTGTTGGTCTGTTATCTCTTTACCTGCTTTGATCATCTGGCTGGCAACGATGTACAAGCACTGAAACACGTGCGCGGAGGTGTGGCGCTCTCGCGTAACATCGACAACGCTACATTGAACAACTGTAACTACGGTGATGCCCCATCCTCGGAGGTCCACGCGATTATCTGCCAGGTCACCAAACATATTCGTCGTCTTGACATGCAGGCCGCCATGTTTCTGGTCGACTGGACTCCAGCCAACGTCGAAGAGACATTCATGTCCCATTTTGCACTCATCTTCAATAGCTTTCGGTCACTCGACCAAGCTGCTGACCACCTCCAGATTCTCCTCACGCAGGTAATGAGGCTGCGTAACACAGAGCAACAAATGTCCCCGACAGGTGTGATTCCGCCGTTACCTTCTTCACTCAAGGACATCGTTCTTGGGCAGTTGGAGACGTGGTCGAGCCTCTTCGAAAACCTCCTGCAACAACGCAGCCCCTCTAAGTCAGACTTTGAAACTGACCCTCTCGTATCACTCCTGCGTTTACAACATACTATCGCATGGATTCTCCTCGGTGGTTACGGACCTGGCAGAGAAATGGACTATGACAATTTCCTGCCCCAGTTCCAGCAATGCGTCGCATTGGCGGGTAAGGTAGCGGCGGCGCATCAGCAGTATTCCGGGTCGGCAAGGTCGACTTTTACTCCCGAGATCGGATTCATCCCCGTTCTGTACATAATTGGGACCAAGTGCCGGCATCCCAATGTCCGTCGTGAGGTCCTGAGTATTTTGCGGCGGCAGCTAATACAAGAGGCGACTTGGGATAGCATCACTACTGCCAGGGTCGTTGAGCGGGTTATCGAAATTGAAGAGGGTGCGGCTGGGGAGGAGCAAATGGCACAGTACATGGACCAAATTCCTGTATGGCAGAGGATCGAGGCATTGTCTTATATAAATATCCCAAGGGGGCAGTCTGCGGCCAGGTTAGATATCACGTATACGTTCTGCGGCCGGGAGGGAATACACATGGAGTCGATCATTCTATAGGATAAATACATAACATAAAGGCGAGCCACTAGTAGATCCAACGTTATTGCAGCGCCGACATGCTTATTATCTCCCCAACCATACGAAAAGGGCTCGTTAGATGGATTTAGGTATGCGGGTGGGGGTGATTGTCAATTTGTCATGGCCTGAGGCATGCGTTATATCAAATGAATTCCATACATAGCGTTATTTGGCGGAGGCTGTTACAGGATACGAATATCTTAGTACCTTAATACAGTAGAGATGGCAATAAAAATATCTTGTATATCTGCAGGTAGACTATAATACTATTAAATATTCAAGCTCAACTAGAAGATTATATATACTAGCATTAAGTTGGTAGCTGAGTCCCAGGTGTAACTACCGTGTAACAGTCCTACAGTCACCAACGATATGTATGAACACGGGGAACAAGGTGCGTTAAGTTTAGCAAGACGAGTATCTCTATGGTGTACAATGGTATTTCACTATAATCAAGCTTTTCGTACCGCCAGCGATTGCATTGCATTACGCAGTAGTGAGACCTGATGAAAAGGAATCAAAAGAATAAAAGAAAATGTATTAATAAAACTAGTGTACTAGATAACACCAGGGCATTCGGGATCAACGATCCCGAGTTATATGGCCTTTTGACCTTGTGGAATATCGGGCCCCGGCAATATCTCTTACACTAGACAAGAGTCTGTAACCACTTGTTTATAATTTATTAACTGTTAAATATATATATTTAATAGATCTAATCCTTCTACCTTAAATCAATAGTTTATATTATACTGTATATCTCCAGTATATATAGAACCCGCGCTGTCACTGATTACTAGTATATCCTAGTTATCAGGTATGTTAAGCAAGATATGCTAACTGGTTGCAGAGTTCTTGGACAAAGCCTCGGGTGTAACACTGTAAAAGCTTAATCTCTACCTTTATTAAGCCACTATGTATTTGTTTTTCAGAATCAAAACGGACACTGCCCCCTGCGCCCCTTTCCAAATTTTGCCTTTTCCTCCCTCGCATAATTTCTGCCTCTTCCTTTCATATAGGACGGCCCTATATCGCGCGTATCGAATCCACGCGGCATGAACCAATCACCATCATCGCCCGGAAGAGGCCGTCCCTGGAACCATGCAATCCAGGCATATAGCCCCCAACGATTCCAAAGCGTCGGGGCCACGTAATAGGGATGGGCTTCCCAAATGTGTACTGGGTGTGGAGACCGTTCTTCTGGATCTGGGTTTACTCGTAACTGTCGAAAGATCAACGGGCGTGGCAGGACAAGGTGTCGGAGGATGTACTTCCGAACAAGCAATACAGTGTGGGTTAGAGTGTAAACCCACTGAGCGGGCTGACGGTATCTAATCAAGTTCATTAGCTCGAATGGCCAGGTTAGCAATTGCAGGCCGAGGGAGCTGACCCCATTGATAGTCGCAGCTGGTCGTCCATCAAAACAAGTATCATGTTTCTAGCCAGGTTGTGGAATATCTTGGGTACACCACCCAGGGCAACATTCCGTATCAGCTGATCTTGTAAATCACTGATGCCAGACGAATGACGCATCGCTTGCATCTCGTAGTCACGGCACCATCTCCCAATCTCCTCGAAAAATTGCAAGCCATCCTTGAACCCTTCCTTACCTGATGGCAAAGATTCGTAGCTGACTTCCATAGCGTCGCCAAAGCTTTTCCAGAAGGTACCCATTGCACACTTTTCCATCTGACTAGTCTGATCCCACTCATATCGATCGATCCATTTTGCGGGCTCGATCGTGAGCAACCCGAGTGTGTAAAGCATGTCATCCTCAATGATACTACCCGATTTCCGATATGCATGATGTAGGTATTTCATTCGAGCAATCGCTTCGTGACCACGTCGGGACGCTGGTGAATTTGCTAGCGCTTCGACCATCAAAGCCACCGTGTCCGAATATCGCTTATACCAGGTTGTCTGTGAAGAAAAATCGGATTTCCTTCGAAGAACCCGAGAAATGGTGGGAATCGCATAGGTCTAATATGTGGGCCATTAGCATGCGATGCTTTATTCTTCCTAATCGACATAAATCATCTAGCAGGAAAATAAGCAGATGTACCCGGAATAAAGCATATTCCAAACCTATTTGAAACATTGCCGGGAACTCTAGCTGTCCTAGAGTTGTCAATATCTCCCATGCATCATCGTCTGTTAATTCCCCCTTCAGATAGCGTTTCGAGTATCGGTTCTGAATTAATCTCCGGCGACGGAATCGCAGTATATGAACCAGAACCAGATAAAAACAGAGCAGGGTTAGGTTGATGTACATCCCCACAATATTAAACACTTCACAAACTTCTCTAAATCCTGGAGAGCTGCCCGCGACGCTCAGTAAAATTATAGTTTGGATGATGTGCTGTATAGGTTGCGTGTGCACAATGCAATCCTTTAAAATGTCCATACCATAAGCACATGGATGCTGGTAAGCTGATATTACTACTCAGCTGAGTGGCTATCACATCGGAAACGCCCAGCCGGGTGGGTCTATTGATCCATTTCCAGCTAGTGCGCCAAGCAATGGTGTTTCCATTATCTAAATCAAGGCTGTGACTTGGACTCCGATGCAACAGCAATATCAACTCGCCCTCTTTGATTTATTCCCTCAGGTATGCGCTAGATCATATCACGTTAGATGATGCTTACTCTCCCAATCATTTACTTTTACCAAGCGTGCTAGACGCGAGCTTAACCTTTCTTTGTCTAATTTGTTAGGGGTGACAGTACTTTTAGCTCTTGGGAAACAGCCAGAGAGGTCCTGACAACCAGCTGAGCGCCGTGGGAGTGCTTTAGGGACATAACATATTTTGCCAGGTCATCTGGCCAGCCCAGACCAGCTAGTCAGCTCTACTTCCATAAAGAATAACCGCTTATAAAAAGACGAAGCTGAGAAGTTTCCCCAGACTGCATTCTGCATCAGGAGATGGCTGTCCTAAGCAATAATTTCTCCAGATGGCGGAAAAATATGTGCCAGAGTCTTTTGATAGGGGGTTGTATAACTATTACATAATTTCTTTACAGTTTAACACGCCTCGGCATCTAGGATTTCGAAATAATATTTGAGAGCACATTTCGGAAAATTGATTGCGAAAAATCCCGTAGTCAGCCGTAGTGGAGAACGAGAACCTGGCATCCGCGCAGCTCTCCTAACCTAGAAGGGGTGGCCGGGTGCATGTGGATCTGGATTAAGTAGGACTCAGCATCTACGATTAGAGTTACTAGAGTTGGTCGGGTGCGCCGCTCGGCACGCTCCGAGCCCGCTCCGGGTTTAAAACTGTAATATTAAAATCCAATCTAAACCCAAATCCAGCGTAATATCATTAAAATATACCTGTTTCTACATATAATAGAAGTTATATATAACTAGGGAGTATATTCAGAAATTGAAATAATCCCTGTATTTCTGTTACTATTTTGCGAATAAGAAACAGTTTAATAATATTTATCTTAGAGTATTCTATGCTAGGAGATATATAGTATTATAGTTACTTTAAGACTATTTATCTAATCAAAGAACCACTCAAATATAAATAATATAAGATAGTCTTACTACATCAAATAGTATTCCAGCGCTACGCTCACAATATATACTGTGTACAGGGTTGGTGGTATTATCTAGATCTAGCGAATTCAGGCGAATCTTGGCTGCAGAAAGATAGATCATCCCTTAGTATTATTATATCGTACTTGACAGGAAAGATAATAGATATCAGAAGATAAAGTCCAGCGGCACAGAGATTATATTGTTGATGGTTCTTAGAGCTATATATACTATAATGTAGTGCCACCATTGAAGCCGCGGACCAGCACCGAACGCTATTATAGTAAAGAGGATGTACTGCTTCATCAAATGTCTCTCCATACATCAAAGAACCTAAGTCCTACCTACCATGTACCAGTAATACCAGCCTCTCTGGAGTGACAATTTTATACAGACACTCAAAAACTGTCGCCCCTTCTTCTCGAGGTCTATCAGATTATGGAGTCGATAGTATATTGCTACACTAGACTCGATAACACTGCAAGGTTAGTGCACAGGAGGCAGATGTACTTAGAGTGTAGTCTCTTTGATTGGGCGACGATGTCTTTCCAGCGTAGCCCTGCACCCACCTGGCCTCGTCGGACACCCACCAATGATTAGCTGCTATACGTAGCCAGCTACCCCTCCTTTTGTCACGCCCGGGGCCTATATCAAGGACCCTGCGAACCAGTTAGTGGATCTTGCTAGAGTTAACTGATGACTAAAATCATTAGGGCCATTACACCTATTGATTCCCGTACATCAGTACTGTCCCGTTAAAGTCCAGGGGATTAGACACTTAAGGGCAAATTGCACTGGGCCAGCACCACGAACCAACATCGAGACTTCACAAAAGCTCAACATAGACATAACAAATAATTGTTTGCTATTGTTGCCAGTCCTGGCCTAGGGGAAATGTTCGTCGCCACATACGCCCAGCAACCAAAGCAGCGGTGCGCAGAGAACCCAGACCGCCGCCGTCGGGATTTTCAGCCCGATACGATCGCGTACTGTATGCATCAGACCGCCAAGAAGGATCAGAGGTAGCTGCAAATACAGAAACATCATCCCTGTGGGCACCCTCCCCCAGCCAAGCATGTCATGGAGGTGAACCGGAAGTGTGGTATTGAAGGCCACCATGATGAACAAAGTCGTCAGCACATTGGCCAACGCAGCCGACTACAAAGATGGGACCGTACAGGAAGGGGCAGTGGCGATCAGAAACGTTCCCACAGAGCATCCCGCCAGGGCGATTGTTAGACGAGTTTTGCGGTTCGATGACTTATCGGCGAAATGAGGACGGTGAGCAGTGCCGTGGTGGGTTTCAGTGTTTGTGACGGGTCGATATGCAGGCAGTCTCCCAGCATAGAGCCCAGAATGGGTACCAGAAACCCGTAGAGAGAAAGGCTTCGGAGAAAAGAGCGATGGTGATTGAGGAGACAATCAAACCCTTGATGATATCTAAGGGGTTTTGTTGCTATCGTTCATTGACATCGTGATGGTGTAGTTCTGGGTCTTCAAGCACCATCCAAACGATCTAAAAACCCATTTCAAACTGAATCCCGAGATCCAAAATTGGCCTTGCCGAGCACATCATTCTCGCAAACTAGAGTGGCGATAGATTAATATTGACACTCTGTCGATTCGGCTCAGTCTGGCTTTAGCCGTCACTCTGACGAAAACTTTGACTTCAAAACTAAACCAAGAGGTGCGTTATGTCCTTCTCTGTCGTCATATTGCCTTTGACTGTCACGGCTGGCCGAGCAGGTGATCCTGTGCCACAAGCAGCAGCGCTAGCAGGGAATATGGGTGATGTGCAGCTTACAAAGGACCTGATAGAGCGACAGCTGGATCTGAAGGGTCTTTAGGGGATGTCACCAGCTCTCCTGCAGTTACCAAGGAGCTCCTTTCTGCGGAAAATCAGTACAATGTCCAAAACATTATGAATGACCTCACGTACTTGCTCCACGCCCTGACAAGCCAGGAGTTCAAGAATTTAGTCAACGGAACCTCCAAGATGCTGGCTCCGGATTTTGTTTCCAGCTTACTCGGCGAGCTTCCCAGTTTCTTGGACAGGCCAAACCCCTTACGTCTTTAAAATTGATATCCTAATTGACATATCTTTTAGATAACGCATATGGCCTATTAACGCCTGAATTTGTCCGTAAGGCTCAGGAGCTTGTTAATGACGTTATCCCGGTAAGGTCTTGGCCCAAGTCCAGCATCACATCACTACCAGCGAACACAATTCTAGCTTGTGTCTGCCGCGTCACAAGTTATCTAGCTCTACTATCAAGTAGTCTCGGCTAGGTATTCGACGAGCACGAAGAGGGAATGAAACAAACACAATGTGGGCATTTTGGGTGTATTCGACCAAGGGTAGGCCTCAGTTTCAACCTCCGAAGTTGCGTCGATTATCTTGAAGAATAGCTGCAGGATCACATTCTGCCATATATCTATTACCGCTCATAACAGTCATATTTATCTTATGGTGTGTTATTTGGATTGATAGACTAGCTAATTACACTGTCTCTCCGGACATACTCAGAATTCAAGTAGACGAAACTCTACTGCGATCATTTGAAGGTTTCACAAGATTTCGTATATGAGATTACTCAGGTAATCAGGCTAGCCGCTACTATCAGAGAGCAAGAAGGTTATTAGATGGCTTCCATATGGCGCGCGATAAAGCACACCTATCATGGAACTGGTGGAGATATTCAGACCATCTAGGGAACATTCTCTCGCAAAGATGTTATTACTACTACCACTTTCTTGATGGCTAGTCACGCCGTGGTGTATTTCTAGTGCCCATGACTAAATGGATCTCATTATGCAAGGTCTTGTACGTGAAGTGCATGGTTTTTATTATCCAGGAGCCTTCCACACCTCGTCTCCGAAATCAGCCATCAGCTCTACGAAGCCGTGACGAAAATGGTGAGCCTATACCATTATCTTCCAGCATTCCTCCTAGTGTGTTCAACCCAAGTTCGACAAGCGGTAACTCTGCTGTCATAGTTAAGTTGTTCATTGCTTCAGTGTAATACGGTACCTCAACACCGTCATACGTCACAAGCTTCACCACAGAATCTATAAGGAGGTATCCATTTTCCAAAGCATCGGACTGGGCCTTTATAATGGTACCGGCATTCGACTTGATTCTTTCTAGGTTCAGTATGCCGTATAAAGGACTTGACTGATTCCCTGGTTTTATGATCAGATCTTTGAGCGTAGCGTTGCCAATTATGTCCTCAGAAATCTTCAGGTCCAATACGACAGTTCCCTGCAGGGATTGTCAGCTGATCGACTTGGTCACAGGTTTTTTAGGGGTGTTTACAATCTCCAATGTCATGACCGAAGGATTGGGCAGGGATACGGTGGCAATGAAGTTCGTCCCATTGTCAGCGGCAGGGAGGAGTAATTGGGGATCCCGGATGGAGAAGCCCGAGAATGAATTCAGGCCTGGTATCAAGCATCAGAATTTGTTTTCTTTCAATTCGGAAACGCGAGAGTTTTTTTGTGCAGGAGGTGCAGCTAACCTTTCTGTATAATCTCCTTATTAAAGACAACACTTGATTTTAATTTGCCCAGGTAAGCATTCACTCTTGCGGCCACAGACATAGCAACGGTTTCCTCGAATATCATGGACCGGACGTATTCAAGCCATTGCTGGTTGTTCAATTGTGTAGTTTGGTTTTGGACCCCTAGAACAGCCGTCCCGCCAACTGTGATTCCAGGTATGTACACTTGGGCGAATGGGCTGTTACTTGAACCGTGTACGGATGCAAGATTTAGTGTCAGAGGATCTATGCGTACTGGAATGTCAACGGGTAGATGTAAAGTTGAGTTGATAGTAAGGTCGACCGAATGAGAGCGCGGGTTCATGATATCGGCTGCTATGAGGGTGAGGGATGATTGATTTAGTATTCGCTGAGCTATGGCAGGGAGTATCACTAGAAAACTAAGAACACAGTAAGTGCTATTATTCAGAGGAAGCAGGTATGGGCCATACAAGACTGGTAGCATGATTGCCAACACGACAACCCCACCCAGAATATAGAACCACCGGAACTTTGTGCAGTGTCGCCGAAGAGATTGTCGCTTGCTTTTTTGGAAACTTGACGATGATGGACTGGAATCTATCACCTCGCAATGTTCAACCTCGGATACATCCCCACCAACTTGACCGGGTAGCCGTTGATCAATTCCGATGCCATTGCGGCTGGATGAAAAGAGATATGATTTCATAGTATATCCAAGGATCTGTGTCTAGATGGAAGACGAAGAATAGGCAATCCCTGGGGTGGAGACTTTGCAGGGGGTAGAGCTATCACCGTCAGCCTGCTTCTCTGAGAGATAAAGTTATGGAAAGGACAAACATTTTAAATACTGTATAAATGGCGGAAGGCCAACCGACCCGGTTGGTGTCTGCTGGCTAGCAACAGGGGGTTCAGTATCGGCACTGTTAGTGTGAAAATAAAACGTTGAGAATCTCGCCCAAGGCAGGTGTGGTTGGCCCGGCCATGGACCACTGAGAACTTGATGGATTGACCAACAATGGTTCCGAGACAACACATGTGAAGTCCGGGATTATCAGTACACAGGCTAGGCTTTTCTAAAACGCTCAAGGATCTAGCCCTAAACCTGACCGTTGCTAACTAACAGCATGTCCTCAATTCTTTTCCAATGTGCCTGTTCTGCATTGCCTGTGAGGGACCGGCTGTGATCCGGAACCGTGCTGATTTTAAATGCGCGGGTCAAGTCTTCCGGACTTCTTTCTTGCTGGTTCTCGCTTTCATATTGGTCAGGTCTTACTCCACACTGTGAGTTAACCTTTGTGCAAGACAGTAATAGGGTAGGATTTGACCCCATACAGGGCCCGGAAACATCCCGAACCTCAATCCAAGTCTCATGGTACACGGATCCTGGGGCGATTTTGGTAGTCCCGAGTACCCAGGGCCAGTTGACACCAGAGCAGTTTCTGTAGAGATCAAACTGAGCAATAAATACCCGAGGGTGGAGTCCTAAATATATCTCAGTATAAATACAAAAGACCTCCCGACACTCCCTGGGAGCAGCAATGGGACTTGATTGAGAAAATTACAGAAGCCGTCAATTTTCTTACATTGAAATATTATCGTTGAGAGATTAGTGTCCCGCTAGCTGTACCTACGAAGTAGCGAGCGATGGTGAAACAAGCACTGAAACTAGAAGGAGGGTTGATTCAGAGGAATTTTGGGCAGCAAATGTCCAGTACTTGCCGATGACGATCCAGATGCTCCATTTCTTACCTTTTTTAGTGTGAGCAGAAGTATGGCCAGTCCTATCGAGGCGTTCCCAAGACCAGCCGTCCAGAGATAGATGCACCGGGTGAAGAAATGCTAAAAGAGGGCTTCGCTGTGAGGGCAGACATACAAACAGCAACGCAGAAGCCATCACATTATCCTAGTAAGAATGCCCCTTGGCCAGCACCTCCAGTGCTTCCGAGAAGCAATTATGCCCGGAACTCACAAGACTCATTCAAGAGATGGAAGTATAAAGACACGTACATCGAATCGCAGCATAACAGCAATTAGTACGGGAATTCTTGTGGCAAGTCCTCCAGCAAGACCGGGACGCATCCTCAGGGCCCAGTCCTCCTCACCCTTGTCCTTGCCGGAGCGGTACCGAGGAGAAAATAAGTTCAGTGCCAAATTTCCAGGATATTTGAAACCAAGCGGGTTCTGGTTGGTGTCGGACCCTGGCAAGCCATTTGGAGATCTTCATTCGCCGCGCGTCCCCTCTGCAACCAGTTGAAAGCGAATGGATTTGGGACCCCCTATCATGGGCCATGGAAATATAAATATGATTGCATATCGCCCTCAGCTCTGAATCCAAGAGTATAGCGATCATAACCTCTGCGATCTCGGTGCTCCTTCTCTCTTTCTTTGTTATTCCTATCGGTTTCTTTAGCCTCTATACTCGACCGTTTACTGTCTTTACCTCAAACATGCGTATATCGAGCAACCTTCTTTTTGCAACACTTCTGAGTGGCCTTCCAGGTAGTGCCCATACTCATGGAACCAAGCACCGCCACAACCTCCGCGACACGTGGCACCTGACAGATACACACATCCATGTGCTTCCTCCATTCTATGTTGCCGCAGTGGCCGCAGCCGGTGGTGATCCCTCCGGATTCCCAACGCCCGAGTGGTCCCTGGAAGGGACATTGCGCAGCATGAAGCTTGTCGGGTCTAAGAAGGCCGTCGTATCTCTGTCAACCCCTGGGGTTCCTATCGCAGGAACTGGGGAAAAGGCTCGCACCCTCTGTCGCAACGTCAATGACTTCCTGGCGAACATCACGCAGGAAGCTCCCACTCATATAGAATTCTTCGGGGCTCTTCCAGACTGGCGAGATGTTAGCGGCACTCTAGCAGAAATTGACTATATCTTCAAGACTCAAAAGGCAGCTGTTGGGGTTGGGATGTATACTGCGTATGGGGATATGTTACCCGGCGATCCGACCTTTGATCCGATCTGGGAGAGACTTAACATGTACAAGGCATTAGTGTTCATGCATCCTGGAGTCATGGATGTGAATCCCTCCTTTGTCGCTGGGGTCTTGCCACAGCCTATCATTGACTACCCCCAGCAGACCACTCGCGCGGCCGTCGACCTGGTCCTTCGCGGGGTTCGCACACGCACGCAGGATGTAGACCTGATTCTATCTCATGCAGGCGGCACCCTTCCATACCTATCCACTCGTGCATTGGGAAGTCTTCTGGTACCACAAATTGCCAGTGCCGTGAATGTGACCATACCTCAGGTCAAGGCTGAATTCCGCCGCTTCTACTATGACATTGCCCTCAGTACCACCAAGACCCAACTTACCGGGCTTTTGTTAAACACGGATACATCGCATGTGTTGTACGGATCCGATTATCCCTATGCTCCTGCGGTGGCGATTGAAGGCTCCAAAGACGGCTACATCGCCTTTGCACACGACCACCCGGAACTGGGCCCCGACGTCCTTTCGAATAACGCCAAAGACCTACTCGTCAAGCATAGGCTCTCGGCAGGCCTGGATGATTAGGCTCATCCTACCGCATCAAATCCCCATCGACGGCTATTTCCCATGCGTTGGGGAAAGGAGATATGGCCAGTACATCCTCATATTCCTTTTTCGTCTTTCAATTATGTAGCCATTGCGAACGGATTTTCCCACGCTCCTAGTGGGTTTTTGGTAGTATTTCACTTCTATTGTCTCAATGGCACCTTCAAGTTTATCTGATTCGATTACATTCTTTACTTCATACCATTGCGGCATTTCTTATCGTAGCATAACCTGCAATTACAGAATTTTGAATACTTCCAGCCACCACTCATGCTGGTCATGGCGTGACACATAGCTGCATAAACTGCTGACTGGCAATCATGGCTTGCACCACCCACACAAGAACCCTATCTCCAGTCTGTTTGCCCCTACTCCGTCGGGTTAACTATGACTGCGTTATGTAATCTGCGCAGAAGACCAACTTGCCTTCCTTCCCGCTAACGTGAGCCCCGAACCAGGCGAGCTGTGCTACTTGATCGTTTCTGTGAGGAGAGGGTTGGTCCGCTTTATTAGAATAAGGGAATGAGTGCGTGTTTAAGAGGTGATGCTGTGGCCTGGTTGCTGAAGTCGCGGGACTCGCATACTGAGTGGGCGCCTACTTAACTCAGATCGTCAGCTAGATTTCGAAAAGTGTGGTCTACCGAGGTCATGCTAGAGCTTCCTCTCTCTCTCTGTCTCTCTTTTTTTTTCCTTTCCTACCGTGCTTAGGGAGACTTTGGCTTTAAGGGCACTCTTTGCCAGTTGAAATCCATGAATCCCGCTCACATCCCTGTATATCTCATCACCGTAGCTCCCTTGAGAAAAGTGATTTATTTCCGTCATTGTACACGATACAAACCGGGGGTTTTCTAAGGCCATTAGCACTCAGAAGGATCATGGAATCTATTATTTATTTTTAACACTACATTCACGTCATATAGTCTCTAGAAAGAAAAGGGAAAGCAAATAGAAAACTAGAGTAACCTGAGTATAACAATCAATTCATCCTTAGATATGTAGGTGTTAACTAAGGTTTCTTTTGGGAGACCCGTACATTAGATATATCGGATAAAGGTAGTGTGATAAAGCATTAATAGGGATGTGATTAATGATAAGGTTAGAAATAAATCATGGAAGCACCGATTATAGACCGAGCCAGCCTGGGCACTTTGAAGGATCCCCCCCCTTTTAGTAAACAACTTGAGCATCCTCTAGATGCAGCCAAAGTCCAATAGCTTCATCTCTCAGCCCAGCCTAGTCAGGCCGAATAAATGGGGGTTCCCTCCATGGTTTGTTTAAATTCTTGCAAGGAGACTTCGGGTTCTGCCGGGGGTTAGTAGCTCGTATCTCCCCCAGGTAAGGGTTGACGTACAGTAATGCGGCACTTCATGGCCTGCCTCGAAGACACGCAGGTATGAGAGGATGCTAACTGACTTGTACGCTCCCTTCTTCTCTCCATTGACGGTATAATCCCCTGGCTTTTTGCTGGCAAATTCGTTGTGGCCATTGAAGGAGACCTTGTCAGCGGTTTCCTTCAACCCAAGCTAGTTGCAAATCTAGTTTGCGTAGCCTGCCCACAGCAAAGTTCCCGCGCTAGATTGAACAATATTGCTCAGCTACTGGATATATGACCGATACCCTATCATTGATACATTAGCATCTCTGAGTAAATGGGGTCGAGCAAGTCATACTATCTCCAGTTGCGGAAAAGAGCCCATACGCAGTCATGGGACACTCTGGATACAGCGAGCGAGCGCTAATCGCGTTGACAACGTCTAAGCGCAAGAGGTACTTGCTATAGGTGCTGGGCGGGTTGGGGTCCTGGGTGAGGGCGCGTACATCAAAGCTAGCAGTTGATGCGATAGGCCCTTGAATCAGCTCGTAGCGTCTCACCGATGCAGCAACGCAAGCGGCATTCCGCCGGTCGGGCTCGGGCACTTGTTGAGCGCGGGCAAACATGCTGCATAGTATTCCGTGTAGTATTCCGCCGCCTGGGCCAGGGTGATCAGGGGCCGATAAGGATTCACCAACGCATAGTCAATGTAGGACTTGTAGACGTCGGCGGCGTGGGTGAAGCCGTTGTTGACGCCGAGGGCAACCAGGTTGATTTCCTCTCCTGTTTCCTTGCCCTGCTGGGTAGCAAGGTTTTGCTTCAATATGTAGGCTGCGAACCCTGGTCCGTAGTGACCCCTTATGATTCTGTCCAAATGAGAAAAGTCACGGCTCTGGTTCTCTGGGAAGCGATTTTAGAATGCTTGGATCAACTTCCAAACGTATTTGTCGGCGGTATATGTCGACACAACCATTTCAACACCATGGGAGAGCCCAGCTCCAATTTGCTGGTCGATGTGGAGCATGTTGGCGTACTCATTCCAGCTGTATGGGTTTAGGTCCGGCTCGAGGGGCCCGCTGTAGAGCTGGCATGGCCCATTCTCCTAGAAGAGGCCAATCATGCTGGAGCAGCCCAGGCCACCGTTGAACCATGTAGCCAGGGGAGCGGCCTCAGGGTTGTTGCGGGCTTCAAAGAACCAAAACCACATGTCTATCCTCTCGCCAACAGAGAAGTACCCTGAGTAGGTGTTGACACCGGGGGTGGTCTCTTATATTTCAGAGTTCTTGACGATCTCGATGGTTGAATTTGTAGACTGATTCTCAAACTGATAATAGATAGTGCCATCGCGCTCTAACAGCTTTGTATTGGCTTCCAAATTGGGATGAGCTATATAGAAAGCTCCAAAATGGCCCAGAGTAAGAAGAATAAGAGAAGAGAAAAGTATTGTGTCGACTGATTCGGGAGTGAAGGTCTGGTATATTGAGTGTAGCTGGCTGTGAGTGTTGTATAACTGCCCCCTCTTGTTAGAGAATATTGTGCTACTATTGCGATAGATCTCATTTACGCGTGTAGATTGCAGGATTTGAACTATAGATTTGCTGTATCTGTTTAGTGCTGGAACCTGGAATCGGGTCTATTGAAATTATTCTTCGAGGCTCTAACAGAGGATCAGCAGTGGGTCTATAGTGGATAGCGCTTCTGGAAATCTCTGAGAAGGGATGTAATAATCTACGCTTGATGCTGAGAACCTTCTGTTATCCGTTAACGGTATTGTCTAGGCTTGTTCGGGGTTATATCGTTGCTTGTGGTGGAGTAAGTCTTGAAGATAAGGGAGAGGCGGTTCTGAAGTACTCGGCTAGTAAAATCACGATAAACCGCGTAGAATGCTTGCTCTTATTGTCTCCGGCCTCGTGCTCTATTATGTATATGACAATATCAATATGATCCACAGCCATCCTATCCTTATACTAGAGATATCGGTATCTTGCTAGCAGTTTAGTATAGATTTGCTCCGGAAGGGATTGTCACAAGTGTGGTATACTGAGTCTTGAAGCCCTGGCTATTAAGTTTATGATAATATATTTCAAAGCTCTCTTATTTGAATTATATTTGAACTCCAGAGTTCTACTTGTATCAAGATTTCTACTAGGAAATCTCCACTAGAGGTTCTGCTACTATTTATTTCTCTGACTTGGTGAATTTTAATACCATCTCAAGTCGATCTATGTATTAAGACAGCCCGGAGGCGTCTCAGTGAATCCCCTGGTGTGGGAAAGTGAATATCTGTGTTACGTTACGAGTGGAGGCCAATGTGTTCTCTTTGACTTTGATACTGGGTTATCTGGTCTGTAAGTGCTGGTCAGTATTACTAGAGAGGACTACAGAGCAGGATAGTATATCGAAAATCTTCTATAACTGGGTTATTTCTACCCTGACGGGTATCGAGGCTATGAGTCAGAAAGTCTATAATATTAAGTACAGCTTATCTTCGAAATTGTTCGCTGGACTTGTATAGGGTGTTTTGTTAGTTTACTTTAGTTATTAATATACTATCTGCCACAGTATCTAGCCTTTTTTTTATCAATCAAGAAGTTATCTCCGTGAGCTGCTGTACAAAGTCACGATTACTTAAAATATGTAGATGGTATACTCTGGTTGGCCTACTATTAATTGGTTGAAAATACTCAGATACTCGGGCTGTACGTGATCCTGGAGCCAATTAGTATTTGTAAAATAAAGATCCCGGTTCTCTGATATTACAAAGGTGTACAAATCCAGTTGTAGTGTGCAGGCCAATATAATGTACTCGGCCGAAGCTAAGGTAGACGACACAAACGGTCCACGGTATATATATAGATCTAGTTCGCTCCGAAGGATTTACTGCTGGCCTCAACACCCGGTCTCTATATCTGTCTATAGATCAGGCCGCCTATACTAGAGATTAGAGCTAGAACAATAACTTGACTCGAATTAAGCCCGATGATACTTAGTGTTGCTTAATTGTGTATTCTTCTAATCAAGTAGCAAAGAAAGTGAGAGTACTCGCAATATTTATATATCAGCGACCCTGCTATCTGCTATATGTATATCTACAGGGTACAGATATCTGAATGACTGTACAAATAGTATAGTAAGGAGTGATATAGAAAAAGGATCTCTCCAGAGCAATTTCCCAGCCTTGTCTAGATAATATACTATCGTATCAATTGTTGGCATTCCGGCTACTCTATATCCAAGTTGCGTTAAATAGAACAACTGGGCGGAGGGCCGCACCTCTATTAAAGGCCAGTTTGTTGGGCGACCCAGAGCTCTTATCAATAACTACATCATTAGTGGCCAGCGCATCTATACAGGCGGCGATTGCCTTCCCGCCGGGGCAGGACTCAAGTAACTTGATATACATGGTGAGGCTGCAGAAGTGCGGCCTGGCGATGGACGTTTTTGCCATAGTTGTCATAGCCATAGAGGACCCAATATAGATAGATAGGATATCAATATCCAGAATAAAGATATCGAGAGCAACGACCCAGTTAGAGAAGGAGACCTTGATATTCCCGTGGGCGATGGCGTCAACGGTAATAGTGTTCGGGCTCGAGACTGGGCTGGTGGTATTAGCGGATACCTGGATAGAGAAAGCAAAGGGAAATAAAAGATTAGTTAATACATGCCCCTGCGCTAATAGAGACATAGTAGATAAGGAATAATGGAATTACATCTTTATTTCTAGCAGCGACAATAGTAGTCATACTGAGAGTATTGGCCGCCACGGCGAGAGAGTTGAATGCTTCAGAAAAGATATCGCCTTCCTACTAGATTATTATATCCTTGACTGGTATTGGAATCATTGATATAGTTAATCTATACTTATATTGATAGCGGTAGCAGTCTGGTACTTCTTAGTAACAATATCGTCGATATCCCAGACGTAGCCCAGAAGGATAATCGAGATAGAAGACTTGTACACCCTTTAGTCAGCCTAACAGCGAATTTACTCCGGAAGATTAGACGAAGAAAGGTGGGAAGGTATGCGCTTTCTCCAAGGAATATCTTGACGATCAACTGCGTCTTTTTGACGATGTCTCAGGCACGAGAGCCGAATATGGCAGCAACGTTTGTGCTATGCCCCTGTATATCAAGATCGGGCTCTGGGACCGCAACAAAGCCAGAGCAAGTGCGACCTCCGAACTTCAGATGTGCGTAGTTAATGCCAGTATCGACAACATAGTCAAAAGTGCCTAGTTCTTAACGGGTAAAACTTACACAACTAGGTTAAAGGATTACAAGCCTATCATTATACATACATATATATATATATATATATGTTCTATACATGATACTTGTAATTACAGGCTAGCCCTAATTTACATATTAGCTCCTTATGTATCTTGTTATCTTTCAATTTAAAAAAAATATAATATATAAACCTATAGCTCTAAATACCATAATTTTAAGTAATTAACAGTAGTCAACCGTTTTCTAGTCTAAGAGCGACCGGAATGCTTCCGTTGAGCGGAGCCCATGGCGCTGACTCTACTTAGCTGTATCTAATAGTCTTGTACCCAAAGTAAATTATGGCTACTCAGACTGCTATTGGATTTCACAACCCCACACCCGCAAGGGAGATATCAGTGCGTAACGTAGAGCCGGGACTGTCCCGGCTCGACAATCCTTGCGCCCCTAGCAGGCAAGATATAACGATTAAAGGCTCATCCCTTTTCGGACTCTCTACATTAAGCGATCCTGATTTGTTATGAGCCTTCTCGGGCGCTCTTCGGGGCACTGGATCTTGCCCTCATTACAGAATGCCACCGAAAGCTGCAGATGACTCGAAGCGACGCACTACTACGCGCCGGAAAGTTGCCCTGGCATGCGAGTCGTGTAGGGAGAAAAAGGTCCGCTGCGACGGGAATAAACCTATCTGTGGGCCGTGCACGAGACGGGCGTATCGGATTGACCAGTGCGTCTACAATACGGATAACGCCCGGTCCGCCGGCAGAGACGAGTGAGTCTAATGAGCATTAATCATTGCATTGACGAAAATAAATGAGAATGATTAATTCAAGCTAACGCAAAGCAGATGGTATCAGACTCTTTGTCAGCGAATCAGGGAACTGGAAGATGCATGTCTGAGGGCTGGGGTCTCCATCGACTCCTCATCGGGCCCTCAGGCTCGACGCGAGCCTCTTCGCGAACCTAACGGGCACGGTGGAATCCCAGTTCAGATGGGCAGTCCTTCCCTGACGGTTCCCCATCACTCTGGTGAAACTGCTGGACCAAATCCGGGTCCCACAAGCTTCGGAGTCAGAGTCACACCGGGACACCGGGTGCTATCCACACTCAGTGAAAGCGCAAACAGCCAGTCTGGAACGGCAGTACCAGAAGCTACAGAGTGTACACAAAATGCAGGAGCCTACGAATCGCCGTTGTTTGATGAAGGAGGAGGGCACGTCACCGGAATGGGCCAGATCATGGCCCTGGATGATGAAAGCAGGCGGCAATCCTCCCGATTCCAGTTTTATGGTACTTCATCCACCGCTTCGCTTATGCGGTTTGCCTGGCACTCCATGCCTTCGCGACCAGCGAATGCTTCGTCTTCGGAACGTATGTCCAGTACTCTTCAGGACAATTTCACTGAGTACCGGTACGACGATTTTGTGCTGCCACCTCGGACACTGGCAGACCACCTCGTCAAATCTTTTTTCGACCATGTATACACTCTATATCCATTCTTCCACCGTCCTGCCTTTGAAGCAGCGTATAGAAATCTCTGGCGTGCTGGGGATGAACATGAGATCCCTCTCACAGATATGAGAATTGGACTGGGCTCGGGCGCGGAATCTGGGTCTAGATCAATCCTCTTCCATGCTGCATTAAATTCTATCTTTGCTTTGGGCTGTCAGTTTGCAGATATTGTCCCCGAGGAAGTCGAGCTTGTTGCAAATTCCTTCTTCCTTCGAGCGAAGCGATTTATCGGACTTGATCTGCTTGATCTCAATACACTTGGTGTAGTTCAGACTTTATTAATCACGGCACTCTTTCTGCAGAGCTCTCCTTATCCCAGCCGATGTTGGAATTCTATTGGGGTTGCTTGCAGGGTTGCCCTGGGCCTAGGACTGCATGAGTCGGATACTCTGGCCACCTTAACGCCTTTGGAATCTGATATTCGGCGGCGAACCTGGCATGGCTGTGTGATGATGGATGTGTAAGTCCTGCTCGTATTCATTTAACCTTCCCCATCCTGTGCTAATATATAGCCACAGCACTCTGAGCATGACATATGGCAGGCCAACCATGACGACTCATTTAGCCCCTCTTCCTCCACCTGATACCTCTGATACGTCCGGTCAAGATGGGGCCGAGGACCCATCACTGATGGCATTCTATACTGAGGCCATTAAGCTTTACGGTATTCTAGACAGGATATTATCCGATGTATACTACGCTTGGCGTGGCCAGTCACATCAGCATCAACCAGAGCCCTCAACTAAGAGCCTGGGGGGTCTGGATATCGTCCTTGCGACCGAAAGAGAACTCACATTGTTCGAGGCGAACCTTCCGTCTTTCCTCAAGTGGAGCTCAGGTACTTCGACCATGCATTCAGATAGAGGGCTGAATCAGGCAATCGCTAAGCAACGAAACGTTCTTCATGCTAGGTGTGCTTCCCCTCGGCTCTGTCGCTACCTATGTAACTCCTCCTTACCCACTTATACAGATACCTACATCTCCACCTCCTTCTACACCGCCCTATCTTCACCCAACTCTACTCAGCAAGAGTACGGGAGCGCGAGTCTGCAGACGAGTCTAACTCACAAGAGAGCCTGTCCTCTCCAAGCTTCACCGCTCGGAACACCTTGTACTCCTCTATGGCTACCAAGTCCGCAACCGCCTGCGTTATGGCAGCTATTGACCTCACGCACCTAGTCCACGAGACCTATCACACCCCTGCCACTGATGCATGGTGGTACAATGGATTCTGTACGTTGTTCATAATCTCTCTTTTCCATTGTTCCCCCATTACTGACTAGTCTAGATGTGTCAACCGCCGCAATAGTGCTCCTCATTTCCTTTTCCGCTCCATCAATGATTCCTCCATCCGCTATAGATAAAGCCCGAGAAGCCTGGAAAGAAGCCACAAGCGTTCTGGAGTCTATGGCTACAGTTAGTCCATCTGCGAGCAACACCCTACGATTTCTCCGGACTGCATATCACCAGGTGGTCCCCAGTGACGTGCAGCATACAGAGGATGGAGTTGCTAATGTTGATCCTTCGTTGCATCCAAATAACATACCGCAGACTCATGATACATTTAATCACCCTGATCACGACTTATTGCAGGCCCCATTCTTCAGTTGGGAAGAATATGCGGCAAATATAGGTCAGGGGCTGGGTGATATGGGGTTCTTGACGCGACTTGACTTTCCTGATACTATAGGTTGAGACTAAGAGCTTTAGTTGAGCTGTTCGCGAGCAATAGTAGGGTGTTTTTTCTTATGGTCTACATAAAGTTCGTATTTATTTACATAAATAATGTTCCTAAGCATCTCATAACCCATGCCCATCACGTCCAGCATCTTCAGGCGGTCGACTAGATGCTGAGGCTTCAATCTGAAGCCCTTAACCCCAACCAGCTCGGGGGTTAGGACTCGACAGTGGGTAAGTCGAGCTGCCGTCTCGGGAAAGAATGTTTTCGAGAAGTCTTTTGCTTTGTCTTCGTTCATAGTAAGCCATTCTTGCGGTTTTAATATAAGTCGCGGCTTTCCACAGCTTACTTTCTCCGTTCAATCATTCATCATTCTTCGCCTTTTTCGCCTTGGGTTTATCCCACCCCACAACATCTGTCCCATGGATCCAGTCCATCAATCCAATAGTCCCATAATTAACGCGGAACTTCTCATGGTGCAAGTCATGCAGTTCGGCCGGTGGCAATTTCAAAAAGTCGTACCCGCTGTGGTCCGCCGCAGCCTCCCAGAGCTCAAAGGTAGCAAATGCCATAATCGACAGGACGTGTGCGCCTTTGAGATACAAAGGCAGCGTAACTGGCATGACATTTGCGAGGATATGCTCGACCGGATGGGCATACTCCGCTGCGAACGCCACAGGGGTAATATATTTGTGGTGCATTTTATGGATATAGACATAGATACTCGGGTGATGTAGAGCACGGTGGATGTAGTAAAACGATATTTCTCGTGCTAGGAGGCCAAAGACAAAGTCCCCAATGAACTCTCTCCAAGGGGGCACTGTCGGATCCAGATTCAGAGTGGCGTGGTCCAGGCCAGTGAGCCAAACCAGTATGCCATGAAGTGCCACTACCCAGAGATGGTTGAACAGTGAAACTTTCACACAGTGCAGGATTTGCTGGCGTGTCGGTTGTCGGCGGGCTCCCTGGATTTTGTGGCTCTGCGAGAACTTGGGGCACAGGGTATCGATCAGCATGTAAAGCGTTGCTGGGATAATAAAGCCGACAATTTGGGCAATAATTGCCCCCGTCAGTTCGATTGCACCTGGCTTGTATGATTTTAGGATATGATCCCAGGTGGCCTGCAGGTCGCGGTGGAGATCCATAGTTGCTTGATCGCTGGAAGAATGTGATTTTCATTTGACTCGTTCGCAGTACTGGTGGCACTATAAATTTTGAAAAGAAACGGAGCTCTCCGGGACGCACATGAATTAGCTTCCAGGTGTGCAGGTGCTCATGGGTGCTTTAATTTACCGAAAACGAGGCTCAGAAAAGCGAGGCCCAGGAAGCCGGAGCTGACCCGGACAATTATGACACATGTGAAGGCTGCTGGCATACAAGGTACTACTGGCCAAACATCGGATGTATGATTTCCTTAACTAGGGCACCCGTAGAATGCTGTTTTGCACGTATTATTCCTCGATTCGGGTACATCCATGCATCCGGGAGAGTTCCGGCGCAGCGTGATCCATGTCCAGGACGCCTTTCGGGCATGGTTGGTACTTAAACCTACGCGCAACCCAGGCTATAACGTCTCAGTACGATATATTCATGTCAGTCATGGCTTCAAAATCCATCGATCCTCCGTCCTACAGTCAAATAGCATGTGTTGGTGCCGGGCTATCAGCCGTGGCTCTGGGAGCAACGCTAAAGAGATGGTACGATCTTGAAGACATCTGTTTCTTCGAGCGACACCCCACAAGTGGCGGAACATGGTACATCAACACATATCCTGGTCCGAATGACCCCCTTGCCCTCTCCTCACATCCTCAACTTACACCAAATAGGATGCGGCTGCGATGTCCCGAGCGCCCTGTACAGTTTTTCCTTCGCGCAAAACCCAAACTGGACGAAGCTTATGCCCTCAAACACGGAAATCAAAGAGTATGTCGACAACGTGGTCGATACCTACGATCTCCGTCGTAAGATGACCTTCGGAACGGAAGTAGTCCGCAGTGTCTGGCGGGACGATGCAAGTCGCTGGCTTCTGTATCTACGCGATCTGAACACCGGACGCGAATACACCCATGAGTGCCAGATCCTTTTTGCAGCAACAGGACAGCTCGTCGAACCGCGGCCGTGTGAAATTCCTGGCGCTGAAGACTTCCACGGGAGTATCTTTCACTCAGCGCGGTGGGATCACGGGGTGGACCTCGAGGGAAAGAATGTTGTTGTGATCGGGAACGGCTGTATGTGCTCTTTTTTTCCACATCTTAAAATCATATCTGATGGCGTTTAGGCACTGCTGCACAGATTGTGCCGGCCCTAGCCAACGATGCAAAGATAAAGTCCCTGACGCAAATTGTCCGGACAAAGCACTGGATATTTCCTGCCCCGAACTTCGCCTACCCACGGGTGTTGCAATGGATCTTCCGTTATGTTCCATTTGCAATGAGGTTGCACCGATTTCACATTTTCTTGATCGCTGAGAATGACCTTCGCTTGTTTCCGATGACCAAAGGAGCAGCCAGACTGCGAGAGAAGCGGCGAAAGCAGGTTGAGAAATATATGCGCGAGGCAAGCCCAGAGAAATACCACGACCTCCTAATTCCGGATTTCGATGTAGGATGTAAGGTATGCCACTGATTTCCCATATCCTTTGAATATCGGATGCAGAAAACGATGCTGATTTTGCAACTCTCAAGAGGCGAATATTCGATCCCGGCTACCTCAAATCCCTACACAACGATAAAGTCCTTCTAACTAACGCGAAAACTGAAGAGATTACCACAGACGGCATCATGACAGATAAAGGCTTCATTCCAGCGGACGTAATCATTCTCGCAACAGGCTTCAAAACTAACAAATTCATCCCCTACATGGATGTAGTCGGACGCAATGGCGAGGACGTATCACAACACTGGAGCAAGTATGACGGCCCAGCCGCGTACAACTGCTCTGTGCTGAGTGGCTTTCCAAATTTCTTCATGCTCCTCGGACCTAATGCTGCTACCGGGCATACATCGGCTATGATGGCTGCTGAAAAGTAAGTCAACAGCCTTATTCCTCCCACCTAAGCGCAGGAACGTTCTTTAACCATCAATACTAGCTCAATTAACTACGCTCTTCGTGTTTTGAAGCCCGTTCTGGATGGTGACGCCCTGTCGGTTGATCTGAAGCCTAAAGCTGAGCACGACTACGTTTACTGGGTGCAGGACGCATTGAGCAAGCGTGTTTGGAACGCGGGCTGTGTATCGGTAAGTGTTGTAGCCCCTTCGATTTGTTGCTTACATCTCTAACTGTAGACGAAATAGTGGTATCTTAATGATAAGAAATGGAACTCCATGTCTTATCCCTGGACACAAGGCCACTACTGGTGGAGGAGTCTCTTTCCCACCTGGTCCGACTGGAATATCAAAGTTAGTCCCCCTTCAACCAGTGGGCATCGTGATACTCACTGTCAACAGAAAGTTACGAGACCTTCATCACGTCAATCATGGAAACTGATGGTTCTTGCCCTTCTTTGCATTGGTGTTTTGGGGTTCACGCAGTCCGCTCACGCCGCAAGTGTCCCCGTCACTCTCGAGCTTCTTAAAGGCCAGTTGGCCAGAGTACGATCCTGTGTCCTGAGCAGATAGCTCGCAGCAATTAGTCGAGGAGTTATATTTTTTATTAGTCCGCTGGTTCCTGTATTTCGTGCACAGTTTCGTGTATATTATCCAGCTTTTGCCAAGTCGTCGTTAGCAAAATCTCCTTGAACATGCAATCAATATCGATTTATTCAGCGAGATATCTTAGTATAGTTGGGTGTAATACGTTTTTATAAATTCAAGCTCATGACTACAGAGATTCACGAACCAGAGCACTATTGGTGCCGCTGCCATGGAGCAAACCAGAGCGGATAATACAGCAACAAGTAGAGTATGGAAGATCCACACCCACCATAACTGTTGGTCGCATGAAAACTTCCCGGGTAAAAGCCTAAAGCTTTGCCTTCCATAAAGCATTGCTGATTTGCGACCAGCGACTTATGCTGTGTTTACCTGGGAATCAGGCCATACACTCCGTTGCCAGGGCAAAGCAAGCTATTTAACCACTTTTCCTGTATACCATCTACAAATTTCCAACCCAGAACACTCATTCAATGATCGTCAATGATCTCTAACTATGTACATCCCAAAAAGCCATATATCAACCCCCGTCGCCGTCATGCAAGTCTATAGAAAACACGAGCAGACTCAGCATAGGAGCCTTTCCAGACCACAACCCTACGTGTCAAAAGCGGTTCCCCGCCTACTATCTCCACTGCCCAGATCTAATCACGTAGTGAGCAAGTATACAATCGCTAAGAATGGCTTTGGTAGGCGTACCTGCTCCGCTGTCCACCCATGGTACACGCTGCGGATGGAATCGTGAATGAAAGCTTTGTCCGTCTTCTCCTCCTCTGCAGTTTCAGGTCCCAGCACGACTGCCTCCGTCAATATGGACTTGGCGTCTGGCTTGCAAACAACCTCCGTGAAAGGTTCAACAAGAGGTCGGACTCGGCCATCCGCAGTCCTCTGCCCGGAAATGTAGTGACTACGAATGATGACACGGCCAAAGAGGGTGTCGTTGTGCTCAAACTCAGTCCAGGTGAACTGGCGTTTCTCTGGCGTGCCTTGTAGTCCTCCAGCTAGTGCAGGCTCCAGCAGCATCCACTCAGTCGGTGCCCCGTTTAGGCTGTCGCCGTCTTCATCAGAGCCCTGCGTGATCTTCAGAGTAGAGGTTGATGCGGATATCGTCTTCCTTATTATCCAGCTTATTCCTTGCTGACGTTCCTTAGCCTTCCTATACACTATATCAGGGTATATAATGAAATACGTACCAATTTAAAAACTGCATCAAGGTTGGTCGATAGGCTTTTGTCCTGTTAAGGACCGTAGGTTAGCGTGAGGTCGGTTTCACGGGATGTGCGGTATGCTTACCATTACCCAGGTGCCGCTTATATTTGTTATAGTCTCGCCATTTGGGGGAGCCATTTTCTCTATTCCTGGCCTTGTCGCTCTACAGGTTTAATGGGTAAAAAGAAAGAACGAAAGAAAGGTGAAAGAAATACGATAAGCAAAGACAGGACCAAAGTGCTCAGTTGGAAATGCGGCAAAAGCGATGCACCTCTCGGATAGCAATTAATAGATATATCCACGGCAGCTATCTATTCCATGCCTACCACAGAAAAGGTCCATTAACTATTGGGACGGTTCCGGCTGTCAGGGTAAATGGGTCCATTGTCAGATGCAAGTAAACAGCCAGCCGGTTCCCTTCCGGGCTAAACCCGGAACAATGACGAATCCGGAACACACCCGGGAAATGCCAGACGACCGAGGATACTTGCCTAGGTAGATTTTCTTATGTCCGTATGTCTCTATCCGCATAAAGATACACGGAGAAGTACACGCTTCGGTCACTATTGCCAGTTCTTCCCCTCCCCCATGCTTGGAACAGGAGCACGATGGCCAAACCAGGCTTCCTCCCCCGTGAAGGGCTCTACATCGATCCCATAGTAGTGGGCTTGCGAAAATCGATCTTCCACCCGCTCTTCACATTATCGTGTTTACACCTGGCGGGGAGATTCAGCTCCCTCGCGCCTTATGAGAAACTCGTCCAAATCATTGCAGCAGCCACTGTCCTCCTGTGGCTCAACGATTGGTTAAGTACTAAGAGTCGAAACAACTGGGTTTCGGACGGTACGTGGGACTGGGAAAAGGAGCTGGTCGTGGTGACTGGAGGAAGCGGCGGTATTGGGGCGGGAGTCGCTCAGCGTCTTGCTGCCTGGGGTTCACGCGTTGTCGTGTTAGACATCATCCCTTTGACATTCGAGCCTGGTAATTCAATTGGCCTTCATTCCTAAAGAACCCCATGCTTGTGAGAGCTTTGCTAATGTTAGCACGCGCAGAGAATAAACAAATCTTGTACCACAGATGCGATCTGAGTGATGAGAAAGAGATCGCAGCTGTCTGCGAAAAGATCAGAGCGGAAATCGGCGATCCAACTGTCCTAGGTCGGTCAAATAAACAGAAACAGGTACCTCAATAATGCCTGGCTAACAATCGCAGTCAACAATGCGGGTCTATCCCGCGGGCGGACAGTAGTTGAGGGTACCTACAACGACAACAGCATAACCCTGAAAACAAACTTACTGGCACCATTTTTCCTATCAAAAGAATTCCTTCCGGCTATGATCCGGCGAAATCATGGGCATATCTTCAATGTCGCCTCGATGAGTGCCTATATCCCACCGCCGGGACTGGCTGATTACGCGGCGTCGAAAGCTGGGTTGATAGCATTTCATGAGGTACGACTCGAGCCTCCTATTGTGAATGTGCAAACTACTGATATACCCTTGCGCAACTAGTGTCTTATGCAAGAGCTCCGAGTCCAGAATGCTCCAAAGGTTCGCGCCTCTATGGCCGTGTTGAGCTTCACGAAGACGCCGCTGTTTAAAGGCGAGACGAACCAGCCCCGGTTCCTGATGCCTCTTTTACATGTCGACACCGTTGTGGATGCCATTGTGGATATACTCGATAGTGGTCTCAGCCAAACGGTTTTTCTCCCGGGGGTCTTCAGTTTTTTTGCTGGCTTGGTGAGTCATTTACCTTCAACTGATGCAGGATTATTGCTGACACCATGCAGCGAGGAGCGCCGGATTGGTTTCAGAACTTGGTACGTGGTGGTACCAAGTCTCTGAAAGTAGATTTTAAAGGGCGACAGGTAATTGATCCACAGACTGGAAGGCTTGTTTAGTGGTTTGGAGTATGCGCGGGGTTGGTAAGAGGCGCCGCATAGAGCACGGGCGCGGTTGATAGCTCGTAAGACTAGAGTGGCATAATCTAACCTAACCTGGCCAAACGCCAGTCTATACTCAATAGAAAGCTCAGATTTAGATCTTGAATTTATATTAATTGCATTCTCAAAGATCTTACTTTGGGTGTAGAGTAGATAATTAAAATAGTTGTTTTTTAAACACAGTACACGTTCCTCCATGTGATGTAATACTTTTGACCCACTATTTTATAATACCGCGTAGGTAGCTCTATACTCTGACGATCATCGTGCTATTGAACCGCGTAGACCTCAGTAATAGTTATCGTGTATTGAATTTGCAAGTCGTTCTAGGGTGATAGAAGACATAAGAAAGCAACAATTATGACCCAGAAGAATGAGAGCTTTAGAGACCGAAAGGCGGAAGGGAGAGTTGAGATTCAAAACATTGACATTCTTTCTGTGTACTAAAACCTTGCCTGGAGAAGGCAAGGTGTGAGATACAAGGAGGACTCACTACTCAGGATTAGAGGACACACCTATCTATATACCATAGGCACTATACATTCACAGATACCACCGAGACTATAGAAAGTCAAACCGAACTAGCGTGTTATTAATAACAAATCAAAACCAAATTCTTATAATATATATATTTACTAACCTCTAGCCCTAGATCTTAACCCAGGAGATTGTCTCGGAAATTTACATATATTTCTCTTTTTATCTTATGCTTCTCTATATCTATTATTATAAACTGGAATAAAGTCCAGTGGAATAGATAGATATATCTACTGTATATTGTAAGTCTGAAAATTTATATAAAATTATTATAAGATTTGAATATTTATTTATATAAATTCTAGAATCTAGATATTGTAAATTATATTTTTATTTAAAGTTATATTATTAATTAACTATATCAATAAATCTGTCCAGCCGTGTAAATCGATCTTTACGATTCGATTTAAAATAAATAATAATTAATTTCAGTAATCAATCAATCAGAGAACCAGATATATCCGCGACTGTTGCGCCCACTGTCTCATCAGCAGAACACGGTTAGTGTGGGCTCGGTCCTTTTGCCTAATTTTGAATAGCAAAAGTTTTGGACAGAACATTGTGGTTCCCAAATTCCCATATAGCGTGTTATTTATCAATCCTGGGCCCGAGTAGTTCAAGACAATGAGGATTGTGACTGTAGTCACACGAGGACAGCAGTTCTTTCGTAACTACAGACCGTTCATGACCACGATCCTTCCATAACTGCGATCTTTCCATAGCCACGGACCTTCCTTGGCAGCAGCCCTTTCGTGACAACAAGAATACTATAGCTAAGGCGGGCTGAGAGCCAGACTAACCGCAATACTAGTTGCTGCTATTCAGTAATATCTGATATTTCTAGTAGTCTTTATATCTTGTCTACTTATCCTGATTAATCTTACAACAGCTATTACTCCCCTATTCCAGTAATAGAGTAACAGATACAAAAGAAAAAGTATTGACATAATATTATTTACAACCCCTGGAATTTCAGACTCCAGCTTATAAATTACTGTCTCGCTTATCTTTCTCGATCCTGCAACAATCTGTTAAATTCCCTCATCTTAGTATATTTCTGTTTGTGTGATGGAAGCAAGCTTTTAATAATATATCTCGCCGCCAACTCTTCGCACGTGATTTGATTTAGCTTTAGATAGGATAAAGCCTATCAGTTCTGTCAGTACAGAGCTATCAATATAATTATAGGAATATAGAACCAGGTGCCTTTGAAGGGGAGGCAAACTTTCCTGGAGGTTTCTCCGGCTAGGTCATTTCCCCATAATGCCAAGACCCAGGAATGCCTATCTTGGTGTTATGGGGGAGGAACAGTTGAGTAAATGGAAACAAAAATCAATGTAAATGTATAATGAGTTTACTCAATAAGCATGATGGAGCGACAAAGCTCTAAAATAGAGTCAGAGTAGGAATAGCAAGATAAGCATGAAAAAGCAAAGAGAAGCCGACAATATATATAAACTCCAGCATCAAAACTATATACTTCTCCGTCTGCCTCGCCATGCTGGCTCACTCTCCTCTGATCTGACCTCCACTTCATCGGCCTGGTCTTCCCTGATCTCATCACCTACCAATCGTGCGTCACGCCCTAACCGCGCACTAACCGCCGCATCCTGCAACATCTGCAGCATCCCCTTCCTATCATTCTGCGACAGCATATCCAGCGGCGTGAACCCCATATTATCAACCAAGCCAGGGTCAGCCCCATACTCGCCCAATAGCCAAGTAATCTCAAACATCTCGTAATCCTCTCTCGAAGCCACATAGTGTAAGGCCGTCCAGCCGTCGAGGTCGGCGTCATTGGGATTGGCGCCGTGTTTCAAGAGGAATTGGACTAGTGAGGAAAAGCAACCCTGCACGGCGAGATGTAATGCTGTCACCCCGTCTAGCGTGGGAAGTCTGACCAAGGAGGAGAATTCTGGAGCTAGAGAGAGTGCCGCGGTAGATTGGTAGTCTCCGTTTTTGCTGGCGTAATGCAGTGCTGTCAGGCCTACGTTATCAGTGGCTTGGCTGTTGGTTTGTTGGTGAGCGACTAGGCACTTTATTGTTTCTAGTTCGTTGTTGCGCACGGCAAGATGTAGGGCGGTTTCGCCATTCTCATCTTTGGAGTTTGCATCTGAGCCGAGTTCGAGTAAGAGCTGAAGGATTCCAAGCTGCCCGCTAGATGCCGCTCTATGGAGACTGGTCATGCCGCGAGCGTCGGCGGAGTCAACGGCTCCATGTTTCAGAAGTGAGCGTACACCCTTGTCGTAGCCAGAACTGGTCGCTCGCATCAAGGCTGTTGTGCCTTGGTGGCCATAACTGGAATGAACATCAGCCCCCCAATCAAGCAGAAGTTGCATAACATATGCATCACGTTTATCAATCGAGCCCTCATTATACCAATCTCGACCCGCTGCAAGGTGGAGCGGTGTGCGCCCGCGATCGTCAAGAGCGTGGATATCGGCACCGTTCTGCAGGAGAATCTGTGCCATGCTCCTGTTACCCACTCGTGCGGCGATGTGCAAAGGGGTCTCTGCCACTATATTGGGACCGTTAGGCGTTTCCTGCTCGTACGAGGTTTTGATATCCACGTTTGCGTTCTGATTCAGGAGCATCTTGGCAATGGATGGTTTCCAATATACGGCAGCGAAGTGCAAGGGGCCGTATCCCGTCTCGTTCAAGGTGTTAATGTCGTTGACATGTTTCAAGAGCAGGTCGCAAAGCCCTTCAACCCCGCATTTAATCGCCAGACAGAGAGCATTTATTTCAACTGTTACCCCATACTCTAGAAGCGCCCGTACAACAGCCTCGTCTCCCGACTCAACTGCCAGGTTCAGAACGGCTTGATCGGCCAAGGCTCCTCGATTTAGGAGAAGTCGCATGACCGCTGTCTGGCAGCTTGCAGCTGCAACTTCCAGCGCAGTAACTGAGACTCCGTTAGAGGAGATTGTAGCATTAAGATCCCCTCCGTGATTAAGCAAAAGCCGTGCCACATCGACATGTCCACTTTCGGCGGCGCTGTGTATGGCCGTATTAACCATGCTGCCGTCTGCGCCTCGCAAAATGCTCGGAGCACCTGAGTCTAGCAGGTATCGCACAATCTGCTCATTCCCATGATTGACTGCCAGTCGGAGCAAACTCCAGCTGGGCGCACCGCTGTGGCTTAGCAGCATATGGACCATCTCATGATCTCCCGCTTGAATGAAGTACCCAATGATATAATCAAGCACAGGAACCCCACATCGCACCAGATGCTCGACAATTTTGCGGCGTCTATAACTAGCAGCTATGTGCAGTGCTTTATCAAGAGATGCTTTGTATTGATCATCCCGCATATGCGCCAGTAGATATAAAAAAAGCACGTCGTGGCCGTCTTCTGCTGCGCGACATATCATACCCTCCAACATCGAAGGGGCAATTGAGTCCCCTCGCTCGATCAACTCTTGAGCCAAGCAAAGGCACTTCGACTGGGCCAAGCGGTGTAACTCTTGGTTTTGCCGACCTATCGCCCCGGCAGACAGCAGGGCGTGTACGATACCCTGGAAGTCTAGTCGCTCGGCAAGCTCCAGAGCAGTCTCTCCGTTTTCATTCAAGATTTCTGTGTCCGCCTCTTGATATAATAATAACGCAACCAGGTCATCTCGGCAATCCTTGGCAGCCAAATGCAAAGCGGTACATCCATCGGAGTCCATTGCATTGATATCAGCCCCATATTCTATAAGGAGGTCTGACAGGGGCAAGATAAGCTCCGATAGTGCGGGAATCGCTGCATTCACAAGCAGGTGCAATGGAGCTTCCCCTGTCAATGTTCTTGCATTTGTATCTGCTCCTTCACTCACAAGAAGCTTAATCACCTCCAGCTGTTCATCTTCGACACTCTCTTCCGCAGCTACACGAGTCGGAAGATCAATGGTTTTCTCTATCGCGCAGTGAAGGGCTGTTTTCCCTGCTTCATCCCGCTGCTCCAGTATTGACGGGCTCAAAAGGCCGAGGTTCTGGAATAGCCAAAGTACATCCAACCGTCTACAAGAAGCGGCCAAATGGACAGCAGTTCTTCCTTGCTCGTTTGTGGTAGTAATATCTGCTCCGTGGCTCAACAGGGCCTTGACGGACTTGATGTGTCCCCTGATTGCAGCAACATGAAGTGCAGTGAATCCCTCGATTGTTGAGTTGTGTGGTACTCCTTGCCTAAGAAGAAAGGGTACCATCTCATCTTCAATATCGTTGTCACTAGTGATAGAAAGCAAAGCGTAGAACAAGGACTGCCCGACGTCGGTGAGTCCACTCATTTCGAGCACCAGCTTCACCAAGTCTGTGTCATCTACCTGGACTGCTGTATGCAGAAAGTACTGGATATCAGTGTCCAGTAATTCAGTCTTGAGGAGGGTTCGGACGACGCTCACATGTTGGCGCAAGAGGGCTAGGTACAGGGGAGATTCGTTCTTGTCACTCGCAAGCATTGGGTTAGCCCCGTTGTCTAGCAGCAGGCGGACGACGAGATCATGTCCATACGCGCTTGCCAGTTGAAGGGCTGTCACTCGCATACCGGTTACATTTCCTATGTCGTCAATACCTATTGCATTGATACTTGCCTTTCCATCCAGAAGTTGCTGCACGACCTCTAAACAGCCCTCTGCGGCTGCCGAGTGCAACGGCGTTAAAGCAGGTTCATCCATACCTCCTGCACCGTCAACCTTAGCGCCGCTCTCAATGAGGTATTGTACAAGATCTGTGCAGCCACTTGAAGCAGCTATAGACAGCGGTGACTCTCCAGGATGTCTGCATAATTCAACATCTGCTCCCGCGCAGACCAGCAAACGCATGATCTCCAGGTTTTCGGAAATAGTCGCGATTTGAAGCGCTGTCGAAGTATATTCGGACATTTCGCTATTGCTGCCATCCTCAACCTGGGTGTTCTCCTCGCTACTGATGCATGCATCTTCGTTGCTAAGACTGTCTTTCTCACTGCTGCTTGCCACTGTAGTTTTCATCCCTATCGCATTAACATCGGCTCCCTCGCCCAACAATATCTGTACCATTTCCTCATCTTGACAATGACATGCCCAACGCAAGGCATTATACCCATCGATATTTTGACTCTCAATGTCGGCTCCGTACCGAATCAAAACCCTCGCCAGATCCGTGTGTCCCAGTGATATCGCGAGGTGAAGAGGAGAACAATCTATCACAGGGTCTATCTTTTCAACATCAGCCTTGCCTCTCAGAAGCCCTTCCACGGCATCCTGATGGTTCAATCTCGTTGCCCAATGAAGTGCCGTCCTGTTAGTGCTGTCTACTTCATCAACAACCGCGCCACATTCCAGCAACTGGCAGAGTATATCTGGGAGATCAAACCAAACAGCGACATGAAGACCAGTTGCCTCCAGTGGGAGCTCCTTGACGACCCCTGCCTTGACTGCTGATGGGAATGGGACATGTATGGAAGAGGAAACCAAGGCTCTGTCTAGGAGGAAGGAGACCGCGGTATCGGCAATCGCTGTCTGGACCGGGCGTGCGTGGTGTCCCCAGTGAGCGCCGGCATATTTCAGAAATACGTAACTGGCTTGTCTCGCCCGCAAGGCTTGGATGTTCTGACATGGGCCACTCTTGAAAGGCTGCAGCGACAGGTATCGAATACATGTTACGGACATATCCTCATGAGCAGAACTCATCCAGGTTTCTCCAACACCTCGGAGATACTCCTGTGTAGTGACATGGATTAGGCGGATTGTGTTGCTGGGTAGGTCAACGGTAACTAAACCCATGCAAACAGAGACCATGATATCCAGGTCAGGGGCGTCGGTCTCGTCAATGTCCTCGGCGCCTTCCTCCACAGCCAGAGCATGCCGCAATTCGGAAGGACCGAGCATCCTCTCCGCATATGCAATCCAGGAAAGAACTCGCAGTGCCAGTCTTCGGTATTCGAAGGGCTGATCTTCTATTCGTTGCATCACACTACCGTAAGCATCTTCCAAGCCCCCCTCACCGCGAGGAAGCTCCTTCAAAGCGAGTCGGACTTTCTTTTCCGATACTTGATGCTTGATCAACATTATGTGTAAGCGCGCCAGAAGGAACATCCCTTCTGTTCGTTGAACGATTTGCGTCTTGACCATCTCCTGAAGGTCAATGTTGCGGGCTATGAATGCCGGCAGACGCGCCATATTTCCCTCCACATACTTTTGCACATCTTCAGTGTGGGCGTGAATTGGTAGGATAGTGTCGTCTTCAAACTGTCGCACAATGCGCCTGATATCCCGCGACGTGATCAAGGCCTTTACGTGGCGGCTTTCTTGAAGCTCACGGATACAACTCACCAGATCTACTTGGACATCTTCGGCGCACTCATCCACTGCATCAACCACCAAATAGGCCCTGTCATACCCCTGGAGTGTCCACAAAAGAGCGTCTTTGACCTCCCGCAGTCCCATACCGATGTCCAGAGTTGACTGGCGCTCATAAAGCGACTTAACCTCAACAGGTATCACGGGCGTCTGCTGTAGCAGTTGCTTCAGCATAGACGACAGTAGCTGGGACACATCTTGCTGGTCCCGCATCTTGTAGTCACAGTAGAGAAATGTGACTGCAGTCCGATGCTCTGCCAGTTTATCGCTCGGATATGTGTGCAGGAGGTGCTCAATCACCATTGACATCATGACTGTTTTCCCCGAGCCTCGAATCCCGGGACAGAACAACATATTCGTCTCATCTGAGAGCCAGGAACGGAACTCGGACGACTCCAGAAGCCATCCTCCCGTACCTTCCTGACGCTCGCTCAGAACTTTAGTATACCGGAACCCATAGTCGTTCGCAGGGATCCAGTTCACAATGCGAGACCGTGTTTTCTCTGAGATGACGGTTAGCTGGATTCAATAGATATCCAAGGCCGCAATACCTTCACTCGTAGCCGTCATGACCTCCTTGATACCGCCGATATCCTGTTTAATCTGCCGCACATCTTAACAGTCATTACCCATTTTCCTATAACCATCATAAAAGCATACGCACCCTCTTTCAACACCTCCGCCACTGTCAGAGTCTTGTCTACAGCCTGTGGCGTAATCTGACCCAGCAATTCTTTCGCAAACGCAGCAGCAGCGACAGCAGCATACCGCTGCCAGCGCTTGTTCTTATGCGAGTCCGCATAATCGCATATCCCCCGGATAACAAGACACGGAAAATTATCCATCAGCCCAGCGGCCTCCATCTCGAAACACAGCGCCCCAATCTCGCGCGCAATCTCATCCCTCTTCCTCGCGTCCTTGATAACCTGGTCTCCACTTGCGATGGTGCCGTAGTGCACAACGGGATCAAGTGTTTCTCTATCTTCGCGGACAACCAGCATATTTTCATCGCACAACTCGCAGGTCTCTCCTCCCTCGGGATGCGCGTAGTCTGGTCGATAGAGCTTATCATGGTCTGTCCCCTGGTATGCATACTCGGCCCTAAACTTCGCGCTCGTATTTCTCGCAACAACCTCAGCGATATACTCATCCAATAACCCCAGTCCAAGCTCACACTCAACCTCCAGCGCAGCCAATGCATTCAACAGCACCAAAGGTGGCTTACTCAAGACCCCAGTACGCTGAAACTCCCCCCCAACCAGCGCCTTCCCCGAATCCCACCTCACAACACCCCCCGACGTCCCACAAGGCCGACTAACAACCACATCTCCCAGCCGAATATCGCACGCCAGATTAGGAACCCCGCCCCCAATGCCCACCAACAACCCAAACCGCACAGACGGAAAACTAAAGGGGATCTTGGCCGCGACGACAGCAGCATTGACAGTCCCGTAGGACGACGTGCAAGCAATGACCACATTGTGCGTGCCCACACTGCCAAGGAAGTAGCTGTTATCATCGCGCGCATGCTGCTCAGCTGGCTTGCCGTGGCTGGTATCTAGCATGCTGCGCGCGGCGACCATTTCCAGCGGGAGCGCACAGATCCATCCGATGGTGTAAGCCGCGTTTTCTAGGGGCGGCATCTCTGTAGAGAGAGTGGTGGCGGAGTGGATTCATGTGGGAGTTGGGTTTGAGATGGGATGGATGTTGGTGGTTGATGGTGCGTTGGTTCTTGGAGGGGAAATTCAGCCTTGTCGTTCTTTGCTTTGGCTTGACTACCGTATCTGATCACCTGACGCCCAATTCTTTCTAATCTCCAGACTCTAACCCAGAAGGGGTGTTGATCCTAAGAAGATTAGTATCCTCAAAGCGGGGCCGCCCGTCTATAGTAAATTGATTAGGATTTTCTAACCCAGAAGGGGTGTTGATCCTAAGGTTGATATCCTTAAAACAGAGCCGCCTGTCTATAGTTAATTAATTAAGATTTTCTACCCGATAATATAGATATTCTTATAATATACTTAAAGACTCTGACTTAGAGTGGCATAACCTAACTGTTGTAACCTAGCTATAATCTAATCTAACCAGGGTTAGTTAGATTAAGATATAAAATTCCTTAACCGGCCCCCGATTAGATTAGATTAAAATTAATTAATCTCTTAACCGCGATTAACTATAGACTAGAATAGATTAAATTATAGCAGTTAAATTAATAACTATAAATTAATTAATAAT